ACGATTTTGAAGATTACAAAATCGTGAATCAAGCTTAGGATTTAGGGTTGATTTTCTTAGTTTATTCAATCAAGTGTTTCAAGCAAGAGAATCAACAATCAAATAAGCTGCAACAAGCTTATTAAAGCTGAAGAAAATCGAATAGGTTTATGCCATAAACATGGCCAAAAACGGTTGTTAGGTTTTTGTAGATTAGGGTTTTATAAAACGAGTTTAAAACCTTTGAACATGCATAAACTTGTAATTTAAACAATCAATCAACAAGTTATCAATCAATCATCAGAGTATCAAACACTTTCAATCAATTAGAGATCGATTTTTTTTTTTTTTTTTTTTTTTTTTTTTTTTTTTTTTTTTTTTTAAACAACAGGTTCTATGGCTCTCAGTTTTAGAAGATACATTTTTCCACCTTTGGATTTCTGACAGGCTAATGAAACTGGGAGCTAATAGACCTCAGTTAGCCGCTACAAATTCCAAGGATTGATCACCAAAACTGGAGAAGCTGCTGGTTGAAGAAGGAAAAACTCGGATCTGGTTTTTTTTTTTTTTTCGGTTGATCGTCGTGTACTGTAAGTGTGCGTGAGGGCGCGTTCGACGTTGGATCGACAAACGGTTTTCACCAGTAGATTCGTCTCGTCGAGGGCTTCGATTTGATATGTAGATCGTCTTCTGGTTCCTCACGGTTTGGAAGATATGCGTCTTTTAAGTTTCGACTTGCTTTTAGGGTTTTGGTGATGGCCGGATTTATTAGGGTTTTTCGCTCAGAGAGTCTTATCGTGCTGATAACGTGTTGTGAAAACTTAGAAACTTTATTAATCACTGGAATGTATATATAGAATACATAGGGAATCTAGGTTAAGTACAATGCCCTGATGGGCCTAATGAGCCGGTATAAGAGTCCATATATGATATGTGTTATAACATTGTCATCTTTTTGTAAAAACACCCTCTCTATGAAAGTCAATAGTATATTCTTTTGAAGAGCTCACTTTCAGTTAAAAACATAGAAATTATGGAAACAAAAAATCCCCAAATACCATAAAATCTAGTTTTAGTTCTAATAAACATACCATTACTTTAAAATAATCCCCTAAGTTTATAAAAGTTAGCAAATCATTTAGAACTCCTTCCTAAATTCTTAAAATCTCTTTCCAAAGTCCAAACCTAAAATGGTGTAGCAATTTTGGAACTTATTAAATCATTTGGGACAATATTCTTTGTGCAAGAATACACAAAGTAAGCGACCTAAGCGGTTATTTTGTGATTTATACATGTTATGCATTGACTATCATATGATTCATATATAATTCTAAACACATGAGCAGAACCAGCCTATCATGTTATGCATACACAAATTGATGCAAGTGTTAACACGTTTTGATGCGTATGCTTATGTACATAACCGGATCGGATGATTACATTCTAGAATTCTTGATATTCTTTTCACATTCATGTTGTATGGAACTGCCCACAATTAAATAGTTATATATATATATATATCGACGTTGGATTATAAAATGTGAGCAACTTTTAGATGTAATAATTGTTCAATTATTGATAAGTGGTGCATGTCTTATGTAATACCCAACTATAATTTTTCCATTAGAAAGCATGACCATTTAATTAAAATTTATTATCCATTCGACCGTGTGGTGCATACAAGCATAAGATATATATATATATATATTCTCTCCTTTTTTCCAAATTATTTGTAGTTGGTGTTGTCGTACTTGTATTACATGCTATAGCAATAGCCCTTGAATATATATAATTTTTTTATGCTCGATATCTTTAAAACTTTTTGGGACGCCCACAAATGTAACTTTTTGGGACGCCCACAAATGTATCATGTATGAATCACGTAGCACCATTTCTTTTCGTAAATAGTTTCCTTTCCACGATTTATAATTTATTATTTAATCAGATTGAATGTATGTTGATATCTAATGGGAAATGTTCTAAAGTTGCAGCATCAGCAAATTAGAGGAAAATTGGCTTTTTCCTCCGTAAACTAGGAAAATTGGCTTTTTCCTCCGTAAACTATGCAAAAATGTTAAATTTATACCTAATTTTAAATAATTTGAACTTTATACCTAAACCTTTTTTTTTTTACGTAAAACATCATTCGATTAAACGCTGTTCAAACTCTGTTAAATCTAGTATATGTGGCATCCACGTAAACAGCTACATCAGATTTTCAAAATCTGAGAAAAAAAAAACAAATGACATCATTTGACCACCAGAGATCTTGAGATTTGGTCCTAATCTCTCATCGGCGTTTTTCTGCCAGGCAAAATCCCGGCAGTGATAGAAACCTCAAGAATATATAATCTGGTTTTTCTGATACTTTCGCTGGTGATGATTAAGAGCTTCCCCGAGAAGTCTTCAGCGGCAGCTCTGTGGCGGAGATTACCACCGGCGGATCTCTTCAGACTCATTGACGCGCGGAGAAATGCTGATGAAGGTCGATCTTCCTGGTGAGCTTGACGACGACCAGGAGAAGTATAACTCTTCTTCTTCCTCCTCTCCTATTGAACCAAGCTCCCGATTTAGACTGGTAAAGAAACTCAAACCATTTTTACTAGCCGATCGATTCTCAATTCCTCTTGGATTCACCATCGTTCCTAAGTAAAGAAACTCTAAGCTAATGTTCGCCGTCGTTCTCTGCTTACTATTCCTACCCTCTTAGCGGCGCCACCAACAGAGGAGGCGGATAAACTCGGTGGCTACTGTCAGTTGTCCACGTCTTGCTATCATCAGGTAAGTTACTATCCTGTCATCTTCTTCTTCTTCTACGCCAATAGAGCAATTCGATAAGCGTGGCGACTAAAACGGTGGACGTCACGGCGGAGATTGCGATGGTGATGAGATTTTTGGAATTAAGAGGGGATTTAGTGGCATGATGGACATTTAGAGAGGAGATGTTGGCCGGGAAGGAAGCGAAAGACACCAGAGAAAGAGTCCATTGTAGAGATGTTGAAGAAGAAGAATACAAGAAGAAAAAAATAAGTAACCCGACGTCGTTTACACCTAAACCCCATGATGTTTTGCATTAGAACGAGATCTCTGACCTGGCCTCCACATCGACAAGGGTTGACGGTTTTTTTAACGACGTTTGGTGTTAAAGTATGTTTATGCACAAGAAACATTGTTTAAGTATGATACTCAAATTAAATAGAAGTGTAAGTATGTTTTAGTCGGATACATAAAGTCAGGTTTGAGATTAACATAATGGAATAGTTGGGGTCTAAAAAGGCCAATTTTCCGCAAATTGGACTACACATTCTCGTGCAATACCAACCCAAACAAAAACTCATATAATTGCGATTAAATTCGGATCTAGTTCAGTTTGTATGGCGAGTTTTGTTTTTGTTTTTTTTGGGCTGAATTGAATCTAAGGTTTATCTAAAAGACCTACGATATTACCATGTAATTTCCACAATGACCAAGTATACTTCTTTATTCAATATACTTTTCAAATATCTCGTGGTTCCAAGTATGAGCTAGACACTGTTTTAATATAGTTCGAGAAGATTGGATGGTACAAATATGCCAAAAATGATGAGCTAAGAAACCATATTATGTATAGTTGCAACCAAAATTTGCTTTCGAACTACTCTTGCACTAAGTCCAGTATCAAAATATGTATTTAGTTGGCGTTAATTAAAAAAAAAATCAAAGATAATATTTTCAATTTAATCATGTTTTTGGCTCATACGACGAACTTTGTCCTTGATCGTGAGATAAGTAGTGCCTTTCATCATATACGAATAGACATTGATCGTGACATATACATATGTAGTTCTTACAATTCATTGCTTAAATTCTCGACGTTAGCAATGGAGATTGAATATATGAACTTTTTTACATCAAGTGCATGTCATTGGTTATTAAAAGAAAAGGTTTATGTTTTCACAGTATCTTAAAAATGATTCTTTTCATAGTAGTTCATGTGGTACATAACATATGTCTAGGTCGCATAGCAAATCGCTTTTAACGATCTTTATTGCTTGAAATGTTCTGCGTGGAGTACCTTGCACGCTCAAGGCGATTAATGGGTTTGTTTATTGGCATCTGTGACTGTGGCAAAAGCTGAGAAGGTATCTATCTATATGTCGTTGGATCGTTTAAAACTAATTATTTGAGCCATATGAGTTCTAATTCAACCTATAACCAGAAGTCGGAAGTAATAAAAATTCAATTTAACTCTTAAAACTCTGGTTGAGTTACTCACATGACAACACTTTGAATGGTCACACGATACACGAAATTTCAACCATCATTGTCTATTCAAAATTATGTAAAAATTCCAATAACATTTTAACAACTTAAATACCTAATAGAACAGGTTTTTCAGACATGTTAATAAAAATTTTAAACATTTCTATTATATGTCGCAAAAACAACATAATACAAGTAATAACAAATATTAAAAACCCCAAAAAAAAAGTTAGAACATTGAAGATTAAAAGAAATAAAAGTCTATTTCACAACAAAACAAAGAAAATTTCATACAAAAAAAAAACAAAGAAACTTAAAAGGGTTTTAGTTTTCACAAGTAATTGTTGATATATATTTTGTTAAATGAATCAAAACTTTATTATCGGGAACTCTGGATGTAAGAGTATACAGTATATAATAAGATACCTCGTATGTTTAAATTTTGAGAAATGGACCGGAATTCAAGAAAATCTACATATAATGTAACTCTCAAGTCTTAACCAAAGACTAGAGGGAGAGCGTACTGAATGAAGTAGAGAAGGGGATCGAATTCGATATCGACGTCCAAATTCAACGGAGGTAGATAGAGGGTCCCACTCATACCCTCCACGTAGGCAATAAGAGATATCGACCCATCACTTCCCAAAAAAATTTCTATAATCACAAGTCTCTCAAGTGGACTCAATCCAATAAAATTAAAACAAAAAAAAAACAAATATCCTATTTTTTTTTCAGAAGAAGAAGACGACACCAAAAAAAAACTCAGTCTGACATAAAAACCCAAAATCCAAGAACACTCTTCACGCTTAATTTCTCCCTTCCCACACGGGTTTTGGTGGCGTTGTAAACAATGCTGCTTCCTCTCTTCTTCTTCCTCTTCCTCCTCCTCAATCTCCATCTCTCCTCCTCCTCTATCTCCTTCCCTGATTTTCAGATCATCGACGTTTCACAACCTCCTCTTTCCGTCACCGGAACTCTTCCCGATTTCAACAACACCACTTTCCCCGACGAGTCCAAATACACTCTTCGTCTTCTCCACCGCGATAAATTCCCTTCCGTCAGTTATCGCAACCACCACCACCGTCTCCATGCCCGTATGCGCAGAGATTCCGACAGAGTCGCCGCCATTCTCCGCCGCATTTCTGGGAAATCTGTACCTCCTTCCAATTCCAAGTACGAGGTCGACGATTTCGGCTCCGATGTGGTTTCCGGTATGGATCAAGGAAGCGGCGAGTACTTCGTCAGAATCGGCGTCGGAAGTCCGCCGAGAGATCAGTACATGGTGATTGATTCCGGTAGCGATATGGTTTGGGTTCAATGTCAGCCTTGCAAGCTCTGTTACAAACAATCCGACCCGGTTTTCGACCCGGCTAAATCCGGTTCTTACACCGGAGTCTCTTGCGGCTCTTCCGTCTGCGACCGGATCGAAAACTCCGGCTGCAACTCCGGCGGGTGTCGTTACGAGGTCATGTACGGAGACGGATCTTACACTAAAGGAACACTAGCTCTCGAAACGCTGACGTTTGGTCGGACGGTGGTTCGAAACGTCGCGATGGGATGTGGTCACCGGAACAGAGGAATGTTCATTGGAGCCGCCGGGTTATTGGGTATCGGAGGCGGTTCAATGTCTTTCGTTGGTCAATTAACCGGTCAAACCGGCGGTGCGTTCGGTTATTGTTTAGTGAGTCGCGGAACCGAGTCGACCGGTTCGTTGGTTTTCGGGAGAGAAGCTTTGCCCGTTGGTGCGTCGTGGGTCCCGCTGGTTCGTAACCCGCGAGCACCGAGTTTCTACTACGTTGGGCTCATGGGCCTTGGGGTCGGTGGCGTTCGGATTCCTTTACCGGACGCGGTTTTCGATTTAACCGAAACCGGTGACGGTGGTGTGGTTATGGATACCGGAACCGCCGTCACGAGATTACCCACGGCGGCTTACGCGGCTTTCCGGGACGGATTCAAGTCGCAGACAGCGAATTTGCCGCGAGCTTCCGGCGTATCGATATTCGACACGTGTTATGATCTGTCCGGGTTTGTTTCGGTTCGAGTACCGACCGTATCGTTCTATTTCACGGAAGGTCCGGTTTTGACATTACCGGCGAGAAATTTCTTAATGCCGGTGGACGATTCGGGAACGTACTGTTTCGCGTTTGCGGCGTCTCCGACGGGTTTGTCGATAATAGGGAACATACAACAGGAAGGGATTCAAGTATCTTTCGACGGAGCCAATGGCTTTGTTGGGTTTGGTCCCAACGTTTGCTAGCGTTTTTAAAAAATGATAACTTTTTTTACGATTTTTGTTTGTTAGCAAGTAAAAAAACTTTTGTCTCAAACTATATATATATATATATGTATCTGTCTTATTTATTAGGTTATGGTTTGAGAGTTTTATTAAGTAATAATAATTAGTATAGAGAGAGTACTGAAATGTATATGTTTTGACCTAAGTTGTGTCTTGATTTTTTGATTGGGAGCATCTGTAATTTTGGGTCACTGTTTGATTTGTGAGATACAAAATGGAGTGAACCAACTTTCAAGTCAAAAAGTAATACACAGGAAAAGGCTAAACATTGCAATATCTTTTTTAAACACTTTGGTGAAGCGTGAGGACATTGGGGAGTGAACCATTTGATTTTACCAAAGTTCACATTACTACAGTAAATAAGTTTATTACTAAAGCAGTTAGCATCACATGCTCTTGAAGTAAAGTCATATGCTCATGAGCACTGAACTGAAGTTTGAGCTTTCTTTTTATTGGTAATGGACATTTAAACGTATAAAATTACACGACCTATAACATTCATAACCTCCAAACTCTATAAGGGTGTGAATTTAACATAATCTGATATGTTTTACTAAAAAAGGTGATGTTTTTTTTTTTTTTTTTTTTTGATTTGGCAGAGACTAGAAGAAGCAGGCCTGATGGGCAAAGTTATCTCGTGCCAGTCTTTAAGTTTGTACATATGAGTACCTGAGCGAGAGAGACCCACAAAGGCTGGAAATTTATTTTAAAAAGTGAAAGGTATCATTTAAAGCAACTTAATAATCTCTAGTCACAATCGTGATTCACCTCTTCTTCTTTCTTTTTTTTTGCTTAAACGTGATCCACCTCTTCAATTCATTACTTCCCCGTGATATTTTACAAGTTCGTTGGAAAGAAAAGTAAAAAAAATCCAATATTTTTCAGCTTTCACATTTTTTTTTTAAAAAGAAATCCTTAAAGCGGGTTTCATGATAATTACAGGAGACTCAAAACGCAGGACCCAATATTGGTTGATTCATGGATGAAAAGGCCCAGAAATGTACCTATAAAACTGTCAGAATAATTTTTGTCTTTCTTCTTTTATCCGACTTTTTCTTCTTTCTAGTGATACTTACTTAGCCGTTGGATACCTTGAAAATTTTAACAACACAGTCAATTCTCTTTTCAGTTCACACTGTTAACTTGAAAAGAAACAAGAGATGAAATGAGCAGAGAGCACTAGCCGACGAGAAGCACGTGCATTCATACCAATGAATCATAATTATCAACCTCTTGTGAAAACTAAACCCAATATATATAATAAAGCCTCTGGTTCGACCAAAAAAAAAAAAAAAAAAGCCTCTGGTAAAAAATGGAAAAGAGAAATGACTAAAGGGAAAAAAAAGAGAGAAAGAAAGTCATACATGAAAGGGGTCCCATTGTCTTCTATGTTGTCCCCTTCATAGGGCATTTAATCAATAAAAAGTTCCACTACTGTGTATAACACTAATGATTCATCGTCTTGAAACCCAAAGCTGTTTGTTGCACAGCCAAACTTTCACTTTCTTTGCAGTTCCCACTCATGATTTGTTATTAGTGTATCTATATATCTATATATAACCTGCTCTCTCACTAATCAGTCATACTACAGCATTGGTTCCTTCCCTAATCTCCCACCTAAAATGCGCAAAGTTCTGCATTTATTTGTTCTAAACCATTGTTTGAGTGTATCTCCCACTTCAAAAAAAAAAGGATTCTCTGCATTTTCTCATCATATATGTATTCCAGTCCAAAACCATAGAAACAGGTAGGCATCAAACTGAAAGATAGCAGCTAGTAAAGGCGTACCTAGGCTGGTTGACTCAGTTACTACGACCTGACTAGAGGAAACCATCCTCATCTGCTTTAATCAAAGCACCATGAAGAAACAAGCTATGTACATACAGAGGATCTCTCACCTCATCTACATTGCTGAAGAAGTTAGGACAATGTATAGATGCACAAAACAGGTGTTTCCAAAGCAGACATGAACCTGCCTTTTGTAAAGATTGCTTGGAATGGCATGATATAACAGAGCCAAGAATGCTTAACAATTCTCATGATAATAATAATGAAAAAAAAAGATCAGGTGCCAAAGGTATCAATCATCCAGCAATAAATTTGTCGGTTAAACTCCTACGCGATATATATACCATGAAACGATTTAGTTATTTACATACGGCATGTTTCCAATCGATGCACCTCCGAAACACAAAAAACCTAGACTGGCTTCAAGCCTCACAAAACCAAAACACGATATCCTAGGAGAGCCACAGTATTAAAGTTAGGATACAAAGCAGCAAGAGGTTTCTTACTGATCAAAAAACTCTGGGCATAATCTCCCATATTTTGTACTATGCAACACTAATTCAAGCAGCGATTGGAAGGCTACGCTTAGAGCACACAATGAGTAGTCTAGACCATAAAAAGATATCTGAGATCGTCTACTGTCAGTCGAGTCGCAGAGCTTCCACCATGATCTTCACCAAACGCAGATGCAACCATTGTCCTTTTATCTTCCTGAAAAAATTCAAATGATAATGCTGCATTACAATAAACATTTAATCTGAAGAGGAAACTAATGGACATCAAATCCCAAGCCAGAACGAGCTGATCGATTGTGAAGAATACCTGAAGTTTTAAAATTCTATCCTCAACTGTATCTTTTATAGTAATGCGAGTTACAGTAACTGGCCGAGTTTGCCCTATACGATGTGCACGATCAATAGCTTGATCTTCGGTTGTTGGATTCCACCAAAGATCCAAAAGAATAACATGACATGCGGCTACCATATTCAACCCAAGGTTCCCAGCTTTTAGAGACATCAGCATCACCTCTACCTGTTAATAAACTTTCCACTGTTAGAGACCCTCAAGATGGATAATCCATGACATTCCATGTTTCAGAGAAATGACTAATAAAAGTATTCTGGAAATTTATATATCACTTACATCTGGATCCTTGCTGAATTCTTTTACAGCCCTGTCTCTTGCTGCTAGACTCATTGTACCATCCAATCTTCTGAATTCTATACCATTTTCAACAAAACACAGCTCAACCAAGTCAAGCATACCAGTCCACTGAGAGAATACTATCGTCTTTATTGGCCCCTGGCTAGGTGAAGATGAGTGAGAAGTCATTGGCTCTAAAATAGTAACATCGTCCTCGTCATCGTCATATGGCTGTGAGGAAGAAGGCATTTGACTATGCTGTGATGAGTTTGGACTGCCTTGTTTGGGAAGCGACTGCAGGATATCTAGGACAGCTTTGATTTTTGATGAACAAAACTCGCTTTTTAGAAAAACTGATTTAGAGAGACCATTATCCTGTGAAGAACTAGAGCCTAAATCATTGGCGATGCACTTTCTAAGGGCAGATTTAGAGAAAACAACATCATGCCCAAGTTCTTCTCTGCATCTCCGTACAGGGCACATGTTCTCATCCCCAGTGATACGTTCGGAAACACACGGATAGCAAAATACATGGCCACACAACGTAACAACAGGTTTTTCAGGTGGTTCCTGCAGATAAACAGGTAACAGAATACGAAGAATAAAAATGGTCAGAACTAGCCTAACTACAGAATAATGAGCCTGAGGACATGCTATTCCTAGCCATCAATTACTCTGCACTTACTTCACAGAGATAACAGATGGCAGATGACGACTCTAAACGATTGAGCAGGTTGATTCGAGCCTCCCTAGGGAGTCTTTTAACTGCTTCTACTGATACTTTTCCAACAGGATCCGAGTTATATCCGTTAACAAGTTCTGGGTGGTCACAAGCTTGGCGTAGACGCAAAAGCATCAGAAGAATATTTGCGTAGTTTTGGCTAACAGTTCCAGCAGCAGCATAGGCCTGCAGAAGATATGAAATATCATCTTAGCAGGTACAAGTACGAGTTTCTGTTGTATCACTGGCAGGACAAAAGGCTTAACAAAAGGAAAAACTCAGAACATGATTTTCCAAGAAAGCTCCTGCATAACTACCAGGTCACATTTATAAAACAACGAGTTGCTATAGACGGTTCTTCTTTTCCAAATAGTGCACATCAATTTCAAACCAAGTATGAACTGATAAATTGAGGACAAAAAAAAGAGAACCTTGAATTGTGATTGAAAATCTGCTTCAAGCTTCTTGTAAAAAGACCGCTCCTCTACTGAAAAGTCCACCTTGCTCAAATTAATTTTCTTTGGAGGTAGATTAATTATGGGTTGCCCGTCAAGAATTGTTCCTAGATATCAGAACAGTAGACATTTAGCAAAAACCATCAACTGCAGCACAGCTACATCCGAATATGATAAGAGAAAACTAAAAATCTACCACCAAGCGGAAATGATCAAGTACAAAATCCTTAATCACTCAACCAAACATCGAAGAAATGGAGAGATGATCAGAGTACCTTTGGTACGGCGCAGCATTATAGCCCTTAGAACAGCTTGAAGCTTCTTGTAACCATGAAAAGAATTTTTGGAAATTGGTTGCTTGATTGTATCGTAAAATGACTTGTACACGGCATACGGATTATATCTGAGGAACCTGAAGTAGCTGTATAAATCGTCAATCGTATTCTGTATTGGCGTTCCAGACAAACACCACCTCCGTTTGGCTCGAAGAGTGCAACAGGCTTTCGCCATCTGTGTTCTATGATTCTTAATAGTCTGAGCTTCATCTAGTACTATTCTGAGCCACCCAACTCTTCCTAGAGTACCACAATCAGGGTCAAAAGAAGAACCGTCAATGCCTTTTCTACCTCTTTTCTTACTCTTCTTGCTCGCACCTACTGAAGCTTTACGTTTCTTATTTTTGAATAAGTTAGAGGCGAAACCATGCTTGTGGGTATCCTTTTCATCGTTCTCATCCTCATCCACCAAGGTCTGTTCAGGAGCTTCCTTAGTAACAATGGCGTAAGTTGTCACAACCACATCATAACTTGCTAATTCAACAGGATCTTTGGTCCTATTACCACCATGGTAGACTAAAACAGATAGTTTTGATTCATCAGAAACCTTCTCATCAAGTTCTCTTGCCCACTGCCTTACAACACTCGCTGGACAAACAATTAATGTACCAGCAGCTGGTCTTTTCCTGCTAAATGCTCGTATTGAAGTACTCGCGTCTTCAATTTTGGCTTTCTCCATATCTGAACTTCCATTCTCATCTTTACCACCAGCACTCAGGACCGTGGTCTCACTAATGCTTGAAACCTTGAGCTCTGGTTTTAGATGACTTTCACTTTCATGCTTCGTATTTTCTGACTCATCATCAGCATCCAGGTCAAATATTTCAGCTTCTTGCTTGCTTGAAATTTCAGACTTTAACTGTGACTCAAACTTTTGCTTTAGGATAAGAGCAATAGTCGAGACTGTCTTACCAAGTCCCTGCAAAAATAGACCTTTCATAGTTTGAGGGGAAAATCCACGTGATATAATCAAAGATATCTATTGGGCAAGAAATTAATTAAATGTGACCTGATCATCTGCTAATATCCCTCCCGCACAGTGCAAACTATTTGTTTCCTTCTGAAACATCCATGCCAATGCAATTTTCTGAAAAGCAATAGTACTTAGTACTCAAACCAGTTTCAAAAGGCCAGTAAATGTTGCATGAAAATCATGATAATACCTGATGCCTCATTAGAGGAACTGAAAGAGTACCCGGACATAAATCCATTTCGGTCCTGGGTTGATTCAAATCCTGCAGGATTAACATAATTGATTATTAAAATTAGACTTCACATGACATTTAATATCAGGTTGATTATGGAAAGAGCTCTCAACATATCTATACTGCACCAGGGTAAAATAAAAAATGAGTGCACATATTAAGTCAATGATCTAAAGTATCATCATGTCACAAACATGAAGAAAAATAACTAGGGTACTCAATCTAAAATGGAGTAAATTCAGCATGCAAGCACCAAAGAACATCTACGTGTTGAAGTCTATTCATAAGAGAAGATTGAGTTGAGGATGAATACTTGTAGTGCAGCCTGATAGATCAGCCTCTCATCGTTCTCAGAATTCCTATCTCCACTAATGCCAATCCTGTGCATTGGATCACTTGAACCAGCAAAATGTAAAGGAGAAGCAGATGTTCCATGCGCCATAGATGGAGGCAGAATCCTAACCCCATTCATGCCACGATGAATTCCTATCTCAGCATGGGCTCCACGGTAACGATCACCAAAGGTACTCTTGTTGCCTACAGCTGACACAGCTGGACTACTATAACACGCACCAAAGCGGCTCTCATTGCCTATAGTTGAACTGTTAGCATTTCTGGAAGGAATAGGAGGCGAATTTAAAGATGGTGGGAGGGTTCTTTTCGGAGCTTGTTGAGAAGACGGCTTCTCATCATCTAAACCAGAGACATTGGAAGCTCTCGAGTTAACAATGTTCCCACTCCCTGTAACACGCTTAGAGTTTCCTGGCCGAGATGTATAGCTCGAGGCAACATTACTTATACTGATAGCACTTCTGGAAGGAATAGGAGGCGAATTAAAAGATGGTGGAAGGGTTCTTTTCAGAGCTTGTTGAGAAGACGGCTTCTCATCATCTAAACCAGAAACATTAGAAGCTCTCGAGTTAACAATGTTCCCACTGCCTGCAACACGCTTAGAGCCTCCTGGCTGAGAAGTATAGCTCGAGGTAACATGACTTATATTGTTAGCATTTCTGGAAGGAATAGGAGGCGAAGTAAAAGATGGTGGGAGGGTTCTTTTCAGAGCTTGTTGAGAAGACGGCTTCTCACCATCTACACCAGAAACATTAAGAGTTGTCGAGTTAACAATGTTCCCACTCCCTGCAAGATGCTGCTTAGAGTCTCCTGGCTGAGAAGTATGGCTCGAGGCAACATTACTTGTACTGTTAGCACTTCTGCAAGGAATAGGAAGAGATGGTGGAAGGGTTCTTTTGGGAGCTCGTTGAGAGTACGGCTTCTCATCATCTATACCACCTAGCCATGTGGGATTCCTCCTGAGAAAAGTTCCTTGCCTAATGGGCTCAGGTGCTTCGTCTTCACTACTACTACTACTACCTGAACTAATTTCAATAGCAGAACTCATCATAAGCTCTCCTTCGACGCCACTCTCTGCAGAAGATTCAGAACTCGAGCTTCTAAGAAACCGAATCAGCCTGCGATGCAAAACATAGCCGTTAATTACTCCAAATGAAATGATTACAAAAAAAAAAAAAAAAACAGTAATTGTATAAATCAGACTAAGCTAAAGCTATCTACTATACCCAGTAACAGTGTCATTTTAATCGAAACAAAAACACTAGCGTCACAAAAAATCAGTGCATCCTGAGCAAGAAATCAACAATCAGCATCATCCTTAAGTTGAGTTTGGGAACGGTATGAGGTTGATGACTTGGCATTATTCTCGACCGTACGATCAATCAAACTAATCGAATGAAACGAAACCCTTTCCACTGTAATCGAAAACTATTTTAACAGCCCCAGAAAAACCAAAGACAAGCAATCGAGTAGAGTAAGCAGCAATGGCGGGATAATAGAATCAAAAACCGTTGGATTTCGATTTGTAAAACCCTACACGAAGTGGTAAAAGTGAAACGTAAAAAGAGGTAGAAAACGAAAGAAGAAGAAGAGAAAGACGGAGAATCGGAGAAGAGTTTGAAAATTTTTGGGAGAGAGTACCAGGGAAGAACAGAGTTGGAGAAGAAAGAAGCCACACTTGCACCGTAGAATCGGTCACACGGCGGTTGCTGTCTGGACGGAGAAAGAGAAGATTTTGACGGTGATGAGTTTTTTTTTTTACACTGAAATGAAGAAAATTACATTTTCAACAAACAAGTAAAGGTAAAAACATATGCTCGGCCCACGGTGTCGTATCGGCCCATAATATATTTCCACATGAAAAACAAACGTAATCTGATTTGTTTGTTTTCTTACATATCTAATTATCCATAAACAAAGACGTATACGTACATTAGTGGCCAATCTCAGATAATGTTAGAACTATATGGATTTATTAGTGATCGATAATGATAGATAGATAGGAATGCAAAAGGAAGGAGGATACACCTGTCGGCAAGTTTACGAGAGACCTTATAAGGAATTCTAAAACAAAACCTCCATTGCTTTTTTCTTTTATGTTCTTATGAGACAAATCCTAAACCTCAAATAACAACACAACATTACTTTTGTTTTTGTTTTTTTAATTCCGTAACTTCGCCGACGAAAAAAGCCTAAACTGAAATCTTGGAGGGAAATAGAATAAATTCAACCGAATTCCACGGCCTGAAACCGCTGCTGCAATCTGCGCTGCGAGTGGCTTATTGCGTGCGGCTTTTTATGCACTTCTTCTTTATTAGCCGACTGTTAAACCGAATCCAAACTTGTAGTCCTTCTTCTTGTGATCCAGCTGTGAGAAACAATGCCATTTACTAAGAGTTTTAAAGGAGAATCATCGGTTAAATCTAGAATAAGGAATTTAAGCAGAACATCGTGTACCTCTGCAGATAGAAGAAAATTGAGTCCCATACTCAATCTCTCTTCAAGGAGAGCGGATGTAACCCCGTTTGAATCAATCTTTCCCCTCACACGAGACTGAAACAGAACCCAGATTACTAGAATTAATACGTATTTAGAAACCGCTTTGTTCCCTGTATTTAAATTCCATTACGATTCAGAAAAATGGCGATTTACCTGTCTAAGAATGTAGTCATACCCAACACTAGCTGACACATCCCTTGAAAAGTAGTTGTACATGAAATCAGTGGCGAGTGAAACCTGATTACGAGAAGAAACGAATGTGTCATCCTTTATCTCTATATACTCTATATGGTTTAAAGATCAATTAAATGAGAAAGGTACATTACCTTCTCGGAGATCTTCTGAACATAGTTCATAACAACAGCACCAGTGCTAGCAACTTGCGCAGTGGCAACCTAAGATTAATAAAGATAAGTTCTTAGTATGATAGATACACTGACGGATATTGTTAACGACAATGGAAGAGAGATTGCAAAGAGAACTAATGATAAATTGCAAGCTGCCTAATAAATTAACTAAGAAGAAGAAGAAGAAGAATTACCATCTTATCAGTCTCATATCTTGCAGCATAACCGATACCCGACTTCCGAGGCACACCAGCCCAAAAAACTTCACCCCCCAAAGATAGACTGGGTGTCACACTCTGTCCAAATTTATATAAAAATTCAGTGAATACAAAAAAAGAAAATATTCTCACCTGCGCCATACCAAAAAGTTTTAGCTATTATTGACCAAAAAGACTCCTGACCATAATAAATTTGAATAGAACGATTTATGGTTCCTATCTCATCTCTACATTAGAGCATCTCAAAGATGAATAACCTTTTTTCCTTATCTATTTGACTTCACACAGAAAGATCTACACAAATGAAGCTCCAGCAAGCGACAATAGTCCACTTTACCTGGATATAGGTTGCTCCAATTAGAGCACTGTTCCCAAGTTGAAGCTGGGCTCGGTAGTCTGATCCCTACACATACATGAGACAAAAATAAGTTAGAGAAACTCAAGATGCCAGATAAGGGTGCATCGCAACTATAGGAAATTTTAAAATACAGAGAATGTCCTCACCATGTAATCAAAGTTGAACATTGCATGCGATAGATGTTGCTCATTTGTCAGCTGGCAAAGAATGTAAACAAAGATGATCAACAAAATGTTACAAAGAATGAATGTAATATCCAAAGACAACATAGAGCAACCACATTCTCCAGTTGTGTCACTAACCTGAGCATTAGCCTTCAAGACTAACTTGTCAGTTATATCAGCTTTCACTCTCGCATTAAGTCTACCATCAGTCATAACCCTTCCAATAAGCATCAACTGCATAGGCATATTTTACTCTGTCATTTACATATCTTCAGACCATAAGAGTATAATACAAACTGAATACAAAAATACTACTTACTTGTGGGTCGAAATAATTGGCACCAAACTCATAATGGGCTGTCGGAATTTTGATCGTTTCAGCTGACTGAGAAGGAATTTCGGTTGGCCCCATCATTACACTGTTTGAAACATCCAATATACAGGCTTAATGAGAAACACAAATATATATGTAAGTTTTTACCAGTAAAAAAATTACATAATCTTACTACCTGTGACTGAGAGAAAACTTTTGATTCAAAGCCTTGGTAAAGTCAAAGCGTAAACCCTCAAAATTTTCTGCCTTTAAGGACACTGCAAAGATTAATCGAACCAGTTACAAACCAAGGGAAACAACTTTATAAATGCTTTACCACACATAGCAAAACCTGATATCAAAACAGTAAGAATCCATTTGGGAAAACACTCAGGAATTTCATGGTGACTAAAACATTAAAAGGAAGCATTATGAATAAGTTTTCGTCACAAATCTATATTTTGACGGATTAGGAGCAGCTAAGAAGACTACACAATTTTTCTGTGAAAACAAACTTGAGAATTGATATCTGACTACTAAGACAATCTTAGAGGCAGCCAATGAACAGAATCAAATCCGGATCAATTGAAAATTTTCAATATACGATATCATTTCTACTGTTTGCAAATCTCGCAAAACCTGGAAACGATTCAATGGAAAAAAAAAAAATTGGAAACGAAATAGTTCCATAAAGAGCTCGAGCATGCCCAATACAAAAAGAAGATAGCCAAATCTCTAACACGACGTTACAATGTAGTCAAGCCATCTCATCTATCTCCAGATTTTTTTTAGTTTACAACACACAGATCAAGTAACCCACAGATTGAGATATCGGAGAATTCAATAGAAGCTATAGAAAGAAGATATTGAAATAATCTAGATCGGAAAAAGTGAATACGGATACTAAACTGAAAGCTTCACGGTGGAGTTCCTCATAGGGAACAGGGCAAGGGAGATTCGCGTAATCAACTTTCTCATCGAATTTAGCCTTGGCATCGACTTCTGCCGTCACAAGAGGTGGTAAAAGATCCGCCATCGCCGCCGCTACCGCCTTTGAAAATTCTTTACGGCGACAGTAGAAGAAGAAAAAAGGGAAGGAGTGTAAGGGTTTTCTTCTGTTTGGGGGCGATCCTTTGGGTTTTGCTCTTGCAAGGGTTTTGTGATCGTGCCAGTGCTGGTTTAACCCGGTTTGCTCTTACTCTCGAACCGGTTTGGTAAATCCACTAAGAGCCATTAAATTAGCATTTCGATCAAATATAAGAAGTTGGTTAAAGAAAAGAAAAACAAATGCAATTCTTTGATGGTTTTTTTACCACTTTGCTAGTGTACATTTTTGAAGTTTACTTTTTCAGAATGTGAAAATATGTATATGAACGGTACTGTATAAAGCAGAGTTTTTCTTTTTTTCTTATTCACAACATGTTTTAACCTCATTGCAAGAAGATGGGTTGGATTGGATCCATAACTTTGATTAGATGCAACCATCACACAAAAATCATTTTAAAGATAGAATGAATAATTTTTCTTAAAAAAGATAATTTGACATCAATTTTAGCTGTCTACTACAAAGTAGAAACCAAACCAAAAGTACTGTATAATATGAATTAAAGAAGTCTATGGACTATGACTTAGTTATTGGCGTTGACCCAAAAAAACAAAAAAAAAAATTAAACTCATTGATCAACTTTTTTTTTTTTTGGTAAAAGGTTAAAATTTCATACCAAATTTTCAAGATTACATAATAAACGAAGCAAAATTACAAATATATAAAAGCAGAGAAGCGAGACGCCAAAAAGGTTACAAACTATTAGCTGATGGAGCCGAGATTTTGGAAGTAGAGCTCAAGCAAGGAAGGAGCGATCGCCGAGGAAGCTGGGAACGACAAAAGCCTGTCGCGAATCAACCTATCGATAGCCCTTTTAGTGGTAGCTGCAGTGGAGGAGGACCCTCTGAAGATTCTGGCATTACGTTCTTTCCAAACAAGGTAACAGATAACCTGGCAGAGAAGCTTGAAGATGGGCGCTGACGAGGAAGAACGAGCGGTGTGATTGTTATAGAACCATAACGCCGAAGCATGGAAGGATGAAGGCAGATTTGGCCAAAGAGTTCCCCGAAAGAAAGACCATAGTTCCGCAGAAAAAGGGCAATCAAAGAAAAGGTGCTCATGGGATTCCATACCTGCGGAGCACAGAACACAAACACCAGACACATTCAAACCCCATCTTATTAACCTGTCTTTTGTGGGTAGCCGTTTTAACATGATCAGCCAGGCGATAAAAGAGCATCGGGGGACTGCTTCTTTAAACCAAACAAGCTTATGCCAATAAACAATGGTTGACCGCTCCCGAAGTTGCTCCCAGGTTGCTTTGGAAGAGAATGTTGGGAGGTGATTCCCTGCCGCATTACGCCATAGAAAAGAGTCATGACCCCGTGTATCCTGCGGAGCAGAAAGCGTAGAAAGAATTATCTGCAGATTCTGAGATTGATCCGAACGAGCTGGTGGGAAACACCATTCACCAGAGGAGGAAGCTTCAATGACTTTTGCATCTCTGCGGATACGCAGTTGACGAGGTCCAGTGTTACCAAAATAAGTTATTAACGGCCCGAGCTCCGTCCAACAATCAAACCAGAAAGAAGCCTCTTTTCCGTTGCCTAATTCACATTTGAGGAAGTTCGCAAGATGGTGCTTAAGCTGCAGCATACTCCGGATCGTTCGAGAGAACCGGTTAGCATCATCTGTAAGCCAAAAACTCTTCCTCCCAAATATGTGAGACTTGAGCCAGGCAACCCATAACGATCCCGCATTGGAGAACAGATTCCAGACTTGCTTCAATCTGAAAACCATTTGGAAATCCTCTAGAAGCCGAATTCCCAATCCACCTTCAGGTTTAGGTTTACAAATGTCACTCCAAGCAACTCGAGCACCAGAGGCGGAGGTTGTTTTGTTCTTCCATAGAAATGCGGAGCAAAGAGAGTCAATTCGAGCATAGAAACTTTTGGGAAGATTGAACACCGAGCTCCAAAAATTAACCATCCCGTATACAACCGAAGCGATGAGTCTGATTTTTCCTGCGAAGGACAACAGACGAACAGTCCAGTTATGCAGCTTACCAGTTATTCGCTCAATAAAAGGCTGGAGAGTGGCTAGGGAGATTCTTCTGGGATTAAGAGGTAAGCCGAGATATCTTGTTGGGAAAACTCCCATCTTGAATCCAGAAAAACTACTCAGGGCATCCGTCTCAACATCTGAATATCCCCCAAAGAAGATCTCGGTCTTAGTAACATTCATATCCAATCCAGATAGCTTCTTGAATTCAGACATCACATCCTTTATTCCAGTAAGAGAGTGACGAGATCCATCTGAAAAGATGAGCAGGTCATCGGCGAAGAGGAGGTGGGTGATCCTCGGGCTGTCACAAAGAGGGTGAAGCTTTATTTGGTTGTTATCCACTGCGTTCTCCAGCAATTTCGACAAGGCTTCCATAACCATAATGAAAAGATATGGAGAGATACAATCCCCTTGTCTGAGCCCTTTTTTCCCAGAGAAGAAGCCCACTAGCTCACCATTAACAGCAACCGAAAACCGAGGGGAGGTGATGCATTCCTTAAGCCACGATCTGAACATAGGAGGGAAGTTCTGAGCTTCTAGGATTTTCAACACAAAGTCCCAACAAACTGTATCGAACGCTTTGCGGATGTCGACTTTCAGCATGCAACTTTTCTGACATGAGCTCTTCTCATAGTTCCTGATTAACTCCGATGCCAGAAGAACATTTTCTCCTAAATTCCGACCCTTAAGGAACGCCGCCTGATTAGGACTAATGCACTCTTGCAGGACAGGCTTCAATCTGTTAGCTATAATCTTGGCTATGACCTTGTAGATTGTATTGCAGCAACTGATTGGTCTATAATCTCCGAGACTACATGCTTCCGATTTTTTCGGAATGAGGGCAATTATGGTGTTGTTGAAATCCTTCAACAGCCTCCCATTCCTGAAGAATTCTTTAATAGCGGCCACAACATCGGCTCCAACGGTTACCCACGCAGCTCTAAAGAATTCAACGGAATACCCATCCGGACCTGGACTCTTATTGTTTGGCATTGAGGCAATAGTCAGCCTGATCTCTTCCTCTGTGACCTCTTTCTGTAGATCTGATCTGTGGCTTTCAGAGCATCTGAAAGACAGTAATGCTTGAAGTTGATTGACTGTGACCGAAGACAACGACATTTCTGTATTGCCCAGAATCCCCTGAAAATAACGAGCAGAATGACCCTTAATATCCTCGGAGGAATTCAACCTAAGACCATTATCATCGGTGAGATAGTGTATGTGATTTCTTGTAAGCTGCTGAGCCACAGTCCTGTGAAAAAACGGCGTGTTGCGATCTCCCAGATCAAGCCATTTAACACGCGATCGCTGGTGATAAAATTTCTCCTCTGCAGTGATTAATGTTTTCCACTTAGCCCTAACCAGATGTTCCTCTCTTGCAGTTGCTGGGTCAGGGTTAGTGAGAAGAGCTTGCTGCAACGTCTTTAGCTTAAGAGCTTGCTCCTTAATTCGTTCTGTGATACCGCTGAAGTGGCTCTTGTTCAATTCCCTGATTACCGGTTTCAAGCATTGCAGCTTTCTAGAGAGAATAAATTGATCCGACCCAATAATTTCGTCATTCCCCCATGCTTCCGCCACTGCGTCCGAGAAAGAGGGATGATCAATGACATGAATGAAAAACTTGAAAGGCTTACGAACCTTCCTCTGCGCAGACGGAATGCGGAACAGACAAGCGGCATGATCAGATTGCTGAGGTTCCTGAAAATCAGCATAAGAATCAGGAAAGGAGTCTGCCCAAGCCTGATTTATAAGGGCGTGGTCAATCTTCTTAGCAACAGGGCGAACGTCTTGACTGTTCCACCATGAGAAAGGGAGACCTTTAGATTGAGCTTCAAATAAATCAGCCTCTTGCAGGGCGAGATTGAAATCCTCCACACCAGATAAATCCACATCGTCGGAGAGGAAACTAGAGTGCTGAGAGGCCCGAAGGATCTGATTAAAATCCCCGACTACAGACCACGGGTATCTCGAGACAGGAGAGGAAGCATTAATGTCTTGTAGCTCCGCCCACAGAGATGCCCTATCCTCCACCTGGTTAAAGCCGTAAACAAAGGTTACTGTTAGACTCAGCCCCTCTGCTGGAACATAAATTCCACAAGTTACAGCTTGCGCAGAAGCCTTGTAGATAAGAACAGAAATCGACGGATCCCACACAACCACAAGCCTTGCCGTATGATGATACTCAAAGTTCCCAAAATACTTCCACCCAGCTGGAATAGCCCTAATTATTCTTCCAATATTTGATTGATGAATATGCGTCTCGCTAAACGCTCCAAAAAGCGGACGATGGATATTAATCCAGTCCTTTACCATAGTGTGGCGTCTATCACAATTCAGTCCACGTACATTCCACGCAAAAAAACTCATAATGATGAGGGATTAGTTTTTCGCAGCCTTGCGACTGCTCTTCTTGGATTGAACCAAAAAGAAGGGAGCTTCGTCGGAGTCATTCTGGACCTCCTGACGCAGCGGTGGATCATGAACTTCGGCTGACAAAATCGATGACTTAGTCAGGCTTGCAGATGGAGCAACACCTGAATCGGTCGGTGACTGAATCGGATGGTGATTTCTGGGATCTGCCGGTGCCACCAACACGACTGCTGCAGGACATGTCCCCAATGTTGATGATAGCGCTAGATTAGCTCCTTGAGACTGGGATTCCAATTTCATAACTTTGGGAACGTAAATCATAGCTGAAGCATGACGCCGCCGCAATCCTCCTACTGAAGCAGAAGTTTCTGAATTCTCCATGTTACTAACTCGATGAGAGGAAGAAGAACCCTTTATTCGCACTTGGATAGGGTGTTCATGGCTTTGATCAATTTCCCCTTCTTCTAATGGAGAATAGATCCCACTTAAGCGATTTGATTTTGCTCTACGAGCCCGCGATCGACCAGGTCTAGATCTCTTTTTGCGCTTTGGTTCTAGACTAGGCGACCTGGTACACTTCCTCCTTCCTGAGGGGTGATGCTGAAGCTGCGAAGTACATTTCATGCTCTCATGCCCAAACAACCCACAACTCTGGCATTTAACCGGCAACCACGGGTAAGAGACAGTAATCAACACTTCACGACCACTTGAGAAACCTGAAACCACCCTCCTAGGCAGTTCCTTCAAAAGATTTACTCGGACGTACACTTTAGCCACCTCAAAGGTTTGCTTTCTCTCTGTTTCTGGGGCTAGCGCGACAGGAGTTCCAATTGCTGTAGCGATTCGACCGAGGCTTTTCTTATTGAAAAGCAGATATGGAACATCGCGAAATTCCACTGGAACCACAGCAGATGAGAGAGGTGGCTCTTCTGGGTTGAAATCGGGAGACCACGGCGCAACAAACATGGGGAACCCTGCAATGGTCCACAAATTCCTGCTCAAGATTAGCTCCCTGGTTCGCAGTACTGTAACTCGGAGGAGAAAGGTCCCAGCACCGATATTATGAACGATGATTCTAGGCCCATTTCTCGCCCAGATAGCGTTGACAACTCCGATGATTCTACCCATGCTGGGGGTGTCACCGTGAAACCGGGCAAATAGGAAGTCTTTGAACTCCTCCTTTGCAGCTTGAATGTTTTCATCCGGAATAAACACAAACGGAACTCCTGAGTCATGCTGCGATGGAGTACCGATTTCTTCAAGCTGGAGGGGATCTTTCAGCAGGCTCGCCCAAGGGCGCTGAGGTGGAGAGTTAGCTCCCTGAGGAGCGGAGGCCTTAACAGCATCAGTAGGGGGCTCGGCGCTGGAGGATGGACCTTCAACAGCTAAGGGAGTAATCTCTACTGGAGCAATCGGCGCAACAAGCTTGTCCGAGTCTGAAACAGCAAACTGCTCAGTTCCCGAGACAGGATTAATTTTCAGATCTAGATCCACTTCCTGCGGAAAAAGGGATTGTTGAATCTGAGATGAGGAAATGGCGTCTGACTCAACATCAACGGGGCCAGGGATATCAGATCTGACATCAGAGGCAATAGTGGAGTCACGGGAGCTCCGCTTCATCTGGACGAACGCAGCAATGGAGGCGATGGAAGCGACACGCGCGAACTTGGAGGTATTGACAATCTTCGGCCTGGCTTTCTTCTTAAGAGGGGGCATTGCGCCCGGCGAGAGGCCGGCCTTCGGAGAGACGAATAGGGAAGGAGAGAATCGCTTTTTCCAATTCGTTAGCGCACCTTTCAATCAAATGTTCCATTGATCAACTTCTTCCTAAAACAGAGGAACACATCTTCACTTTCCCTCTTTCCTAACTTGTAGGAGTCCATGACTCCATTTCCTTATTATTTAGACTCCATTTCCTTGTTTCTTTATTATTTAAAGACAAAGACACATTATGAATAAAGCACACTTTTTATCTGCAAAACAAAACTTTCTCTTCTTATACTTTCATCTTCTTCATCATTCCACGTAAAATCAAAGCAAAGTGTCCCTTGATTCGGACCAACATCTTCCGTGGTATCAAGGATGGTTGCAAGCAATAAAGAACGACTCGAGTCGCTGGAGACAAGTCTCAGGGATGTCCAAGGCAAGTTGCAGATGACGCAAGTAGTAATGACGATGGAATTTTCTTACATTGAAGCTGTTATGAGTCGCGTACTGGAATCAATGGCCAGCACTGGCAAGGAAGGGAGACGCGACGAAGGAGATAACCGCGGCAATGCTTCACACCGAACCAATCAAAATCAAGAGACGTTTCATTCGAAGTTTCAACTCGAGTTTCCTAGATTTTCCGGAGGAGACCCAACATCATGGTTGAGCAAAGCGAGACAGTTTTTCGTCTACCATGACATGCCAGACGATGATCAACGGGTGCAGTATGCAACTTATCATCTTGAAGAAGAAGCCTATGTGTGGTGGCAGGTCTTGAAGAAGTCACATGACAAGAAGAACAAAGTAGTCACGTGGAAGATTCTCGAGGAAGAGATGTGGGTTCGCTTTGGACCCATAACAGATTGCCACGAAGCATTATCGAAGATCAAACAAACCGGTAGTTTGGGAGAGTACATAAGTGAATTCGAGAGGATACAAAACAGGGTTAAAGGGTGGACGGAGAAGGCCTTGATAGGGACTTTTGTAGGTGGTCTTCACCTTGAGATCGCCGATGAAATCAGGATGTTTCGGCCTCGGTCACTTACGGATACCATCGTGTTGGCCAGGATGCGTGATACGCAGCTTCACCGACATCGCCGGAGTCAACTTTGAGACCCGAGAGACTAAGAAGAAGCAGAGTTTGGGGCTTTGCTTCTCTACATCTCAAACATTCTCGTACTTGGAAGATTTTATGAGAGAAAATGTTTACTCAAATTACCATATATTGTATGTAGTTTCTTGAATGGTGTCCAAGCATCGATTCCTTTATCAATCTTTTATTATTAACCATACTTTGGTAATAAAGCAAGTGGAAGTCGTAAAACAATAATCTTAGCGCACAAGACCCAAGTTCAAGATACCCCAAGAAACATCAGGCCAAGATTGATCCTGTGACTTCATGAGAAGAACTCTAACCCAAGCAACCCAACCTTCCCATGACATCCTCTTGTCCCAAGGACTTCCCCATTGCAACAGCAGAAGAAGCCCTCTCTCTGCTTCTCTCTCCGCTTCTTTGAATCTCTTCTTTCCCAAGTAAACTTGACTCAACAACACATGTGGCTCTCCAACAAATGGGTTTTTCTCAATACACCCCAACAATCTCTCCTCTGCTCTCTCCAGGTACCCTTCTTTGCTCGGGTCGCTGCTCACAGCTTCCCAGTACATGTCCCTTGCTTCTATCTGCTCTTTTGCATCCAATACCTGTTCCATTTCATGTGTAGCTAATTAACTTTAAAAGCTCAATTAAATTCTTGATTACATCTCAATAAACTTAAAAGCTGCGTTTAAGTATCAGGTCCTGCTAGAGTCATTTCGTGAAAGCACCCTAATCAAAAAAAGCAGACACAATCCAAGACAACATAATGATCTAGACATGAAACCAATTAGCTAACTTTAAACATGTGTATCATTTGTATATATGTGTGGCTTTCAAGAAACTATTAAGCTCAGTTTAATTCTTGATAGCATTAGCAACTGATAACTCTGAGTCTATGCAACTTTCATCTTTCTTTCTTTGATGATCAGTTTATTTATGAAGTATCAGTTTCATGAAAGCTAAAATTCAAGAAGATAAAATCCAAAACGTAGCAACACGATGATCATGACATGAAACAGAACCAAATTAGCTAACAAGATGAAGAAGAACGCTACTTTTGGGATATTAATCATATACCTTAGTGCAGAAGCTGAAAACTGGAGGCAACACAAGCTCTATGTCTTCATCTCTCTCCCTTCTCAACACAAATCCAGAGCCAGAGGCTCTTTTCCTCTCCTCCATCAAAATCTCCTCTTCTCTCACAATCAAACTATAAATCGCTCCCATCCTCGAATTCGAGTTCAACCACAGCCCAGGCTTCCCGTTCCCAGGCCATAACGCCGTCGCGTTGTTCCCTCTGAACTCGAGCCGGCCGTCGTGGTTACAGAAAAGCTCGTCTTGGAACCCAAAAAGCTGATCGCTGAAATCGGCCATTGTCATGAGGAGGAAAACACCAACCACTCTCCTCGAAACAAGGATTTCTTCACCTGTCTTGATGTGCTTCAAAACGACGCCGTTCTCAGGCACTAACGCATTCAGCTTCTTCCTCCAAGCTTCATCGCCATCGAAAACCCCTTTCTCCTTGGCGTTCCTTAGTGAAACCTCCGAGCAATCGAGATGCTCGACGAGCTCGGGATCTGAGTAGTTGAAGAGAAGATCGTCGTGAATCAGGGATTGCCTCGGGATAACGCAGAAGAGATGGATCAGCGACTCGGCGGCTTCGCCGACATGGTCACGGACGACGTCACGACCAGTGGAAGGATCGAAAATGGCTAGATTGACATAGGAATTGGAGTAAGCAGAGTGGAATAGACCGCAGAGGCAGACGGATTCAGGAGCTTTCCATAGCTTGAGGATCTTGTAGATGTCGATCAAGTGATCTAAGAAGCTGCCGTGTTTGTGCCAACACTCGCCGGCGCCGACGCTTTTGAGGACGGCGATCAAGGAAGGGAGCTTTGGGTCGATCTTCTCTAGCTCTCCTCGGAGAAAAGGCCTGGCTAGCTCCAGTACGTCGTCGTTTGGGGATGGAGATGATGATGAACCCATTTCTTTTTCCTCTTCTTTCTTGTTTATGATCTCTTCTCCAATATAAATCAGGATCAGTCTTTTTCTTTATTAGCTTAGCTCAGTCAGATTAAACATCACTTTATTAAACTAAAAAAAAGGATTGACTATTAATTAGTCAGTTAGTCAATGTTATATAATTTGTCTTTTACTTAAGAGCAAAAATGACACTGATGTTCCATTCATTAAAAAAAGTCGAAAATTTCAAACAATTCTCATGTTTGTGTTGTTAATCCGCAAAATCGTTTCTTACCTGATCATCGCTAAAGAAGATGACATTTAACAAGGATTCAAGATATTCAAGCATAGCAAGTCCTACAAAATTAGTTGTCTCTATGCAAGAAGATACGTCGAGTGTCACATAGTCCTGAGTTGATTGATCCCTGACTCGTGATCTTCAGTGAAATCAGTGACTCTATCGCCCACCAGATACCGATCATCGTATTCCAAACGGTGAATGTGAAGGAACAGATCGAGAGTGAGCTTGGCTACGAACCCTATGATGATGATGGCTAATAACACCGGCCATATGAGCCGCTGCACGGCTAGGTTGACCGCACCAGAAAATCCAAGCAATGGGAACAGAGAGTAGGCCACCAAGAAAGGGATCGCGAGTGTGGTTAGAAGAGTGACTACGATCGGACAAATGACATTTCCAAGCAGCCACGTCCCTGGAAGCCTGTTGATTCCGACACTTCTGATTCTCTCCAGCTTCTCCCTCCACGCCGCAGTTGCGAAACAGTTGACACGCGTGAACATAGTCTGTAACAAACAAAAGAAAAGGAGAAATCGAGATCTTTACTTGTTTCTCAAGAAATCGTCTTGATTAAAGAAAATCGAAAACCTTAAACATGTTTTATTTCTTACTAGACAGGTCCAGATGTGAAGGACAGCTAATCCGATCAACCAATCTTGGAGCAATGAATAAACCGGGGATTCGCTTAGTGGCACTTGCCATGGGATGATCAGCATAAGGTCGATAAGGAGACCAAGCAATGTTGGTATGACGGAGATCTGTTCATCAAATTTTTGCGGAGTTATACACTAAAGCGTTTTCCAATAACGTTGAAAAGGAAGATGAAGTTTTGAGTTTGCTTACCCAGATGGAGAACAGTAAGGCATTGCGTATCCACAACAGAACAAGGTTGAGAAGCAAATCGGTTCTTCCATTCATGATATGTTTATATATGAAGCAAGTCCCGATATAGCTTACTCGCAGGGTAAAGCATCCAATCCAGAATCCATAAAGATCTAAAATGATAATATTTGAAATGAGACACTTCATCATTAATTAAAAACATAACATGAAAACTGTCGTTTGCAATGAAGCCATATGAAGAAAAGTTATGAAGCAAGATGATGAAAGTTACAAACCGTCGTGTTTGATTCCGGTCATGATAAAAGAGATAGAGTGGAAGAAAGCCCTTCCCACTAGAAATGGCAAAGCCATGGAGATGGTACCAATGAGAAACAGGCTCAAAGCAGCTAGAACCACCATCAATCCGATCCTCAGTATTATAAACCTGCAACTTCATCAGTTTCTTAGAATTGAACAATTTATACTTGAACAAAATAAATCTTTCTTCTCTATCTGTTACCTATCATCGTCAATATCCTCTTCAAAAGTGGTATCGTTCTGAGATCCATAGAATCTGACTAGAGAGCCTTCAGCTACAGGAAACAATAGAGACCAACTATCACGAATCTCCAGGCCTTGTTGCAACAACGGTCCAACATTTTGGTTTGCATGGTTTTCGAGAAAGAACTCGCTCAATTGGAGCCAAGAACTGACAGTGATCATCCACTCTTGAACTATGGGTCCTATAGCTGGTTTGATAAGCTCGGCTAACCACTTGATAGCTCTTACATTCACTAACCAGTAATAACCAGACATTAAGAAAAACATATTAATCCTTTCTTCATTGATCCTGCATCATATTCATGCCATTCTATTAGTTTAAAAAAATTAAAATTTCGAAGTACCATAAAACTAGAAATGATACAAGGTAAGTAAAGGCACAAAGGAACTTACCAGAACTGAAGAGGGAAAAAAGAGGGGCTGATGAGAGAGATAGTCAGTATTGGCAAGTGAACCACAATCACTATCAATGATCCATGGAAAGCTAACGCAAAGAGAAGTTGGCCAAAGTACAGTTTAGTGATTTTGTAGTTGGGATCAGAGACATCTAGTAGAAACCAAAAAGGTCGTTTCTGAAACATCTGCCAAAAGAAAATTACGCTCTTAAATCTCATCAAAATAAAGCCCTTTCGGGATAAAAATAAAAGAAAACTAAACTGTATTACCTTCTGGATAAGCTCCATGGAATTGAAAACCATTAGCAAGCAAATTACTCCGAACATCCAATATAGGAACATCATGATGGGATAGTCTGAAATTAACTCAAGCCTCTGGGAAACTGTCGTTCCAAGTATAGGGAGTATGCAAAAATCTACCCAGGAGCCAAGTACCAAAGGCAAAACACCAAATTTCAAACACAAGATGAAACCATCCTTAACCAGATATAGATTGATCCACACTTTTACTGCGAAAATCCATAAGGCGTCTGCTACGATGAGAAATCCCAGTGATAATCTCTTGGCTATGGCTTGAACTGAGTCTCGATTAAGAGTAGCAAAACTTCCAAGATAAGCCAAGGAAAGTGAGAGCATAGTCATATATCCAACAAGGACCGGTTCTTGGACAAGTGGGTCTCCTTGGAAAAGAAGTAGGAGTGCGATGACAAGTTTCCCCATCATAAATGGAAGAAGAACGAAAAAGAATGAGGCATAAAAGCTGATGGCAAGAATCTGTAGAGAGATTAAAACAATTAAACATGGTAAAACATAAGGATAAAAAAAAAAACATTTCCAAATCCGGATAACTAAGAAACACAAAAAAACGAGAGAAAATCGGAGACTTACAGCAAATGCATTGTCATCAAGAAGGGAAAGAAACCTCCTGATTACTCCAAATCCACGATGAAGCTGTGGGTTTCGAGGACGAAACAATCGAGGTTCACCCAAAAACCCACGGCGTGAGAGATGGTCGTGCCACCAATCACACAGAGTCCCCATGTGTTTCAAAAACACACACAACGCAACAACAACTCCTCCTCCTCCACGTCCTCCTCCTAGGTCGCCAAATATCTCAAGGTTCAGTCCAAAGAGATCTCCTAGAATAAGCTTTAGAAGCACCATCATGGCCATAAGAGAGGCAATCAACACGTCGTACAAGAAGCCAGCCAAGAGAGAAGCGAATTTCTCAGAAACTCGGAAAACTCTCTGGTTATCAATCGCAGCTGCTCGGCCCCAAGGATGCAAGGAAAAGCAATAGGCGTTGAAGAGAATCACGAAAACATAAGCAGCGAGACGTGATGCTCTCTGTGACAGTCCTTTCAGAAACTCAAGGCATGTAAGCCTCTCTGGTGCGTTCTCAGAATAAACGGGGACGAAGGAGTAGCTACGCCTACATACCTGACGGAGAATTTGTAAAAACCAAACATGTATTGAATCTTCTAGAAACACAAGGTATAGAAACTCGATCGAAATCCACAGTATGACATTAACGCAAAAAAAAAAAAAAAACTATTTCGTTGCAAGGAGAAATATAAACCCAAAACAGAAATCAGGAAATATGAGAAAGAGAAAGAAACCTCGCACTGCTTGTATCCACGGAGGTTGAGCCAGAGAAGGAGACATTCCTGGTGAACATACTTGATAGAGCCTCGACACGCACACGGATACCTCAACGGGTTGTCTGGTCCCTCCGGTGATCGGCAAATCCGGCACAAATCTCCTCCGTCGTCGTCGTCATCGTCTTTGTCAGTTTCTTCTGCCGGAAGAGCTTGACTGACTTGGTTCTCCGCCGGAAAAACGTCCATATCCGGAATATCTCAAACGCTTCTCTCTCTCTCTTCACTCTCTCTCTCTCTCTCTTCACTCTCTCTACTCTCTGGTCACTTCTTCACTCTCAAAATGCTAAAGCTTAAAGAAGCAAATATATGTTAAATGAAATAAATGAAAAAGATAGCAGATGCCGTTTTTAAGATTCGTACTGGTTTTTGTTTGTTTCTGAGAGCCTAGAGCGGCCTGAGATGGAAAGTCACTTTCTTCTACTTTGCAACTACCAATTACCACAGTAAAACCGTAAAATTCAACTTTTATTCACAGTAATTATAACAAACTTTTTCTAGTTTCGCACGAGCTTTGATTTGGCCGTTTGTTTACTGGGACCCACCAAATTGGACTACGTGTTGACCAAAAGAAAAATCCTCCACACCCCGTAAGTATTTGCATTTTAAATTGGACTCAAAATACATTCAAATGCTAATCATTGTCTTAAGATGATGCATATCATAGATCCTATAATAACATTTTTGAAACTGCATATCCGTACTATTAAAATTAAAAACTATTCTAAACAGTAAACATTGACTTCTTATCAAAACATGACCAGGTTAATATTTAATCAAATGATTTATTCGGCAGACGATAACAGCTTTCCCCCTTTCTCAGATGATTTATTCGATGACCAAAATCCGAAAGAAAATGAATGATTAAAAAGCGCTTCGGCACAACCAGGTTATATATTTGAAGTTAGATATGGCGATAACATCCCATTTGTAACGATGTTTTAATTTATTTTAGAATTAATGACATCATCTTCACAACAACAACAAAAAGCATACGAGAAAAAATAGACAATCACGACGAGTAGACTCAAAAACTGCTAAAAACTATTACCAAAGTGTTGACTTTTGAATTTCACAAGGAAAATGTTACCTACAGGACAAAAATAATGGAAGTAAGTGAAACCCATCAGTAGATAATATTATATCTACATATAACCTTTTTGAGACTGAACATATTGCCAATGGTAGCAATGGCTTCATCATCATCATCATCATCATCATCATCATCACAGCGATGGAAGGGGGCAAATATAAACTGTCATCGTCGTTTTCATCAAAGGAAATAAGGAACTCCAGTCCTAGGCCCTCTCATTTGATTGTTCTCTTCGGTCTCTGTGAAGAACTTCACTTCCCTTTCCTGAGAAAACAACCATTTTCATCACTAAGCAATCGAGGAGATCCTATCCTTGACCAATGACAATGTATACCATGCATGAACAGAGAAGACTATATTAATCAATAGGAAAAGAGATATAGCTCACCATGTTGTCATTGAAACTCAAAATAGAAGCGACATTGCCGCAACGGTAGCAGTAATTAGGTGCAGACCATACCTTCACAGCAACAACAAAATTACAAATCACACAATGATCAGCAAGCAGAAGTACTACTTAATAATATGCAGCATAAATTGTCTGGAGTCATAAGAAGCAGAAGACTCACAGTTACAAGGCCTTTATCTTGGAACATGTACTTAAGTCCTTCTTGTACAAGCTGGTGCGCACGGCATACTAGATCAAGCTTGTTTATATGGTTAAACTGCACAAAAAGCCAAAAACCAATATCAGAGACGTTATATACAATTTAATAATTACAGTATTAACTCACCTATGCAATAAGAAAAACACACCTCAGTGGTAACCCTTGATCCAAAAAGCCAACCAGCTCCACGTGGACTAACAGCCCATGTTTCAATATCTTCAGGATCGCTCCACATAAGATCGCAAAAGGGCCCTTCATGAGGAATTTCACAATTTCGCTCGATCAGTCTTATCTAGAGCCCACAATAAGATCTAAAGTAAGTGGATGACCTTAATAACATGCTGAACCAGAAACACACCAAACGCAATAAAAGCAGATTTAACCTGGTCAATAGTTCGGACATCAGGGGAAAGGCCACCATGAACACATAGTACCTATAAAAAATATATATGATGTTAGTATATTATACAGCTGACATATGCGTTCTCGTTAACAACCCGGGTTGCTGAAGAAATTACTTACTGTGCCATCTATAATAGCTGACAGGGTAAGATAATCAAAAACATCTGTGCAATATCGCCACGCATTAGCGTTACCATACTTCCTCTGGCATTCGTCATAGAAACCGTATACCTGCAAAACACAAAATTGGGATCAGAATCTGAACACTATAAATGACATACTAAATGTGCCTTCAAGTGGCACCAAACACCTCACTAGATTGTAATATGAAAGTAAAACCAGAATCATATATCTTCATTGGAACCAATACAAGACGGAGAGCTGGATAACAGTAACCAATAACAATACTTCATCCAGCTCTTGAAATTGTTTACATTTAACCAACTTTTTAAGACTTATCACCACCATGTACTTTTGATAATATTTTCTGCAGATTCGAGGAATACACATTTCATTGCACCAAGAGGTACGCTCGTAAGCTTTATTTTAATGAATGTTGCCAGGCGTGCATTGAAACAAAAAAGTTATCTCTAAAACTTTCTTCCCTAACAGCGCATGTATCAACCAAGAGATACAACAATGTAGTGATGAAAATACAACAAGAGCGCTAAGGAGACCACACATGCTAATAAGAAGACTGGCACTATATAAAGAACCTTTTGAAATTAGCTTTCCAATACTCGATTCACATAAAATGCATCTTAGCTAACATCCATGTCTACGTCTGACATGGAATTGCAACATGTACAAAATCAGAACTTTTTCAAAAACCTGCTATAACAACGAGAAGATAATCAAAATTACTTACCTCCTAGGAAGTGCGAGAAGAAAACAATAATAGATATAGTGACAGAATAATGCATACCTGCGTTAGCTGCCTACTTTCATGATTCCCACGCAGAAGTGTGATGTTGGCTGGATGTCTACAAATTACAATACAATAGAAAAAGAAAAGAAAAAACAATTTAATGCCCCAAATGGAGAAGATACTTTCAGAATAGCAATGGAGTTTACACCTAAATAGCATTCTCAAGTAATGTGTATATATATATTGAAAGAACACAAAAGTCGCTTGGTATCTTTCCAAAATCTAACAACAGAGAAACATGAGATTCTTGAGAAGCAATCACTTCCTCGTTTGAACCAATTTCCAAGAAAGTTTAATAACTGGCACAAACAACAGCATATTAAAGGCAAGATAACAGGGATCTTGGGAGCATTTATGAAACACTTTACCTAGCTTTAAGAAGCAAAAGAATAGTGAAGACTTCAAGGCTGTTGTAGCCTCTATCCACGAAGTCCCCCTGCGAATTTCCCCATAGCAGATCATGATTGTATTCATACTGAATGTGTCATACCAGAGACACAGGAAAAAGAAGAGGTCGATACCATAAATATGTAGTTTGTCTCGGGAACATGACCTCCGGTCTGAAAAAGTTTCATTAGATCATGAAACTGGCCATGGATATCACCACAGACGGTGACTGGACTGTTGACAGGCTGTACGTTCGACTCCTCAATCAGAATTTCTTTCACCTGTAACATTATAACCATATCAGATAAATCTTCTGGGTTCTTATGAATAATCAGTCATCTTCTGGCAAATCTATGATAAATCACCGTAAAAGAATGCAATGATTGCCATGACAATCAATCACTGAGAAATGAAAGCAAAAAGTATATCCGAATTACAAATTGACTCTATAGAACTTGTTTGTACATACATGATTGAAAAGAAAGAAAAACCCTAAATCCAGGAACCAAAATGACACGATCAGAGAGTAGAGACCAGATTCGAAGTCGCAACCCGCCAAGATACACAGATAAACCAAGTAAAGAGCAGCAGAAGAAGCTCTAAGCCTCGATCGATTAAGAAAAGAAATGGGTTTGCAGGGGCATTAATCCATTCAGAAGAGAAAGCAAGTAAGGAGAAGAAGAGGGCGTACGTATTCGCAGAGAAGCTGAAGCTCGTCCTCGGAAAGATGCTGACCGTCTTTAACCTTCGCAATCCATTGATCCAAATCCATAACTCTGACTCTCTATGTACCTCTGCCTAGTACAAAACCCCGCTTCTTTCGTTCGATTTCAATAGCGACTTTTTACAATTTTCTCTGGGGAAGAAAAAGTCGAATCAAGATAGATCTACCAGAGAAATCTCCGACTTCGTTAGGGTTACGTAAGAGGAGGAGATGAAAGAGAGAATGAGAGGTTCGAGTTCCACAAAATGACATACGGGGAAGAAAAGAAAACAAAAAGCAAAAAAAAAAAGATCTCAACCCAATTCCCAGATCGCTTCTCCGCCGCTTCAAACGCAAATCACACGTTCGCGTTTGGATTTTTAAGCAAACGCAATTGCTGGTGAACCAGCGTCTCATGGTAAAATTGCGATGTTATCCCTAGTAATTCTTTAAAATTACGAAAAGAGCAAAATACTTTACGATTGGTGTCTCAATAGCCCAAATTCCAAAACAAAGGATGTCACTTTCTTGAATCTTCATTCTCCTAAATGTACAAAATCCAACCATTTACAAGGGAAGAATCAATCTTTTTAACTGTAACAAATAGTCTATATACCCAATCCAAACCAAAAGAATCATCAATCAGTATCTTTCTTTTATCTTCTCTGTATAGAGTTTAAAAAATGACCCCAAAAAGAAGTTAGCAACAACAACACTTGTGGAAGTCGCTATGAAGAATGTTTGCAGCAAGCAAGAACACAATTGTTCATGAAATGGTTGAGCTCAGCTGTATAGAGATCTGGGTTACTCCTGAAATGGTCTACATGAGGTGAAGATATGAAGTTGCGGGCTCGGACCTCGTGTCCCGCTTTCCTCTGCTCTACAATGAATGATTCAACTTGTCCCACGGGTATAACTCTATCTGCAGAACTGTAAATGTATAGCTGAGGACATCTTGGTTGTGCTGATGATAATGTGTCTACAACATCAGCTAGTCTCCTGTAATCATATAATAACGTGAGTTTGTTAAATGTGAATCATTGGATTTGGGTGATGAAAGGTGGATTTTTTGGCTTAGTGTGTGTGAGCTTTTTTACCTGTTTACTTTGGGAAGATTTAGTATCACCGAGAAGAACTTTTCGAGAACCAAAAGCAAAGCTGTTTCTGTTGCAGCAGGTTTAGGCTCTGAGAAACTTATCTCGTTGATCCGTGCTCCCATGTTTGACTCACATGATGAGCTTGTATATCCTTTAGTGGCTACGCTGTTTTTCTTCAAGAACGCAGCTGAGAAACCTGATGCCCATACCTGTTTTTTACAAGCCAAATTAGTATCCTGAATGTTCAGTCGAATAGTGCAGAAATCTGTGATAGCACCCACTCAGTGAGTATTCAAGCCTAAAGATTTAGCACAAGTCAAGTCCCCAAATATATCTTCTTTGAAGGCTAAATAAAAAACTATCAATGCAAGAACCATCGCTTACCGTAGGATCTGCAGCAGCGACAGGAGCTGAGTCTACTATGCAACCTTTAACCCTTCCCATCAATGATGAATCTTGCTTCTGAAACTTTTCCAAAATGGCTCCATATCTGTAATATGGAATATTCACTGAGTGAAATGTGAAACCGCCATGTAAACACATAAAGAAACTGGAGATATAAAACTCACGTTAACCATCCGGTGTTGCTGAAGGTGTGAAAGACGAGATTTTTCTGTTGCTCTTCATCCAACCAATCAGCCAAGTGATTAACCAGCGACTCGATGTTCTTCTCTGCTTTCCCTCCAACTTGATAGCTCATAACCTCATTCATGGGAAGAGTAAATGTGATGACATGGTAACCCCTTGAAGTATACCAATCTGCATATTTCTTCAGATGCTTCTGCTTCGATCCAAGCCATCCAAGCAAAACCACAACAGTTCTATTCTTTTCAGAGGCACAACTCGAGGAACTAGACAGATCGATTGCATTAGTCTCAGGCAAATGCCACCTGTAGGAAACATCAGGAACAACAAGCGAGGCCCCAACTGTGAATGCCACTGGTTTTGATGCCTTAGCCAATTCTGCAGACTGATAAACGCTACGAAGAGCGGACAAAGAAGTAACAAAAGGAGCAAGATTACAGCTCGGATTAGGAGCTAGGAGATCAACATTTGGCACAGGAACACGAATCCTCGACACAAAAGATAGATTAGCGAGCTTGGAGGACGGGATTTGAGAAACCCACAAGGACCTTTCGTCCTGAACTGAACCGGACACTGAAGCAACAATCTGCTCTGATTCAGAACCTCGAACTAGTGATCTAAGAGACGAGAACTTATCAGAGACATCAGCAGACACAGAAGCGGCAATAACAGCAGCAGCAGCAACAAGTGGCCGTTGAATAATCCCAGACAAAGAACCCATGATGGCCACAACCTAATCCAATAGACTCCAAATCTAGCATACCAATCTCATTTCAGTGGTAACGAGTCCTGTTATATAAGAAGAGATGGTTGTGTAAATATGTATAAAGACACACACACATGTTAAAAACGCGTGTAAAGACTCCACGTTTTTTGGGACATGCTGTAAATTACCTGGAAGCTTCATTTGGTTCTTCTAACTCGGGCTGTCAAAATTTGACAGCCCGACCTCAATGGACTAATTAGTTGTCAGAGTCTAATCTCTCTCTCTCTTTACACACGCTCCTCTGCAAGAAATCGTTTCAAGTTGAAAAACATGTATTTTAAATCAAACAGTTTGAAGCTAAATACTAAAAGCAAAGATTTCCTATGATGTTGACACAGGGAAAAAGAAAAAAAAAAAAGACTTTTCTTTTCTCTTCTTTTTTTTCTCTCTCTCTAAAACCACGAGGATCCCACCTCCAACAATGAACAAAAATAATAATTTTTTTGATGGAATGATTTCTTCTCTGCCCCCCCCCCCCAGATATTCTGGAGAAAAAAACGATGAACATTGAAAAATATTTCCCAAAAATTAACAACAGAGCAAAATTGCACAAAGAGACGGTGGAGAAATTGTTTCCCCAATAGTTGCAAAGGACCCAAACCCACCACGAGAATTTCCCAAATCAATCGCATAGATCTCTCTCGAAAAGGAATGGAACACGACGTGATGATGACGACAAGCCCATTCTACGGGCGAGAAGCGTTGACCAGCACAAGTATAAATCGACGGAAACCAAAAAAAGTAATCATTTCTTTTGCACCGGAATTCGAAACCACTGATAAATTTTTGGGTGTGATAAAAACAAAATCCGAATTTCATAAGATTAACCAATGTAAAATTGAAGAAGCTGAGAGACAGAAAAGGAAAAAACGAGATGATGATGGAACGAGGAAGAGTAATTATGTGAATCAGAGAGAAAGGAGAGAAAAAAAAAAGAACTCACCACAGAGAGAGACGGAGAGAGGGAAAAGATGGAGATGAACAAAAGATTTGTTTGTCTTTGTTTAGGGCAATGAGGAAGGTCAAGTTATGGTCCAAAAAAAAGAATTGATTAATCTTACATATATACCGCCTTCAAATAGACTATTTATATGCAAAACCGAACCACAGTAAGAAAACTATTTAGTTATTCTTAAAAACAAATTATGTGTCGGAAAATGAAAAGTTATTTTTTTATTGAGGAGATAATTGTATCTATCCTACATTCTTCAAAAAAAAATTCATTAGATGTGGCTTTGCCTTTGAGTAACTTTATTTTAACAAGAGAAATACCCTTACAAAAACCGTGAGAATCATACCCACTAGGACGTGGAACATAAACATTTTGGAGAGTTCTTTTCTTCTTTTAATAAACGAACCATCTTGTGGTTGACAACACAGGTATGGGCGGTGGAAAGAAGTGCATAATTATTTGTATCTTTTTTTCTTCTTTTCTTTTTAAGAATATGAAATAATCATGCCCTTCTTTCAATTTATGTCAATTTTTACGTAAAAGAATATTCGATTTGGATATCCAATTAGAAAAATTTGAATGGAATCTTGGTTTTACATTACGCCAAGTTGTCCCCACCACCATTTCATCATTTTCTTCCTTGCTTTTTGGAAGTTCAAGAATGGAATGGTTTATATTTTCTTAATCCGGCCAAAGTGTACTTGGATTCGTCTTAATCCTCTCCTCCAGGGTTACTTTCTTTATTTGAATTACATACTTTTCTTCTGATTCTAAAAAAAAACATTTTTAAACGATCCTCGAATCAAGCATTGAACTATAATGCATTTAATGCCAAAACAAAGGGATTTTGAGTTCTGAAGTGCTATACATTCTGTTTAAATTTTATAATTTTATTTTCCAAAATAATGTGAAGGCTCTTTTAAAGTAAATGTCTTCGTGTTTTGCCAATTTGCACGTCAAGAGATCTATTTTACCCGTTGCTTAAGCAAAAACACCACAAACTTAACTTAGCTTTGGATGATTATATTTAAAAACTACTCCAGAAACGAAGAAATTTACAAACTGAAGTAATAGTTTGTATGATGATAGAATAGAATCCTTCACATTGAGAGGCAAATATGTGTATTGTTTCAAGAACACCATCAACTACTTATCTTCACCATATATAAAAAAACCCGTCAAATCCTTAAATGGCAAACGACCAATGTTTGCCTGTAAGAATTATAGTCTTCTCTTCCATGAGAATCAATACCTGGTGCTATTTCTCCTTCCCCACCACTTCCTCTTCACCTTCTCCATCGAACCACTGCCCTCTTCGCTCCCAAGCTTGCTCAGTATCAGCTTCGTTTCCCGTAATCTCCCTCCATAATCTTTTTTCCACGTCTCAAACATCTGTTTCAGCCTCCTCAGCTCTCGGTCTGGATTCAAGTTTGCTTCCACCTGACCAGACTTCACTTCCACCAAGAACTTGGCGTCATCACCAAACACTTGAGCTCTCTGTTCGAATTCCTCTGCTAACCTCCCAATCACGCTAAGACCAGCACTCATAGGTTGTTGTTGTCTAGACCCTCCTCCATTGCTCGTCTGGCTCCTGAAATGATTACTGCTTGAATCCCAATCTGTTGCGTCGCTTGCATTGACCGATGCATCAGAGTTTCTCGCCGAGTCCTCGACCGCTAGGCTTTTCTTTGCTATGGAAAGACTGGATTGCAACGACCGCATTTGCTTTTGCCAGATTTCTTCCATTGATTTCATCTTTGTCTCGTATTCTGACCACCGGTTCTCATACTGTTGAAGCCTCTGTTGAAGAATGTCGTTCTCCTCTTCTTTCTCACGCAGAGCAGCTTCAGCTTTAAGAACCCTGCGTTGAAGCTCCGAAAGTACCGTTGCCTTCACTAGCACCTCGCCTGCCTCATTTGTCTGCGTAGTCGAAGCAACAAAAAAAAACAGATCACATAAATGAGATGAAAGAAAATAAAATAGATACTGTGAAAGGATATGACTGTGATTAGTTACCTTAGTGCCTTCAGATTTTAGCCATCCAATATCCCCTGAGCATCTCCTAACCAACCAGCCACGAATTGCTGCAAAAGGATTACAATAATTCAGTGTCAAAGATGAAAATTTGCTTGAGAACATCTGAAAAGTACAACAAACCCTTTTACCTGTTTGTATCACAACCGATGCGTCGGTTATGCCCTTATACTGTTGCCTAGCAATCTTGCTTTTAACTTGGCTTTGTATAGTAGCAGCAGCCCTATGCCTCCTTCGTAACTCGGCAAACTCTTTTCTTATTCTCTCTCCACGAATAACTGTAGAAAAAGAGGTGGGAAGAAGCCATATATCAGGTCATGCTCAAATCATCTCCAATTACAAAGAGATTAAGAAACCAAGGTAATGAACTGAGACAAGAGAGTTTTACATGTCTGAAGAACTGAAATTCCCATTTTAAGCTCCTTCAAGCGACGACGTGCTTGGTATCCTCTAAAAGAGCTTTGGACACGTAAGATTCCATGGAGAGTACGGTTCCTTGTATCTTCAAGAACCCCAATCTGCAATGAACATGAGACTTTTATCCATGCCCATTCTAAAAGAAAGACTTTGACATCAGACGACTAGCTATTTATACCTGGCCAGTTCTGAAAAACAATTTTGTGTAGCCAACTTGATACATCTCTGGCAAGATGTTAAACTGATGGAGAATTGCAACTGAAACACTTAGAGGATCTTTATCAGCAATGTTCTCCACCAGAAGGAAACCATACCTGCAAATATCATCAGAAATCAAAAATGGTTACAACATAAAAAGAAAAAAGGCCTGTAAGGTCCCTTGCAAAACTACTAAATGATGGATGACGTTGTCACCTTCGGGCAAATTTTTGATGAGACATTCTTGTAGGAAATCCAGAACGTGAAATTCGAACCACTTCTAGGACCCCACAACATCTTAGCTGCTGTAAGACAAGCCCTTGCTCATACAACCCAGGAGACTGAAGGTTATTTGGCTTTATGCAGCGAATGAAATGCGGGGTAGTGTTCCCTAAACGTTGCATCAATTGGAAGAGTTGACCCTGGAAAAAAGTACCTGGTTAATTATCAAATATCATAGACGATGAGATGTTTTCTCTTTTTGTAAAGTGGACGCAGAAGCTATTTGGATAAGAAAGGGGCATCAAGTGGTTAACTGAGCAAATATTGGTTTTCTTGAAATAAAACACAATTACTGCAACAAGCTTTGAATATCTAAAAGTGGTATTTATTGCCATCACATCTATGAAGATAATGAGCTTTAAGTAAGCAGGGTAACCAAAACTGAAGCAACATCTTTAAGGCCAAAACACCCTACCTTAAATTTAGTAGCTACACTCAACCGCTGGGAATCAGCACCACCTGCTTTGTATAAAGGACCGACGACAGGTTTTTCCGATTGGATAAGCATGCTAGAAGCAAATACTTGAGGAAGGTGGCAGGAACAAGAGGACAAAAGTTGAATAGAATCCAAATGCAACAAGTCTCTGTTCTTCTCTAGAAATCCAGTTGTATCATATGTAACCTGATTCAAAAAAAAGCAAGCTGTCAAGAAGCATTCATGACCGAGACTAGGTTTATGTTTGCAACGTATATCTCCAAGAGATCCCACAGACCCGATTATTAAATGCCTTTCTATTGCTGGAATGCCCTGCAAATTGGTGTCACTGAGGTTTAAGAGCTATTACCTCTCCTGCATAATGCTCAACTGTGAAAAGCTTCTCTCGATCTCCTCTGAAACATGAATTAGAGTGTAGATGCTGTTTTAGCTTGTTTGCAAGTGTCAAATCTGTGCCATTCGGGAATGTAGATTCCTCGTCCAAAAGAGAGAGCAACCCCAATGGTTTCTGCACAGACATTGAGACTTAAATGCTTAAAAGACAAGTTTCAGACTAAAAGTAAGCATTTCCCCAAAATGAAGTACGGTTCTACTATTAGGGTGTCCATCTCGCTTCCTTATCTATTTTCTTCTTATTATCTACCTTTTCAAAGAGACTAAGACAATGTTGGTTGTCCTCAAAATCAACCCTTGTCCAGTCAATGCCATCCTGGATATATTCCTGAAAAAGTTTGAAAGAAATATTAACACCTTGGACTGGAGGTTTTAGATTCTAGTGCTATGTGAATGCATTATCGAGTAGATTTACTACATGAACTCGTAATGTTCAATCAGAAAGGGAAAACTTTACCTCTTGCTCCAGCTTGAATAGATGACGGTTAAAGTGTTGCTGCAATCTCTCATTTGCATAATTTATACAGAACTGCTCAAAGCTATTTTTCTGCAGAATGTAAAGCAATAAGACAAAAATAAATTCCCCTTAGGTCCTTACCACTATTTCAACTACAGTCACCAATTCATTTGCCAAAAAGATTCTAAAGTTTCTATAGTTGTCACTATTTAGGGATGTAATTGCAAACTGAAGGCCAGATAGCAACTGTAACTTTGAACAGAGAGACAGAACAGAAGTATACATCAAATGATTCGAAGCCGTAGATATCAAGAATGCTGATGGATCTGCCGGTTCGCCTCTTTCCCACTGCAAGAGATTTGTTGATCTGTTCAACCAGCCAGTCAAACAGGCACGAATAAATAGATTTTGCTAAAGCATCTCTTGCATCAATGGCCTGAAAGCAAATATCAGCAAACAAAAAATGTCAAGTAATGCAAGAATTTTTGCGATACCAAAACTGAGCAAAGAAAGAAAAAGAATCTATATTTTTGGGGGGATTAAAGTCTATGGTGAGAGTTGATGCCAAACAAGATTGAAAGCTTTGTCTCCAAATAAATGTGAAGCGTAGTTACTCATAACGCAAATGAAATATATGCAGTAAACGATGCAGAAAACTTCCAACCTGTCATTCTACTAGTTACCTCTCTATATTGACCCTACAAAGCCTACTTCAACTTTGATTATACACAAAAATGCAAGCAGTTCTCGTGAAATATACCTGCGGTAGAGTTAGCTTCTGCACAATGGTATCTTTTCCAACCCTCATGTTACGTTTCGATAAACTTAGCTTAAGCTCATTGATGTTGCACCCAATCAATTTAGCAACAGTTGACAAACCTGAAAATAACAAATACAGCACGCAAGTAAGTCTCTCTGTAAGATGAGACATATGAATTAAGCAGCAAACGCTCATACTTCCAACGCCAAAGACCCAAGAGAATGAAAGAGAAAACTTCAGAGACGACGCTCACAAAAGAAATCAGTAAGTCAACAACATAAAAAGGCTTAGTGAAATGCAGATTCAACGTTCATGGACACAAAAGAGAGAAACATTTTAACTAAACTAAAGTAGGCATCCCTAGTAACGGACTGAAGAGGCTTACTTTCATCTGCTACAGGTTCAACATGGTTTTCATTGTCAATTACGGTGAAGGAAACATTCCCCAGCCATAATACTGCAGCAAGCATCGCGAATACACTTTCTTGATCTTCTTTACTAACATGAACAATGTCCAGAGCTTCCTGTAACAACAAAGAGTTTTTAAGTCAATAGAGAGAAATAAAGGTCTGAAATGAGTAGATAAAAAGAATAAGAAAGCATCTCATTGAAAAAGATATGTACCTTAACAGTATGAAAACGTTCAGCATCATCAACTCCATTGATTGAATAACAATTACTCTGTCCCAAATATTTATACTCATCTGCGCTTGTCAGATTTAGCTTCTCTGCGTATAAATGACGAATGGAAGAAAAAATGCACATATATAAATAAATTTCCACGAGATACGACAACTAACTCAAAAGTGATAGTTGACGCAATTTTATTTTACTTATGGAAGATGCAGCGAAGATATCTTAAGCACACAAAAGTTTATCCAAGTCTATCAAAATTTAATCCTAAAACCTACACAAGACAATTTACAGACTTGATCACGGCGATCAACAACTAGGTCAGAAGGTTTTTAAAGAGTGATTGCTATAGCTGTCAAGAAAAATGTGTATTCTTCTCTTTAAATCTCCTTTATAAGACTCCTTATTTTTTCTAACCATACCTCTGAGTTCAGATGAAGCCCCAGCACAAAGTTGATAAAAGATATGATATGACCTTTCCCCTTCAGCACATTGGACCACTCTAGACTGTTAAAATGTGTCAACGTACAAAGAAAAAATGTCAATGTTAATGAATCATGTTTAGAAAGGAAAGAAATCAAGTAGGGAAGATCATCTAAAAGAATCTACCTTTTCTAGTAAAACTGCAAAAATCGAAGAACAGGCAAAAGAAAAAAAGCTAAGTTAGCTTTGTAAAGGAAAATGAATAAACAATGTGAAGTATAGCGATCGTGAGTTTTACACTTACAGGTTTGAACTTGAGCACCCGATATCTTTCCACTTTCACTGAAATGAATCTCTATCAGCTTCCCCTGTAAATTTTAATATCAAAACAACAACGTGAGACATACGAGGACCTCAAAATTTCAACAACATAGCAGAAGAGAATCAAGATGTACAAATGCACAATGATGAAGGGCTTACAAAACGACTAGAGTTATCATTTCTCAATGTTTTTGCATTTCCAAATGCTTCCAAGATGGGATTAGTCTTAAGTATCTCATATTCGATCCCGCTTCCACCTCCAAGAGCGGCCAAGTATTGCATAGCTATCTTAGCTGTCTCGGTTTTCCCTGCTCCACTCTCGCCGCTGGATGAGAAATAGAATCTTGTGATAAGAATACACCACAAAATAGACAAACTGGAAGCATTACTTCATTCAACAGATCCACTAGTCCCAGTGTGTCATAACTCATAACTAATGCATCTTTGTAAGTCATGAAAACTGATACATTCTAGGCAAAATATTTTCCCTCATGTGAAATCCAATAAGGGTGAAACTGTGCAAAAACTCAGGATTAAAGAGGACACTTTACTAACCTGATGATGATCGATTGGTTAACTTCATCTGTATTGGAAAAGATAAAATGGTGTGAGAATTGACAAGTTTTTCTGGCTCATGAGAATTGCACTGTTAACGTTCCATAATTAACAAACAATAAACAATGATCCCACCGCGTATCATTTCGCGAATTGCTGTATCTGCAATTGCATAGACATGAGGACTTTCATTTGATCTCTTCCTGTATGCTTCAACGTAGCGATTTCCGTATAAAGGAACCTCCTTGAAAGGATTCACAGCCACCAAAACTGGCCCTGCTTTTGTCTACCACCACAAAAGCAAAAAGGTTAGAAAAACAATAATAAATGCTGAGATTCCGGGGAAAGACTATTAACCTGATGAACAAAAGAAATATCAAAACAAAAGACTTACATATATCATATCTTGGTTGTACCTATAGTTGAGGTTGTACAACACTGATGGCTCATTTAAGTAACTTAGTTGCATAAGATCGTCCACTCCATCAAGAATATCCGGATTTGCAGGTACTAGAGTCTCTGATATGACTTTTATAACCTGTTCAAATCAAATACGGAGGTAGTATCTGATCAAACACTTGAAATAGTAACCCATGCCTACCTTAAGAAACAAATAAAACTCACTTACTTTTCCCTCAGGCAAAGAAATAACAGACTCCTCTCCTGAAGTTGACAATATCTTCCCGAGCTCCCAGTTACCATTTGGAAGTTGAAACCAAGATTGCAGTATCTAAAGTTGGAAAAACTGTCAAAATTTCATCCCATATACCTAAAACTCTAGAAGCAATAAGTTTGTTCTCAATTTAGCTAGAAATCCACCTTCTTCCGAGCATATGCACTAGTGTCACTCCACCTGCGTTCATCACTCTGAGGCAAGGGCATTGTAGCAGAACCAGGATCCACATCATCGGTTAAAGACTGCTCTTCAACGGATACACAGTGCCTGCTATATGGTGAATCCTCACTATCTCCAGCAGTAGCATTATCACTTGGACTAACACCATTCCTTAAGCCACCTTTTCTCGGAATACTCGAATTGGTCAAGCCAACACTTGAGCCAGAAGAACTTTCAAGGCGATCAGAGACTGGTGAACCATCAAATCTATAATCTGCCGGCAAAGATTTAAGTGACTGCATGGATGGAGTCACCTTGTGTGACATTTTTTCCTGCGAGAAAGAAGGAAGCTAACAAGCTCAATTTGAAGTGTTGAAGAAAATAAAGAAAACAATCTACTCAAAAGAAGATGATCTATTTTCGTGTTTCCATCAAGCTTTAGAAGAAGAACCCCACTCAAAAGACCTATCTAGTTTTGTTAACATAATGGCGGGGACCATACTTTAGGACATAGACCGAAATGCTCTTTCTCGATCTTCAGTCACTGTTTTCATGTCCGTCAATTTTTGAATGTTAGGCCAATCTCTGAATAAGCTAGACTCGTATCCGAAGACCTCATGAATACATTCACCAAAGTTCGACATTTTCATTAAAGAAGTTGACGAAATCTTGAGAAGAAGATTATTAAAAAGACTGACATCAAAATAAACAAAGGAAAAAACAATTAAAATCTAAGGCAACTCTGGTTGTTGACATTTAAAAGCTTTCTTGCTGAAGATTAATAACTACGACCAAGAAACTTTCAACAATCAAATTGATCTGATTGACAAAAAAAAAAAAACTCAAATCTTGAGATAGAAAGACTCACTAGATAGAAACCAACCAGAAGAAAAAGACGAAATTTCAGCAGAAAATATTGAATAGAAACACACACAAACAAAGCCGAAGTTTTTCAAATTTCTTCGATTTAAGACCAATTATGACTCCAAGACCCTTTAAATACCTTCCAAAATTAGATGCTAAGCAGAAGCCGACACCAACCTTCAAGAGAAAACTTCAGATTCTCAGAGAAAAAACTGATTTTTTCTTGAAGATAGATCTCAGACACGGAAAATCGACCACACAGAAGAAACTTCTGATTCTGTAAACTCCGGAAATGAGAGAAAAATGGTAAGAATAGTGACGAAAATGCCGTGGAAGTGAAAAGGGATAAAGAGCATATATCCCCCCAAGTAAAAATGGAGCCTGCTTAAGAGATGTGAGTGTACTGAGTAATTTTTGGAGAGAATATCGCAAAAAGTGCGAGTGAAGAAGATGCAGCTTTTTCTCTGCTTCACAAGAAAAAAAAAAAAGGAAGCAAGAAAATGAAAAGAAAACTGCTGTTCATTTTAGAGCCTTTATTTCGATTATATTTTTTTTCCTTTTTTTTCTCTGCCTTTGGACTCAGAAGAATTACAGTTATATTTTTGTAATTTAAAAAAAAAACAAAAATTATCCGACAATTTTGAATGTCTTTGGTTTTTGCCACCAACTGAATTTTGAAAAGATGAATTTTCAGCACCTCACGTGGTTTTGAAATGACGATTACGTCCTCGTTGTGTTTTTTCTTAACCGATGTTTTCTTTCGTTTCAAATTTAACCATCATCAAATAGATTTTTAATGCTGTTAGTTTTCTTCTTTAAATGTTCTTAATTCGAATTTTAAACGTTGACAAAACAAGAATGTTTCTGATTCGAATTATACATACAGTCATCATCAGTGACGTGCTTAGACTCATCGAGGCTTTAGGCAAATTGGAAAAATATGGCATTTATTTTTATAAATACTCCCTCTGTTCAGAATTAGTTGATGTTTAAGGTTTTTGCACACAGATTAAGGATGCATTTAATATTTATTTTTTCTACACTAAAAAATTATCTATAATTCATTTAAATATTATTCAGCCAATAAAAAAACAATTTGCAGAATATAAAAAGTCAAAAACAATAAAAATTCATTAAATTTTACATTGAAAAGTGAGAACATCAAATAATTCTGAAAAAAAAAACCTCATAAAACATCAAATAATTCTGAACAGAGGGAGTATTAAAAAATAATATTGTCATTAAACACACAATACTACTATTTTAACATATTTTTTATTTTCTATCATATATTATTATAATATTTGTTAATATATGTGGATCCATATCTATAAAAATGAAAGATATCAATAACAATATTATTGTTATAGAGTTTTCAAAAGAATATTCTAATCATATTTACCAAATTATATATAAAAAAGTTTAGCTAAAAAAAAATGTGGCCTTCTTATTTCTTTAATTCTGGTGTGGCTTTAGACAGGTGCCTAATTTTTAACACTATAGGCACGGCTCTGGTCATCATTGAATTGTGAGAAAACATTTGAAAATTGCGGGGTTTTATGTTTAAGTCTTGTGAAGACTCGCAAATTAAAGAATGGCAAATATAGGACATATATGTGTAGGTGTAGGGTGAAGTAGTTCATGTGACTACAATACGTGTGGGTCTTTTTTATTTATTCGTGTAATTATTAACTTCGAATTTTGTTAGCGTTTAGTTGTCAATATAGAATGTGCACTATTCTTTTTCATACGACTATGTCAATGAATATCAGTTTTCACAACACATAGAACTGGTTTAATGATGTTCTCGTTGAGAACAAATAGATAAATCCAGCTCTACCAAGTTGCTATCTCGGCCAACGAAATATCAAGAAGCGCATATTAAAGAGCAAGAAATAAGAGAGTAGAATCGGTCCATATGTTTCTATCACACTTTGAAAAAGATAACAAAATTGGACTACGAAATACAAAATATTAAATTTCATTTTTTGTATACGTAAGTCAACCATAAATTAATTAATAAGATGGAAGCATTCGTTTTAATAGAAAGGGTACAAACATCCTTTCAAGTTTCAAAAGTCACATACACTACAGAGTTATTTATGGCAAGTCACAATTGAAATGTACAAATATATCAAACTATTTGTTTTGTGAACCCAACAATATCCATTATGCTAAATTGGGATTAGGGTGGTAACACAATCACGACATTAACACAAACAATTTAGCTATATATGATAGTCAAATAAGATTATATAATATTTTTGTGCGTCTCTACCTAACCAAAAATCTCAATAACACTAACACTTTTTTTTTAAGTACATGCATGTCTCTTTGTTATATATACACACTACTAGCTAGATTATGTTCCAAATCAGTTTATAGATAATTGAAGTCAATTCTACACATTGGCCTACGAAATCTTGATCCACATACTTCACTGAATTCCACGAATATTGTTACTTTTTCGTATAGGAAAACATGTTCCGACCATGTGATTAAGTGTGCCTTCCGAAATCATTTTATTTTGTCTAACGTCGACGACAATATATATAATGACACTTAGCGATATAGAAAATCGTGATTGCGAAGTTGCTGTTATGTGTAAATATCCCAAACCCATTTTCAGTTTCTGATACTCACCCAAAAATATATTTCGAAAAATAAGATAAAAATTGAATTCATATGATGAAATCATGAAAAGGTCAAAAAGGACTTGAAATACATCACTGAGGGATATATTGTTGAGTGATCAGTTATGTCTTTTTTAGATATGTATTATCAGCTTTGTTTGCCACTTTCTACGTTTCTTCATGTCCCATCTTTATCTATGTTTAGATTTCATGTCCGAATCAAGATTGGGTTTGGTTGGGGTCAATCCAAAGCTGATTATGGAGATATAATATGATCCTCAAAGTGCTTAATTTCTTCGTGCGGATTATACGCCGGGAAAAACAAAATCTATCATTGTCCAATTTGGCTGTGGCCACTAATACATTGAAACGTGGTTATGGAACGCCAATGCGTCTTCCTTACATATAAGAATAGGATTAGACATATAACTTAGAATTAGACAATTACAATGATTGGAATCAACTAAAGATATTATTTCTTCTTTATCGCATATGATCAAATTAAATCATGTAAGCTTTGATCAAGATACCTGAATTTACTAAATTTTTCGGTCGTGACTGCATGTGTGATCAGTAAGCCGCTCAATCTACAGAGATGTCAATAACATACCACAAACCGACTGAATTTGATTGAATAGTAAAATAATAAAATTAGGAATCAATGATGTCAAAAAGAATCAAACTTGAAATATCCCACACTGGAAACAAGAATTTATGTAATGGAGTATATAAGAACCATAACATACGTTAGGAGTACTTTTCGTTAATTTTTTAAACGGCGAGCCTCTATCACCGGAAAAAAATTTAGGCCAAAGATCTAGATATGATTTTTTCATAGCTAATCTTACAATTAATGTGTTTTTTTCTTGTCGTGTATGAGGAACATATTGCATGTGAGCAAGGGTGCCTTTTGAAATCACATCCCGTTGCTTCCCGCATTATACATGCCATTTGAGAAGTAGCGATGGAAAAATGGCTGCAACTTTGCGACTACGTGTATAATAAGATAAGTTAGAAAACAAAAAAGCTGTAAAGGTCACAAAACACACCACAAGGGACTGTTTATTTGATACATCTCTTTTTTGTAGATATTTATCAATCAACTTTGTCTGCCACTATTCTTTTCCAGTCAGCATCCCAATTTTAATTGTCATATGTTTAGAGTTTAATATCTGAAATCCAAATTATGTATAATGGGTGTCTCGACTTCAAAGACCCAATTCATGAACCTCTATGTTTATGAGAAATAAAACAAAACAGCACTCATATGAAATATTGCGATTTTTTAAGAACTCACATTCGTTATATAATCCCAAAATAAAAACGAAATGAAAAATATTCTTTTTGTTTTTAAAAAATGTACAAAATATGGTAAGACCTCAATGTCACTTTTTTTTCCCTAATGAAACTGCCTCTTTTTTTTTTCTGTGAGAACTTCTGCACATTCTTCTTCCAATCCAATTTGCAAGCGATGACTCTGGCTAGAAGACTGCATTACAAATGAAAGCAGCAAAGCTTAAGACAAGTGGTTTTAAAAAAGTGGTTGCAATGTAAACCTCACGAATACAATAGCATGTAATCGAAAGTGGTTTCATAAACCCGACCATAAAGGTCCAAACCTTAAGTATTGATAAGTATCAACAATCCCACTAATGGATTTAACCATAATCCATAATCTCAGATAACAACTCCATTGCTTATAAGTGCATGGTTGTATATCGACTGCACCGATTTGCTATTTCTCCAAAGAATCAAGAGTAGGAACCTTTGAGTCCACCTAATTTCTGGAGGACTTATATAAGTCTCTTGAGTCCAATAGTTATTCTAATCTTGGACTCCTCTTATCTAACTAGAGATATGTACAGTTCATGATACAGTTCTCTGTTCCTTAAAACCACTAGGCACTAACCACTTGTTACTATCCAGATTCCAGCATCTTTTCATCGAAAGAGGAGATGTTATTACATAAAAATTCTATTCTATACTACTGCAACAAAAAAAATTCTTTTCAACAAAGCTCTAGCGTGACCTAATCTAAATAATTTCACCATTTTTAGGTAAAGCAAAAGTCATAAAGTTCATTTATATTACATCCACGGTTGGCGCATTACTCGGAGTCTAGCTCAGAAACCCGGAGATATCTAATAAGCAATGAAATATACTAATAACAAAGGGGGCAAGCAAAACCAAGCGAGGAACCATTATACTTTCAGTGCTATAATCTACTAGCTTATGCCTATGGAATCTTTTGATCAAGCAGCCACATTTGAACTCCATAACTACCACTATTGCAAAACAGATGCCTAACTCAAGATTCCAACTTCAAAGCTTTAAGATATGGCATTAGCCCGAGTATAGCTTTACCATAGATAGCCACACATGGATAAAAACTGTTACCTCTGAGGTTCTCTAAATAAGAAACCTCAAAGACAACAACACATAAATCAAACGAAAGGTTCTTAACAATGCAAATATCAGAGCAAAACAAGCCAGAACAAACCTCAATCTAAATCTTCCTGCCTGGTCTCGAGATTCGCTCCACCTCCACCACCAGCACCAGTTCCAGGTGCACCAGACCCTGAACCAGGTTCAGAACCAGAGCCATCCCGTCTCCTAAACGGCCAAGGAAGCTGTATACTGAAACTCCTTGGCGTCTGCTGACCCTCGACCGATCCCTGACCATCCCCGCTACTCTGACCACCTTGACCTTGTGCCCTGTTCTCATAATCAGGATCGTCCGTAGGCAACTCATATCGACAAACCGGACAAGAGTTGTGAAGCTGCAGCCATGGAAGCAAGCAATCTTGATGGAACACGTGCTTGCAAGGCATCTGCTTAACGTCGCTACCGTCCTCAAACTCATCCATACAAACTGCGCACTGGTTCATCTCCGACTTCAACATATCCTTGGTCACCTTAACAGTCGGGAGCGCATCGATTGCAGATTTCGAGGCCGGAGGAGTTCCGTAACGGTTGGGGTCGTTCTCGGCGAGCTGCTGAATCAGCTGCTCGAGACCAGGGCCAAAGAAGTAGTCACCGAGATTCCCCGGCATTCGATTGGATGGATCCGAAGGATTGCTCTCGATCACGAACTGGACGTGCGTACCGCTGGATCGCAGATGCTGGAGATGATTCTGGAGAAACGTAATCGGATCAAAAGCCTCTCCCTGAGGGAGATTCTGATGTTGATGTTGCTGCTGCGGCTGCTGCGTGGAGCGTGGCTGCATCGACGGACCGAAGAAGCTCGGGTTTATGAAATCCATGACGGAGGAGGAATTTGTACCGGGAGGGGCGAATAAGAGTGGGAGCAAGGTGGAGAAAGGATCGGCCATCGGGAAAAAACCGCCGGAATTGAGATTGGGGGCTGGATTAGGGTTGGGTTCCTCGTATTCTTCAAGAAACCCACCGTTACAACGAGGACAGAAAGGATCAACGGTGGAGGAAACTGAGACGGTGACTGTGCGATCGCACTGGTAACAAAAGAACATCTTATCAATCGCCGGAGCGGTGGAGTCAGTAGAATTTACGCCGGAAGACATGACGGAATCTGCGAAATTTTTTTCAGAGCGCGAGACGAAAGTTAAGAGGAAGAAAAGAACCGTCACAGGGACGAATTATAATTCTTTGGTTTGTGGCCGACTCAATCTCTCCTAGGCAAATTGGTCATAGGATTTGGGCCCGTGGACGGCCCATGTATGTTTTCCCTTTGAAGGAATGCCGAATGCTATACGTTTTTGTGGAAATCAATTTTATTAAATTTATTTATGGATTTGCAGTTCTTTTTTCCTACTACGGATAAGAATTCTAGAAGAAGAGAGACATGTACAAATAAATCTTATTGAAATTTGGATATCACAGTTTTACAAAATAAAAAAATTTAACATCATGCATTTCGGTCTTTGCAAGCCGAAATTTGGGAGTTGCTGGATTCCGTATCAGTAACAAAATATATAACAAAGATTTGCATATATTCGCGATATATATAAACCCGAATTTCATATGTGGATCCTTGTTAATGTATTTTTTGTTTGTTAAGGGTCATATATCCTTTTGTTTTGGCAAAAATAAAAGCTTTATCCTTGTTAATGTTAAAACCTTTTATTTTATTCAGATGGATGCAAAGGGCTGGTGCAAGAGTCTAAAATTACTAATTAATTAGTTGATACCATTATTTTTTGCTTGAGAGCACTTCCTTTCATTTGCTACAAAAGGCATATTCTTGCCTCTAAAACTTTTATGTTTCTCTTTTGCCAAGAACAAGGTGACGATAAAACCAAAAGAATAAGATCAGTGACAAAAATTGAGGAATGTTGAGACTAAAGAAGCACCAAATTACACTTAATATGTATATATCGGATGAATCAGGTAATAAACAATAGACAGATTTTTTCACGTAATTGTTCCGTGAAAACAACCCAAAATCGACATAGAATAACCGAACAAATTCCTCTTAGTTAATTAAACCGGCTTGGCATCGTCATGTCCACCAATAACTGCATCATCAGGTATATACTTTTTCCAGAACCAATGCTGCTTCCAAACTCTTCCCATCTCTTCAATGGGAACACCTTTGGTCTCAGGCAACAAAAAGTAGATGAAGACGGTCATAATCGCAACCATGCTTGCAAAGAAGTAGAAGAGACCAAACTTCATGTGGCAAAGCATCGTCAAGAAGAATTGACCTATGAGGAAAGTGAAGAACATGTTGACTGATACGTTGATGGCTTGTCCCGCTGGTCTTATCTCCAACGGACATATCTCACTCGGCACCAACCATCCCAATGGACCCCATGACCATGCAAATCCCGCAACGTACACACATATGAATGCAAGGATCCAATCAGCTGTTGCTGGTGTCAAGGTTCCTGTTCCCGTGGTTCCAAATCTTGCACCGATAAATGAACCAACAAGAAGCTGAAACAAGAAGATGAACATCGAGATCAATCATCTGTAACTAATAGAAACCCTAGTTACATGTTAAATAAAAACCCTAGTTACATATATAACTAATTTTTTTGTACCTGACATATGAACATTTGAATGCCACCTTCAAGGAAAAGCAACCTTCTTCCATATCTATCAGCTGCGTAGATGGAGACAAAGGTCGAGAGCATGTTAACTACACCGGTTATCACAGCCGACATAAGAGAAGCATCATCTCCAAAACCAAGAGTCTTGAAGAGAACAGGCGCGTAGAACATTATGACATTGATTCCAGTAATCTGCTGGAAAAAGGGAATCGCCGAGCAAAAGATTAAAGCTGGTCTGTATTTGCTCTTCTTGATGTTCCTCCATGGATACTCCACCTTTTTAGCTGCTTCACAAGCATCACATAGATCTTGAAACTCATGGTCAACGTTTTCTGCTCCTCGTATCTTCTTCAACATTTGTTTTGCTTCCTCGTATTTGCCTCTCTCCAGCATCGAGTTTGGTGTATCTGGCAAAACGAATGATCCAATCACCATTACAACAGCTGGAACAGCTGCTAAACCTAATGAAACCCTCCATCCATGTTGAGCCATCTTAGATGTTCCATAGTTTATCAGATTCGCCACCAAGATTCCAACCGTGATAGCCATCTGAAAACCGATGTTTAAAGCTCCTCTTATCTTCGCTGGAGCCATTTCCGAGAGGTAAACCGGAGTAGACTGCCAAAAAACAAAAAGAGAGAGAGCAAGAATTGAGAAGTCTTCTTTCAAGAAGTTCCACACTTTTGGCTCATACTTATGGCGGTTTCACATACTTAGATGATACACAAAACCACACAAAAGATGACAACAAAAGCCTCACCTGATTAGCAAATCCAACACCAACACCGAGCAAAAGTCTACCGATGATGAGCATTGCGATATTCATGGCAAAGGCGTTGAAAAGTGCACCGATGAGGAAAGCAACTCCACCGGTAAACATAGAGACTTTACGTCCATACTTTCTAGTGATAACCGAAGCCACAAAGGAAGCTACAAGAGCCGCGAGGTAGAGAGAAGAAGTGAACAATTGGAGCATTTGGTTATCGAATTTGCAGTAAGCCGTGTCGTGCCTTGCCTTTTCCATCTGTCTCTCAACCTGAGGGAAGAACTTGCTAAGAAACTCCTCCATTGATGTCACTCCCCCTGAGATTCCAAGGTCATAACCAAAGAGGAGACCTCCCATGGCGGCAACAACACATGTTACGATAACGAAACCTGTGACTCCTCCTTCATAACTTCTTCCACCACCTCCTCCTTCTGATACAAAAGCTCCTCCTGCCATCTTTTTGGTTTTTTTTTTGGTCAGGAGGAAGTAATGTTGTGGCTTAATTCAAAAATGGGTTTCACTTTGTAATCATTTTAAATAGATAATGTAGTGACACTATAATTAGGGACTGGATTGGTTTCGTGTTGTGTTGTGTTAAAAAAGTTTTATCTTACGATAAGCTTTATCTTTGTTTGGCTTAGGATTAGGGTTGGTAGTTACTATGTTAGTTAGTAGCTCGAGTTGATTAATGTTAGACAGCAAGTTTCATGGATAGTTTTTACTGTGTTTGACTGTTAGTTAGACCGTTTTTTTTTTCAGACCTTGTTTTCCTTATTTATCTTTACAAAAGAGAAAAGGATCAGATAATATTCTTTGTCTCTAGTGTTTTTTTATTTTTATTTTGGACAGTACCTAAAAATAGTAACTTGTTATATAAGAATTTCATAAATTTCTAAAACACAAGAACTCGTCATAACAAAAAAGTAGCATCATGATTTTTATTAGTGTCATTAATTACTGCGTTACTATCTGCTTCATACTCGTATAATACAAGTTGTTAAAACACACACAAATCGTAATCTCTTCGTTTTTGGAATTGCCATCAAAGTTGAAGGTTAGGTTAACTGTAAGAGCCTAAGAGGTTTGGTTTGGTCGGGACTCGGGAGTTTGCCCTGGTTCATTTACGCACATCATTAGTTGTATTTTTTTAATTCGTTTTTAGAAAAATATTGCTTTCTCTACATTGTTAATTACTATACGATTATTTTTAAATGTTTAATTACTTGTACCTAAAAGCTGTCGTGTAGAAGAGGTACTCCAATCACCGAAAAAAGTGGTGACCCTTTTGGATAAACTGAAACATCTACTGATGACTTGTTTTCTTGCTTTAGTATTAGAACTCAAACTCTTTTGTTCTCAAATAAAAAAGATTCACAGAAATGTTAAATGAGAAACAAAAACATAAGACAAACTGATTCCTTTTTATATTTTTCTTGTTTTCCTAGCTTTCTTTGGGCCCAAATTACAATTGCAGCAAAGAGACATTGAATGAGAAGAAACCAAGTAAAAAGCTAGCAAAGTCTCTAAATAAAAAAAAAACAGAGCAGCTTTCTTTCAGGAATAAATTTCATTCTTATTTCATCCTATTAATCATCGCTTTTCTTTTTTTTTTTGTTTAAAATTTTCTCACAAGTATTTTGCCCAAAGAAAACATTTTTTCATCATCATACAGACTTCTGTTGCATCTCAGCAGCACTAATACCAACAGCTTCATCAGGTATAAACCTTCCCCAAAACCAATGCGCCTTCCACACTCTGTTCATCTCTTCGATTGGTACATTCTTCGTCTCAGGCAACATCATGTAGATGAATATCGTCATTATGAAGACAAACACCGCAAAGAAGAAGAAGAGTCCAAATTTCATGTGACAGAGCATTGTGAGGAAAAGCTGAGCTACAAGGAACGTGAAGAACATGTTGACCGCTACGTTTATGGCTTGAGCTGCTGATCGGATCTCTAGTGGAGATATCTCACTAGGAACAAGCCATCCCAACGGTCCCCATGACCAGGCAAAACCAGCTACATAGATGCAGATCAAAGCTACGATCAAATTAGCATCTGATTTTCCAATGTCCCCTGTTCCAGCCACTCCAAATTTGACTCCAATCATTGCTCCAATAGCGATCTGCAACACACATCCAAGAGATTGAGTGTTTGTCAAGAAACGTAAAGTAGGGTTTTGAATTTAGGGCTTTTTGTGTTACCTGAGAGACAAGCATCTGGATACCTCCCTGGAGGAACAAGACTCTTCTTCCAAACCTATCCACTGTGAAAACAGAGACGAAGGTACACAAGAGCTCGATGATACCCGTAACCATAGCCGATAACAGCGAGGCTTTGCTACCGAACCCGAGTGTTTGGAACAGAACAGGCGCGTAAAACGTAATGACATTGATTCCGGTAAGCTGTTGAAAGAAAGGAATGAAGCAAGTCATGATCAACTGTGGTCTGTAACGAGGAAGCAAGATGTTTTTCCATGGATGTTTCACTTGCTTTGACTCCTCACTTGCATCAACGAGATCTTGAAACTCTTCTTCGACTTCCTCTGTTCCTCTGATGGATTGAAGCATCTGTTTAGCCTCCTCTGTGTAGCCACGTTCGATGAGCGAGTTCGGTGTATCGGGAAGGATCAAAGCTCCGATCATGATCATCACTGAAGGAACACAAGCTAATCCGAGAGAGATTCTCCAACCGATGTTCCCTTTCATCTGTGCAGTGAAGTAATTGATGATGGTCGCAACAACGATACCGAATATAATCGCTACTTGAAACCCATTGTTGAACGCTCCTCTTAGATTCGGAGGAGCCATCTCCGAGAGATAAACCGGAACAGACTGAAACCAAAACCAAGAATCGGTTATCTAAACCACCATTGCTTCTTCTTCAAAGCAGGAAAAAAAACTTTTTTTTTATGACTTACTTGATTGGCAAATCCGACTCCGAAACCAAGTAGGATACGACCGATGAGAAGCATAGCGATGTTTTGAGCAAAGCCGTTGAAAGCAGAGCCAATGAAGAAGGTGAAGCCACCAAGAAACATCGACCATTTTCTTCCGAAAACTCTGGTCACTGTAGAAGCGAAGAGGGAAGAGACCAAAGCAGCCACATAGAGAGAAGAAGTAAAGAGAGTGAGAAGCTGACTATCGAATCGACAGTACTCGTTCTCGTGTGCGCTCTTCATCTTCTTGTACACGTAAGGGAAGAACTTTTCCAAGAATGGCTCCATTGATGTTACCCCTCCTACAAGAAATCAAAAACAGAGAACCCCTAAATTACTCACACCGGATATTTCATAGATCAGATCAAAGAAGAGCAAGACTTTGAATCTGAGAAAAAGGAATAAAAAAAATAAAAAATTACCTGAGATTCCAAGATCGTATCCGAAGATGAGACCACCAAATGCACCGATGAAACATGTTACGAACACTTTCGGTGTTAATTTGTAATTATAGTTTCGAACGCCCGGCGTTTGACTGACGAACCCTCCGGCCATTTCTCCGATTTGAAAGTCTCGATTTGCTAAAACGACGTCGCGGAAGACTCAGTGTTGACTTCTCTGTTTCGCACAGAGGAACAAACAAGAGCAAATGTTTTTTTTTGTTAAATACAGAGCAGATCTTGTTCTTCGTCTTCTTCTTTCTTCTTGGTGTTTGTGTTGGTTTGGATTAGATAATTCGATAAATCTGGTTTCGAAAATGGGATTTAGAATCGAAAATCAAAGGTAAGAAAAAGAATTTTGATTTTTGAAAATGGAGGAGATTAGTTGAAATTTATAGGATTCGAATTAACTGTCGGCTCTCTGACTATGAGGTCGGAAAAGAACAACAGCTGTTCTCGTTCTTACCACTTGCCTATTCCTCTGGATCTTATCTGCTTCCATAAATCTCGTGTCTTTTTTAAGTTTTGTTTTAAAAAAAATAATTAAATTATTACGATGCTTTTTTGTTTGAAAAGTCTAACGTTACTCAACTTAATTAGAACAACTTACGAAATATTCGCTGCAAATAAAATAATTATATATACGAGAAGTCGTAGTTTTTTAAAATAAAAATTCTCTTTACTTTGTAACTAGAACTACATTTTTGACTCAAATTAATCTATTTTTGATTTTCTCTTGTCACTTTTTTCAAAAAGTAACAGATATTTTTATTTGTTTTAATGGTACTAAAATTGAGTAAACGGCCGCAAAAGTCGGTCAATGGACAGAAAAGACCGCTACTATTTTAGTTTTAGATGAGATAAGATCTTTGATCCGATTTTCTTCCTTTTAATTTACTCACAAAAATATTTTTCGAATTTTAGTCTAAGAATGGTATAGTAGTATATCTCTTTCAATTATTATTACTTTCCATATTTTGAAACTTAAAAGTGGTACGGATTTTTCAATCTCTATCCAAAATTTGAGGTCATTTGATACTTAAATAACCTTTTTACTCGTGACAGCCTTTCCACCATTCACATGTATGGATCTAACTGAATATTACTCCATTTTTAATATTATCACGGATGGGACAAACATATGTTGAAAAACAAAATATATAATATATATATATATAGAACATATTATACGTCAAATTGATGTAAGATAATATTTGTGTCAGAGGATATTCAAACAATGTTATAAAAACAGTTGTACCAGTGGGGCTATTGATTACGATATGGAAAGAAAAAGTTGACTATCACTATTTTTATATAGTGTATACTAAATTATTTCGTAAAATGTACGTAGTTTCATACTACTGCTTTTAGTTGGAGTCATCCGTCGCTCTCTACTCCTTCAGTTTACATTGCAAAGTCAAAAGTCGTTGCATTACATTATTTTTTACAAAAATAGTGAACGCAGTACTTACATTTATATTTAAATATTTTCTTTAGATAGTGCTTACTGCTAATCGTTTATAATTCATGAAGCCACTAGTTTCTACATACATGTAGATAGAAATTGTGACGTTGATGCACACATTTTGTATTGCTAAAGCACATAGAACAAGATAATAACTAGGTGTTTCGATCACATGGGTAAAGCCAACTTGGCTTTTAGATATTTGCTTGTATTACCAATGTTTTTTTTTTTGAATTATTGTATTACCAGTCTTTCAATTTATATAAACAAACGTTTGCTAGCCGACAAAAAAAAAAGAATAAAATAGGACAACAGAACATTGAGAGGAAGAATTAGCAAGCTGAAAAAGGCAAGACAACTAACCATCGTATGTGTACCAGGACAACATATATAACTTGTTGTTTGTTTAAAATAAGTTGGAATCTTAACCGCAAAACAACAATTAAGAACATGGGTTTTTGCGAATCCCTTGCGAATCCCTGTTTTCTTTTTCCAAACATCAGAAACTGATTATATTTTACTAGTTATTTACAATTATGTGTGAAATGATTAGATCAAGAGATGATGCTCAGGTATGATTCATGAAATGGCATGTGAACACCTTGTCAAAACTAAAGTTTTGTATGGTACTCAACGACTCGTCCACTGTCCATCCTCTCAAAATGAACTAAAACGGTAGAATACGAACGCTTCACCGGTAAAAGAATAGAGAGTGTTTCCTCCTCTAGTTATCAGAAACGGAATGTAATCCACCATGCATATGTTCAAGATCCGGGAGATGTATCTCAAACGCTAATTATTCATATAGCAATGCAGGTTATCCGAAACTCAAGACCTATCCAAACACCCACGAAAAATAGATTGTGTCATCAAGGGAAAGATATATGTCATCCACGACCAGTCTGGTAGACACACCTGTAGGTGATGTGATTGTCATTTGTCGAATTACAATATTGTAATTAAATGTCACACATCAAAATTTGAAAGATTTGTGAAATAATATAAAGGTTCATGGGTTAGTCTAAGGGAATGCTCAACTTCATATCCATATCCCATACATCATATCTTGCATTCACTTTGAAAATATCCTATCTTTTTCCAGGAGTATTTTTTTCTCTCACTGTCTCTTCTCAGTCTTAGTATAATAAAAAATTTACGCCATGAACTACTTCTTACATTAATTTAGAACCAACTCATTTTTCTACTCCCCCGATTCCAGCCTTTTCCATTATCTTTAATTTGACCAAACATTGATATTTTTTTTGGAGTGACATCACAACTGACCGCTTAACATATATATTCTCGAACGTTGCTCAACAATGCATATTTTTTCGAGAAACATCCTAGTCCGAATCATTTAGTGGGGTAAATTCTGTAAATTCGTCCCCAACATTACTTTTTTGGACTTTTACCAAGTTCCGGTTGCTCAAATATTTTTTACTTACACACCAGACGATATTTTTACTCATTTACGTAAGTGAAAAAAAATTATATAGAATAAAAATGGCGACGCATGGACCCCGAGAAAGATTTAAACCGACAAAAAATAACATAAAATGCTTACACGACGACGAGAAACAAACCCGTGGAACCAGGCCCGACTTCGAGAACAGGCAAGGGAGGTGACCGCCGCGGGCATCCACTCTGAAAGGGGTATATTTTTTGCGGCATTCATTATAAATGGGCATATTTTTTATCTATGCCCCTTTATAAACAAACTTTTGATTCATAAGATGTATTGTATTTATAGCCCAAAAAACTCGACTCCCAAACTTATTAGATAAAAGAAAACCTAAATCTAGCCCAATAAAGAAACCGTACGGTAGGGGGACTTCGCCCCCCACACCTCCCAAATGAATCCACGTCCATCGATGGTTCACGTGCCATAAACGTTCAGTTTACTGTAGCAGAGTATCTTTAGTTATCTTTGTCACCGAAACAACAAATGGGGTAGCTTATTATCAATTGAGATAATTATTTGAAAAACTCGACTACGACATTTTAATAAACGATTTTACATGAAAAAAATGCATGAAGATCTATTTTTCAACAAAAAAACTATATGTTTTATTGGATTTTTTTCTTTTCTTATAAGTCGTTTATGGAGTTTGATTGTTTTATGAATTTTTGTTTTATGTTTTATTATTTTAATTTTAAAAAAAATATAAAAAAATATATTTTAAAAAGTTAGATGCGAGCATTTAAATTAATCGGTTCGACACTGCGTGGAATAGGCGGTGCATCTCATCATCATATACTTCGAAAAGAAGAAATATCCAAACCAGCCTCTTTCTTCATATATATATATATACAACTTTTCGAGCAATAATTCACATCGTTAAGAGAGACAACAACAACAACAAAAAAAACAAAAAAAAAGAGAAGAGGATGTCGTCGTCAAGGGAGCTACAATACTTGGAGTACACATACAGAAACAACCGTCCCACGACGGGTCTCCTCAACTCCATCTTCATGACCACCGTTAACACCGCCGCTCGTTCTCTCGTCTCCGTCGCCTCCACCGCCTCCACACCGGAGCTAGCTTCTAGGCGGTGGTCGGCTTCAGACCATCTCAGGTTCATGTCTATGATGATGGCGTGGCTTGCTCTTTGGCTCCTTAGGGTTTTCTTGGACTATCTTCCTCTTCCTCTCGTCTCTTCTTCTTCTTCTTCTTCTGCTTCTTATTCTTATTCTTATCCTCCCTTTAGTTTTGCTTCGGGTCTTCTTACCGCGGCGGCGGAGAACGCGTTGGTCCCGGTTTCGGCTTCCTCCTCCTCCTCGTCCACGTCATCAACGGCTTTGGTGAAGTATTCAGGGTCGGCTGATTTGGGTATGATGATTTGTGACGGCGTTGATGTGCCTTCCGTTAACTCTCTCGGTAGAGCACTTTGTCACGTAAGTGTTAATTTGTAATCTGTCATTATTTAGTGTTAATTAGCATTAACGTGTTACTGTCCTTTTTTCTTTCGTGTTTGGTAAAGATTTTCTTAACGTTTTAACGATTTAAATGTTTTTTTTTCTTTTTTCTGTCACTTGTTTGCTTGGATTCAATTAAGACATCAAGATCATATGTAGACTTGAGTGTTGTTGCTTGGTTATATTTGTATTAACTCGAGAGCTTAGTTGAAATGGATAGTTAGTTTCTCGGTATATACATATAATATTATGTTGGAGCTTTCTATTTTTCGGACACTCCACGAGCTGAGGCTGAGGTGCCTAACGGGGACATTTTTCCTCTGTAATTTCCACGTGGACAACATGCATAGTTCCACATCATACATGAGAAAAAAAAAAAAGAGGGAAGTGGAATCATAGGATATCGATTAGTCAAAGCTTGGGTTATTTGTACTCTTAATTACTGAATCGAGACTAATTAACTAAATTATCATAACTATTCGTAAAATCAAGAATCTGCAACGAACTCTTCTGATCATTGGATCTCTAATATCCGCAAGAAAAGACATATTACTCGTTTGTTTATCCGCATATATATGAGTAATTCGATTGATTATGGTCCTATTTATGTATTCTCATTAATGTTTTTGGTTTGCCATTTTATACGTCGTCTACGATCGAGTAGGCACTAGCGCTCATGAACGAGATTCCAATAACCTCACGAAAATACCAATTTACGATGGGAATGGCCGAGAAGATCATGGAAGACAACGCGCAGAGCTGCAACGTGGAGCTACTCGATGTCAACCGAGCGGCCCTCGCTTCCTCCTTTGCACGCACCACTGCGCGTTTGCAAGACTCCTTGAAACGTTCTCGAACCGCAGATGAGCCTTTCCTTGGTTTGCCGTTGCGTGTGGTTAGCGCACTTCCGCTAGGAGGCTATGTAGCTTCTTACGTGAGAGGAGTGACCACGTGCATCAACACGGTCAGGTCCTTGGCTGATATGACCGGTAACTTGTTATCATCGCAGAGTAGGAGGAGAGAGTCTGCGTTGGTGAGAGCTGGTGGTTTCCAGGAGAACGAGGTTGAACTAGCGGTGGAGAAACTAGCGGAGGAGCTTTTGTGGATGACAGAGAAACTTAGACGTTATGGTGCTGTGGAAGAAGGTATCAAACGGTGGAGCTACGCTTCGGCTTTAGCTTCCTTGTCTCTCACGGCTGCTCCTAGGGTTCAAGGCCTCATGGTTAAGATTACAGGTAAACTATTGCCATTATTATCTTTTAGTCACTCAGGTCTTTACATGGACTGTTGTTTTCTTCACAAACTCTCTTTAAATGTTTTTGAAGCGCTCTTAATTGGAGAGTTAGCAAGGGACAACACACAAGTTCCGGGACAAGTTAAGTTCAGACTCCTTGCAAACTGGCTACCGTTGTTTAGCCACGCAAGGAACGGTCTAGCCTTTCCGGTTCTCACGGGTTACGAGAGAGTTGAGGTGGAACGTGCCATAGACAAAGCCATCTCGACTTTGCCTGCACTGGACCAAGAAATCTTACTCACAAACTGGCTCCAAGATTTCTCAATCTCGGCCTCTGAGTGGCCCAATCTCACCCCAGCATACGACCGGTGGTGCCACTCCACTCGCCAACTTGTCATGTAGACGACCAGTGGTCCAATGAGAACAAGAAAAACATAGATGCCTCTCGATAGCTTGTGTCCAAAAATTTATCGTAGGTAATAAAAGACTAGCTTCGATCTAGTCAAAGATTCAGACCTTGAAACCTTTGATGTATCTCTCGAGTCTAAGAAGACTGAAGTTCTAGCTTAGAATGTTTTTTTTTCTAGATCAAAAACCAGATCGATCGTAGTTGTTTCATAGTGGCATACATGAACAACAACAAAAATGCCGACTTATTAATATATGAGCTATATCCCAAAATCGCAAATATGGAAGCAGATAAGAGATGGTGATCTATTATAAATTTTAAACGAAGAATTAGATAAATATACCATGGCACTAAATTCTTAAAAATATTAATCCCTCGTTTAAATCCAAAATTCTGTATATAAAATCCCATTATATTAATTTGTAAACAGAGCTATATATATATATATATATATACATGGTTTACTTAATAGGTCGAATCAATATTATAACGAAATTTGACATTAATGTTTGGATGTGATGATCAAGATGAGCATGATTGGGATCAGAATTAATGCTTCATTACTTTGAGGAAAACGATTGTATGTGTGTGTGTTTTGGAATTGTTAAAAAGGAAAACGAAATCAGTGATTACAACAAGAAAATGTAAAACTTTTCAAATATCCTAAATGATTTTTGTACATATAAACTTAACTTTCTAATAAATAAAAAAATTTAAATTTTGACAAAAAAACTTGTAGAGGAACAGAAGAATAAAAATGAAAACTTATGTGTGTGTGTTTTGGAATTGTTAAAAAGGAAAACGAAATCAGTGATTACAACAAGAAAATGTAAAACTTTTAAAATATCCTAAATGATTTTTGTACATATAGACTTAACTTTCTAACAAATAAAAAAATGTAAATTTCGACAAAAAAACTTGTAGAGGAACAGAAGAATAAAAATGAAAACTTCTTAAAAGGTTTGTGGGCATATTAAGAATCTTTAATGTAATAGAAAAATGCAGAAATAAGGAAAAATGCTTTTTTAACAAAAACAAAAAAAAGGAAAATTGTTTTGATCACCTAACTATATATAAGAACATAGGGGTGAGTTTTTTTATTTATTTTTCAATCTTGCTTTCATCTTTCACGTTAAAAAAAAAGTTTATAGTATTTACAAGTTAGAAACTATGGCTCAAGATCAAGAACACAACCAAGATGAAGAACTCAATTTAGAATTGGGTTTAGCTCTATATGATCCATGGGTCATAAAAAAGACGTTATACGACAGTGATGTTTCCCAACAAGGTAGGCTTAATTTACCGAGACAAGACTTCGAAGATTTTATAATTCCAGAGATGGCAGGTGATTTGGTCCAGAATTTGGGAAACGGTGTTAAAGTGAAGGCTCTTGTTGTGGATGAAGAAGAACACATTGTAACCTTCAAAAGGAAATCCAATGGAAGTTATATTCTTTGCGCTGGATGGTCCGCAATCGTCAAAGCTAATAATTTCCAAACAAACGATCTAATTGGATTTTGTTGGGTTAATAGCTCTGACAGATTTTATTTACAGCGTATTAATTAGTTACTTTTATTTTATCTTATTTTTTCAAATATTTTAAAAACTTTCTAATATTTATTTAGTTAAGTAGTTTTAATTTAACTACAACGTCTGTTTGTAGTTGGTTTTATGAGTTTTTGGGTCATGAATTCACCATATTGGTTTTATTAGTCTATTCAAAGAATAATAAAAAGAATATTTTATTTATTCGTTCGTTATATCTATTTATTTCACTTGTATGTCCTGCTCAAGCGAGCTCGTTTCCTTCTCCGCCTCATGTTCGTTTCCTCTCCGCCTCAAAACATGAGGCTTCTTTGCTGCAGCTTCTTTAACTATGTCGATGATATCAAAAGTGTTACGAATTAACTTGTTTGTTATTTTACGTGATGGTAAAAACAAATGAAGAAGGTGCAAACATGAGGAAAAGAGCCGTTAATTTTAAAGAGAAGCTCAAAGCCTATGTGAGAAGTGGAGGCTCCTCACACAAAGCGTTGGATGATCATCGTCAAGTACCTGAAGGCAGAGTGAGAAGCTGCTTTTCATGTATTTGTAGAGATCATTCATTACATTGTTTAGAACAAGCTTGATCTTACAAAATTTCATATGTACGTGGGTTTTCTTATCCAAATATAAAGCAATTCAAATAAAATACGAGTACAAGAACTTAAAAAAAGATTTGAGTAACTTCCAATTTATGAGATTGTTTAAAGGAAATCTGATGTTGGTTTTGTTTTTATAGTTTACAAACAGACAGCTAAGGTTTTTGAAGTTCTTAGCTTATAATTTTTTTTTCTTTCTAGATCTCTCTTTTGCTCACACTAGCTTGGTCCAGCGGAGGAAGTTGAAACTTCTGCGCTACATACGGGGCAAATCTGCAAAAAAAAAAAAAAAAATCGTGCCAGTTTCGGGTTGTTAATGGCCTTCGATTTATATGAATGTCGTCAAGAGAATAACAATCGAATTTCTACAAACTGCTTGTTTAAAAGCTAAGAGATAAATAATTGTTCCTAATTTCCATGGAAGTTGATAAGATGATCGCACACTGTAGATAGTCTTAGTATGGTATTAACAAGTTCAAATCATCACTCCTTACTAGGAATCAAACCCCCCAGTTTCGAAGGTGCTGATGTAAACAATAAGTAAAGGCATAAAATGCAGTCCATAAATTCAACAAACTTGAGATAATAGTCTGCTAAATTCTACATTTCTACTACTGAGACGGTTTTCTGGCATGAATATCTCTTTTCCTTATCAAAAAGGGTATGTGTCGGGTATAAAAAGACAGACTACAAAAAAGTCTTCCTAATTGTGTTTATCAGGTTTCACATAGCTGACTACAACAACTCAATGATAAACACATCTACTCTAACAGGATTCTTTTGTTTTTTTTTTTTTAAAGACGTACCTTGTTTATCTTCAACCAGTTATTTATGCATTCCGAGTGATACGAATGTTTGCATGGAAGCAGTATCAAGTCATCGTTATCCTCATAGTCTAAACGACAAATAACACACCTGCATCGAGCATCAGAGAAATTAATTATCAAGCTACATGCACAAAATTGTCAATTGGTCTACTTAATTGGTTACACAAAAAGGCATTACGACTCATTGGTTCCGTTCTGATTGTCTCCATCTTTATATCTTTTTGAAGGCAAAGTTGCAATTGTATCAGCAGACAATCCTCTACTCTCGGTTCCCACAATTTCGCCAAGTGCAAGCAATTCCTGCAAAAATAAGATAGCGTACAGTTATAAGCCAACAGACGTGTTAGGCATCTGAATTTTTCATATTGAAATGCATGCCGGATATTATCACTAGATTCCAATATTTTCACAATAGTATTCAAATATAACCATGAATATTTTCATACCTCATATGAAAGCTCATCAGGATCCATCTCATCCCAGGCATCCTGCAAAATTAAAGCATACATAACGTGAGTGCAAGCAGATTCAAATCACCTGAAAAAAGCCTTACTTTCTATGATTCTCTACTCAGCAATTCTAAGTTCTAGTTGATTTTCAATAAAATGGACCAGACTCTATCTATAGCTTCAGTCCGCTGCGAGGTCCCATGCTGCAGGCTATGAGCATAACCTTCTCCGATGCCAGTGACCACTTAATGCCAGCGGATTAAAACTGACTCGATTACCGTACTGGTTAATGCATTTTGACCTCCAAATACACAATTGTGCAGAGTTCCGGTAGCATAAATCGATAATAATTAGGTACAACCTAGTGTCAAAGTACCAAACAGTATCCAGTACGTTTATTGGCTCAACTACGAACAATAACTACCTCATAAAACACAGGGAGGAGTATCTAACTGGGCCTCCGGACGAAAAAGGCTAACACCACAGACTAAATTGGCACGAAAACAAAACAAACTAATGTCATGACAGAAGGATAGTAGATAGATGGAACCATGTATGATGACACTTAGACAATGACTTGTTCTATGTCATGACTTTGTCCTTTGTCTACCATATGACTAAACAAAACAAGGGGCTGGACAGTAGTTCTTTTCACATACAGGGGCAAGAAGGTTCATATTCTTAAGCAAAAGAAGGTTTGCACTTTACAGCTCAAGATCAAAAAGATTTTTGTTGTAGTGTAAGGAGCCTACCTGAGACGTGTGATCCTCATCCTCTAGATCTTCAACCCCTGCAACCAATAACAGTTAGCATAAATCCAAACTAATTCTAGAACGCCCATGAGAGTGAACTTAGGTGATAGTTATAAGTGTACTCACGATCTGCAAACCCAGATAAGGCAGACAGTCTAGCTGCCATTTCCCTTTCATCAGCTTCCTGAAGAGCTCTAGCATAGGCCTCATCATCTGAATTAGCAACTTCTTCGGTATCAGAGTTTCTGCCGTCATCTTCTTGATCGTCTTCATGGGCATGTACATCAGGGGCATCTACCTGAGGATCCTCATCTGTTTCATACTCGTCTTCATCGTCATCCTCATCCTCATTCTCGGGGTCATCGAACTCATCCTCATCGTATACATAGCTTCCAGTTTCCCAGCTCCCATAGTCACTGATTTCAGTGTTCATGGTCAGCATCATATACGCCCGCTCCTGAAACCCGAAACATTATAACGCACACATAGAACAATTCTACTGAAATTCTTTGGAAATAATCTAAATTTCGAATGCAATTAGAAAGAAACTGAGGAAACAACTCTAGAAGAAAATCCGAGAAGCAGTGAACTATTCCGCGTATCCAGGAGAATAAGCAACAAAAAAGCCCAAACAGCATCAAATAACCTAAAAACGCAGAAATCCCAAACAGATAGATGTGCAAGAAAGACCCACCTGTTCTTGGAGCGTGCGAGCGAGAGCAAGATCCGCATCCATTTGGCTTAGATTAGTGAACGGAACTCTAGCGGAGGAAGATCGGGGAGGTAGCTCTCCCACCGAATTCGATCCGCTCTCATCCGCCGCTACAGCCACCGCCACTGCCGTCTCTACCCCCTCCTCTCCTTTCTCGCTTCCACTTCCGGTGTCTGAGACAACACCGCTCGGCCGATTCTCCGGCAACCGTCCATCAGTCTCGTTAATCTTGGTCGCTTGCTCGGCGGTGAGGACGACGTTTTTAGCGTGGCCATTGTCGTTCTCCATGGGCATGATTGTAACCTAGGGTTTTCGAATCCGATTTCGGGAGATGAGCGAAGGGAATTTGGGGGATTGGTATCGAAAGGGAATTATTCAGGAATCTGAGAAAACAATGACACGACGCGAGACGAGACGAGAAAAGGTAAAATAGTGCTTCTCTTAGCTGATTTCAAATTTTGAAATATGCAAATTTCTTCGAAATCACATCCCTCTATTTTTTGTTTCTTTCTAAAGCCACCGACTCTGTTTATCATGTGCTTACCTCCACCATTATCTTTCACTTGTGTGAATCCGAAATCATGATTAAAAGTGAGATTAATATATTAAATACACATTCTTAATCAATGCAATATTCATCTTTTGAACCTATGAGATTGAAGTAACTTCAATTCCTACTCAAAAAAATGTTTTGGTTATCCGAAGACGATAATTATCTTCTTTTTGTGTACTGAAATCATTTTGACATTTTATTAGAAAAAAGCTGGAAAATTGGCTTTTTCAGATCTAAACTTTTAGAAAATGTTAAATGTATACCTAAACTTATATATGATGCTATATCATACTTAATCTATATTAATATTTGAAATTCATTCTTAATCTTCTTTTTAATTTGAATTTCGTCCTTAAACTTTTTTTTTGTGCGTAAAACAATTATAAGGCAATCACTGTTAAATATTCTGTCAAGTGTAGTCTACGTGTCGACGATGTGTTTTGGGCTTCTTTATAGTTTGAGAAGAAAACAAAAAAAAACGACGTCGTTGGTTTAGGAAAATTGTTTAAAGAAAAAAGAAAAGAAAAAGGAATAAATCTAGGCAAATCGGTCTTTCTTCGAACCATCCCCATCATCGAAACAAAACCGAGTTAACTCCACCTGCGATTGAAAAACAGAGGCCAAAGCACAGTGGATCATATGCTATTAGGCATCACTTACGTGTAAAGCACAGTGGTTTAGAAAAATAGAAATTCCTTTTTTCTTCTTAACTCCCCTAAATCAACGTCGATAACTATTACAGATCCGACTTCTCAATTCCTAATATGGGTTTTCTGGAATTTGGCTTTGCAATTCCCAATTTCTACTTCCTCCAAATTCTCAAATTTGATTGAATTGCATTCTTAATTGAGTTTGCGTAGTGCAATAATCATTGATTTTCCTATTGGGACAATAAGAATCGCGTCAAAACTGTGACTTTTATAAAGCTGCCTATCAGTAGCTAGTCTTCCCTATCAAAATCGCATCGCTCTCTTTATTCTCCGATGCGAAATTCAAATCCGGCTGTTAGAGACATGCTCGGCAAAGGTCACGTCAGATCGTGCGAAGGACGATTCGCTAACTTTGATCCCCTCTCCCTCCCTCTTCTTGTTTAGCTTAGAGTATGATCTCGTAATCCTCCGACATTTTGGTTCAGCAATAGTCTCCTTCGCAAATTTAACAGGTCCATAAACTTCTACCTCTTCAATTGGATTCGTCATCGGCTTTGGGCTTTTCTCGATGCTGGTAGAACTGCTAGGAAGCGTTGTTATCGGCTGAAAAAAGCAAATTGGAGCAGGAATCGACAGAAGCAGCAAATAATATTGTTTTCTTGTGCTAAAGAGGTGACTGGAGAGCAACTGGAGAGATTTGAGCTCTCTTCCGGTGTAAAAATGTTTTTTTCAGTGTCTGGAGAACAAAAATAGCCGACAGTTAAAATATTTTTTTTTCTGGCCTAGAATTAAAACGTCATTGTTTTTAAACTTTCGTGTAGATTTTTTTTTTTTAAGAAATCAAAAACTACAAATGACGTCGTTGCTTACTAAGATACCACCTAGACTTGATTTAACGGACCTTTAACAGCGTTTAGACAATATAGGTTTAAGCACAAAAAAATTAGTTTAGGTATGAAATTTTATAAATTAAGAAGTTGAAGAATGTTTAGGCACCATATACAAAGCCGGGTATAAATTTAACATATTTTTATAGTTTAGGTTGTAAAAAGCCATTTTTCCGAAAAAAGCTAAACAAATAGAAAAGCTTAAATTCTCACGAAAGTTAAATGTAGAGAATTTTTTTTTCCGAAAGTAAATGGGCCGAGACGCCAAAAGGCCCAAAACGTTTCGCGGAAACGTGCAAGTAAACAAAAACTTGGCTTGATGAAGAAAAACACTTGACGTTCGTATATTTTAGTTTTTTTTTTTTGAGAAAATGATCATTATTTAATATTGTTTTTTGTTAAGTTAAGTTAATTCATCATTCAACACAATTAGTACATATCATTCAAGTTTATATTGTTAGATTATAGCAATTGATAGACGACAAAAAAAAGATTATACCAAATGATATTTTTTAACGTTTTTAAAATTTATTTAGAACATTAATCAAAATTAATTTTTATGAATAAGTTAAATAATCTTCTTAATTTTTGTCTTCTTATCATTCATGCATGTATTTTAATTTCACACGTTTTAGACTTGAAAATAATATAATGATTTTGTTAAAAAAAATGAATATAAAATGATATGGCGGAAAAAAATATAATGTATTTTATATGGAAATTTGATTTCATTTTTGGCCTCTCCTCCTTCACCGTTCATTCACTGATTGTTTTATCTCTCTGATTTCTCATTTTCCTCATCTCCTCCTCCGCAGCACCGCCGTGCTCTTTCCAAGCTCTGCCGGCGGTAAGATTGCGTTCTCCCTCAACTTCTTGGCAAACTATTAATTAAGTCGTTGCTTCATTGATTCTCGCTTACTTGTTCATGTTTAGTCGCTTTTCGATGTTACCCCATTAACTGCTGCTTAGTTAGAGATAAAACGATTGAGATTGATGAAGATGGAAAGAGATTCATATTGTATTCACGCGATTGTCTGTTTACGAATGTGTAAATCCACTTTATCAAATAAATTTCGTTTGGTTTCTTCTCTACTTAGTTTCTGTAGCACTGTGTTCACTGAAGGCATTCTCTATTTGATTCTTCAAATTGCAGCAGAAAGTTATTGTTTTCGTTTTTACCGATTTACAGGACATGATGAGCATTGTCTCAGGTCATCATCACTGTCAACCATCGATTATACACGAACGATGCGGTATAGGAACAGTTTCTAAGGTCTCTTGTTCGAGATATTGCGGTCCGTGTGTCTCTGGAAGATTGGCTTTCTCTAATAGCCTCTGCTTGAAGAGTACTTGTGGGAAAACTGGTAGGAGAAGCTTTTCAAAAATTTGCAGTATTGTAGATGACGGGATGAATCCAGATAACTCGGGCGACGAGGAAAAAGAAGCACTCGATGATAAAGCTAAAAGGGTATATATACATAAATTCAAGTGTTATCATAAAAGGGTATATATATATATATCATCTGTGGTGAAATTGATCACTGAAGTCATGGCTTGACATTTAAAGTGTTCATCAAGTGTTGTGACTGAGACTTAGTTTCCGTGTGCTTTATACACTAGAACTCTGTTAAGTAGTCAACGGGATTTTTTAATCCTTTTTGTGCATGAAACCATAAATCTTCCTAGTTGTTGAACCCGGAGGTGATAGAATGTTGTTCTACTTCTGCTTGAACCAGGAAAAAGTGCGCGATTGATATTATTTCTTGAGTTTAGTTTGATGTCACAAACTCTCAATGTATGTCCATCTCTATCATGCTTCATATTCATCTGATCATTTTGAAACATCTTTTTTCATTGTCTTTAGCAAGCGAATGATATGAATCGGGCAAATCTTGAAAGAATGGTTGGTACAGATGATTCTGCTTTTAACGGCTTAGATCTTGCAACCCTCATCAGGCAGAAGTATGGAAGATCTTATGATGTTCAGCTCATCAAAAAGGTATGCCTTTCTGTGTTCAAGAGAGTTTGTGATTCTGTAGCAAAACAATTTTAACGTCAAGAAGAAAGTTAAGACCTTTAATCATCTTCTTTTTAATTGCATGAATACAGAATCAGCTTTTGCTTATTTCAAATTTTTCATGTTCCTTATGCACTTTAAGTTTCTTGCTATGACCTTTGATTTTTAATGCCGAAAGATTTGTCGTTTTGATAGCTAGGAACTTAAATCATAGTTCTTAGATGTGATTAATGTAGGAGTTCATGGGGCGGAATCTTCTTGCGATGAATGTCATGTGGAAGTACAGAGAACAGGTAAGAGAATCCGCAGCTGTGATTTTATCATATAAGAAGCGTAATGATATGATAGTTGAACTGATTTCACTAAGCTTGTTGGAGCTTTTATGGTTATGATCTTCGTTTTCCACATAAAAAGTCAAGAATCTTTGCCACATAAAAAGTGATTATTCCATATTTTATTGGTATAGTTCTTGCCATTGGACGTGTAAGCTAATTCACGTTTCTTTCGTTCTTTCTTTTTCTTCAATGAATAGAGGTCTTTCCCTCTAACTGAAGAAGAATATATACTGAGACTCGACGATGTAGCCAACATGTTGAAATGTTGGGGAGCGGTCTCGCATATCCGTAATAGCCTAGCTAAGTCGAAGGAGCGACCTCGGATAGGGAAGGTGAGATCAAACCTAAACAGAAACCTTAATATTCAGACAAACATATAAGTGTAGTTAGAACTTAGAACCATACTTATCAAGATTTAAAATTTCCTGGGACATGGGGTGGTTTCTCCTCTTCATGCAGGCTGTGAGCATTTTCATAGACATGGATTCTACAGGGGGACGAGCAAACGAATGGATTTACAAGTAGAAAACCGACCAATTTACAACGGCTAAACCGAAGCAAAAGCAAAAGGTTTTGTATCTGAATTTTCCGTCATCAATTCATTTTCCAAACCTCTTCTGTGAAGGTCTTTTGCGGAGACAGAGGTTTGTGCTATATTTGATGTCTGAAGTCAGGTGGTATATATTTATATATATATAGACATGTGTGTATAACTTAGTAGATACAAATCTTTACATGAACTCTCTTTGTAAACTATCTCATGTGTTGCAATTGAATCCTCTTTGTGAATCTTCCACTCTCTTTGTGGAATGTAAAAGCAGCCACATGCTCAAATTTTTCTCATTTAGTTTTGGCATTTATGTTACGTTGGGACCATTCCTTAAGTATCTTTACTTTTTACAAGATATATAATTAAGTTAATCAAACTTCAAAACATGGCGTATATATGCTAAACATTGCATAAACCATGCTTTAAAAGTAAAACGTATACACATTTCTCAATAACAGATAAGTATATAGAAGTAATCATGTGTCATTCTATTTGTCGTTAGACATGAGTCATTCTATTCTGAAATGGTTACTTGCATTTCAGAAAGCATATATCATTAATTTTAGGTATGGTATTAGTAACCTAATCCACACAAATTTATAAGCATTGCTCCAATATTATAACCGTAAAAATACTTGTTTTTAATTTTTTTTTAGTTAAAGGCTACAAGCCTACAACCAACACTATGTTGGACTATCGTGATACTTTTTGATACAATCCATAATGATAATGCTTATCTTCATCATCATTATCATCACGCTCAACTCACCTCCACGTCCTACATCATCATTAAATTTGATGTTAAATTTCTCTTAAAATGAAAAAAAGAAAGAAAAAAAAGAGATCATCATCATTATCATAATTACTATTATGGATGATGTTGTCACATCACGATACACATCATGACTCACATTATCAACGTATGCTTCTTAACTTCATCATCAAAAGCATCCTCTCTTCTCATCACCACAACCACTAACAAGTAAAACATCTTCATCATCTTTACCATCCTTCATACATCATCATCATCACCCTCATTTGTTTAAATTTAATATAGTACTACATATTTTACTAAATAACAATTGTATTAAGATCTGGTTTATCATCACCAATTGACATAAAATTTTCAAACTTAAAACTTTGAACTAAAAGTTCTGATCGATAACAAACATATTCACGCACTTAACAATTGAAACAAAAAATCATACAATTATGTGTAATGAAAATTTATTTTGTTAAGTCATTCTGCTATAGCCTATAGCCTATAGCCTATTTCGCATATTTTTGTTTTGCGCCGTTGAGTCATGTGTAGTAATAATTTTTCTGAATGATAAAGTGTAGTGTTATCACACATCAAATTTCGATTATAATTTGTCTTACTTAAAAAAAAAATATTCCACTTTAAAATTCGAGCGAAAAGAAAATTATTTATACAATTCGAATGTAAGAAGCAATCTTTGGAGCTAGATTGACCCAAAAGTAAGGTGAAAATACAAGTTCTTCTCTTTTTTTTACTACACTCTCTCAAACATTTCACAAACACACACAACCAAAAAAAAACCAGAGTCTACACAGAACCACAATTCTCCGGCGACGAATCCAACGAACCCGGCTCGAATCTCTACTTCATCGACGGCGATTCCCCCGTAGACGGCGTTTCATGGTCGCAATTCATAATCAAACTAGTCATCGTCTTCCCGATTTGGAGCAGTAGAGAGAAAATCAGGCCTTCCTTACAGTGAAAAAGTCCAATTCGTCTCTGAATCGGTGATCTCGACGACTTCGAAGATACACCGTAGCGTCCCAATCTGTTTTCCCAACGCCGGAATCAGACTCGGAGTTGAAAAACCCTAGAGACGCATGGTTGATTGGAGTGGCGATGCACCGGCAGGGCTCGTCTCCGATCACGCCGTCAAGCTTTAGCGCCGCCGTTTCTGTTGCAGCTGACGTCTCTTCCGCTCTGAACAAGTCTCCTTTGTCTCATCCGATTACAGTGACGCCGATTTCCGCTGCTTACCCGTCCGGTGATCCTATGCTGATGATGTCCGCTAATCCTCTCGCTAGGGTTCGATTATCTGACATTCTGCCTTACGAAGGGGCTCCTTCTCCGGCGTACGCAAAAGCCGTTGAGTCTTTATCTGTGTCTTTGATGAGGTATAATGCTTCCGTGATCGAGCTCGGGAGCAAAGACGCTGCACTGATGCGATGTGGCCTTGAAGCTGCTCGTTTGTATTTCAGAACGAGAAGCTTTAATGTTTCTGGCAAAGGAAATCGTGGCCTCTCTATGTACAGAGCCGGAAGGTTAGCTATTGATCTTTCCTCGAGTGGTCACTGGTTTTGATTTTGTAGAAACAATTGGTTTTTGCGCTTGAGTTGGAGTCTAATGTAAGACTGTTTGTTTTTCTCATCTTCTGAATAGATCTGTTGAAGATTTAGATTCATCGCCTCCATGCATGGCTGAGATTTTCCGGTGCTTGGGTAAAGTAGCACGAGCTGCTTTATCTGCTATAGCAAGGCATCTACGTCTAAGAAGCGAGTAGGATGGTTATGATGCGTTAATCTCTGATTTACTTCTGCCACTACAGTTTTACATCTTTCCTTGTATTAACTTATATAATGGGGTTCTGTTTTGCAGTATTTTTAACCATATGCTCGACGACTTTCCATTAGCTCCGAACGAGGTTTCCTCGTCTGTGTTGTTGGCTTCCTATGCTCCTGCATCGATCCAAAATGGAAAACCTGCTTCTGGAGGTGGGAATCTATCCACAAATATTGAAATTGAGAAGGGTTTGTTGACACTGTTCTGCTCAGATGGCTCTGGCATTCAGGTCACCTCTATGAACTTTCTTTGTGTCGAAGGATACATATTTTTGCTTTCATTATAACGAGGAACTTGATGTGAAAACTTGAATATGTTTTATCTTTCGAGGAACAAAATAGTTTCTTAAGAATACTTTCATATGAATCTGACATGATCAGCCTTAATCCTAAATTTGTTTGTTTGCTTGAAAACACCTTTCCATATATAGAAAGTACCTTTGGCTATTTTTGGTTGTCTCTGAAATTTCTTCTATCCTTAGGTATGTGACCCAAATGGTCGTTGGTACGCAGCAGATAATGGATGTGGGGTTGGTGATCTCTTACTGATTACTGGCAAAGCGCTTAGTCATGCTACTGCAGGTCTCCGTCCGGCTGCCTCTTATAGAGCTACTACTGATCATTTGTCTGGCACTGACACTCGCGGAAGGTATGTTTTGAAGAGATAATAAGCTTTTCCTTGACAAACTTCATGACAGCTTTTCCTTCAAAATTGTATGTAATGAGTGCATGCTTACATATTTGGTTACATTGTTGAACTTTTCACTTGCAGGGCATCAGTAGCCTTTAGGCTTATGCCGAAAAGTAATGCTATATTAGATTGTTCCCCAATAGAAGCAGCTGGCCACGTAATTCCTCAAAGCTATGTGCCAGTATCTGTCAGTCAGTTTATGGATAACCTCTTGGCCGAGAATGACACTCCAGTTAGTCCGCTTGTGAAAACCAGTGTAAGCTAATCCTTTCTTACAATACTAGAAATAATAGTCTAAATTGTAAAAGTACATTTAAACGTACAAAACCTTGATATCTGTGAAGTTCTATGCCGATAGTACCCATATCCTTTGACTTGACATTTGGAGTAGAAATGTATAAAACGCTTTTTTTAAATCATATGTCGTGAGTGTTCTTTCAGATCATGCACTTTCATCTTCTAGATACAAATCTTGATATAGATTTAACTAGCCGATGTGAAATGCACATTACATTTGTTCGAGGCTGTCTTTTCAATTGAGTCCGATTCATGATTGGCAGTAGCTCAATACCATAATGATATAGGTTTCTTTGTTTGATGTTAACTGCTCAGAGCACAAGGTCTTATGTCAAGAGATCTTCTTCTGAATTGTGGATGTCAGGTTTCACGAGATGATGTTTGCAAAGAGCCTTCCTTGAGAAGTGTTCTCTCGGATCCAATTTCGTGAGTACCATTTTTTCTCTTCATGTATATTATTATTATTATCTAAGACGAAGAAATCTCCTCTATTTTTTATGGTTTGTTAGGATGAATTGCTTAGCTACGTTAATCTGATATCGGCAAAATATCGGCAGTGAAATGAGGGTTCTAATTCGTCTGTTTGCAAACTCTTTGATGTTTAGTGGTGCTTTTCTTGAAGATGCAATGGTTGTCTCTTGTGGACATTCATTTGGCGGCCTCATGCTTAGAAGAGTCCTTGAAATGGTTGGTGTTGGTTTCCTTCGATTCTATTAATATTGTTAGTTTCATGTGATGGTTCCTCCTACATACGCAAAAATATTTAGTAACCACAATTATATTCTGCACAGTCTAGATGTACGCTCTGCCATGCAGAAATTGAGAATGACTCTCTGGTCCCAAACCATGGTAATTCCCATAAAACTTTAGTCTCCTATTATGTCTTTTCCCGACATATGAATCGATCAACAGTATAGTCTTCTGAGCTTTGACATAGACAAACAACCCTAACCAATTTTTTTTCTTATGTGAAACACCTAGCTCTTAGAGCTGCCGCTTCAGCTATAAAACAACAGGATGATAAAAGGCTTTTCCACAACGCAGCCATGCGGAGGCGTAGAAAAGAAATGAGTGATCAAATGGATGTGGTGAGATAATCTGACACCTTGCTATATAATGTTGATTGCTTTGTACGTCTTTGGTGGTTTCCGGTTACATTTTTATTATCTCCAAGCTTATCAGTCTGCATCATCATCTGTTTTCTGATTACCTTAGCTTACATAATTGATGGACCTCTGATAAATGTTACGACTTGATCCCTAATTTCTCCGTGCAGGAAAATGGAGATCCAGCTACGGATGATGGATTACAACGAGTGGTGCATTATCCATTTGCTGTTAACGAGAAAGTGCTAATCAAGGTAGGCCATTATTTTCATATATTTTGGCCTCTGTCGCTTTTGGTTCCAGCACTAGCACCTACTTTTGGTTCTAGCTCTCATGAAACACATTTCCATTTGCAGGGAAACCGGAGAACCCCGGAAAAGTTTGTTGGAAAAGAAGCAATCGTAACATCTCAATGTCTCAATGGCTGGTAACTAACTATAAGAGCTGAAACAAAACTATGCTTCATAGGGAAAGAGAGTTATTGAGTTCAGTTCTCAAAGTAATCCATTCACTGTTTTTTTCTTTTGATATTAGGTATCTGTTAAAGATTGTCGAAAGCGGAGACAACGTGAGGCTGCAATACCGATCCCTAAAAAAGATGACGAACGAAGACAGAGGAGGAAGCCTACATGTTCAACCGGTTGAGAGCAATAGCTTGTAGAATGTAATCATCATATTTTACCCTTTTCTTTTCTTCTTATTCTGCATTTCTAGAAAGAAAAGAAAAGGTAAAATATCTTTTGGGGTTTGAGTTTCTGCATAATTTTGAATCGTTTGGTTAGAGAAGAAAAGTAGTGAAAGACTGTTGGAAACTAAATTAGCCTCCTAATTATTAGAGGGTTTTGTACAGAACAAGTGTTGGAATATAAAGAAAGAAAAGAACTGGTTTACTCTTGTTGATGATGTGCTTGCACTGTTTTGGAAAATTATGAACAGAGCAAAAGTGTTTTCAGATACGGAATTGGCCAATTTCACCGGATAAATACCATAGAAAGCATACTAAGTAGCGATCTCTGTAGCATTCCGATCATATTACTACTACGTTTTGAAACAACTGGTATTCTCTGAATTTACCGTAAAAGTCCCACAAACACAAATCTATGATATATAAGATCCAACATAGACGATATTAAAAAAAAAAAAACGGGTACGAGAAAAGTTCTTCTCCACTTGAATTGATTCTCTTCTTCCCCCCAAGAAAAAATAATATTTCTCAACATCCTCGGGCTTTTTGTGTATATTCGTTCGGGTAAACTTTATATAGGTGGGCACAAAAAAGGGTAAGAAACAAGTAAATATCTCTCCTACTGCAAAAACAAAGCTTCTAAGTAATCGTCAACGTAAGCTAAGCAAGGCCAATGATCTGTTCTTATATGCACCAATGTCGATCCTTCACCAACTTCCATTTCAAACAGCAGATGATATCTCGGCGGCAGAAACATCAGCATCTTTATCTTTCCCAATTTCCCTCTGCTCCTCGTCATTGGAACCTCTTGATCATCTCCATATCCAATGTATGTCAGACGAAGAGGGCCTCGGTTAAATCCCACCGAGGAGGAAGTAGACCGGCCTGCATTTGCATGATCCCCTTCATCTTCTTCTTCCTCCTGCCACACAATGTTCTCGATGATTCCTCCTTCTCTTACAATGTTCACCAACTGTTCTCCAGTGATAGCTACCACAAAGGGCGCTAAGTGAAGCTCGCTGGCCTCTACAACAGTTTCTGCAGGGACTTCAAGCAGTTTCACTGACCGAGTCCCGCTGATTGCTGCAGCGGTTTTGCCTCCTTTTAATGCAAATGTTTCATGTGCGGTGCTGGATGAAGAACCGCACACTTCCCACAAAGCATTGAATAGATCTGAGTAGTAGCCCGGTATTGTATCTTCAGGCTCATCGGGTGGGGCAAGAGCTTTCAGGAACATGTCTTCTATCCCCACAGGAACACTCTCGAGTTTTCCCTGAATAATCTGGCCATTCTCTGCGTTTGCTTCCATGGAAACCTCAACCAAACCCGGTGTTGGTTCTCTAGGTTCCAATTCAACTGTTACAGGTACTCCTCGCAAGCCATTTTGTTCCTCCTCTTTCGGTGTGTTTTCTAACAAGACGATGTCCAAAGAACCTTCTTCATTGTGTGCATTCTTGTTCCAATTAGGCTCACCGAGGAGGAAAGGTATGCGGCACGATGGAATAGAACCATAAGGTGCTGAAGATGAGAATTTGAGCACGGTCGCGAATATCGCAGGAGGTGAGTCGACTTTTTCTAACTCGGTACTCTGAGTTTGACCGCTCCATATGCTGCTATATGTTTCAGCATCGAATCTCAAAGCACAAGTTATCCTCACCTTGATTCCAGGCATATGTCTAAAATCAGGAATCACTGAGAAATATCTTCTTAACCTTTCAAGGATTTCTGCAATCTTTGCGTCCATCACCCTCAATGTGGGCTTCCCTGATTCAATTCTTCGAAATTCTGGCAAAATCTGGAGTTCTTGACTGCTATCCGGCTCAACTTCGTCTACCTGAATCTTGCTTTCGATAATGCTATATCCATCATTTCCAACACCTACAGATGGTAGAAACAACGACCATGACTGTTTCACGAGTAGGGGAGTAACCCGTTCAAGATGAATATAGGATGAAAGATTCCAAGATTTGTTAGGATCATGACGAAAACGAGGACTTTGGACATTAAAGAACGTAGATGGATGAGTTGATGTAGAGACGGCATCTGCAGGCTTCAAAATGTTCTTTATCCTCCGTCCTGGTATACAGACTAGCATCCTCAGATATATCCTGCAATGCAACGATTTAAGAGGTTGAGTTAACGCAATCTTGATTCATAAAATGTAGATAGTGTGTGCCATGGTCATACCTAGCATTGTCTCGGACCTCCAGATCAGGGAAATAGAGACACATGAGAGAAAGAAGGCGAGAGAGTCCAAGAAACAATCTAGAGCTCTTATGGTGACTCAACAGTGTTCGACAAATGCCAAGAACTTCAGTCCCTTGATCCCACAGTTTCAATCCCACATCAAACCCGCGCTTATTAACAAGTGAAACCACAAACTTCGTAAGCAACTCCATCAAACGATAAGGAGGTATTGTATCATTCTCGGCAATCCGATGGAAAAGCGGGAAGCAAGCTGTTAATAAATTGTTTTTCTCAAGTTTGGGAAGCAGTTTCTCATCGATTGTCTGAAGAAACCGCTCTCCTAACCACTGATGCTTTTGACAGTTTATCAACCGCTCAATAAAAGCCACAACAACAGGGACCAAGATTTGAAACTCCAAAGTCATGTCCACCAGCAACCCCTAAATTAATTATAGAAGATAATCAAAAGATGAAAGAGTATCTGAGAGCAGAAAATATTCCTGAAGGTCAGCAAATAAATTGGATCATATAGATTAAAGTTATATAGAAGTGAAAGCGCGATTAAGCAAGCGAAGATAGCAACAGACCTGCAAGTTTTGGAAAAGGCTGGACTCCATAAGACTTATAGAAGTGGAAGGGTCAGAGTCGGAATGTGTAGATGAACATATCAGAAACTTGTGTAGCGTACGGAATGCTAACGCAGTTTCTGAGCTCCAAGGAGGCAACCATTTGAAATCAGAAACAGATACCAAGCAATCCTGCAATAAACCCGCTGCAGATTTGCTGTTATCACCTCCACTAAAAGCGTTGGAACTAACAGAGCACTGTACCAGTAGATCAAGCTTCAACGCTTTCAAAGCGAGAGGATCAAAAACAACAGGATGAAACTTCCGACCCATCTCGAGTACCGATTTCCTCTTCTCAAGCTCCCCACTCAACATAAGCTTATTCAACAAACCCATTAACCAGTGAAGCGCAAGCAAGCGGAAAACAAGATATATCTGAGTCTCCTTGGAGAGGAGCATAAGACGTCTCATGATATCTTTCTCTTGTCCTTCGAACGCATCAGGGAACTTAGAATACATAAGTAAGACAACATGACAGAGCATAGGATCAAACGAATAAATCATGCCCAAGAACTGAACTTTCAGCATAGAGGCCTGTAACTCCAATGCCGATGCAAGTGGCACCACCATTCCCATAAACTCCATCATAGCACAAGACGTGAATAGATACGGCGATTCCAAAAGAAAAGCCAGTGTTCGTCTAAGTTCCTTCTGATCTGGCCCCAACCCCTGACTCTGACCTTGACCAGAATGTGAACTCTCATCCCGCATCCAATTGGGAGCATTGAAAGGCACAAGAGGCACAGAGGTACTAAGAAGTGAAACCCTGAGCTTCTGATTGACCACGTTGTAAACAACAGTGGTGAACAAGAGAAGGTAAGATTGCACGGCGTGGGTTCTCTCCGTCTGGCACAGCGACCAAAGATGGCCAGCGACATCGGAGAGCAAACCAGGAAAAGCTTTCTCGAGCTGGCGTAAGCACTCGCACGCGATGGCACGAGCTTGTCGGTCAAACCCGTGGTTGGGACGATTAACGAGCGCGAGGAGCAAGTCGACAACTGATTCAACGTGACGTAGGGAGAAAGAATCAATCGAAACAAGCACCGACGTGAAAGAGATCATAGCCTGCTCTTTCAATCCGGACGATCCATCCGTCGGAGATTGCACGATCGCACGAAGAGCATCGATGAATCGATCAAAAGTCTCGCTACCGCATTTCTCGAACAAAACCTCGGAAAATTCGTCGAGAAAGACGAGGATTGAGAGCTTCACTGGCGAAGGAAATTCCTTTTTGAGGAGAGAAGAGAGAGCGAAGTCCACCAGAGAATCAATCGAGAAGACGGTGGTGAACCAGTCGCGAGGAGAGCCGGCGTTCTGGAAATCCTCGATAAGAACGTCCCAATCCTGGACAGAGAGTGGTCTCGCCGGAGACTTCTCCGGTGTCATCGTCATCCTCCGATCGAATCTAGGATTTGAATCTGTAGAGAAATTAAATACGATGTCATTTGAGAGAAGAAGATAAGACAACCCCTTGTCGCCGGTATCACTCCGAGAAACAGAACATTTCCAGAAGCTGACTCATTATCTAGTTATTTTATTAATTTTCCATATCTTAATTTATTTGTTTGTCTCTCTCTTTTTCTTTCTACAATAATTATTACGAATTGTAAGTAGAGTAACTTGTATAAATGTGCAAAGAAAAACACTTTATGTAACTACTACGTACATACGGATATACCGATTTAAACATATATTAAGCCTGTAAATTCTCTTTTCTCTACAATCTATTTATAATCTACATTTACAAATAATCAAAAAGTAATTTCATTTCTGACATTTGATAACACAAGATTATGTAATTTATATAATTATTAAAATTAGTGAATTTTGGACATTGGAGTACAAATCAGCTGTGTTTTTGGCACTAACCAGACCTATTGAGGATAAATCACCAAAGGAATGACTAATGAGTAAGAAGGAACTTTGCATCAGAACGCCAATTTGAACAGCGACTGCGTTGTGAACTCGCATCATATACTCATCGAAACGCTGCTGTTTGCGATTACTTCTGGTCATTTCGCATCATCAGGTTTTTGGCCACCAGCTACGCTACTGGAAGAACTGTTGTCTCTGACGCTCGGAGAAGATGAACATTTGCTAGAATGAGAGCTTTCTTCTATGGAATTGTTGCTGTTTCTCTTTGATCTCTTCGTCTTCTCTGGCCTTTGCAATGTATCCTAAAATACACAGAATTTTTAGTAAATTACAAATCCTAGCTTTTCTAATTCAGCACAAGTTCTTTCCAATCTCTCCCACCTTATCAGAAGTAGATCCAGGGGTTTTTAACTCGAGCTGTGTTGCAACGTCGTTAGAGTCCTCTGCTTTCTCGGATCTGCTCTCTCTTGAAACCTTTGTTCTAGGTTCCCGAGAACGGTTACTCGGATTCTGTGGTATATGTACGGATTGTTGTTCAACGACTGTGTTAGGAGGCATATACGGCATGTATGTAGGACATGGAGCTGGGATCATGCTAGGGTTCTGGTTACCAAAGTATGTGTAAGATGGCATTGATGGATGCATTGGGATTGAACCGGGAGGCATAGCCATAGGCATTGGGTATGGAAAAGATGGTGGAGGAGCCATCATGACCGTGTGATCCATCGCAGCTCCCCATGTAGACATTGACCTTAATCTTTGCTGGTATTGAAGATTGAGATTCTCTATATCCGACTTCAGGGACGTCTTCTCTTCTCTTAGGTCATTCTTCTCCTGTGTCAACTATAGAGAGAACAATTGTTATACATCCACCAGTAGCTTTTTGCTATTGATAAGAGGTCCTCTAATAAGCAGTTTCAAGGCTGTTGATTTGCATCTTACGATCTAGGTGAAGTGTCTATATCATAAAAGGCAGAACACAAGTACTACATATCTAAATCTATACGTCATATATGGAATACTAACTTCTCCAATTGGATAACACCAGCGAGTAAAGGATAGATATGAACCTCGCGGGACTCATCCGTCAATGTGGTGTACTCAAATTTCAGTTTGTTGACTTCTGATGTGAGCTCTTTCAACAATTGAACAGTATCAGTCAGAATTGTGGCTTTGTCATTCTTGGGTCTGTCTGGATCTACAAAAAGAAGAGATTTGTGAGGATCTAAATGAATATTGTCACAGAAAATCCACATAAAGTTTGAATCTTTACCGAGTACATTTCCCAGCTCAACAAAATGCTCATTCAGTTTTTCCCTCCTCAACTTTTCACGGCCTGCTTTTTGAGACTTTCTAGTAGAAACGTCCATGACCTCTGAAAACTACAAAACATAACGCCAAATTTTAGCCCCGCTCTTAGACACCTCTGAGAATTTAAAACCACCATAGCAGCAGAGCAAAGACACATGACCACACATTGTTGGCTCACAAAATGAGTCTTGGTATAATCAGAAGACATATATGATTCTCTTTCTAGCCAAGCTAAACTACGTACTTAGCAATCTCTTGAACCATAAGAGTCCTAACTCAGCCCTTCAAGCTGGTTCTAAGATCTGATGATTGATTAATTCTGAGTTCCTTCAGCATATCTTGTTGCTGTAAACTAAGCATCATAGATTTACAGATTGTTAATACGCACTGATTGCAAAAAGGTTTTTAGTGAAGCTCATCTCAAACCGAGAAACAAACAAATAAAGGGGAAATCACTAACAAATCCACATTCTTTCTAAGCTGGATTTAGCAATAAGATCTATCCAAAATCAAAAACTTAAAACTTACACTAGAACGTTTTTGAAGAATATAACGAAGGAATCTTAAATTAGTAATCAGAGATTCCCCTGACGAACTTACTACACTTTCATAAACTAGAGCTAGTTCAAAGCAACAACACCCTCGAAATTGAAATAATTCCTTTGATTAAAGAAGCACCGAGCTGGAAAATGATCGAAACCCTAAGGAGGACGATGTGTTGCAATCAATTGAAGACGATCTATTGAAGAGAACAAAAATCAGAGATTGAACAAGCTCACCGGCGGGGAAAATCGACGGCGACGGAGAGATTCGATGAGATAAGACAAGAAAAACTTCGGCGAGAAAAGATTCTCGTTCTAGCCCCGCTCTCTCTGCTCACAAGCATTATGCCATTTTCTCTTATCCCCTTTTTTCAATTATTTAATATCTTTTTACTTCATCCTTAATGACATTTTTCGTTTCTTAAATTTCTTTCTTTGATGACATTTAATTTTTTGTTCCACATGAATTGATTCCTATAGATGACACAAAGTTTGGATTTTGTTTCTACTTTTCCCTCCAACTTATGCATTTATCAAAACAGACCCTCAATAATTGGTTTTAATTAAAATTTAATATTGTATTAAATAAACAAATACGATGGTTTAGCCTTTTTTTGAAACAAATAGACAAATATTGTACAGTAAGAAACTGTTCTAAAAATAAATTAGCATTGTTATGATATCTGAAATGAATTTATGAACTTAATTTAAAATTTGATAGAATTTCGAATTTGTTTGATTAATATTGGGATTTGTTCTGGTTTTTAAAAAGTAGATTCTCCACGAACGATTTCCGTATATTGTAATATCGAAATCAAAGTTGTTTGTTTTTTTCCGCCAAAATAACGAAATCGAAGTTACGCTTCTGTAAATTAATAAATCTGCGTTTTGCGGAGCTGATCTTTACCTCTTCAAATTACGTACCCGAAACGAATATTTATCTTTACGAGAATACGCTTAAGATAGCTAAATTATTCAGTTAAGGGATCTTTTCACAAATGGATCACAATTTTGGCTGTTGGTGAGGACTAGAAGTCAGACTAATTTTTCAGTTCGTTTTCAGTTAATTTATTCGTTTGATTTTCGAACCAGACTCGACAAGACTTGATGGTTCAATCTCATTATAAAAATCTTACAAAAGACATCTGAAACAATGCCTAAAACTTACACAACCAGCTTTTCCACAGATCCGAACAGAGGATTGAGTGGGGAAGTTTCTTCATCTTCCTCATCACTCGGTCATCACCGGCATCGCAGCAACAACTTTCTCTATGATGCTCTTAAGCGCAGATGCGCTAGCAGAACACTTGTTATCCTCAAAGCACGACTTACCTTGTTCGGCTGCTTTGCAAAGCTGTGGATCCAAAGGAACTCTGCCTAAATACGGTACTCCCATTTCCCGACACATCCTCTGTGCACCACCTCCGTTGCTGTCAAACACTTCGGTGAAAGTAAAGACGTCGACAAGGTCTGGTGCGTGCTCTCTTATGCAAGCGATTACCTCTTCTGACACGTTAACGGTGAGGCCACTCTCTTTCAGCATACTCACGAACTTGACATCCTTTAACTCCTGAACCATACCGCTCATGTTCTCTACTACTCCTAGCACATGGACTCCAACTTTCTTGCAAAAGCTAATTTCTTTTCTGACATCGATCAAGGACACTTCCTGTGGGGTCGTCACAATGATTGCACCGTCGATCCCTGTGTGTTGAAGGTACTGTACGATGGAGATGTGCTCATCCGAAGTTCCTGGTGGTGCATCGACCACGAGGTAATCGATCTCTCCCCAGTTTACGTCTTTCAAGAACTGTTTGATGAGAGCGTTCTTGCGTGGACCTCTCCAGACCACAGCGTCATCAGGGTTTGGGAGCATGAAACCTATGGACATGACACCGAGGTTGTCTTCCACATACACCGGGGACCATCCGAAGTTGCTTTGGTGAATCTCGTGGCCTTCAAGGCCTAACATCTTCGGCATGCTTGGACCGCATATATCAATGTCCATCAGACCTACTTGATGGTCCATTCCGGCGAGGGCAAACGAGAGCTGAGCTGAGAGAGTGCTCTTACCAACACCGCCTTTGCCAGACAAAACCAGAATTTTGTGCTTGACAGTGCTCATTCTCTCTGCTATGCCAACCAAGTCTGAAGAAAACACAGCACAAATATCACCAAGTGAGTTAGAGACTCAAAAGCCACGGCGCTTCATTTCGACATCAGCATCAAACAAGTCAAACAAGTCATTGTTCTCAAAGCCTAGATACAAAATCAATAGAATACCAAATAACAAACAGATTCAGAAGCAATCGAACATGAATGATGTAAATCGGAGATAACAAGTCACAAAGATACAAAACGCAATCCATTTTATCGATCTTATCATAAACGAGCTCAGGAGAATCTGTAAGAATCTAAAAATCCAGAAAATCTCAACAAAGAAAACGTATTTTGTAGAATAAAAACACATGCAAAAACTTAATTAAAGTGTAATCGAAGATCGCATGGTCGAGAGAGAAACCTGGGTCAGGTCCCTTAGGGGCAGTGGCACATGCTTCCTGATTTGGGCAACCTGCGCAAGAATCTGACTTTCCAGCAGTTTCCGATTGAGGACCTGGGCAATCTATTCACCAGAAACCAAGGAACAAGAAGAAATTAGGTTAAACCCACAGATGAAGAGTAACAACAGCTCACGAGCTGAAGAAAAACTGAAAAATCAAATCAAATCGAATTGGATTGGATTGATTATTTGCTTACGTTCATTGGCGTTCTCTGGAATATCTCCGTTCTCCATGACGACTTGTGTGATTGCTTTGATCGATTGCTGAATAATCTCGCAATGGAACTTCGTTTGATATCTTAAACTCGCTTATGGCGGCGTCGGTCTAGAAAACGGCGACGTGTAGAGAAAGAAATCATTTCTCTCGTAAAAATGATTCTACACAAAGCCCATTATAAATTATTTATGGGCTCGTCTATTATTTCCCATGGGCCTTATCGAGTGATTCAAATATTGCAAATTTTTTGTCCTAAAAAGGGATTATAGAATCAACATTTTTGTCGAACATTTTGTTTTTAGGCTAAGAGGTCTTGAAATGGGTTTTACCACTCTTAGTCTCTTCTTGTTTGTTGGTTTTTTTAAAACGATAACTAAAACAAAAAATCGTCGTAATCTTGAAAACTCTTCCTTTCAGATGTTGAACTTGTATTAATAAAAAAAAAGAGTGGTAATGTTTTCTGTTTTTGTTTTAAGAGTGGTAATGTACTAATGTGTATTGAGACTTGAGAGTGGTGCATATTTTTTCTTCATATTTGCTTCGTATATCGTTATCAAATACATGGCTGGATTTAGATAATGATACAAAAGCATGTAGTCGACTTTATTCACAAACTTACGAGTCATACTCATAACCCTACACCTTCACATGCAATGAAAGTGAAACTCCCAACTTTGCAAGCAACTGATCTTATAATAAAAGAAGAAGAAAAATTCTTGAAAATAAAAAGTTGTATTACGAATTTTTCTGATATAATGCCAAGAATGGGGGAATATTTATAATTCACATAAAAACAAAGGGGACACACTAATATATGAGTCAATGTGTGTATGTATATATATATATATATGTATGGAGAGCATATAAATACATAAATTTTATAATACTACTTGAGTAGCGTAGTCCTTGGTTATGGACAAGTCAGAAGTCAGTTTATGAAGCATCATTTTCTCCGGTGGATCATGTATGTCTGATATCAGTTTTAACCTATAGTTCACTATTGGCAATTCAGATTTCACTAGACTTTAAACAAAATAAATGTAAAAACTCAACTTATTAGTATTCAGAGGCTTTTTATTGTATAAAATAAATGTAAAAGATCAACACTTTTTTGTTAACAAGGAAGTTTTGGGCATTTCAATATCCTTTTTACCCTTTGGTTCGGGACCATTATTTAGTATTACTTATTAAAACGTAAGAAAGAAAAATTTCCAAGTGAAGACTGGAAGTCTGGAACTTGGGAGTTGGGACCAAAGACTCGACTTCTTGTTTAAAAGAATATTTGAAACTAAGTGCATCATTTTTGGGCTAAGAAGATCTAACATATATTTAGAGTCAAACGAAAATCACAATTTTAAAGTTTAATTTTATATGGCACATCGTAAGCTTTAGAAAAATTCTAGTCCAATGGAATCGAGCTTCCTAAATATATAAAAGAAAACAAAAAAAGTAAAGAGTATAATGTATATTACAGTTAGAAACTATCGATCTTTTAAATTGTGTTACGAACTGTGTGGTATATAATTAATGCAATGTGATTAACTAGGAAACAAAAATTTATGCAAATGCCAACACGTCCTCTAAGACAGCGATCATGCCAAATGAAATGAATTTTCAATCTATTTTTGTGGTGCCATTGTTTGTTTGTTTGTTTTTTTTGTTCTTTTCAGCTCAGTGTAAAATAGTTTCTTACTAATTTATCCACCTAGCTTTTGGGGGAACCAATTATTTTAACTTGTTTATAATTATTTCCTCTGTTTTGTTCTTTGTCATCCTGAGCGCATAAAGGAATCAATGTTGCACCTAGTCTTCGCAAGTGTGGCGCAACCGCAAGCACCTGGTTTTCATTTTTCTGGTATATAATTATTTTTGTCTAATCGCTGATTAAAGCTTTAATTCACATATTAATAGATAATAAGTGCAGTAATTGGACCGAAAACACTGACAAGTTTGGAATCCAAACAAATTTTTGTCTATGAATCTTCCACTTTTATAGTATGCATTTGTTAGGAAAGCATCTCTTTTTAAACTGATATAATTTTTCTTACGTATATAATATTTAAATCACCTAACATTTTTAATTTATTTTATAACTGATTAGCTACTATCTACAAAACCTTTATTTTCTCTGGCCTCGTCACATTGGTTTGTGCGATGCACACTAAAATATATATGAATTTCAAAATACATATTGCGGTCAATGCAGTTAATAATTTCTCTTAAGTTCTATGTTTTTATAATAGTTAATAACTCCATTTGAACCAAAAATAGTGATAAGATTCGTCATATAGTGTACTTCTACGTTTGTATAATTATATAGAAGAAGGTAGAAAAGGATTTATATCTTTTTTTTTTAAAAGTAATGTATTATGAGATATAAAAATGGAGACGCCGAAAAAAAGATATATAAATAGCCGTTTCCATGTTATAACTATTATTGCTCTCTGAACAATACAAAAAGAGAAACAAAAGAAGAAGAACAAGAAAGCTCACAAGAGTCACTAAGCTTCATTCACCATCAAATGCAAAAGAAATTCACGCAATGTCTTTCCTCTGTGATCTTGAAATCATTCTCAATCACGAATTCACTTTCTTCGTCAATCAGGTAATAACTTAACTAATAAACCAAATCACATCTCCACTCTAATTCAAACCTAACTTTCCCTTGTCTCTCTGTTTTTTTTTTTGGTTTAGGATTTGATCTCAGAGTACTCAGGGTTCTTGAGGAAGATGATAAAACAGAGCAACAAGAAGAAGAAGAATCAAAAGAACAGTAGAATCATCCTCCATGTCGAAGATTTTCCAGGTGGGTCAGATGGTTTCGAGCTGGTTTTTAGGTTCTGTTACAGTAATGGAGAAGGAATCTCGATCGATGTCTCAAATGTCTCCATCTTGTATTGTTCTTCTGTCTTCCTTGAGATGTCAGAGAAACTCTGTTCCTCGAATCTCTTGCATCAAACAGAGAAGTTTCTTGAAGGAATGTTCTATTGGTCATGGAACGACATCATTTCTTGCCTCAAGAACTGCGAACAAGTGTTCCTACACGCAGATTCATACGGTCTTGTTGATAAGCTCGTTTTCGGAGTTTTAGCCAAAATCGCTCAGAATTCGGACATGAGTCAAGTATTTGCATCATCCTCGACGTCTTCCTCTGCTTCCGCCTCTTCTATGTCGCCGGAGACGGCAAAGAATAGGTCTGAATCAGAGAAACGGTCAACTCCAAAATCGTTTTCTTGTAAGACAAGCAATGAGTGGTGGTTCGACGATATGTCAATTCTTGGACCACAGGTTATCGGAAAGTTGATTAAGAGCCTTGGAGGTTATGATAAAGACAACAATAGCTTAGTCATAACAAGGTTTCTTCTCCATTACCTCAAGACAAAGCTCCATAACAAATCACACAACAAGCTCGAGTATGCAGGTTTAGCTGATACAGCGGTTCAAGGAGTGATTTTCGCTGGGAAAACCACGTTTTCTTGCAGGAAAATCTTCTGGGTTCTTAGGGTTTTATCGGGATATAGCATCAGCAAAGAATCAAGAATTGGCTTAGAGAGAGTTATAGGAGAAACGCTGGATCAAGCAACACTTGATGATCTTCTGATACCTGCAGGAGGCAAAAGAGAAAAAGGGTTTTACGATGTGGATTTGGTGATAAGATTACTCAAAGTGTTCGTGAGAAATTGCAACGCAGAAGAAGATCAGAATTTGAAAATACAGAGTATAGGGAAGTTGATTGATAAGTATTTGAGAGAGATATCTCCAGACCAGAATCTTAAAGTGTCAAAGTTTCTTGAAGTTGCAGAGAGTTTGCCAGATTCAGCTAGAGATTGGTTTGATGGAGTATTCAGAGCCATTGATATCTATCTTGAGGTCAGCTAATTTCTTCATTACATTTCTGATTTCTCTTGTTTTTTTTTTTGTGGGTCTATTTTTATCCAAATAAATGCATGTTCATGGGAATTTCGGAAAAAAAGGTCTTTTCACAAAATGAGGGAAAGAAAAACAAACTAAGTAGAGTGAAATAGAAGATGACAAGAAGCAAAACCACTTTCTATATAGTTTGGCTTTTTACAGTTCTCAAGAGATGGAAAAGCTTAACTTTTCTTGCTGTCTTTCTTATATTTATGATATCTAAAGATTCGAAAAAATCTGAGATTTTGCATATATGTGCATACATAGATACACGTGGAAGTATAAGTAGTGACCTTTGTGGGAATTCGTCAATGATGTCTTAAAATGGAATAACATAGGAATTTCAAACCGCAATCATTTACCTTTGGATTTTTATTTACTAAGTTAAAATATTTTGTCTATATTTTAAAATAACAAAACAATGAAATTTTTTACATTATACATTAACGTGTAAACTGTATACACAAACGAAAACTCACTTTCAATATGCAATTTTTTTAATAAAAAAGATGTTCGATAGCAACATCAATATGTTATGTGAATTTGTACAAATATTAAAAAAAATGATTTTCTTTTGAAACAAAAACAATAATTTAATATATGTAAACAAACCAAACGCTAATGAGATAAAATGGGGTACTATAAAAGTACTGTGTAATATATTATTCTAATTACTGCACATTCATGTCAGAATCTGACTATCTTGTCTGTCTATTATTTGACTAATTATTCTTGATTAGTTTTAAACAATACGAACAAGATTAGTTTCACGTGAAAGCTGTATTTATGTTCAATTTAAATGTGATTTCGGGAATAAAAATAGGACAATTCAGCGTCTGCTTGCTTTTTAATACTTAGTATTTTTGTTAATGTGTTATATTTTTGCTTAATAAATACATTATGAAGGAAAGGTTAAATTAATTAATTTGTCATGATACTAATTTTTGTTGCAGTCTCATCCGAATCTAGCATCTGACGATAGAACAAAACTATGTCGATGTCTAAACTACAAGAAACTAACATTGGAGACATGTAAACAACTTGCAAAAAATCCCAAGATCCCTCCAAATATTGCAGTTCAAGCACTCAAGTCACAACAATTATCCAACGAAATTCTACCACACTCAAGAGAAGACAAGATAAAACTAAACAAGAACAGGAATTCGCGCAAGTACTTAGAAGAAAAACCAATATTGGTGCGTCTGAAAGGATTTGAGATATCAGAGAAATTAGTTGATGGGTTTGACGACGATCTAAGGATGAATTTAGAGAGGAAGCATTGGAATAAAGAGACGGATCATTCTGAAAAAGTTTGCACGGAAAAGAAGAGTGAAGTAGTCTCAAGATTGGTGAGACATGGACATAATCAATCGAGTTCTAATTTTCCAAGGCTTTGTTAGTTAATAATAGTTAATTACGTCATTATGTTTTTTTTTTTGTTTTCTCTTTATATAGATCCAGATCATTATATAATCATCACATACATGCACGTCTCATGTGTGTTACAAGCTTTTCATGCAAAATAGATTGTAGTTTTCAGAATGCATATGATTGTCCTTTTGGATGGAAATAAATTATAGAAGTAAAGGTTTTGAGTTATTAAGGGCTATCCTTTATCTACACGCCAATCCTTTAAAAAGAAAAAAAAAAACTTTGTCTACACGCCGTAGAATTTTGGTCATCTTCACCCAAAATTAACTAATTATTAGGAACAAAATGTCATCTAGTTTCGAATTAAGTGCTTAAACAACACTCATTATTTTTCGAGCTACTAATACTTAACTAATAGTGTTCATATTTTAACAAATTTATTTGTATGATGTATAGCAAGTTTACTTTTTTATAATTACTATCAAATTTGAGGGAATTGCCAATGAATCAAGAAAAATGATCAGTTTACCTGTATACTCATCTGTAATCACTGGGAAATTCACATAGCAGGTACACATTTCGAATATTAGTCTAAGCATTAATTTTATATTTTCTGGCTATTTATAAAAACAAATAAAAAAAGCTAATGAAACAAACTATTAAATCATCAAGTTGTCCTTTCAAAATCATATATTGAGCATTATTTATAAAACAATTCAAAATCAAATCACGGGAGAGATATTTTCTTGGCTATATACGTCACATGCCCACCGAGCTTTGATATTCTTGAAAATGAGAGTCGCTTATGAATATTGAGATTAAACCACAAACATAGACTCAAACTGTCATATCCTAACATGCCCACTTTTGGGCATCTAACTAAAATGTACTTTACAGAATCTTAGTTTTCTGTTGTCACGAAAATAAACGTTTCACCAGATAGACCGAGCTGTAGTAAAAGTGATTAATAATGTTTTGGATTGATACCCCAATAACTTTCAGAAAAAGAAAATCCGGTAAACTAATCTTGACATTTCAGAATTCGCGTTTGTTAATCATAATTTTGTTTCTTGAATCTTGAAACACTAAACTTTTTGGTCAAGGCTAAAACAGAAACAGATCTCTCTTCATGAAAACCTTGATCTTTTACCAAATCACATATTTTGACTCGAGACTATATTGTCCCCAACAAAACTAAAGCATAAAGATCAGACGAAATAAAAAAACAAATAAACTATATGGTTGTTTAGTTAACAAAAATTAAAAAATACAAGAAAATACCTCCAAGACAGGATCTTTGTTATAGTTCTAAAAGTTAAAAATAAACACTTAAAAGAAGGTTGTTCCAAAAAAACAAAAAAAAAAGCACTTAAAAAAGATTGCATGGTTTGCTGTTCTATTAAGTATACAAAGCTGATTGATGAATGAGAAATCAAAAGAGCTTAGAATTGATCTTTTAACAATTGTTAAGTCTTGTAATCTCTCTGTTTCTCTTCCTTTTGATGGCTTTCTTGTTTCTGTTTCCTCAAAATATCTTCAGCATATCGGCGCCATAAGACTTCTCTATCATTTCTGGGCATCTTGCTGTAGCGGATATCGGGTTTGAGTAATTGTTTAGCCGTTGACCAAGAATTAAGCACAGTCTTTGCTTCTTCCGTCTGTTGAGAAGCAGCTTCCGATGACAAGACTTCAACTAAAAGAGCTTTGAAGTCATGTGCACACCGCTGCAAAACACATCAAGAACATCTTTATATAAAATAGACAAATGAAGTCCTCAAAGAGACCAAAAGAAAAAGTCGAAAATGCTGAGAGTTTAATTCGGACAGGTACCTCGTACAATGTCTTTATGTGGTCTCGGAATAGCTTCTCTTTATCAGCAGAATCTAAATCTGGATTAGAGGCGCGTTTTTGAGGATCCCTTTCAAGCTTCGGCTTAGATTCTGTCCACGATGCCTTCAGATGAGAGAAACAAAGAAAGATTTGACTGATCAATATCCCCACAGATAAGTGTAGCCATCTTAATTTTTTTAGAACCAAAGAGCAAGGAAACTTTAACCTAACTCTAATCTAATTTTTAAGATGTTTCAATAGAGGACTAAATGTACTCCTGCTGCTGCGCACACTAAGAAAAGCTTTAGCTCGCTGCATAAAAGAAGTAAGCAAAAATAATAATACCTCAGGGTCTCTGATCTTTTCCACTAGCAATGCTTGATAAGAAGAGACTGCCTCTTTCCTTCTAATTTTTTGGCGTACTCTTTCCACCTCTTGCACTTCTCTTTCTTTCCGTTTCCGCAATTCCCGCTCCCGTTCTCTCAGTTTATCCTGCAAAGAAGTAAATACATGCGTGTCTTTATTGGTTTCTTGCAATTAAGATAATCAAACAAAAGAAAGATCCAATTCTATATCTGCAAAGGCAAATAAATGCAAACTATATCATTAGCTATTTTGCAATTTGTTTCTTCCTGCACCACTAGTATGCAGAGTATGCAGAGAATCTGATAAATTTTGACTAAACTGTGCCTCAAAATCAGAATAACAATCAGTAATACCATGCTAGGAAACATGGAATGCGTGATTATCCTCACTTTAAAGCAAGCATAAGAGAGCTGCGAGAACCTTTGCAGATATTTCTCGCGGCTCACATGAAATGTGAATACATAAAAGTTAATTTACCTCTTCATCTCTGGCTTTCGTCTCATGATCATCTCCTCTTTGTGCAGCTTTTACTTCCGCAATGTACTCATTAAAAAAGACCTCCCTATCCTCGTGCACAGCAGATCTATACCTTGGATCATTTCTTAGACTATCCTTGACCTAATATAGTAGGGTAGAAAAATAATATCATATAAGTAGGTAGTGGTAGCATGCTAACCAGATGTGCCAATCAAGGGAAAACTTAGATAATATAAAATAACTAATACTAAGTAACTCCGATAGGTAGATATTCCTATAAGTACGGGGATAGAAACATGAGAATATGATTATTATCTCAAATGGCAGAAATTACTGAAAAACTTTGGAATATATTTCTTGGTCGCAGAGGGAAGAAACAAATATGTCACCTACCTTGGACCAATGTGAATTTATTGAGACTCCTCTTTCACGTAGCATTGTCTTGAAATCAGAAGCAGCAGCTGTGCGGATTTCTTGAGACTTTTGTTCAGCAGTGCGTTTAAAATGAAGGACTCTGCAACAAAAACAGGGAAAAACCAAGACAGATAATAAGTATAAGACACTAAAAACCCCACATGAAGATAAAAAATCATCCAGTGTAATTTTTTTCACATGAATAGAACTCTTAATGCAATATATACATGGGTACCTTTCCTTCAGCAAAGCTTCTCTCTCCTTCCGCTCAAGTGCTTCGAACCGCAGATCATTCCCCCATTTCCTTTTGAAACCATGATAATCAGTGTGTTGATCAATGTCCTGAAAAACATCAGGATGATAATAAATTCCCACAAGAGACTTATAGGTTGAGAATATCCAAAACAAAATAAGCAAAAAAGTAGCTCAAAGTAAAAAGAAACTCAGTTCATCATAAAATTTACCTTAGACGCTTCGTCCAGCAACTGCTTGAAACCTTCAACAGCTGCCTTATGAGCAGCACGCTTTTCCCTGCGTTCTTCCTCAGCACGCGTCTTTACGTACTGCTCGAATAAAGATCTTCTAACGGAATGACTTGGTATTGCCTGCAAGAAAAACGAACTCTCCAAATTAAAAAAAAAACAGCATCGAAAAAGTCAAGCCGAGGCACTATAACAGGCGAAATGAAAAACTAACACAACACTAAATACTCAGCATTTTAATGAGCTAACAAAGAGAGCGGGTAAACAGTTAACATCTTAAAGGCTCTTACATTCTCAAAGCTTTTTTAGTCAATATTGAAAGAAACCAAAAGCATAGTTCTTTCCCTACAACAAATGGTTAAGCTGGAATACAAAGTGCCAACATAGTTAGTCGAGAGAATTGGACTCTAAGATAAGCAAACTGGAAGTCATGTTCTGTATGTGATACAGATGTAAAAAAAAGAGAGCAGCAAAAGATCAGTGTAAAGAAAAGAAGATAGAGTAAGGATAGTATTGTCACGTCTTCCTGCACATAATTTCATTCTAGACCTGGAGCTAGGAGATCCATAGGAAACTTTTTTTGTGTTCAATTTGTACACCCAAAACGAATGGAAGTTACAATGGTAGCATGGACGCAAGTAAAATTAACTGGAAATGTACAAGTTACAAGTGCAAGCAAGGAAAAAAACTAACAGACGTGGACTATAAGAACATGTAAGATATCAAATATTGTTATGATTTTTAGGATTGACAAACCTTAAAGCGAGGGTCAAAGATAATTTTTGGCAGTTCCTTCTCCCATTTAGAAAACGGTGCTATTCCTCTCTCCTTGAGCATTTCCTGCAAATTTAGCAATGATAAAGAAATAAGACACGAGATAATGCATGACAAGTCAAAATAACTTAGAAGATGATGGTTCCAAAATTGAAAATTTCCACTAGACGTTGGCACCATCATCAATGGTACTTAAACATGCAAAGCATTCACGCATTTCACTATTCCAACAAGATCCATCTACAAAAAATACAAATTCCACTATATGATTTTCTCTTCTCCTTCGCTAGACTGCCTTAAATTAGATGCATCTGGCCAAAATATAACGTGCAGAAAGAAAGACATGAAAAAAACAAATCTATACCAAACACTATGTCGGAAAGGACAGAAAAGAAGACCACGAGAACTATTCATAGGTCTAGACTACACAATACCTTAAACTGTTTAATACACTCTTCCTTCGATGGTCCACTATCATCATCTTCGGAATCTGACGAAGAATCAGAAAGGTCACCAGCTTCAGGAGCATCTTTTACCTTACCCATACCATTTCCACTCTCTCCACTAGGTGTGACCTCAATTGCTTTACCACCATTTGCTTCAGATGTTGTCATCGATGAGACGGGCAATCCAGAATCATGTAGTTTCTTTTTAACCAAATCAAGTGTCGAGGAACCAGGAAAATTTGTAGTTCTGAGAGATGTGGCATCCCGACCACCATTGCTAATAGCAGGTGCGTTCAAAGTCGATTGATCCGAATCTTTTTCCGTTAAATCAGCACTTGACAAAGGAGCTAAACTCTCCGTAGACATCTCCTCTGTTTTCTTCGCCAAATCTCTAACCTCGGCCGGAATTTGCCAACTGCTTACCTGATCCAGGAAATTGGAGGATTCAAGAACACATCAGTGACATGAAGTAATGAAATGTTGAAATCAAAGCAACAAAATGTTGCCTCCTCTAAGTCATCTTTATATTTATTTACCTTTGTTTTATTGTTGTAGTAATACATTTTGCCATCATTTGTGGACACAAGAGCCCAATCCGTCCCATGTAAATTCTCCCTGCATTTGGTACAAGTTAGATGAGATATCGATGTTTAACCAAACTAAACAGTTTCTTTAGAAATATAAAAACCAATTTTATAAGAGAAAGTTATAATCTCAGTCTAAGAACTTACATAGAAACAGGAATTGGCTGCACCGGCACTTTATCAGGCTGCAAAAAATAAGCAAAAAGTATCGATTCATAAATTGCTCAAAAATTCTAAACGGAATACATTATTAAGGTATACTCAGACAATTAGCCTCCATAAGTTTTTGCACTACGATCAAATGCCAAGCAACCCACATTAAACGCCTGTGGATAACTTAGGGTGGATTGTAATACCGTTCACATGCGCTTACAACAAAGTTCAAAGTGGCTTGACAAATTTAAGCAACTATGCAACTAAAAATAATAAAGTTCAACTATTGCAGTAATTTTCTATAAAACAAAACTGTATACCAACTACAGAAAATAGAGATTAAGCTGTTTTAAGCGAACACTGGAATACACTGTTCAGCAGCTAAAGAATATATGACAACTACGACTTTAAGAAAAAGTTTGAATCACATCTGACATCCTATAACTTGGACTCAAATAGTCAAATATAACAAATGCGGATATACCTACTATAGATACGAACTCCTAAGTGACGTGTCGTGAAGCAAAACAGATCCTATGATAACGTATCGAATAGACGTAGTCTCAACTAATAAACAAGCAATGTCATCAGCTATACTCACCTCCCCTTCAAACCCAGGAGGCTTTTCATAGGTCGATTGCCCTGTCACCGAGTTATAATAGTAAACAATTCCTGTCTCGGATTTATGTGCAGTCCAGGCCTCCACCCGATTTCCTACTAGCTGAGAACCAGCTCTGTCATCTGCAAAATACAAGATGATTCTGATAAAGGGTATGTAAACTAGATAGCATAACCATTAAGGTCAAACAGCTCTTACATGGATCAGTAATCTATCATGAAACCTCGAGCATACCGATTCCTGAGAGTGCTTCTGTCTTTTGCCTGGGAGAAATATCAAGCTGATGGCCTGGTAACGCCTGAACACTGCCAGCACTTCCGATAGGAACGCCTCCAAGCGGTTGAGGACCAGAATATGGTAGGTGAGGAGAAATTCCACGAACTGAAAAAGGGTAAGAGCCAGGAAAAGGAGTAGGATGCGAATGAAAAGGTGCCCTGGGAATACCACCCATATGGGGAGGCTGCAACCACATTCCTTGAGGCGTTCCATGCATTGTAGGGTGTGAATGATATGGAGGATACATGTGCGAGTGAATACCAGGATTGATATGAGCAGGACCTGCAGACATCCCGGGTCTTGGAGTTGTAGAGAAAGGGTTGGAACCAGGAAAAGCAGGTGGAGATGTCATTAGTCCAGGAGGGGCGAGTGTTCCTGGTCGACCAAAAGGCGGATTTGGTAGCATTGGTGAAGCTTGAGGTATGGGATTAATATTTGAGGAGGCTGCTGCATTAGAATGCTGCACAGAAGATGAAACTGACTGAGAGACAAAAACTGTAGTAGCAACCTGCGCAGAAGCAAGAGAAACATCATGGAACCAAAAATTAGATGACCTGAAAACAGATGAATCAGCATGTGTTCTAAGCATATCCTGAACAAGGTTGAATCCTGACAAATTCTAACAGTTAATTTAACCAAAATGATTCGAGAGTGCGATATAAAAGACAGAAAAAATAAGACATGCATTCATCTAATTATAGGATCACAAGTTCTTGAAATAGGTTCTAGAGAAAACAACATCAAAAGACATAACATCAAGAACTAGAATGAACATAAAGCTTCTACAGGAGCTAAGCCGCACTTCGAGATGAAGATATTATGTAATAAACATAAGCGAAAGACCTGAGATACAAGAATGAACAACGTACAGACATAGAGGATTGGTCCTTCTGGTCCGGAAGAGATATACTCGAAGCAGTGGCCAATACTGAATCACTTGGAGAAGATCGGACGAATAAACCTTGTCCCGTAGGCGCCGCCGCCGAATTCAGCGGCTCAGTTGTATTCTCTCCTTCCATCACCTATTGAAGAGTGAAATATTCGGTGGGACGAGTATCAGTCGCCGAAGAGAAATTGAATTGCCGGCGGCTTCGGTCGTCGAAGCGCGCGAACGAAGAAGTTAGGGTTTAGAGTGGAGGAGGGATCAGAAGTCGATGTCGAGATTCAGGAGAACGAAGTTTAGCCGACGGTAAAAGATAGATCGTGGGAAGATAGACACGATGGACGGCTGAGATTACGTTCCGTCGAAAAAGGAAGGATATATTTTAATTTTGGAAATTTTTAGTTAGTTGACGGGAAGGACCTTATATTTTAAGTTAAAATGCTGAAGCGACCCGGTTTTAAAAAAATGTGCTTTAGCTACCCCTACGTCTATCATCATCTCCTTGTACACCGAAACCTAAATTAAACACGCATTATGTTATACGCACGTCGTGGCTAATGTCTTTTTGGGGTCAACACGTGGCTAATGTTTTTTTTTGGTCAACCACGTGGCTAATGTTTTAAATTCAAAAAGTATATAGAAAGCCTATTCAAAGTTTAAACATTAGAAAGTGAATTGAAAGTTTGACTCGTAACAATGAATTTAGTGACAAATAATTATTGACAATCCGACAACACTCAAAGTGTGGTACTTGTACTTTTTAGTGGTAGAAGACGGTAGCGAAGTTTCAAAACAATTATGTAAACATGAACTATTCACTACCACTCGCTAATCTATGGTCGGAGCACTAAAAACTTGGCCCAATAACTAAAATGTTCTTAAAGCCATTTTCTTAATATAAATTTAATTTTACGGATTGCCGACTTCGACCCACGTGTGGAAGATCAGTCCAAAAAGCCAAAGAGATTACGGGTAAAACTGAAACCATTCTTCTTTTAGGTCACCGACCTCTCAATATATCAAAGATAACAACAAGACCTAAACGTATGTGTTTTTAGGAAAGGTGATATCAACAATACAGAAGATGTAGATCGAATGGACCAAAGCAGAATATAGTGTTGAAAGTCATTGAAACAATGTAAAATATAATGTGATTTTTTTGTTTGTTTAATAATTTAATATAATGTGATTAGTCAGTCTTTTAACAAGAAAAAAAGGATTATTCAGATTATAATAGTATAGAAAAGAAAAGGACCATCAAAATAGTTTTTAATTACCGTGAGGAACTAATTATAACGCGCATAAAATAAAAAATGGCCTGAGCGGTCGTTATAGACGCATGTTTTGGGTCGCGTAGCTACAACCGATCACTTAGCCAAATCTCTCTCTCTCTCTCCCACATCTTCTGCATCTCTCGTCGCACTATTCCTTTCGAACCTTTTCGATTTTGAATTTCTTTCCCCGAAAACCCCAAAGGGAACACAGGTTTCCTCGCTGCCTTGCTGTGTTCAGCCTTTTATGCTGCTTTGAGACCTTCCGGTATTGGTCTTCTGGCTGTGTTAGCGACGGAGATACGTCAATTTTAGATGGAGCTTTCGCTGACGACGATTGACAAATGATTCCACAATCTTCTTCTTTCGATTTACTATCTCACGCTAATGTATCACGTCGTCTCTTCTGTCCTTGCTCCAATGAGTACGGCTTGATTGCGTTCTGCGATGGGTTCGCGAGGAGGCGGGTTCTCCGCCGGAAAATCAGAGTTCAGGTGGCGAAAGCGACCTCGAGGTTTGTTTCCTGCGGGATTCGCGGGGATTCGAAGAACATTAGGTTAGCGGATTCGGCGACAAGGGTCGCACGAAGCCTTGGGGTTGCTCGGTTCTCGAATGAATTCGAGGACGAGCATGAATCATCGTCGTCGCAGGAGTCTGAAATTCAAGGTGATCGAAACAATTTCACTAACTTTAGAGAAGACCCGATAGTGGATAAGCTCAGGACTCAGCTAGGCGATATCCATCCAATCCCGTCGCCGCCGATTAATAGTGACGCGATTGGTTTATTTGCTTTCTTCTTCTTCGTCGGTGTTGTTTGCGACAAGCTATGGGCGTGGAGAAAGAGGCGGAGGCAAACGAGTGGTGAACGAGGAGCCGGGCAATGGCCACAGGTTCCCACAAGCTTCTCGCTGTCCCTCGAGAAGGATTTGCAGAGGAAAGAGTCTGTGGAGTGGGTTAACATGGTGCTGGTGAAGCTCTGGAAAGTTTATAGAGGTGGGATTGAAAACTGGCTCATTGGATTGTTGCAGCCTGTAATTGATGACTTGAAGAAGCCAGATTATGTTAAAAGAGTTGAAATTAAACAATTTTCTCTTGGTGATGAGCCCTTGTCTGTTAGAAATGTAGAGAGGAGGACATCACGCCGTGTCAATGACTTGCAGTAAGTTTACACCTTGGTGCTTTTGCCTATGTTAGGTTACATGAAACCTACGGATGCAATACACTATTGCTCACTGCATCATTGAATTTTCTATTTGTTGGTTATTTTGGAGTTTGGATACTTCAAACTGTCTGTTCAGGGCTCAGTTTGTAGATTGCTTATGCTGTAGTTTTCTTCTTCGTTATAGGTATCAGATTGGTCTTCGGTATACTGGTGATGCCCGGATGTTGTTAATGCTCTCTTTAAAATTTGGTATCATCCCAGTAGTTGTGCCTGTCGGTATTCGGGATTTTGACATTGACGGTGAGCTTTGGGTTAAATTAAGACTGATACCGACAGCGCCTTGGGTTGGAGCCGCATCATGGGCTTTTGTATCACTTCCAAAGATCAAATTTGAGCTGGCACCATTCCGGTTGTTTAATCTAATGGGTACGAGTTAATCATGATTGTCTATTGCTTTCTCATTATCTTATTTATGTCACATCTTTATTTTTTATATCTTCGTAAAGAGTGAATACAAGGTCGTTTATTTTGGTGAATTGCTAAGCTGCTGACCATATATAGTGTGGAATGATTATAATATTATCAACTATTGCTGAATGATGTTGAAAAGGCAACTTTATTTTTGACATGAAGTACATGAGTAATTGCTCATATCATTTTCTTCTTTTTTGCATGAATGCTTTGGATGATAACATCAGGAATCCCTGTTCTATCAATGTAAGTCCTACTATGTCTGTTTTCATATATCTTTTTTCCTGAACAGAACTGTTTTTTGCAACTAATGGTTCAATACTGCACTGGTTAAGTGCTTCGTACTTGATATGTAGTTTCCAGTTCAGATTGAGGTCTATAGTTGTAAAAAGGAGTTTCGTAACTTCTTGTAGCTATATGTTTTTTTTTTTTTTTTATGTTCTTCCGTGAACTTTGGGAGCATATACTATAAGTTAAGTTGCAGTACTGGATAATTCTGATCAGAAACTGGTATTCGTTTTAGCTTTTTCTCTCTGTTGATTGTTCACCCTCCTCGATGTTTTGATATACCATTTTCTTCCCTCATTCCTATGCTTCCTCCCTTTCAGGTTCTTGACCAAACTGCTGACAGAAGATTTGCCTCGATTATTTGTCCGCCCTAAGAAAATTGTCTTGGATTTCCAGAAAGGAAAAGCTGTTGGGCCTGTTTCAGAAGACCTAAAATCTGGAGACATGCAGGAAGGGAACAAGGATTTTGTCGGGGAACTGTCTGTTACTCTTGTCGATGCCAAGAAACTTCCATACATGTTCTCTGGTAAGTTATACTCACTGGAAATAATTTCCTCTGCTTCAGTTCATTATTTTCTGGTAGTCTCTGTTGTTTTAGTGTCTATATATACCCCCGTAGTCATTGAAATTTATTGAGCAATAAAAACAAGCTATATAAATGCAGTCATCATAGTGAATTCTTCATCATTCACTTGTTTCTTCATTCAGGTAGAACGGATCCATATGTTATATTACGAATGGGTGATCAAATTATCCGCAGTAAGAAGAACAGTCAAACTACTGTGATTGGGGCTCCTGGTCAGCCAATCTGGAATCAGGTGAACTGCGTAAAATATCTCTATGGCTTATTCATTATCTAGTGGTGAATTAGTTTTGTTTTTATTGATTGAATTTTATAGAATGTTTCTGTATCGTAAATATTGTCAGGACTTCCAATTCCTTGTTTCAAATCCTAGAGAGCAAGTATTACAAATTGAAGTCAACGACTGTCTTGGATTCGCTGATATGGTTATTGGTACCGGAGAGGTAAATAATCTTTCTTTTTAACTTGTTTGTAATCTGCAAAAGAAAAGCTTGATATGTTAACAGAAATCACTTGTCTACTTCTGTGTCAATAAGTTTCTGCTCTGATAACTTGTCACTCTCAGGCTATTGGCTGCGTAGCAATCGCTGCATTAATTTCCAGGAAAATAGTGTTGAATATCAAATTTGTTGTCTGGATAACCTTAATACTTGAGAATACATCCAGGTTGACCTCGGATCACTGCCAGATACGGTTCCTACGGACAGAACTGTTGTTTTGCGAGGCGGTTGGAGTTTGTTCGGAAAGGGGTCAGCTGGAGAAATACTACTGCGGCTTACATACAAAGCATACGTGGAGGATGAAGAAGATGATAAACGCAATGCAAAAGCGATTATTACAGATGCTTCAGATGATGAAATGTCGGATTCGGAAGAACCTAGCTCATTCGTCCAGAATGACAAGATTCCTTCTGGTGATCTTAGTCAAGAATCATTTATGAATGTGCTGTCTGCATTGATTGTGAGCGAGGAATTTCAAGGGATAGTTTCATCAGAAGCTGGGAACAATAAACTTTATGAAGGTGAAACAAGCGTGTCACCAGCACCTTCAAAGGCTGAGGCGGACTCAAAATCTCAACCGGAAGATCCTGGCAATGGGGGCGTACCAGATTTGGAAGTGAAAGAAGCGAATTCTGATAAAGGTTCTGTTGATGATAGAGGTATATCGAGGCTGTCTTATCATGATTTCGCTTCTATGGCTGCTTGGTCTAAAACTATTAAGCTTTCTAATTTCAGGATTAGCATTATTGTGTTTCGGTGTAATCACATCTGTACTGGTGCTCGTTGCTATCAACATGGGCGGCTCAAGTTTCTTCAACCCGTAACATGGTGTTGTATGGATCACTAGCAATTTCTTTTGCCAAAGTAAGTCTCTGAACCTAGAAATGGACAAATTTTGCTACTTCTGCCTATGGTTGCCAATATCAGTTGAATCCACTTGAATAGATAAATGTAATCTCTGCATATAGTTGAGAACCAGTCTTGCAATCTTTTCTGAAATCATTGTATCGTTTTTGCTGGATTTATGCTGGGCGTAGTTTCTATTTTGGCTTTTCGTATTGATACTCGGAAAAGATTTTTCAGTTGGATAAATTTATGTATGTAAGGTGAAATGACGGACCACAGTTTCCGTAATGGATTCGGAGAACGTGGAATACCGTTTGCAATAGAAACTTAAAAACGAATGTGGTGTTTTTGAAAGATCGTGCTGCTGTTTGCATTTATAAGTGTTGATCCCATTGGTGAATGACTAACCAAAACCTCTTTTTCTAATGGCAGGTTGGTTAATTTCCTCTTCTCGGCCTTAGAGATGGCTTATAATGAGGTCTCAGTTTTGGATTTGCCGTTGTATGCACTATGCATGTCTTTAGAAGAGGAGTTTTTATTGGTGGCGGAAAGTTTTAGGATCTATTTCACCATTCTCTTACATTTGTGAATCTACATGTATACCAGTGGTTTGTTATAGTACAAATGATTCAATTTAAATGAAGATTGTTTTCTGCAAGGAAACAATTTACTTTTCTATAACACATAGCACAATGAAGCCTACCAACTTGTAGGCTTGAGAGAAATGTTCTTCTGGGATTTATTGGTGGAAGGTTACACTTGGAAGTAGTAATAATGCTGTTCAGTTGAGCTTTTATCTAGTTTTGCTTATTTTTCAGATACAATAACTGTAGAACTCAGTCATGGATGTGCTTTTCTGGAGGAGGAGCAAGAGTTTAATAAACAAGGTACATTTTATCTTCTTTCTTTCCTTGGCTTCAAAACTTTGTCTTGCTAGATCATGTTAGGAGGGTGTTAAAGTTCTTCATGGCTCTGGAATAGCTAATCTCTATTAAGTACTATTATCTTGCCAATCTTCTCATTCTTAATAGCCCATCATCACGTGTCTTACTGGATCCAGCTCAAGATATTATGCAAGATTCCTTGCTTTTATTTTCTTTGAAATAGCATTTCTCTCTTTTTGTTTGTTTGTTTGAAATAGCATATCCTGAAAATAGCATTTCACAACCCGCAACGAAGGGAATGAACGTGGTTCCATATACTAATATATAGCTATGATTGCTTCTTCGCTTTTTGGTGTTTGCGTTTAACATTTAAAATATTTTAAAATGTAAATGAAAATGCAAATGCAAACTGTGAAATGCCTGTATCGCGTTTCTCTCTAGGATATATTAGCAATTTTGTTGCTGCTAGACATGCTGAAAATAAGATTGGCCTATGGTTATTTTTCAGGGCTAAAAGCTTAAAAAACCAAGCTAGAGGCGCAAGAAAGTTTCCACTTTGAGTTCTTCATGGTCATATTTCAGAATATTGTTGGTAAGTGGATTCCCTTCAATTATAAAACAACAGATTTGCGTAACTCTGGATTTAAAATTTGAGTTTGGTAAGTCGTAACATTGTATCGTCTAGTGAAAGGCCACACCACAGCAACTGAAAAGATATGTTTCTGATATGATTGATTTGTTAATTGTTATTGTTAAAATGTAAAATCGTGGGTTATATAATGTTAAACTAGGACATACAAGTTATAACATATCGTGTTTTTAAAATATATCATTTGATTGCACGTTAGGACTTAAGAGGACAATTAGATCTACACTTATAAGATTATACTGGAGTATATGCAATCAAACGAAAAGTAAAATAGTAAAATATTAAGGGGATCGTGGGTGCATTTAAGTAAAGGCCAAGTGACAGGAAACATAACAATAATCCCATAATTAAAAGAGATCAATAAGTGAGAAAATATGGAGATTAGAGATGATTACTAATAAAGAAAAAAAGAAAAGAGAAATCACGTGAAGGAGTTGAGATCACGTCAGGCACATGTGTGGGCAGTTCTTGTTTCCCCCAACACTCTTTGGTTTCTCCGTTCTCTTTTGTCTTTTTTACTCTTATTTTTTTTCATCTATTTTCCAATTGTAACTTCAGTTACTTCACTATTTCTTGAATATAGTAATGCTAAATGTGATCCCTACGAGATCGAAAGGAGGAAAGTGTTTAGTCAAAGCTTATTATGCGCTCCAATTTTCACAAATCACAATTTCTGTCGCTTAACTATTGTTTCTTCAGTGCATCTAAAATATGGATGAAACTACGAATTATATGAATACATAAAGTTTAGTTGGACAACGACGATTTCTGATGGAGAACGCATGGCTTTACTTGCGTCAAAGCAAATCGTAATGTCGTATATATATATATATATATGTATAAAACAACATTGGAGCTGTCAAAACATTGGCGTCCCCATTTCCAACAAATTAACCATTTTCTAAATTTGTCAACATATGTATTTTGCAGACCACATATGATCTGTTTAAAGGGGGAAAAAAACTTGTCAAACGTGAATCAAATATAAAGGACGTCTAAGTAAAAAAAAATGTGAATATGTCGCGAAATAGAAAAAAGAGGAAAAATTTCCCATATCTATTTCCCATTAAAATCTCTGTTTTGGACTTGTAAACGTGAGTGGCATATTTAGAATATGGTTTATGAGTTTTTGCAAGAGCTGCCGAGCAGCATATCCTCCTCAAACATGCAATCACCCCTGTAATTTTTTTTTTCGATTTCAAATAAGTAAATTTTTGTGACAAAAAGAAAATAAAACAGTTACGTTGTGAGCAAATTGATTACTTTAAAGTGTAGCCATTTTTTAAAAAGCTCATGATTTCATTAGTAAAAGGTCAAGTGGGATATTCTTCTATTAACTAATCAACAGAATAAGCTTTTATAATATTTTGGCAGATCTTGGGGAATAAATAATTGGATATAGAATTGTTTATTGAGAGCCTTTTCACCAAATAACATGATACTTTTTTCTTTATCATCGTATACAGGCACTGATAATGCTACCAATAATTTTTGTATATGAATTCTGAAGAAAACATGGATGTTATTAAAAAATTATTTTTTTTCTTTTTGTAACCGTAGTTTTAAATACAAATAATAGACATTCTAAAAGAACTTTTATATTTTTCTTCAAAAAGAAACAAAAAAACTTTTTATACAATTAAACCTTTAAAAAGACTTGAAGACATGTCTATCAGCCTTTGAATTTGTTTCCCCATTCTTCCAGCCTTTTATGTATTTTGTTGTGACTTGTGCGTAACCTACACCAATCGAAAATAGAAAGTAGCAAGAGATATAACTCATCTTTTTCTCGTCAAGATATACTCACTCTATATGGAGATGAGTTACATTTTTTAAATAATTTTAAATTGTTGGATATTTTTCCTTTTTATATTAAAATACCCCTGCAATGAAATTGATCTTATGAACTTTTGGTTGATTGTCATTTTTGACTATTAGTTGTTTATTTTTATATGATACTGTAAAATTTTAATTTGAAAATTCTATAGTAAGGATATCATATACTGATATGTTTACTTAAGCTATTATTTTATACTAAAAACAGAATATATCTAAATTTTTGTAATTGTTATTTTCAGGAAAAAAAACTTAAAGATGTTTTAATTTTTGTAGATATGGTTATAATGATTAATTTAGGAATAGGACCCCACCCTTAGTTCTAAATTTGTAAAATTGCAAGAACATATGAAAGACTAGGATTATTTACTTTATTAGAAATTATAAAAACTAAATGCATTTAAAGAAAAATGTATTTTTATCTAAACGTTGTTTATTTTACTACTTTTGTTCATTTTAGGACTGTTACAATCTTTTTGTGTAAGAAATATAAAAACCACTAATCACCAAAAACAGCAATCAAACCAATATAGAATTTTAAATATTACTTGATTTTCATATTTTCTATTTTTTGCGAAATATTAACTTTCTTATGTGTTTTTTTACATAAGAAAATATAGAAAATAATGGGAAATGACCTTGTTTTATTCGATAAATACAAGTGAATCAGGCTGGCTTGAATCACGTTTTTTAATTTATTTATAAAGACAATCCTCTCTCACTGTCCAGTCTCTTTCACTTCTTCCCCTCCCTCTATCTCCTTTGGATTCTTCAGGTACTCCTCTCTATCTCTTACTCAGGCTTATCTTTTTGTTACTTTAGATCTCTCAAACTTGATAATTTCTCTACAGACCACAAGTGAACCTTGTGGGTTTTGAGTCTTAACCATCTCTGCCTTCGAATTTCAAGCAAAATTTTCAGAATTTGCTCAACATTTTTCTTTTTTTGGGTAAAAAAACAGACATTGATGCGTTTGATGGCTTTGTAGGAAGACTAGATGTGTAGATCTAAGGACTAGAACCAAATCCAGAGCTTTATGTCTCCTTTTCCTTTCCACAAGTGTATCAGTTTGGTCCGACCGTTGATATTTATAAAACATAAGTTCACGTCTCTTCGTCTTTCTTCTGTTCAGTAGCTCACCATTTCCATGGAGTCCACACTATTGTGCTTACAGTCAAAGATTGTTTGCATACACACACATGTCTATATATATGGATTCAAGAAATTAGCCTATAGTATTTTCATATTTTGACGTTATGGTGGATTATATGGAGGTTTCAATTCTATTTTCACAAGCCTCACTGAGTTGTATAGTGATGGATCTGAAAGTCTCAAGTTTTGGTTTATTGTGAGAATCGTTTTCTTTACTTTATCTTGTGTGTTTTGGTGGCAGTGAGGAGAGGAATCTCGAAAGTGTCGGCGAAAATGTCGGATCTTCAGGCACCACTTGTAAGGCCGAAGAGAAAGAAGACATGGGTTGATTACTTTGTCAAGTTCCGATGGATCATTGTCATCTTCGTCGTCCTTCCAATCTCAGCCACACTCTACTTCCTCATCTACCTCGGGGACATGTGGTCCGAGTCCAAATCCTACGAGAAACGCCGAAAGGAACACGACCAGAATGTCATGAAAGTCATCAAAAGGCTCAAGGAGAGAGACGCAGCCAAAGACGGGCTGGTCTGCACTGCGCGTAAGCCCTGGATCGCCGTGGGAATGAGAAACGTTGACTACAAGAGAGCAAGACATTTCGAGGTTGACTTGGGAGAGTTCCGTAACATCCTTGAGATCAACAAGGAGAAGATGATTGCTAGAGTTGAGCCTCTTGTCAACATGGGACAAATCTCCCGTGCCACCGTCCCAATGAACCTGTCTCTCGCTGTTGTCGCTGAGCTCGACGATCTCACCGTTGGTGGACTCATCAATGGATATGGTATTGAAGGAAGCTCTCATCTCTACGGTTTGTTTGCTGACACCGTTGAGGCTTACGAGATCGTTCTAGCAGGCGGTGAGCTTGTCCGTGCCACAAAGGATAATGAGTATTCTGATCTCTTCTATGCAATCCCTTGGTCGCAAGGAACGCTTGGACTCCTCGTTGCTGCTGAGATCAGACTTATACCGGTTAAGGAGTACATGAGACTCACTTACATACCAGTCAAGGGTGATCTTCAGACTTTGGCTCAAGGTTACATTGATTCTTTCGCTCCCAAAGACGGAGACAAGTCAAAGATCCCGGATTTCGTGGAAGGCATGGTTTACAATCCTACTGAAGGTGTGATGATGGTTGGGACATACGCATCTAAAGAAGAGGCCAAGAAGAAAGGGAACAAGATCAACAATGTGGGATGGTGGTTCAAGCCTTGGTTCTACCAACACGCGCAGACCGCACTGAAGAAGGGACAGTTTGTTGAGTACATACCGACTCGGGAATACTACCATAGGCACACAAGGTGCTTGTACTGGGAAGGGAAGCTTATCCTTCCTTTTGGTGATCAGTTCTGGTTTAGGTTCCTCTTTGGTTGGTTGATGCCTCCTAAGGTCTCTCTTCTTAAGGCTACTCAAGGTGAAGCTATTAGGAACTATTACCATGACATGCATGTTATTCAGGACATGCTTGTTCCCCTTTACAAGGTTGGCGATGCCCTTGAATGGGTCCACCGTGAAATGGAGGTAAAGTACTAAAAGCTCTCTTTTTTTCATGATTGATCCATCTTTTAGCTAGAATGATTCTCCTTTTTCATGATTGATACTTCCATTTAAACTCATGAGTTGTGTGGCCTTCTTCTTCTTCTTTTTTGGTTTACTATTCAGGTGTATCCAATATGGCTTTGCCCACACAAACTTTTCAGGAGCCCAATCAAGCAACAGATTTACCCCGAACCAGGCTTCGAGTATGAAAACAGACAAGGAGACACAGAAGATGCACAGATGTACACTGATGTTGGAGTCTACTACGCGCCTGGTCCTGTCCTAAGAGGCGAAGAGTTTGATGGATCAGAGGCCGTGCGTAAGATGGAGAAATGGCTGATCGAGAACCATGGATTCCAGCCTCAGTACGCTGTGTCTGAGCTCGATGAGAAGAGCTTCTGGAGAATGTTTGATGGTGATTTGTATGAGCATTGCCGCAAGAAGTACAGAGCTGTTGGAACGTTCATGAGTGTGTACTACAAGTCGAAGAAAGGAAGAAAGACTGAGAAAGAAGTTAGAGAAGCCGAGCAAGCTCATCTCGAAACAGCTTACGCTGAGGCAGATTAAGCAATATAAACCCTGTTTGATCAAAACTGGTTGGGATTATTATTATTGTCATTGGTAGTGTTATGTTTTTCCTATCTTCGTACTAGTGTCTTGATGATGACTATTGTTGTTGTTTTTGTTATTTCTTGTTGTTTTGTTTCGTATTGCTTGACTTATGTTTTGAATGGATTTTAGATTTTAAGATTTGGATTTTGTCTAAGATAAAAAGTAAGGTTTCTCTTTGTATCATCTTGGCTTAGATATGTCATAACTGAACACAGAAACACTTGGTTAGCTGTTTGGTTTGGTGTATATTTCATAGAGATCACAACAAAACCCGAATTTGGTCTGCCAGGAAATACAGTTACTCGAACAGCTTACGTACACAGATTGGGTTAGAGTTACCCGGGGAAATAACGGATTTGAACCGAATTGGACCGGGTGGGAATCGATTGGTTTTAGGATAAACGAGGCAGCCAATTTCTTCCGAATTCCGAGTCAAAGAGCTATTCTTTCTTCACTCCCCAGAGAATTAACATAAATCTTTTGTCAAAAACCGAACCCAATCCTTGAAGTGCTACTTATTAATCGTAAGTTTTTCTTCTCTTTTATGGTCGAAAAGTTTCAATTTTTCGTTAACTTTTCCTATTCGGTTTCCATCAAAAAAATTTGCGGCATTAAAAGCGGAAAGGTCTGTCTTTTCTTTTAGATATGAAATTGGTGCATAGCAGGTGTTCGTCAAAATGTCTAGCCCGAAATTTCACTCCTTCCTTTTAGTAACATTAGCTCAGATTGACATGTATTGATACCCAATTATCTTGGCAATATGTTGAGAGTGTAAAAAATCTTCTTGCCTTTTTTATTCCTAACACTTACATCAACAAATGTTTCTTGCAGGTGGTTGATTCTTGTTCCCTATCCTGTCTTATTATCTTTGTTTCAAGCCTAAAAAGATTAGTATGATACTTTGACTAAACCTTTATAGAGTTGCCTCCTGTTGTAACCTGTGCTGCGGAAATGTCTCTACTTTGCTCCTCATCTTATATAGCTCTCTTGCCACAGACCAAACGGTCGCGTCTGAGTGTTCTGAAACTCAAAACATGTACCTTAAGTCTCTGTTCTTCCCTCGCCTACCCTCATTATACCACTGGTATTAGGAAGCACGTCAGTTTCTTGTTCGCAGAACCGCATAAGCTTCGTAGGCTAGCCAAGAGTCAGATACTAGTTAGTCAGGAATCTTTTACAGAGAACAGTACAATAGATATTGATTGGGAAGATGAGGAGGACATTGAGGATACCGGATCACCTTGGGAAGGTTCGGTTATGTATAGGAGAAATGCGTCAGTCACACATGTGGAATATTGCACTACCTTAGAGAGACTTGGGTTGGGAAGACTATCAACCCAAGTCTCCAAGAAGAGAGCTTCCGCAATGGGACTTAGAGTGACAAAAGATGTAAAGGATTATCCAGATGGCACACCGGTTCAAGTTTCGGTCGATGTCATAAGGAAGAAGAAGAAGCTTAGACTTGATGGGATTGTCAGGACTGTTATCACACTCGGCTGCAACAGGTGCTTTCCTATGAACTTATCATCACAGCTTCATTATCTTGGGATAAATTCAGTTTCTTTACTCGTTTTCTCTCCTGTGTTTTTGCAGGTGTGGTGAGCCAGCAGGTGAGAGCATCTTCTCTAACTTCTCGCTGTTACTAACCGAAGAGCCAGTAGAAGAACCCGATGTCATTGATTTAGGATTCACGTTCGGTAAAGACAAAGCCAATTCCTTTTCTGGATTGTCCAACGATGAAGAAGATAATGCGGATGATGATGATGATGACTCATTGATAGATTGGGAGGATAAGCTACATTTTCCCCCTGAGGTGAAAGAAATAGATATCTCAAAGCATATAAGAGACTTGGTGCATTTAGAGATCACCATCAATGCGATATGTGATGCTGCGTGTAAAGGAATGTGCTTGAAGTGCGGTGCAAATCTGAATAAGAGGAAATGTGATTGTGGCAGAGAAGAGAAGGATAAAGGTTATGGCCCTCTGGGAAACCTGAGAAAGCAAATGCAAGAGAAAGAGGAACTGAGGAACTAAATACAACAATACACATTGTCTGGATTTTGATTTTCTTCTCTCGGTTTACTGTCATAATACTCAGATGTACGAAAATGTTCAAAAGTGAATCTTAATAAGCTAAATCATTCTTTCTTCAAGCTCGTTCTTCTAATCTTGTTTTAATTCATCACCAATTCGTCAAATTGAGGTATTTCCTTTGCCAAATCGCAACTTCCTCTAGCTTTCCATAAGCTTTTTGTTCTTTAAAGCCAAAGGTAACATTTTCACAACTCTGGAATGAAAAATCCATAACACTCAGAAGAATCTAACCTCAATAGAATTGTTACAAATTTGTTCAAACCAGATGCGTATAACATCTCTATAGAAGCATTACATTTCTTGTCCCAAGTCGATTTGTATTTCTTTTTGTATATATCTAGATATGAACATCAAAATCTTTTATGAGACTTCGATAATACTGAATATTGAAAAAGAGTTTCAAAGATCTAAAGGTTTCTACTTCTTCGTCTTAAGCTCAAGTAGTCTTGACCATCTCTTATGAACAGAAGCTGTATTTGTCTCACCAACATCTGCAAAAGCAATTCAGAAACCAAAACTCTTTAATACTTATGAACAATTAACAAAAAAATGTCATGTGAAAATAGAGATACACAACCAATACAATAAGACTTACAATGCAGTGTAGGTTCCGATTTTTCGCAGGAATCCGAGCATATATCCTATAATCAAACAACAATTTAAGTCAAACAATTATACTCTACACACAAGCTTTTTGAAAGCGAAGATTTTTGCCTTTCAGTCTCGAAATTAGTACATGGCAAGCGGTTTTTAGAGCAATGTGAACAGCAGTTATGAAGTTTTTTTTTTTTTTTTTTTGTCAATTAAGCTTATGGATTTTATGAAACTTGAGTATTGCTTTAGCTGAATCTTACTTTAGCGTAAGTTGTGAGCCGGATAGTGTCTTGTACAAGGGAATCAAGATTAGCTTCATATCCAGGTCTTACATATATTACCTGCCAAAACACAGATTTTACTCAGTTTCATTTTTGTTGAAATGCAGATAGACTAATATAGAGAGCTAATGGTTTTGCAAGAGCGCTCACGGAAGGATCATCACCGCCAATTTCTGGCATTTGTGAAGCTCGATTTTCCCGACTTGACGGCAAAATCCAGACAGTGAAATTTGTATCGATCTGGTGACAGATACTTGATCAAAACAGTTTTTTCTTGCGCAGATGCTTCACTTTAAGAATGAAAAACAGTTATACCAGTCGAGGATAAGCAGAGGAGCAAATGCTGCACTTTCTTGAGAAAGATGTAACGATTCTTCCATCTACAGAAAGTCCCATACTTGCGTGCTAGAAAAAAGAAAGAAGAGCTAATCAAATACCTAATAAAAGATAACCTAAAACGATTGTTTGCGTAAGAGACAAGAGAGTCTCTAATGTTCAAACACTGTCACTGTAACACATTCCTAAACCGTGAACACAAATCTAAAGCTCAGAACAAGTCTTTACCCTTTGGACAGAGAGATGGACGGAGACACGAGGATTAGTAGGGCCATCTTCAACGAGATCTTGGAGTTGAAGATCACGCAGAGAGACATTGTAGTGAGTGTTCCAGTTACCATTCCATTTTCCTTCAGAAGGAGATAATGTTATCAGACGCTTCACTGTTCTTGAGCTCCCTCCTCCATTAATTGCTGCCTGTATTCGTGTTCAGGCATTTGGGTTTGGATTACAAAATGAGCATCAAAATTCAAAACCAGAACAATAAGTAAACAGGTAATAGTATACTGTACCGAAGAAGAAGCTTCGTGTTTCCTTGAAAGAGAAGAAATAGGAAGCAGATGAGGGCGTGGAGAAACTTTCTTCTTAGTATTCAGGAGATTTGTAGATACCAGACAACGTACAGAGGATGATTCAGCCATGGATGATGATTGATGATTCTCCAGAAAGAAGCTCTGGTCTCAGTCCAACCGAACCTTATCCGGTATATACATTACACTCTCCACCACAAGTCTTTTTTGGCGCTTGACGTGTAAATTTCTCATAAACAATTTCAAAACAACATATACATAGTTATATACTGTATATAAATTAGGGGAAAGGTCAATTTTTTTTTCTTTCTCGTATCTGCATTCAAAAAGAAATATTTTATAGATATTCTAAGTGATGTTTCAACTGATGATTGCAAGCAAATCCAAGATTTTAGTTCCAAATAGACAAAAGATTGATAAACAAAAATTCAAAACAAAGCGAGACATTAATAATGCCGAACAGAAGAAGGAAACAACGTCGAATCCATAACACAGACTCTCTGTGTCCTAACTCCTTTCGATAAAGGCAAGACTTTAGAATCTTCTTCCAGGACGGCCAAACACATTGCCTGGTGCCATAGCTTGTGGCTCCACTACAGAAAACCCGGGAATATCAGACATTCCCAAAGAAGCAAGCATCTGTAGAGTCTCTTTGTCCACCTTAATCTCATCGGTTTTAATGGCTGACTCGTCGGGGACAAAGTCCATTCGCCTCTCACGCTCTTCCTCTTGTAGCTTGAGTGAGATTCCACGGACTGGACCCTTTTGGATACGTTTCATCAAGTGAGTGGAGAATCCAGCAATTTTGTTGCGTAGTCGCTTAGAAGGGATGATTGCAACTTCTTCCAAGATCTTCTTGTTGGTGTGGAAGTCAAGAGTCATGCGAGAGTAGTACTTCTCGATGACTTGACGAGAAGATTTCTTCACGGTCTTGGTTCTGACACGCCCCATCTTTCAGTTTAACTGCTACTTACCTGCTATAAGAGAAGAAGAACCAGAGTAAGAATGATAATAATAATTAGGGATTAAAAATTCCAATACTTGGGTATCTGCCACTACTAAAGCTTGGATTTGTGTCCCCAAAATACCAAATAAAGTTCGGGCTATGTAACATTATGGTATGAATCTAGAAACATGAAACACATGAATTGCTAATGTGAAATAGAGTTTTCAATAAAACTGCAGGAAAAATCAAGATAAATCCAGCAACATATGAACACTGAACTTGCTAGAAATGTGAACACATACTATCAAATTTTGAAGTCATTGATAATCAAGAGACTTACTAAGATTCTCTAAGAAACATTAGACATCAAAGACAAAAGAATTAAAGACGATAAACACAGATCAACAACAAAACTTAAAACGATATTGCTCATCTAAACATCAGGAGCACCAAAAAAAAAAACATAAGAAGTAAAACCTAAGCAAAATCGAATACGAATAACCATCAACAATCAGACTAACCTTAAAGGAGAATGAACGGAAGGAGAGCGAAAACAAAGCGGTGCAAAGAGGCGTTAGAGCAGCCGGAAGCCAAACCCAAGGGATTTATTATCCTTCTTCTCATTTTAGGGTTTTCGCTGTTTATTCGTGGGCCAATAAACCTCGGCCCAATAAATTAAATATATTTGTGTTGATCGTAGCGCTTCACTTTTTCACAGGCCCATTATTCTGTGAAAAAAAAAAAAGTCAGCTCAACATTTCCTCCATACCTGACTCCAGCTACAGTATCAGGATCCAGAACATAAGCTCTTTTTTTTTCAGAACGTGAGGCTAACTCAGCGACCTCAGTTTTCCAGAAAATCCGAGCATTTGAGCCCGATGAGCTTAAGTCACTTCTCCCTAAAGAAGTAATAGTATACTATTCCGAAGAAGAAGCTTCGTGTTTCCTTGAGAGAGAAGAAATAGGAAGCAAATGAGGGCGTGGAGAAACTTTCTTCTTAGTATTCAGGAGATTTGGAGAGACTAGACAACGTACAGAGGATGATTCAGTCATGGATGATGATGATTGATGATTCTCCAGAGCCAGAAAGAAGCTCTGGTCTTAGTCTAACCAAACCTTATCCGGTATATACATTACACTCTCCACCACAAGTCTTTTTTGCCGCTTGACGTGTAAATTTCTCATAAACAATTTCAAAACAACATATACATATACTGTATATAGGTTGGGGAAAGTTCAATTTTTTCTTTTTCTTTTTCGTATCTGCATTCAGAAAGAAATATTTTAGCAATTACTACAAAAAAAGAAAGAAATCCAACACTACACACGCGAGTATGTTGAAAATATGGAAGCGTTTGATTTAACGCTGATTACAAATTTTGGACGTTTTTTCTTAGCGTTTAATTTTAGCTAATCGACACCGATTTGTATAGGTAACTGATGTTACTCGCATCTTCCTCATTTCTCTGCTGTCTTCATTGTTTTGAGTTACAAATGTATTTTCTGAGGTCTGATTTGATTTGTCTCCGCTTCACACATTGCGTTGCTTCTCTCTATAAGTTTGATTACTACTTTCTTTTGCCTATATCGTTCACTACTACTGACAAATTAGGCTCTGAGAACTTTTATATTACATTTGTTCCTCAGAGATATGGAAATTCTAGTGCTATGTTGAATTGTAAAGCTTTGCTCTATTCCCTTTGATCTCCATGTTTTGCTGATTATGAATGATTAGTTTGCTTATATCATGTTAGCTAGATATTAATATTACTTGATATGTTGTAACAATTTGCCTCTCCAAGGAACACACGATGCACTAGTACACCGTATATACATTGCTTAACTCTTTCTTACAATCTGAGACTGAACTATGTCAAAAGTGAGTGGTCAGTGTTTTTAGGTGTACTTGTGTGGTAACTGGTGAGGTTATAACAATCTGCGTGTTAGATGAGCCTTCGTTTTTTTTTTTTTTTTTTTATTCGAACCTGAATGAAATGGAGAAGCATCTACTGTTTTCATGTTATGCTAGTTTGCAAGTCTCTGAAGACAAGTCTTTAAAGCACATTTTGTAACTCATGATGATTTCTTGCATCGTAATTGATTCTCTTTGACTCACCGAGCGTTGGGAATATGTGGTCACTGGACTTTTGCGGTTGCTTAGACTCTTGTGTGTTGTTTCATTACATGCTTACTAGATAGTTTGTGTTTATGGTGGAACAATGCCCTCTTTTGTTATGGAGTGATGAACAGACTTGATACTTCTTTTCAACAATATTCTGAAGTTCATTCATTATAGGGAGTGACATATAACAAAAACATGATAAGCTAATAGAGATGAGTGACGATTGGAGTGAGATATGATACGTACACATTTATTATATCTTCTGACTTTTAACTTTTTGAACTGTTTAATATGATTGTAGGACTTGGCTTGAAGCTAGAAAAATATTAGAACAAAGTTAGATTCCCAATATGGATGTTTCTGAGGAGGAGTTTGACAGTGATTATGCGAGCGGGTCATCTGAAGGATCAAGCCAAGGAGAAAACTTTGTGGATTTTATGCTGTCTGAAATGCTTGCTGATATGTCTGATGATTCAGAAGATGTGCTTGATTATGCAATTGCAGCGTTCATCTCTTCAAGTAACTCACTTCAAGTAACTCACTTCAACCCGAGACTAAGCAAGTGTTAGCGCAGCTTTGGCCTCCGCGATCAGATCACAAGCCTAATGTGTCTGATACAATGAAGGTCCTCGATCATCTCTCTGGTGTGAGGATGGGGTCGCCTTTATACATTGCCTCGATGGCTCATATTCAGGCTGATGTAATTCACCGAGAGGCCTTCTTAGCATTTCGTGATCCCGAGGATAAGGTTTGCTACTTGGAGTACAAGACTGGGAAGAAAAGGGATGAATGATTTTGTTACTTTTTCACTTCTGACTTTTATTATGTGACTTATGTATATGACTTTTTTTATTTGTAAACTGGTTTCATATCGAGTTTTATGTTTTCTCAGTTCAGTGGTGAACTTCATTCAATCAAATGCAAGAGGAAGCTGTGTGAATCTATATATGTTGTAAAGAAGACATTTTGAAGTTTTGATCTTACAGTTAACCAACATTTCGACCCAACAAAAGAGGGCTTTTACTATCTTCTATTTTTTTCGTTCTTTGAAATTTCTTCTTTCTAAAAAGGAAGTAAAAAGGAAACACATTACTATATTGCGAGCCAAGATACGCAAGAAAAGATGCAAACAGCTTCAAGGCCAAGCCAAGTCAAGCTCGCTGTTATCAACATCCCATACTCCAAGACCGATCTCATCAAACAACTGCTCATAACTCCAGCTTGTGTATCCCAAGAAAAACCAATAATCAGTTGGATTCAGACCTCCTCTAGATTTCAACTCTTTGATTCGACGAGCCACGGACTGATGATCTAGGAAATACACGCCTGGTGAGAGTTCGAGCAACGTGGAGGAGTCTCCCTCTCGGCTCAGAGCTAAAAGTGGGGTTTCTAGATCCAAGACTGGACCTCCGAGGGAAAGTATCGTCTCTTTCAATAGCTCGACTGTTTCGACGCCGAGGTCAGGGAAAGATTTCCACCTTAAACGTTTGTTGAAGATCACACCCATGAAGCCGGATTCATGGTCTGCCTTTATGATCAGAATCTTTGATTTGGTAAATGGCGGAGTGTCAGCTAGCTTTTCTGTAGCAACCAGGATTGTGCCCATTTTCACTTGGGGACCAGGTTTGACCGACTGCGATTGGGAATTGACCTGGTCATGGTTTACCTCTATTTCAGGGGGATCTCTGTTACTTGCAACAAGCTCAACAAGTTTATCACCGTCTGTCACTTTATCGTTTACTGAAGATTGATCGAGCTGGTTTGAGTTTCTTCCTTCTTTTCCAGACAGAGTAGGAAGGATTCCTGCCAGAGATAGATTCATAACTTGCTTTGTTTAGGCTCCATATCAAAACAGAAGTATCAAAAAGCCAAAAAAATATGCTGTTTCATAACCAGCTAAGCCTGAAAGAAAATGAGTTACTACCAAAACACTGAGTCACAAGTTGCAAAAACATATCAGATTTCATAGAACTATGTTCCTTCAATTTTTTTCTCCTGGAAGGTCCGACTGTGAGGTCATGATGTGTCTTTAGAGATAATATTCTGCATATATGTATGCAGAAGTTATAAAAAAGAAAGCAGAGTTGACTTACCGGAAATGTCAGGAGAATTCTTTGCATGGCGAGCTAGAAACTCCATTATGTCAGTTACAGACGTCTCCCCTTGATACGGAATAACTTTGTTTCTCTCGGCTGGAAATAATATTAAAGAAGGATACACTTCCCTCTGCAACATTAAAGATTCAGAAATGAGAATACGGTGTACAAAAGTTGAGCTCTCAGCATTTAACAGTGGCAAATCACAAGACAAAAAAAATCTGTCCGTAGAAATTTAAATTTTTGGGGTTCAAAAGAGTCAAAAGGAAGAACTGTTTGCATTGCTATAAAGGGAAAGACTAAATGTGAACTTCAAGCTATTGTCCATGACGAATCAGAACAGCAATCCCGTGATATGCAATACTAGAATCTATAAACAAATCAGACAAAGCTATCATGAAAGTACCTGATTTATTGATTTTAGGATTAAGCTGCAATCATTCAACGTGCAGTCCATTAAGTAGATCAGTGGAACTATAGTCGGTGTCTCTGCTTCAGAAAATAAAAAAGCAACAGAAGAGAATGAACTTCAAAAAAATAAAACGTGTTCATTTCACTTTCTACAATAGACTCAGATAGAAAGATAGGAGTAAAAACTAGTCACTGTATACATACAGTAATAAAGTTACAATTACCTGATTTAAAAAGCATTTGATTGTTCCTGGAACCTCCTTGTTTTATCGCTTTAGATCCCTTTAGTGATCGGTATACTTCACGCAGAACTACCTCCATCCTCTGACAAAAGCCACACCAGTTATTGCTAAAAAGGACCAAAACGTCCTGGCACAAAGGACAGGGAGCCTTCTCTGCACTGGATTGATTCCATTCATGAACCATATTGGAGAAATTATTGACTGTGATACGCGGAATAGAATCCGCCTCGTGAAAATCCAGGTTAACAAAAGGTGGAACTGTAGCTTCCCTAGGCTTTTGAATAGTAGTTTCAGACTGTGTATAAGGTGATAGACTTCCATTGAGATATCCATGAAGAAAGTCGACAAGTGACGCATAGCTAAATTCCAACTCATCTTGAAGGACATAGTGCTGTTGTAAAGCAGGATCAAGTATTACTGCTGATGGAATCTTTACATCACCAGTGAGACCCCTAAGTAACGCATAATTTGCGTCAGAGAAGAAAAATGAACCCGTAAAACTATGCACTAGATCTTCCTTCGATTCCGAGTTCAACGGTACCTTGATCTCTCCCTTAACATTTTCTGCTTTATAAACTCCAGACTTATCGGTTTCCCCCATTACTAATTGTTCACTTCTGTTTCTAGAAACCTGCTCTTCATCATCGGGGGAGGAGGATTCACTTTCAGAAATTTTCATTTTATCTTTTTCTTCAGAACTCGTACTCGCCCCGTTCTGCACATCTACTTCATTAGGGTGAAGAGAACTTTCACTGGAACCTTCTGCAGAAGATGAAGATGTGTCTTGACCAGAGATAACTTCTGCTTGTGATGGTAATGCTTCGATTACTTTTATGTGCACATCATCGGATATAAGCCGGAAACCAACATCCTTAGCAATCGAGCTCAATTTTTTTTCTTTTCTTCTGTGAACAAGATTTGTCAGTATCTCCTGCAAGGAACTGCCATCGATTCCTTGACCTATAGTATTAAGGGCAACATTTTTATCCCCATCCAAAATCATAAAAGAGACCTTATTCTCTAACTTAATCGTCTTAATCTTTGGGGCAGTTTTCGGACGTGACACGGACCCAGATTCTTCATCAGCCTGGTTAACGGAGTTCTCAAGCTGAATATCATTCTTCCAGTTCATTATGCCAGACACTTTATGATGTGCAGCTACCTCTCTGAAAGTACAAAGTGCTTTCATACTCCTCCTCCTATCTTCCAAGGAGCCACTTGATCTATCCACAAAAAGAATAACCGATGGTTTACTTGTAGGTAAAGATGACTCATGGTCCTGCCGGTCATCCTCCAGCTACATGAGAAAAGCAAAGATGATTGATGTATGTAATGGTAGACAATTTAAAACGGACAACTATATATGCTTATTAGTACATGGGGGACTGGAAGTAAAGTAATTAAAAATCAATAAACATAGAGATCTTGCTTTGACGACAAATGGCCGTCTCCTGTTATAGAAGTACAAAGTACTGTCACTTGAGTAAACAAGATCAGTTTAACAAAAAATGCACTACGTAGGTTTTGTCGGTTATGGAAGTTCACGGGATAGAAAGCAAAACAAAAACCCAGTAATAACCACATTATGCACTAGCTGATAAAATAACAAGCAGAATGTTATACATAGTAAAAACCAAACTAGATCTAAATTAATATATGGAAGCAATATCTCAACTTATATATGGTTTTATTGCACCGTCTCTTCTAAATGAAGTACATGAACTCCACTGTGTATATTGAATAGTTAGATATCTACTTTAAGTTACAGAGAGTGGTTTCTGCCAATAAACTATATAGCTAGCACACGATCCCACTTAGCAAAATTCACACTCATTTAGCTACAGATACTTCTCCCTAACATACAAAATAAAGATACCTAAATATGGAAATTGTAACGTCAACTAAAACGTATGGACACAAATAGAACCATACCTCTGAAACTATCGGATTTTCCATCTTCAAGAGTCTCTGAATGTCGTCCCCGACCTTGAGAATCTTTGAACAATGTGGACATCCTGCCAGCTGAAGGACCGCTGCCCATGAATCAAATGCTCCAATATTAAAAGATGAAGCCAGTGATCCTTCTGTGATCAGACCAAACTTTTGTCTTTCAGGAGGCAGAGAAAACTCTTTTGCGGTGGCAATCAATTTCGGGAGGAATGAACTGAATTGTTTGTACTGTTCATGGTTACATGTTTGTCCAAAACCCCGATTGACTCCATCATTCTCCTGCAAAGCAGCAGTATCATTGACATAGCTAAAATCCTCAAGCCAAGGAACTCTACCAAACCCGCTTTGGACTCTACACATCATTTTCCATTTTGCATGGTCTGTTTCTAGGGCATGAAGATAATCACACATTATAAAGGCAACACACAAACAATAACATATCAACATCGTCTAGACATGAAGTGAGAATCTACCAGCCACCTTCTGGTTATTTTTTCCTCTTAGCCTTAGCACTCGGTCAGTTTCTATCCTTTTGGAGAAGTTTCCTGCAAAGTTTTGGTCAGAATGTCTAAGAAATCAGCCAAACATTCCAACTTCTGAGAAACAGCGCGAAATACTATGCCATTATGGCCATCACATAACATCTTGAAGTTTGAGTAGGTACCCAAATGCAATGCCGGGAGTGTATCAATGAAATATTGGGGGAAAGTAAAGCTAGTTGACAGCAAATAAAATATAATTTGATACATTCTTACGCTTCTATACCAAGGGATGCAATACTGGCAGAGGCTAGTCTAACGTAAGATTCACAATATGATTAAATAAACTAAAAAGAAATGGCATATATGCTTAGGATTAAAGATGTTAGACGGAAAACTTTGTACTCTAATCTCTAAAGAACTAATATTCTATAGAGCTTCCTAACATCGTACTAACCTAATCGATTGGGAGACCACAAAAACTCTTCCTAAGTCAAATCATAAAATAAACATAAATGATCCCGCAAGATCAGGATTATCTCTTGACATGGCGATCAAGAGTCAACAACGACAGATCAACTCACCTTGCCAAAGGTTATCTTCAGTTACATTTTTGTTCAACTCAGACACAAGTGTAGCTGTCCATCCGCAAAAATCGAACAGAAGTAAAGCCTTGTCAGATGATTCAAGGAAATCATTCAAACTCTCTGGAGACTTCAAATGTCTGAGTGGGAGTTCTTCGGGAATTGATGTCAGATAAGGATGAATAGAGGACAATATATTTGAGGCTCGGAGTTTCCCTTGATAATTGTAAGGCACACTATGGTGATAGTACAAAACTGTTATCCCGTTGGCAGCACCAAGGGCTTGTGCTAGCATCTTTTCTGAATTTTTGTATACAACCATCAACTTCAACGACTCAAACTCCTCACTACTATGAGCCAACTGAGTAATTTCGTTCTTAAGGGATCTGGACTCGCCACACCCTATAAATCAGCATTAAAACAAAGCAAAAAGCAAATGAGACAGTGAAAGCAACTCCATATTTTGAAAACAGTACTTTTTAAGGCCATAAGGGAAACAAAAAAAAAAAACCCAGTAAGTGACTATCTTTTTCAGGATCAAACACTGCAAAGTTTCAGGATCGAAATCACGCTTCAGAGGTTCTCAATAAATGGGAAGGAAAAGACACACAGACAATGAGAAAACCATTATCCTCTTCGCATCCTATAGATTTGAGCAAAAGCTGCGTGATATTTGTCCGATCAGACTCATCCCAAGTACATTTTATACGCAAACTGCGCAAAGGTACGCGAGAAACAGAGAGACAGAGACAGAGAAGGAGAGATAGAGAGTACATGGAGCGGTGACGAAGAGGAGGACGTGAGGGTGGAGACGGATCTGAGAAGAGAAGTTTTGCTCCGTGAGGATATCCCATTCGTCATGACCGCTTGACGGGGGAATGATGGATACGAAGGCCAGGAGGAGGAGGAGGAGGAGCGCCGGAGTTTTCATCGGAAAACCGCTCACTCACTCGAAGTCGTCGCGTCTTCTTCCGGTGTTCCGATTTTCCTGGTTGGTTCGGTTTAACAGATCAAATTTCCCAGAGATCGCATTTTACCGGTTCGGTGGAGGAGAGCTTTGTTGGTGCCTGCCACGTGTATAATTTGATGGAAATAAATACATTTTGTTTTGTTTTGTTCTCTACAAACGACAATGAAAGGGAAAATTGGAAAAATCGCATTTTTAAACACATTGGAAAAATTTTGACACGAGAAACTTTGTATTTGAATGTTCATTGGCAGTAACACACAGCATCTTCTTGAAGATCCAAACACAACAAAATGTTGGGTTTCATCTTTGATAATCAAGTTTAGCATCATGACACGAATTATAGAACATATATACATAAACAAATTGTTTGTCTGCTGAGATTTTTTCAGGAAAAGAAAAGGTTGTGGAAGTTTCTGATTAAAACAGTAATGGAGAAGAAATATAACAGAATTCCTTTATGGAATGATTAAAATTTTCTTCAAACTCAAAACTCTATGCAAAATTTAACAAATCTCTTAGATTTTTTTAAATCAACCAACTCTACATCAATCCAACTCCCAATAACCCCAACATTTCCGTTTTCATACATCGAATACAAGAGACTCTCATCACTGTGATGGGTCATTCTGATCCCTAGAAGCTTCTGCAAGTGGATCTTTTGAATCAAAGTTATCATCTTCTGCAGTTCGGGTACTAGAACTGACACCCTCATTCTTTGGACCTTGCATCATCAAAACAATGTTCTTGGCATCTGCTTCTTTGTGCACCTTTTGATCACGTTCTTCATCCTTTCCTTGTGTCGAAACTGCGCTATCTTCATCTTGTTTTACACCAGAGAGCTTATCGGCCACATCCTCCCCTTCACCCTGTAGAGCTCGGATCAAATCATCCACGCTCGTATCAGTTTCCCTTTTCGTTTGAACATCTGAAGATGTTGTCTTACGATCCTCAGATTCCTTAGACGTATCAAAACCAGACAAAACTTCCAAGGGTGAACTTGATGGAGCTAAAGGTGTTGCATCACCCAATCCTTTGGAAAGGCACACATATTTGAAAACGAGCTGTTTGTAATTATTTAACAATCCTTCAACATCTCCTATCCTCAAATCACCGGCACTGGCAAATATGTAAGGATACTCTTGAAAGCTTTTACTTGCCTCGGTATCTTTCAGAAGCAACGCAGCACCCTTGTTTTCCAAATCCGAAGTGGATTCGACTTTCTTCATTGGTATTTCACTGTTGGTATTCAGTAGTTCACTGGTTCCAGAAAGACTATCTGATGATTTTGATTGGAAAAGAGTGTTATCTCTCTTGAGATTCTGCATTTGATTTTTATGAACAGTGGACTCGTCACGAGGGGGTGGTGCAGTGCCGTGACCAGTTTGATAAGCCTGGCTGCTCAAACCAGAAATTCGTGCCCGTGCAGATTCCATGTTCTTTTCAAACTCAGCTTCATCCATTGAGAGTGATTTTGCATCAATATTTGAGATGAAAGACTCTGCAGAGAGTATGTTTGTGAAGAAGTACGCAGCTTCACCAACAAGTTTTGACTCACGCCTATATCTTTGTATATACAACAAGTTTGAGTGAAGTTGTGGAGGGTTAGCCTGCGAAAAGAAAATACAGAACGATCACTAGTACACGTAGTTGCACAAACCCAATGCACTAAAAAAATACAACATCAGAAACAAGCATGCATTACCTTTATTGTAACATATATCAAAACAGGAAGAAACTCGTCGGCACCAGGTGCATTCTCATTTGAAGCAATTGAAGCGTTTAGCAGTAAGTTATTTATCACTTTGCAGCAGTTAAGGATACACACAAGCTTATCACGAGGAGTTTTGTACATGTTTATCTTCTGAAGCTCTTTCTGAGCTAGCTGCCGAAAGGAGAGAGAGGGGAAATATCACAAGTAAAGAACATTAACAAGAAGATGTAACACTAGTGGGAGCTAGGTTTGACTAGATTGGCTTACCAGCCACGATGATTCATTTTGAAAAGTTGGTTGTATATCCAAATTCTCAGGAGAAATGAACTGTTGAACCAATGACATCTTCTGAAAGAGTTTCTCATCAGATATAACATCATCGATGCTTGAAGCAAATACCCGGGGAAATAGCTTTGTCATGACATACTTCTCTAGGCCCTGTGTGTGTATACCAAAAGAGCAATGATTAAGGCAGGAAGATGCAAACAAACCAGAAGGAAAGAGAAGAACACTGATATACTCACATCTCCTGCGCTGTCCAATTCCTCCTCAGAACAACCGGACCAAAGTGGATGAGCCCTGAAAGCAGTTTCCATCTTGGCAAAGAAGGCCTGAACTGTAGCACAATCCTTTTCTGGGTCTGGTGCATTGTTCGAGAATGAAACTATGAAACTGCAACATAAACTCAAAAACCATACACGAAAATGTTTTTATGAAAAAGTAATCTTCAAACCAAGCATTCAAGTAAAAATCATTCCAGTACAGCCTCATAAATAAGCTTTTTCAATATGTTTTTATAGTTGTTATAGCTGGCTAGCAAGATCCAATTTCCTGCCAATAACAGAAATTGCAGAGACCAAAAATGATAAACTATGGAACTGTAGTGCAATAAGATCTATAAGCTTGTGATACCACAAGAAAATCAGCTTCAAGTTTCTAGCAAATCAACTAAACTTTATGACAAAGTCACCGAATTAACGAGATCATGACACTGAGAAATTTCAAATCAGTACAAAAAAAAAAAAACCTTTTAATGGATTTAACGAAATCGCCAGAGGAGGGCTTGCGCATCCGCTCCAAGAAATCATGAAAGGAAACGTCCGTATTATTCTCCATCGTCGAGTAGATCACCAGATCAATCAAGCTTGTACCTCCGACGACGATTGACCAGCGAGATCAGAGATCAGTGGCAAAGAGAAAGTCGAGTTCCGTCGTCGCTAACAAAACGACGGTCGTTTTATCAAGTAGGAGGATATGGTTCGGAGTTAACCGGTTATTGGTTTTGGTTTCATCTATAAAACGCGAATGAAAATTACAAGAAACCTTAATTCTTCCTCTTCGAGAGACACGAGCTTAACTAAACGGCAAGTAACTATCTTCAATAAAGCTTATGAGCTTTTAACTCTCTGTGGAATCATGTACAATAAATTATGCGAGATGAAGCGTTGATCTTCCTGAGATTATTCGTGATCGAGTTATGTTTATAAGTCTTAACCAAATGATGGTGAATATTCCGAGCGTCTATGATGATTATAAATAAATACAAATTCTTGACTAGTTAAAATTGAGTATGAGAAATTTATTGCTTTTGCAAACAAAATCGATGTTTTACTACCCACAAGTCTTACAAGTAATAATAGCTGAAATTTTTTAACACACGATCAAAACCTAAAATAAATTACGAGAAAAATAAGACCAAATCGTTTCTCGTCATTAAACATTTACCACAAGTGATTTGAAGTGTTCAAAAGCTCCAAAGAAACATCAAAGCGGGTAGGTAATGGAGAGTGAAGCATTCATAAGATAGTGCAATTATCTGTCTGACACAAGCTCTGAACAATACTTCATCATTCAGACACTTCCCACTGAAAAAGCACAAACACCATCACAAAAAAAAAAAATCTCAGACAAGGTCTTTTAGATAAGATCAGCTACATTCATTGGCATCTCGTCAATCTGGGTACTGTAGTACTGCTCAATGTCCCGGAGGATCTTGATGTCGTCGCTTTTACCAAAGTTGATCGCAACACCCTAGAACAATGACCGTATTAGTTGGTTAAAACAGATATTCATTTTGTATAATTCACAGCTTTGACAGATCAATCCACGACAAACAATGCAGATAAATCAGTTACCTTACGCCCGAAACGACCAGACCGTCCAATACGATGAATGTAGAGCTCACGGTTGTTGGGGAGATCATAATTGATGACAAGAGAAACCTGTTAAAAGAAAGTTTCTCATGTCAATTCAAACTCTGCCATAATCTTATGACACATATTCTGACAGAGGAGACTTTTCCTGCATTATATTATCTACACAAGATACAGCGAATAAGTAATGACTTACTTGCTGCACATCAATCCCACGTGCCCATACATCTGTCGTGATCAAAACACGACTGTCGCCTGACCGAAACTGGTTCATGATCTCATCTCTCTCCTTCTGAGGCATGTCGCCGTGCATTGATGAGACTGTAAAGTTATTACTCCTCATCTTCTCACTTAACCAATCCACCTATAACAAATGCAGAGATAAAGTTGAGCGACACATTGAAAAGAAACCATACTTCAAGAACCCTAGTTACCAAAAACATCAAAAGCAAAGTCTATAATGCATCAGGATTGTATATAGTTTCGCAGATTAAAATTGAAGGCCAATGCAACCTACAGGTGAGAGTACAGCTTGTGAGTATTCTAGAGGAGTAGAGTTGTATTTTTAACTCTGTTTAAGAGTACAATATTTTGAGGACGTTACAAGATTCCAAATCCAGTTAAGATAGCAGTGCTAGAAGCTTAATGTGAACAACATGAGATACCTAATCACCTAAACCATTTCAAATAAAGTACAGAACTACAGATAAAGTTGCTTATCTTAAGATGAGCGACATGATTACCTTTCGTTTTGTGTTGCAGAAGATAACAGCTTGAGTAATAGTAAGTGTGTCATAAAGATCACAGAGTGTATCAAATTTCCAATCCTCCTTCTCAACAGCAACGAAAAATTGTTTAATGCCCTGAAAAAGTTTAACACGAAAGTTAACCAGGGAAGCATATGAGTGTGACCCTACTGTAAAATTAAATATCAACAAGCATACAGATGCAGAAGAAAAACGTACTTCCAGAGTCAACTCATCACGCTTCACAAGTATCTTCACTGGATCCGTCATAAACTTGGATGTCATCTCCAAAATCTCGTGAGGAAGAGTTGCAGAAACCAAGCAGACCTATAAACATAGGACATCAGGTCAGAGATATCAAATAATGGAAGCTTGTCATACTTCAGTTAATAGCTACCAAAATTTTCGCATGGATCATTCAAGCAACTCAACGATGAGCTACAAGGTCCAATCCCCAGAGTCAAAGCAGCCAATCCAGAAAATAAGAAAGCAAGTGCAATAACACCCAATAAACTAGATATAACCAACACATGATATTTGAGCACTGAAATCGGACCTGTAGATCGGGTGGGAGATATCTGTAAACATCATAGATTTGGTCCTTGAACCCTCTGCTCAGCATTTCATCCGATTCATCAAGAATCAAAAGTTTAATAGCTCTGGTACGTAGACTTCTCCTCTTTATCATATCACAGACACGGCCAGGTGTCCCAGACACAACATGGACACCATGCTCCAGCTTCCTGATGTCTTCTCCAACGCTCTTCCCACCGATGCATGCATGTGCTTGGATACTGGCGTGTAGTCCAATAGCTTGTATCGACTTCTCTGTTTGTGAAGCCAGCTCTCTCGTTGGTGATAATATTAAGGCCTGAACCCTGCAAACAGAGTTGCCAAATTGATGAGTGAACTTGTAAAAATATCTTGCAGCCTAAAAGCAAGTGTTACAAAAAGCCAGAATAACTATCACACCTTCTCAAAATAGGAATTCTTTTATATACCAATAACTTTCTAACAAGTCAGAAAACCGTGATGAAACACCAGTGTCGTACTAATTGAACATTAACCAAACAATCAATCAATATGTATCCCAGCAAAACTGTGAGAATCCGAGTATCAAACACCCCCACCAACAAATTGCAAAATTGATTAAGAAAAACCTAATGATGTAAATCAGGACATAATGAAATCGACCAGAAGAACAATTCGTACAAATCAGTAAACTTAAAACACCGTAATTAGGGTTTTCCCAAGCAGAAGGAAAAGATAACATACTCTCTAGTCGACGTGTCAACGATTTGGCAGACGGAGAGAGCAATCATAGAGGTTTTTCCGGTACCGGACTGAGCTTGAGCAATAACATCGCGCCCTTGGAGAATCGGCATCACCGCTCTCTGCTGAATCGCAGATGGCTTCTCGAAACCGAACTCGTAGACGCCGCGAAGCACATCCTCTTTAATCCCCATATCATTGAAACTGGTGATGGGCTCGATCCCTTCGGTAGTCTCGAAGACCAGCTTGTCGTCATCCATTGGTCCGCCGCCTCTCCTACCGCCTCCACGGCCAGGATTCGACATGCTCGCTTCCGCCATAACTCTCTTTAACTTAATCTCCTTCTGGATTTTTTTCTCTCTCCTAGGGTTTTCGATCGTTTTTTCCACGATTTGGCTTTTCTCGAGGATGTGCTGTCTGAGATAAGCGCGGCTCAGTGGATGCGATTTTATAAACTCGACAAATTTTGTGGGCTTTTATATCAAATTATAGTAAAAATACCGACTCTAATCGATAAAGTTTTCCTTTTTATATTTAATGGGCCTTAGAGCTTTGGGCCCATATCAATATTAAGAAAGTAACAATGTTGTCTCAAAACGACAACCTTGTATCACGAAGCCGACCGAACCTCGCGAACCCAGCAGCCTGAGAAGAACCTACTTAGATCGGTCTTTTTTCATTTTTTTATCTCTCTCCTCTGGTCTGTTGGGATTTTTTCTTTGTCTCTCTCCTTCACCTTATCTCGCTCCTGATTCCGTTTCCTCTTTGCTCAAAGCCTGATTGGATTTTTTCTTAAAGCTTGGGGAATGAATAGAATTGGTTTTATTCCTCTGTGTTAAAGGTTCGTGTTTTGTAAGATATGGTTGATAATAGGTGAACATACCATCATTTCTCTATTAATTCACATATTGAGATGCGTTTTGTTACATGGGATTTTCCACTCTGCGTCATAATGTAACTTTTGATTTATGTCTGCTATTGACAAAACTAATTAATAGGGAGATGATTTTCCTGAAGTGAATTATTCCTCAAGTCGAAACAAATGTTATAGAATCTATGTTGAGTTGCTCTAGCATGTTTTGCATTAATCTTTACTTCGGTTTTGGTTTGTTTTAATGGTGCGTTTACATGTGCGATGCATAAAGTTTGGATGGTGCAAGAAATCGACTCTGCAAGTGATTGTAAATCAATGAAATCTTTTCTTTTTTTTTGGTCGCAGTAATCTTGGATTTTGAGGTTGCGATGTATACTAGAGCAATAAAGAGGAATCAGAGATGGGGTTTGGTATTGCAGCAAGCCAAATACTTAGTTAGGCCAGCCATTCGAGACTACACGGTGTCCAGATCTTATGGATTCACAAATAAATTAACAAATCATTTGAGTAGAGAGTCTCTCCTCTGCTCATTTTCTCCCCGTGGTAATAGTCTTGCCTCGGGAAATTGTTTAAGATTTCCGAGGAACAGTCAGCTTCGTAGTTTTAGTTCTGAAGGTGATGGAAGGAATGCTAGTGAGGACAAACATGTCTCTTTGAACAAAGAGAGTGGCATAGATGATGGCAAAACCGAGAAGGAGAAAAGTAGTTGCAGTGTTGGGAATTTAGATTCGCATGCTAAACTTGGAGAACAGGACCAAATAGAATGGCTCGATAACGAGAGGCTTTCTAGTGAATGCAGAAAGAAGGAGACACCTTTCCTTAGTAGACGAGAAAGATTCAAAAACGAGTTCTTACGGAGAGTCCAACCTTGGGAAAAGATGCAGCTTTCTTGGGAGACCTTCCCTTACTATATCCAGTAATAATCTACTTATTCTGTGTATTTATTCTCTGTTATTGTATGTCTCTTTCCATTTATGCTTATGGATTCTGCTCATGCTCATTTCCTTAGCGACCACACGAAAAATATTTTGGTGGAATGTGTTACCTCACATATAAGACAAAAGAATGCCGCTTCCATATATGGTGCCCGTTTAGATTCTTCAAGTGGAAGAATATTGCTCCAGGGTGCTCCAGGTTTGTGATTAACTTTGATGTTGTTCTTTTATCGAGGAAATAGAAGATGGCCAATAAAACATCTACTGTTTATTCAGGCACTGAACTTTACCAAGAGAGGCTAGTGCGAGCACTTGCTCGTGATGTACAAGTTCCCTTGTTAGTTCTTGACAGCAGCGTTCTTGCCCCTTATGTGAGATTCTTATGAGTAATTTGCCTATAACATGCCACCATTTTCCTTTCTGTTTTTTTTTCCGTGTGTTTATGTAATCTTTCTCGATTCTGGATCAGGATTTTTCTGATGACTACAATGAAGAATCTGAATCCGATGGTGAAAACGCAGAAGCGGAAGCAGAAGGGTGCGCTACAGAATCTGAAGCTGAGGAAGAATCTGGATCTAATGATGAGGAGGCTTCTGAAGCGAAAACAGATGGTAGTGACAATGATGAAGCCTGCATCAAGGTTACTGAGGAAGATATCAAGAAAATTGTGCCAAAACTTGAGGAGTTTGGAAAGGTATGATTGCGTTAACAGATTCATAAAAGTTAGTCTGTACTGATTGTTCTTTTCCTAATTTTACGTTTACCATGATACTTGTTGTTTCTTTTTGCTGTACCCCGTGACCATTGTGATCTCTTGGACCCTGTCATATAAGTTTATTTTATTCTTACGAATATGTTATTGGAGGAATTGTGCACGAGTCACCAGGTTGTACTAAGCCTTCTGTTTGAAAGCTGTTTCTTTGTTCTAAATGATGACAATTTGCACTGTTCCCTTCTTGAACATTTAACTAATCGAGTTATAGAAATTGCTGAATATTTGCTTACTAGCTCTAAATTGTGGCAGTTAGTAGCGGAAGAACTACAAGTTTCTGGTGAAGCTTGCGAAGCGGCAACTGTTGAGCATTCTGATAAAGCCAGGCGACCTGCAAAGAAAGGTAACAATCCTATTTCAAAACTCTAGAAAACATCTTCATCATTTCAAATTCTAGGTAGACTTGAATGTATCAGTTTGCTAAATGAGTTCAACTTTATTATCTTTTTATACTATCTATCATAATTTTCTTGGTGTTCTCTTTCTCTCACTAGCCTTTCACTCTTTCCTCATTCATTTGTCGGATTGCTAATTACTCTTTGTGCCGTCATTTTTCCACTTTTTCCTTATTTCTATTTGTGGTTACATAATTGCAGGAGATCGAGTAAAATATGTTGGGCTTTCTAAGAAGGGGGATGCAAAGCAGAGGTAGTTTACTGATTCATTTTTGTGGAATTTATTCTCTAACCGTGCTTTTAAGATTGACATGTTCAACACATATTTTAGTAATGAGTTCACTGGAAGCTTTTAGATTCTTAAACGTGGGTCACTCATGAAAGCTCAGTCTAAGTAACTAAAGGAGCCTTGTGAAAATAAAGACAGATCATATTATGTTTTCTCGTCAAATGCCAGAACTTAATTGTGTTTGTTTGATATGCCTTTGGTAATGATTTTAGTGCGTTTAATTTGAGTCGTTCCCGCTAAAAATTATGCACGAAGATATTGGATACCCTATATTGTCTTTAACCAAATATTATATACCTGCAGGCCATTATCTAGCGGACAGCGTGGAGAGATCTTTGAGGTGAGTGGGAACAGCATTGCGGTCGTATTTGACAATGAAGGTGATACATCATCAGAGGGAAGCAAGAAGAAACCAACAAAGCAGTCCCAAAAGCTACATATGCATTGGATAGATGGTATATTTACTTCATAAAGTTATATATGGTTGATGTGTGATCGTTGTTTTTTTTTTGAAAAACTATTATCTATGTAGACAATAAACAATACATAAATTAACCTCTATATTGTCTGTGCAGTTAATGACCTCAAGCATGATTTGGATATGCAGGAAAAAGATGGCTACACTGCCGTGGAGGCTTTAAATGAGGTATTTTGGAAGCGAGGTGATGCTTTTTTGTTGCTTTTCAGCTATCGATGTACATGTTCCTTATCCCATAGATCAGATCAGATAATGTGGCCAGCGGTAACAAGTGCTCTTAAGTTTAAATGTAGTTGAAACTTAATATGGATGGTTCAACCTATGCTGCGTTCTTGGGATGGAAATTTATAATATCTCTGCCCTAAGATGTGAAGTCTAAAGTTGCATACACTTTCTTCAAGGCACGTAAAACTTGAAGTAGCCTTAATTTAATAGATTACATTCAAATGTTCTCGTTCGTTTAGTTTCCAGAACGTTTACTGGTATTCTGAGAACTGTAACCTAGCTCGAGTACTATATCACTGAATCTTAGAAACCTTTTGTAATACATATAAGTTTTATATGTGTGGATTCTATCTTTTATGCTTAGCTGTGGATGCCTGTGTTTCTTTCTCTATTTCTCTGGCCAGTGAGCTGTTTTTTGCAGTGTCTTTTGCACTACTAATAAGTATATCTGGACTTTTGGTTTTCAATTTATTCCATTATTTTCCTGTGTTTGTAGGTTTTCCAATCCACGCAACCACTTATTGTCTATTTTCCAGACTCGTCCCAGTGGTTGTCTAGAGCTGTACCTAAATCAAAACGAAATGAGTTTGTAGACAAAGTTCAGGAAATGTTCGATAAATTATCAGGTCCTGTTGTAATGATCTGTGGACGGAAGATTGAAACAGCCTCAAAAGAGAGAGAGAGATTCGTAAGCCTTTCTCATGTGTCATTGTGCAATGGTTTTTCTTTTGTTATTGATCAGTAACTTAATTTTTTTTTGTACCTTTTTTTGTTTTGAACAGACGATGATACTCCCAAACTTTGGCCGCATTTCGAGACTGGTATGTTAGCTAAACATAAAAGTAACGTTGATAATGGAATCTTAGTACTTATCTATTGTGGTATATTCTTGAAACTTGTGGTTGGTTTCATATGCACATCAACCACTAACTATTTACCTTTGATGCCTTTGTGTCTTGCAGCCCCTTCCGTTGAAGCGTCTTACTGAGGGACTCACCGGAAGGCAAACATCAGAGGAGAAAGAGTTATACAATCTCTTCACTAATGTTATAAGCCTACACCCTCCTAAGGTATGCCTTAAATCTTTTGATTACGTTCTTACATGATTCTGGATAACCTCTGAAAATTGCATTGATATGTTTTTTCACACTTATGTGAGATTGCATAGACTAGTCAGAATCAGATAATGTCTATTGTGAAAATATCTCTGTTAATACCTTTTAGGTTACGGACATAAGGAGAAGTAAGCTATTTGAAAACCTTTGACTTTGATATATTAAAAAAAATATATACAAACTTTCTTCCCAGTCTCCTTGGATGGAAGGTTAAATTCATCTGCAAACAATAGCCTGGGATGCAAATGCCCACACAGGCAACTCTGCTAGCTGTTTCTTGAGATTTCTTTGTTCCGCATGTCTTCTTCTCAAACTCGTACTTGTTTTCTTCTTTTTTATTTCTGGTGCAGGAAGAAGATACCCTCGTAGTATTCAACAAACAACTTGGAGAAGATAGAAGAATTGTGGTATCACGGAGCAATTTGAATGAGCTACTTAAGGTACACATCTAGATTGAATCTCTATAAAAAAAATGGAGTCAATTTGTGATTTTTTCATAATCATTGTAACACTTGAGAACTTTCTCTCAGGTGCTTGAGGAAAACGACTTATTATGCACAGATTTGTACCAAGTGGACACCGATGGCGTGATATTGACAAAGCAAAGTGTGTAACTCCTATGAATAAATTAGTTTATTATGTAGGTGTTTGCTCGTTATGTTTTAGCAAGGTTGTTAAGTCTTAGCTGTGACGTGTTGGATAAAGTTGCTGATTGAGGATATCAAGCTTGCCTTTACTATATGTTTTGTGTGACATTGGTTGCTCTAATGGCAAAAATCCGGTTGTTAGGAGAGCTATGATAAGGCTTTTACTTGCACTTATATGTTTAGATCTTTCACATTGTTTGGTTGTATGAGTTGAAACAGGATACAGTCCCTTGTGATTGACGTTGATTTCGGCCACTGTCTCTAATTTGTCCCAATCACTTATGTGGTGACCAAGAGTGCTCAGAAACTTGTCTATTTTGGTTTTGCAGGGGCAGAGAAAGTTATTGGCTGGGCAAGAAACCATTATCTATCATCTTGTCCAAGCCCATCGATTAAAGAAGGCCGCCTGATTCTGCCTCGTGAAAGGTAATGGCATGGGTGTGGCTTTATCTTTTGGGTCTATGATTTTATCTTTTATTTGAGTTTATCTTTACTGTTGTCTTCCTCTTTTGTAGCATTGATATTTCAGTTAAAAGGTTAAAGGCACAGGAAGATATCTCCCGGAAGCCTTCACATAGCTTGAAGGTTTAGTTTCTCCCCCGTCTGGTGTTTTGGAATGTGGAAGTTGAATAATCATAGTTAATCCCACATAGATATTTTCTTGCAGAATATAGCAAAGGATGAGTACGAAAGCAATTTTGTTTCAGCTGTCGTTGCTCCTGGAGAGATTGGTGTCAAATTTGACGACATTGGTGCTCTCGAACATGTGAAGAAGGCATTGAATGAGTTGGTTATTCTTCCCATGAGAAGACCAGAGCTCTTCACTCGTGGAAATCTCTTGCGGGTATGTCATTATTTTATTTTCCCTTAAGGGATGTATTCCTCATCTTGTTTTTTTTCCTGATGGCCTGAGTTCTTTCTTGTCCAGCCGTGTAAAGGCATATTGCTTTTCGGTCCTCCTGGTACGGGTAAAACGCTACTTGCCAAGGCGCTTGCTACAGAAGCTGGGGCAAACTTCATTAGTATAACTGGCTCAACACTTACATCAAAGGTACATGGAGCCTTCAACTATGTTGTGTGGCCACTAAAAATAATCACTTTCCAACTTCACATCTGATTGGTTCTTGACTATGTCAACTTCGTCTATTGTCTTGCACAGTGGTTTGGAGATGCAGAGAAGCTCACAAAAGCTCTGTTCTCATTTGCAACCAAACTTGCGCCTGTGATTATTTTTGTCGATGAGGTGAGACATTGTGTGTCTTTATAGATATCACTCTTCTACTTCAGTTATTGCTCTTTATGGTAAGGAGTGACTGAAAATTCTTTATTTGGTTTTGGCGGGTAGGTTGACAGTTTGTTGGGGGCTCGTGGTGGTGCTTTCGAGCACGAGGCAACACGAAGAATGAGAAATGAGTTCATGGCAGCTTGGGATGGTCTCAGGTCAAAAGATAGCCAAAGGATCCTCATCCTCGGTGCCACCAACCGACCTTTTGATCTTGATGACGCCGTCATTCGTCGTCTACCAAGAAGGTTAAAACCAAAATGCTGAGTTTTCAGTTTCTCCTTTGGAACATTTTGTCTCATTGAAACCATAATCTGGGGCTTCTGTTTTTAGGATATATGTGGATTTACCAGATGCGGAAAACCGGATGAAGATTTTGAATATATTTCTGGCTCAAGAAAATATTGAAACTGGTTTCCAGTTTGATAAACTTGCAAAGGAAACCGAAGGATATTCAGGAAGCGATTTAAAGGTTTGTCATTTCAGGGTTTACTCTACAAGTTCTGAGTATTGAGGAATCTGTGTCACTTAAAAAAGAAGTTCTTGTTTTGAAATCGCAGAATCTATGCATCGCTGCTGCGTACAGACCTGTTCAAGAATTGTTACAGGAAGAAAACAAGGTAAAAAGACAATGCACAGATCTTGCTTATAACCAGTATGGTAAAAAAGACAATTTTGTAATCACTCTGGTGTTTTGCGATGTCGATTCCTCAGGGTTCGGTAGGGAATGCAGCTCCTGATCTACGGCCTCTGAGTTTGGACGACTTCATTCAATCTAAAGCTAAGGTATGTTGATCATCTAAGTTTAAAGAAAACAGCATCTGTCTTTATGCTTCTTCTTCTTCTTCTTCTTCTTCTTCTTCTTCTTCTTCTTCTTCTTCTTTTTGTTTAATATTGAGATTGCATCATTCTTAATGCAATTGCAGGTAAGTCCGTCTGTGTCGTATGATGCAACTACTATGAACGAGTTGAGAAAGTGGAACGAGCAGTACGGTGAAGGAGGAAGCCGGACTAAGTCTCCTTTTGGTTTCTAAAAGCAATTTTGTTCCCTATATTCAATGTCTCCTCTTTTTAGGAATCAAAAACTCACTAATTTTTTTCATGTCATAAACAATAAAAATCACTACTGAATTTCAATCCTATATTTTTAAAAATAGATATAAAATATAGCCAATTCACTGTCCCAATCTGCTTAAACCCTTAATTTTCTCTCATCTCACTTCTGTTTTTTTCTTTCGATTGACTTCACAATTCTGTGCTAATAGTCAATTTACACACCAAAAAAAAAAAAAAACAAATTTCTGGTATCTCGTGATTAATATTTGTATCTCACAACTATTTCTTTAATATTCTATTGGTAAACAAAAAGGAAGTGAGGACAAAACAAGAATTAGATATATCAGCTCATTCTCTTCACGCGCTCTTTTTCAGTGTTTACTAATGTAGTGGAGGACTATTCCAACGTTTACTCACGCGCCATGATGCGCGTGTGGAATTACTCAAACAAAAGTATTTCCAAATTTTCTTCAGACAAAAAAAAGGTAGAAAAAAATTTAAATTGAAATAGCCGTATCTATGCTAATTTCAATGGCGGAAAGGAACGGCGAGGAAAAAAAAAAAAAAAAAAGGAGTAAGAAAAGACTTACACACACACTTCCTCTCTGCTCATCTTCTCACATTCGAAAGAGACGATGTCTGATATAGCAGCGCCAAAATCGGTGACGGTTGAGAAAATGGCGGAGGAGGAGCAGGAGGACGACGCGGCGGCGGCGGCGGCGGAGGCGGCGATTGAGGAGCGGTGGAGTCTTTACGAAGCGTACAACGAATTACACGCTCTGGCGCAGGAATTAGAGACGCCGTTCGAGGCTCCGGCGGTTCTTGTCGTCGGACAGCAGACTGACGGCAAGAGCGCGCTTGTGGAAGCTCTCATGGGGTTTCAGTTTAACCACGTCGGAGGCGGGACCAAAACTCGCCGGCCGATCACTCTTCACATGAAGTACGATCCTCAGTGTCAGTTCCCTCTCTGCCACCTCGGATCCGACGATGATCCTTCCGTTGCTCTCCCCAAATCTCTCTCGCAAATTCAGGTGTTGTTATCATTTTGCTTCTTGTTTCTACCAAATACAAGAACTTGTATTTCTTGTAGAGAAGCATAATGCTCATTTCTGATATGTGTTTTGGGTTTTAGGCTTATATTGAAGCTGAAAACATGAGGCTGGAGCAAGAGGCATGTCCTTTCTCTGCGAAAGAGATAATTGTGAAAGTGCAATATAAGTATTGCCCTAACCTTACCATCATTGATACACCTGGACTTATAGCTCCTGCACCAGGACACAAAAACCGAGCACTTCAGGTTCTTTTTTTTTTCCCCTTCTATGTCTGATTTAGTTTTTTAGTGGTTTTGCCTGATTTGAGAGTGGCTCTTTTTCTTAGGTTCAAGCACGGGCTGTGGAAGCTCTAGTGCGAGCAAAGATGCAACACAAAGAGTTCATCATTTTATGCCTCGAAGATAGCAGTGACTGGAGCATTGCAACTACTAGAAGGATAGTGATGCAGGTACGAGGCTCCCAATTGCGTCTAACCCTCGTCTTTATTTAGCTATTTTTTATAAAGTTTTGTTCTTTTCTTCATGTAGGTTGATCCTGAGCTTTCTAGGACGATTGTTGTCTCCACTAAGCTTGACACTAAGATCCCTCAGTTCTCATGTTCATCCGACGTGGAAGTTTTCCTCTCACCTCCTGCAAGCGCACTTGACAGCTCCTTATTAGGCGATTCCCCTTTCTTCACGTCTGTGCCTTCCGGAAGAGTTGGCTATGGACACGATTCAGTATATAAGTCTAACGACGAGTTCAAACAGGTATATGCTATGCTCTCTGATTCATAGATCTTTTCATGGATTCTAAACTGCGTGTGGTTTTCATTTCAGGCTGTGTCACTTAGAGAGATTGAAGACATTGCTTCTTTAGAGAAGAAGCTCGGCCGTCTGCTGACAAAGCAGGAAAAGAGTAGAATTGGTATCAGTAAACTGAGGTTGTTTCTAGAAGAACTACTCTGGAAAAGGTAGAACTGCTTTTTTAGTTCTCTGTAAATTTGCAGCTTCTGTTTCCCCATGTAGTTTAGCTTTTCGATATATTCTTGATGCCATTCTCTTTCAGGTACAAAGAGAGTGTTCCATTGATCATTCCACTTTTGGGAAAGGAGTACCGCAGTACAATCAGAAAGCTGGATACCGTTAGCAAGGAACTTAGGTTGCAATTTTATTTTGTCTGAAAATGTCTAGTTGATTTTAAGGCAGTTTAGTTATTTTCTTTTGATGTAAGAGAATTTAACTTATTGGTGGTTAAACTCTTTCCTTTCAATGCAGCTCTTTAGATGAAGCAAAACTCAAAGAGAGAGGCAGGACTTTCCATGATCTCTTCTTAACGAAGGTCTCTGTAGAGCGCATTTTGATTTTTAAGATTTCTTTTTATGCCTGGACTTAGTGAAACAGAGAAGTTCATTTGGTAATCTACTCCGTTTCTCATGTGTTTTGTTTTTATGTTCTTGACCAGTTATCTCTGTTACTGAAAGGAACAGTTGTGGCCCCTCCAGATAAATTTGGTAATGTTACTGCACTGTTCTCTACCATCTAACTATCTTTGGCAATGATCTTTCTTGTTTGTGGTTGTTAAATTGGTCTTTTGCAAGATTAGTTTAGCTAAATGCATATTGTTCAGTTCGACTTGGTCATGATACTTTATTAACTTTTCGAAGCACATTGTGTAACGACATTCACTTTATGTTGTGTTCGGTGATAACTTATCATGATGCTTTTTTTCAGGTGAAACATTGCAAGATGAAAGGACGCAAGGAGGAGCTTTTGTTGGTACTGATGGTCTCCAGTTCCCACATAAGCTAATACCAGTAAGCATTTCCCTTGGAAAATTGTTTTTACTTGGCAAAGCAAGCTTGGCGTAGTCTTCAAAATCTATTCTTTTCAATTACAGAATGCAGGGATGCGTCTTTATGGTGGTGCACAGTATCATCGTGCCATGGCTGAGTTCCGTTTTCTAGTTGGTGCTATCAAATGTCCCCCAATAACGCGAGAGGAAATTGTAAATGCATGCGGTGTCGAGGATATTCATGATGGAACAAACTATTCCAGGTATCATAGCAACGCAGTTTTGCATTTTTGTTGTATTTGCTTCTCAGACCCACTTTCAGTAGCTAATCTGACCTGCAATGTTTCTCGTGTTTGCTATGGGACTACTTATTCTCTTTTATCTTACTTGCTTTTGTAGAACAGCTTGCGTTATAGCAGTTGCAAAAGCTCGTGACACGTTTGAACCTTTCCTTCATCAGGTGATAAAGATATATCTACTATTTTCTTCTTCTTTCGTGGAGGATGGAAAGAAATGTTACTAATCACTTTAGCTATACATGATAGTGAATATTGAAATATAACATTAGATTTGCTAGGACTCTTATTTGTGCTCAAGAGTTATTGAGTAAAACATGTTAGGCTTACAGAAGATTTTGTTTTTTCACAATCATTCCGTACAGAAAGTGTTTTTTCAGTTCTCATTTGTGTTTGGTTTTGTGTTTGTTTAGTTAGGGGCCAGGCTTCTACACATTCTCAAGAGATTGCTTCAAATTTCTGTATACCTTCTTCAGGTAGGCACTGCTTTTTTTTTATTCCTGATGGTCTCCTCCTTATTTTTACCTTCCACCAGCAAATTGCTTGATGTGTGTTTTAAATTTTAATAGAAAGAAGGTGAATACTTAAGTGGCCATGAGGTGTTTCTCAAGCGGGTTGCTTCAGCTTTCAACAGTTTTGTGGAGTCCACAGAAAAATCATGTCGTGACAAGTAAATCTATTTCCAGCTCCTGCACTTGTCTATTTTTAGTGTCCATAGATTTAATCTTTCAGTGCCTAGTAGCTACCTGTTTTCTGGTGAACTTCAGTGATTAAATCTCCCTATAATTGATTGCAGATGTATGGAGGATTTAGCAAGCACGACTCGCTACGTTACGTGGTCTCTTCACAACAAGGTTACTCCTACAGCTTTATTAGCTCTGTTCCATTGAGTTGACACTAGAAGTAAAAATCTTCTCATAAAAAACTTGTTTGAATTTTGGTGTTTCGTTTCTCATTCAGTAGTTTTATCTTCTCCCAATGTTATATAGAACCGAGCTGGTCTACGTCAATTTCTAGACTCATTTGGCGGAACAGAGCAACTTACAACATCAGGTAATCCCATAGGTTTTAGTCTTCCCCATGACGCACAAGGCGGCACAACAGACACAAAGTCAAGATCAGATGTGAAGCTAAGCCACCTCGCCTCAAACATCGATTCAGGTTCCAGTATTCAGACAACAGAAATGCGGTTAGCTGATCTTCTAGATAGCACGCTTTGGAACCGCAAGCTTGCTCCTTCTTCCGAGAGAATTGTCTACGCGTTGGTCCAACAGATATTCCAAGGCATACGAGAATACTTTCTTGCCTCAGCTGAGTTAAAGGTTTTGCTCCTACTTCGGTTTATACTCATATTCTTACTTTTAAAGTGAGTTTCTATTATGGTTAAGTGGGCTCTCTTGTCTTTGTGTGTTTCGTTTGTTCTGCAGTTTAACTGTTTTCTTCTAATGCCTATCGTCGATAAGTTACCTGCTCTTCTCCGGGAAGAGTTGGAAAACGCATTTGAAGATGACCTTGATAGTATTTTCGACATCACGAATCTCCGGCAATCACTTGATCAGAAGAAACGAAGCACAGAGATCGAGTTGAGAAGGGTAAACCAAATTTATACCCTGAATATTATGATCGTGCTTTACTTTTCTATTTGTCATTGAAACTCTGCAAAAGAACTAATTCTCGATGTGTATAACCACGTATGAGACAACTTTATGTTGATATACTTTTTGTTTTCATGTTTTGGACAGATAAAGAGGATAAAAGAGAAATTCAGAGCGATGAATGAGAAGCTAAACTCTCACGAATTTGCTCAGAATCTAAAGACGCCTTCCTCGCAGTAGTGACTCAAGTCATGGATCTCTTTTCAAGATATTTTATTTGCTTAGTTTTAGGTTAAATAAAAAGAAAACAATCGAAGAATGTTTCATGAGGGAACATCTTATGTGTTTCAACTTTGGATGTCCGAAAAAAGTACAAAGGAAAAGTTGTCGTTTCAAGTGATTTTTGGGTTTGCTTGTTGGTCTAATAATTTGCAAACTTAAGTGTCTTTGCAACATGAAAAAACCTGAAAACACCAATTAGTAGTCGCATGCTACAGATACATGTACACCGACAGAAAAAACATGTATACTATCTTTAAAAAGATATGTAGATGCGTGCAAGAGATACGTAGATGTGTAGCTCTTAATCTCTCTATCCAGTTTTTTTCCTTGAAAAAAGAGAAATGTAACGATAGGGTGGAATTCTAGAAGAAATAAAAAATCATCAAAAGTTGTATTGGATCCTTGCTATATCGGAGTTTAAAGGGGTCAGAAGACCTCGGTCAATTAGGTGTGTGGTATTGGTCATTTGGTTGATATATAAATAATTTTAGAAGTATAATTTATTCTTTTAATATAAGACTTTCAAGGATATATGGTTCTCTACCATCTGTGGATGTATAAAATTAAAATTATATAGAAAATTCATATATTTGTTCCAATCGTTAGGGACAATAGCCCGTGAATGCATCAAGACCCCAGTACTTATTTCATCAAGGCAAATTAGTGGTGCTATGAATTGAGAGACCCAGTACTTCTTTTCTTTTTCTTTTTTTTGGCTAAACACCCAGTTCTTCGTTTCATCGAAGGACGATATCACGTGGTGAATGCATGAAGTTTTAGAAAACTTCCAAAAGAGAAACAATTAACCAAAAACCTAAAGATTGTTTTTTAATTAATAACTCAAAATGTAACTTTTCCCAGACATGCTATCATGTTTCTTATACCAGGAGGGTTTCAGCTGATAATATCAGACTAATTGAAAAATTTACAGAGTGTAATGTAATATTTTTTTCCTTAAACTAAAAAGGTAAAATGTAATATTTTACCATTATTTCATTTTTTAGTATCTTTTTTTGGGTTTTTAGTCCCTTTTTAAGTTGGAGAATGCATATCTTTTTGACAAAAGAAAAATGTAAAACAGCCGTATAGTATGAAAAATAAATTAAAGTCTTTATGAATATGAAAAATAATGCATGTGGATCAGTGGATTTATATGCTTTTACTGATATATTTGATTCAACCTGAAAAGTATATATATATATATATATATATGTATATATATATGGGTAATCTGCTAACATTTTGAGTAGAAAAATGCTTTTTGAATCATAAGTAGCTTAATGATATACTGAAATAAAATTAGATTATATTTCGTTAAAGAAGTTATCTACAGCTTAAAATTTCGATGTTTTAATTCTTTTTAACCATCACTAATACTCATTTGACCTACCCTCCTGCCCATTAACCTTCACCTACCTAAGAGCACATTCACATTTTAAACACTATCTTTCTTTCAGCCATATCCTCAAAATAATAATAATTAAAAAGAAAATTTGAAAGCTTGACGATTTTCTCCACGTGACGAGAAACGAAGGTTTTTTCTTTTTGTTAAATACGAGAAACTAATGTTTTCTCCACGTGATGATTATTCTGTGATATTGATGTGATCTAACTAGAGCTCCAAACAGAAAAAAAAAAATATTTTAAAAAGCTGGTGAAATAAACGACCCAAATTTATCAAGAAACTTATAGAGCTAAATTATAAACGTAAACGTAAATAAGAAAAAATCATTGGACATGTATAAATTTAATTTGATCACTGAGGTACTTATTTTTTATTACAGATAGCTTTCGATTAAAAATTACCAAATATGTTATATAACAATATATATATCTATTATAACTGTACATTTGAAACCTATTATTCTGTGACAAGAAGGAAAAGGAAACCTATTCGTATTTTCTTTTGTTTCCAGCGGGTTCACGGTCAATCAAAGAAACAAAAAAAAATATTATTGATATATATATATAGAGTAGAATAAAGGGATCAAAGTTAATTGCTTGAAAAAAATGGATAAAAGAGATTATATTTATTTTTATTTTTGATAAATGTTCTGTTTATTTTCGTTTAAGTTTGTTATTATTTTAAGAAAATAAAACTATTATATAAAGAGAAGCAGTCCAAAGCTTTATAGACAACTCAAGTTTCTTACACAAAAGCAACTCGACGATCAAGCATCAAATCTATGGCTCCTTCTGCGCAACCTCTTACTACAAGGTAAAATATATTGCAACAATTAGAGTAGTCTGATAGTATGATCTGTGAGCGATGATGAATTGATGAATATTTCGTTTACAGTGTTCCAGATGAGAAATACGCAAATGTGAAGTGGGAAGATTTAGGATTCGGGTTCGTTCGTACGGACAATATGTATGTTGCAAAGTGCAAACATGGAGAGAATTTCCAAGAGGGAAGTATTGTTCCTTTTGCCGATTTCCATATCAGCCCTTGCGCTGCAGTTCTTCATTATGGCCAGGTTTGTTATTAATTGATAGAGATCTTACATTAACTACAAAAAAAAATTAACCATCATCATATTTATAACTAAGATCGTTTTAACATTGCATGCATATAAATATGAGCTATTAGACTTGTGAAACTTTGAAAAGATCATAATATAGAAATCAAACGAAGTAACTTTAAAGTATTGATATGATGATACTCCTATAAATTTATTAATTTTATAGATTTATGCAGCATAAATAATTCTAAAGTAAATTGTTTGATCAAATATTAATTACTATAAGATATTTGAATTATAAACATATATATATGTATAACAAACTAAATAGTCTAACAGCCCCATATATAAAATTATATGAACAAATAAATTATTTGATGCCGGATTAAGTGATATTGCATGGGGAAGCAAAGCAGTCTGAAATATTTGTCGTTTAATTGGGTATGAATAGGGTTTATATGAAGGGCTAAAGGCTTACAGGACAGAAGATGGCCGGATTATTATATTCCGACCAGACCAAAACGGTCTCCGCCTTCAAGCTGGAGCCGACAGGCTTTGTATGCCTTATCCTTCGGTCGATCAATTCGTCTCCGCCATCAAACAAGTTGTTCTTGCCAACAAGAAATGGGTACGAATATATTATATCCTTTAATTCTATGCATTAATTCTTCAGGGGCTATAATAGAACTTAAAAAATATTGAATGGTTTATTTTATTTTTGTATATATATATATATAGATTCCTCCTCCGGGGAAAGGAACATTGTATATCAGACCAATCTTGTTTGGGAGTGGTCCTATACTTGGCTCATTTCCAGTTCCTGAGTACACCTTCCTAGTGTTTGCCTGTCCCGTTGGACGTTATCACAAGGTGAGTATGTTCTTCTCAACATCATTTCTTGAGTGAGTACACCTTCTTGATTTTCTTATTTATTTATTTTGGTTTTGGTATAGGATAACTCGGGTTTGAACCTGAAAATTGAAGATAAAGTTCGTCGCGCTTTCCCAAGTGGAACCGGTGGTGTGAAGAGTATCACAAACTATTGTCCTGTAAGTTTTGAAAACAAAAATACATCAACTTTTAATATTAGTATAGCTATGTTTTAGTTTACTAATGTAATTAATGGATGTTTTTCTTGTTGAAGGTTTGGAAAACATTGGCAGAGGCGAAAGCACAGGGTTTCTCTGATGTTTTGTTTTTGGATGCTGCAACTGGCAAAAACGTGGAAGAGCTTTTCGCTTCTAACATTTTCATAGTCAAGGTAAATAATTATATATATATATATATATAGACGTTTTGAGTAGTGAAGTGTGAAGAATACTAAGATCAGTGCGATTTGTATTATTGTATACAGGGAAATGTCGTGTCGACTCCACAAATTTCAGGAACTATTTTGCCTGGTGTCACACGAAAAAGTATTATCGAATTAACTCGTGATTTCGGCTACAAGGTTTGAATATTTCGAAATCATATGATAAAACTTATATATTAGGTTGATCCAAGTTTGTCAATATCTAAAGATTCCGTTGGATTCTTATTCTTGATAGGTTGAGGAACGTGTTATTCCCGTTGAGGATCTTCTCGACTCGGAAGAAGTTTTCTGCACTGGCACTGCTGCAATTGTGACAACTATTGCGTCCGTAACATTCAAAGACAAAAAGTAATCTTTTATTCCATGTCAAATCTTTCTTTTCAAACAAATTGTTAAGTATAAGAAAAAGAGCATATATATTTTCATAAAAGTTTTGACTAAAGAATTTGGTGTATATTATATTCAACACGTACAGGTCTAGTTTCAAAACAGGGGAAAAATCATTGGCTGCAAAGCTCTTTGCGACGTTAACGGATATCCAGATGGGTCGGGTCGAGGATACGAAGGGATGGACGGTGGAGATTGACCGGTCCCACCAGGGTTGAAACTTTGAACCTGTAATTTGACAAATTATATAAACAGAAGTTAAGAAACATCTGAAGATGTCTCTCTCGTATCTTTGTGTTAATCGTAATATGTCATTGTCGTTGTGATGTATTTTTCAAAAGTTGTTGGTAAGTTGGTAACATTATGTAAGTTTATTATTATAAAGTAAAAGACAAAGAAAATATTATAAATTAAATAAAACTCATATGGCTGAATTATCGTTAGCCTTTGTGTAGCCCTTTCATGTATTCAATTTGTGGCTTTAGTCTGTTGCCTTTTTGTTGGTCCTGACCCATAGGTCATTAAAAGGAGAATTCTTTTTATAATGTCAATTGAATTAGCATTTGTCCCCTTAATATTTTCTAAATAAAATTTGTCTTTTTAATGTTTAATTGAAATTTAATCCAGTTATACCCTTTAATTACGAATTAATAAATTAATTATTTTTTTAAAAATGTTTTATTAATTAAAAAAATATTTTTCTACAAAAGCATAAAAAACTCTCAAAAACCCTGATACTTTTTCTTCATGGTGTCTTCATCTTCTTTTTCTCCAATTACAGTCACCGGAAAAATAATTGCCAGTAAATAAAAACTTCTTTGTTTTGTCTCCTACTCCGCCTAGTCGTATTCTTCACTTTTTCTTTCAGTATTTTCATTTAGTTTCGATTCTAGGGTTTAGAAATTCTCAATTGATTTCCATAAACCACAAATCACATAGATATGTAGCATGTTTGAAGCAGAATATATGTAAACTTATAAAAAAAAAATCTGTTATATCAAAGTGAAAAAAAAAGAAGAGAACGATGACAGCCAAAAAAAAGAAAAAAAAACGTTAAAAACTGATTAAAAATGTGAAATTTTTTTAAAAAATAAATAAAAGATTTTCGAAATTTTTTTGATCTGGGAGTTAACTAATTTTCCTAAATTTTCTCAGATTTTGGTAGAAGATGTATTATACATTAATGTAAAATGAAATCAATAGGTAGAAGAATCGTTCTATAATAACGTAGAACCTAGTCTAACAGGTAGAAGATGTATTCTACCAACAGGTAGAAGATGTATTCTACCAACAGGTAGAAGATGTTCTATCCAGTAAAACTTATAATCTACCAATTGGTAAAATTTATAAAAACTTATAAAAAACGACTTCTACATGCTGATAAAATATGTGAAGAACTATAGAAATGTGATTTTACGTGAACGTAAAACATTATACAGGCATTCTACCAAGCGTAGAACAAATTTTAAAAATATTTTTTTTCCATAAATGATATCCAAATATATTTTTAATTCCTTTTTAGGTATTTTCGAATTTTTTAAAATATATTTTCGAATTAATTTTTAATTATAATTGCCATAACTGATTTAAAAGGGTAACTATGTCAAAAAGTGATAAAAAAATAGAAAACATTAAGGGAACAAATACTAATTCAATTGACATTATAAAAGCAATTCTCTCTTAAACTATTGGAATATTTTGATATTCATGGAGGTAAACCCGATTTACAAGAAGTCACCCTTATTTGGATTGTTCATTCTATGATCAGCTACAAAACTTCAGTAATCTCATCACTATCACTCACAACGTAACTTGCTTCTCCATTGTTGTTGTTGTTGCAAGAAGGCTCTGTTTTCTCCAGCATGGAAACCACTGATTTCATAAACGGTCTAACCTGTGGAGACTTGTTCGTACATATCAAAGCAATGGTCAACACTCTAAGAGCATCCTTCTTGTATTCATCTTCTATAATCGGATCTACTAATTCCATCATCCTCTCTCTGTTCATCTCCTTGCTCCTGCTCCAAACCCACATGACGATATCTCTGTTCTCGCCGAACTCTGCTTCCACTGGTTTCTTCCCCGTCACCAACTCCATTAGCACCACACCGAAGCTGTATACGTCGCTCTTTTCGCTCACGTTTGTAGTGTATGCACATTCTGAGAACAACAACGAAATGATTTGCAATTGAGAGAAGTTAGAAACATGTAGTTTGAAATGCAAGGAAATGATTGCTTGAGAAGCAAGCAATTTGAAGATAAGTTGACCTAATGGTAGGAAGAAACTTTAAAAGGTTGTAAAACTCGGATAGTATGATAAAAGACACTAGAAGATCCGAACTTACCAGGGGCAATGTAACCGAGAGTTCCTTTAACGAGTGGAGCAGAGAAATCTTGTTGAACAGAATCAGGCTGAATGATTTTAGCCAGTCCAAAATCAGCAATCCTCGGTCTCCATTCTTCATCAAGCAATATATTGCTGGACTTCACGTCACGATGTATCACAGGCCGATCTAACCCATGGTGTAGATACGCTAACCCTCTAGCAGCTCCTAAAGCTATAGCTTGTCTCACACGCCATCCAATCTCTTGCTCACCACGACGCTCGTGTAGCTGTTCCCACAAGCTTCCATTAGGCATAAACTCATACACAAGCAACTTGCTGTCTTCACTCGTTATGCTGCAGAACAACTTCACAACGTTTATGTGTTTTACATTGCTTAATGTTGCAACTTCTGCCTCGAACTCTTTGTTATTGTTGTTGTTGTTGTTTCTGGCGCTTAACATTCCTGTTGAGCTTCTGAAGCTTTCGTTGCAAATCTCTCGTCCCCATATGTGTTTAACGGCTAGTGTTTCGCCGTTTTTTAGGGTTACTCTGTACACATTCCGTTGACCACCTCTGCCTATGAGATTCTCTGACTTGATCTCATCGATTATTTCCATTTCATTCAAGTTTAGTAACCGGAAAGAGCTCAGTACCCAGTTGTTCTTCTTTTGAGCCGTTCGACTTGACCTATCTCGGTTTATCTTGAAGATCACGTTACAGAATAGAAGAAACAAAGCGAATACCACAGCAACGATGGAACAGATCTCCAATTTAGACAAGTGTTTTGCTTTCCCCTCGTGGCCGAGAGGTTTTCCACATAGACATGGCTGAAGATATGCGATCTCTGAGCTGCATAGCCCTGAATTTCCTTCAAAGCTTCCGGTTTTGAGTGGTTCAGGAACAGAACCGGTTAATTCGTTGCCGGATAAGTCAAGTAAGCTCAGCTTAAGAGACGATAAACCAACCGGAATCGTTCCTGATAGTTTGTTTCTTGACAGATTCAGAGAATTCAGCAACTTTAAAGATCCAAAACTTTCAGGGATGTTACCAGAGAGTGAATTACCAGCGAGGTTTAGATCAGCCAGAGATGTGCACAGGCTTAGTGACTCTGGTATAGCACCAGATAGATTATTCTGGTCAAGATAAAGACTCACAAGCTCCTTGAATTTTCCGAAAGAGTCAGGGATTTGCCCGGAAAACTTATTCATACGAATATTAACAGACACTAGCGAGGTAGCTCCAGAGATCTGAGACGGTAGAGAACCTGAAAACCAATTTCTGCTCAAATCTAAAGAGCCAAGAGACTTGGCAAAACCAATATCATCAGTGAGAGTTCCTTCAAAACGGTTTGAAGCAAAATCAAGAAAGTGGAGATTAGGTAAACCCCAAATCCCAGGAGGAACCACACCAGAAAGAGAATTATTGCTTACACGAATACGAATCAGAGTCTTACATTTAGCATAGCTCTCTGGGAATTGTCCTGTGAATCTGTTTTGTAACATCAGAAGATGCGTCATTGCTCCTTTCTTGCACATATCTGAAGGAATCTGACCTTCCAAGAAGTTTTCAGACACGTCTATGTAATGAAAACCTGTCCAAGATCCGAGTTTCTCCGGAAGCTTCCCCGTGAGCTGGTTTCTGTAAAGAGACAGAGCAGCTAAACATTTGAAATCTCCAAACTCTTTTGGGATCTCACCGGTTAGTCGATTTTCGAACAATCCAAGAGAAACAAGGCTCTTTAAAGACCTGAGCTCTGACAAATCACCATCTAACAAGTTGTTGGAAGCGTCGAAGCTCCTCAAATTCGTCAAATTCCCAAACCCTAATGGTAACTTACCGCTCAAGTAATTGTTGTAAATCTCAAGCTGCTTAAGTTTTCTGAGATGAACTATCCCTTTCGGAATCTCGCCGGAGATTTCGTTATCAGAGAGCTCAAGATTTTGTAGACGAACAAGATTCTTGATTCCCTCCGGAATCTTACCGGAGATGCTGCTGTTACTCAGATAAATCCAATTCAAGGCGGTGAGATTGAGAATCTCTCCGGGAAATGGATGCGGTTCGAAATGGTTATCTCCGACGCTTAAGAAACTCAATCTCTTCAGGCGTTTCAGAGAATTCCATGGAAACTTCCCGGAGATTCCAGAGGCGTTTAGGCTCAAGAACTCGAGAAAACGCAATGAATCGATCGTCGGAAACTCGCCGGAGAAATTGTTGATTCCGAGGTCTAAGTATCTCAGGCGATTACAGTTACTTAGACTCTTAAGAATCCGGCCACGCAAGAAGTTGTTTCCAAGAACAAGCTTCTCCAGAAACTTCAAATCGCAGATTGAATCGAAAGGAAGATCGGAGCTACTGTCGTCGTCTCCGTTGATCAAACTCCGGCTTCCTAGGTTGATCTCGACGACGTTTCCGATGGAGTTGCAGACGATTCCGGCGAATTCACAAGCCGAGTTCTGGTGATTAGTCCAGGTGGAGAAAACGTCGTTTGATTCTGTTTTTGCAAATACGGATTTCAACTTGAGAAGATTCTCGACTTCTCTTTTATGATTGGACTTTGATGAAACGACGGGAAGTAAAAAGAGAAGGCGAAGGATAAGTAGTCGCCGGAACATTATACTCTTCGCCGGAATTTTAAAATAAAATAAAATAAACGGTGGTGAGTGGTGACTCGTTGTTGTTATTTGATGCAAGTGAAGAAAGAAAGTATAAGTAAGGCGGTTTGTATCTCTTATATTCAAATATGGAAAACATTTGAAAGGTGCTCTATGTCATGCTTTCCCTCTTTGTTTTTTTCTATTATTATTATTTTTTTATCTTAATCGGATTAATTATATGTAAATAATATGCGCTCGCTGATTCGTGTCGTGTGTATATAAAACAGGAAATTAATGCAATTTTCTGTTTCAAAAAACATATTTTATACATTCATGCACCAATACCTTACGTTACACCTACATATAGTATGATTTTTCGAATTATACTATTCCCCTTTAGTCCTTAATTATTCATTGACTTTCTAGTTCTTTCTCATGTATATTCTCATTCATTCACCACTCTTTCTTCATTTTGATATTTTTTCAATTTATTTCCAAATACTTTGCTCTAGTCGATTCTGTTTAGGCAGCTACTATCTAAGGAAGGAAGAAAAATACTCTATACGACCGTCAATGAGGAAATTGAAGAATACTTCTTCTTGTGAACTAAAGAATCTAAATAAGAAAAAGTGAAGAAAAAAAGAAAAAACAATTGACAGCTGTGGGATTTGAACCCACGCCCTTTCGGACCAGAGCCTAAATCTGGCGCCTTAGACCACTCGGCCAAACTGTCTTTGCGATCAAAGCCTATTTATATTGTAGATAGCTTTCTTTGATTGTCTAAAGAAACCCACCATGTCTTTTTTTTTTTTGAAAAGCAACCCAACAATGTCTAAAGGTGCTTTATGTCAAGCTTTCCCTCTTTGGTTTTTGAACTTGTTTTTATCTTGAAACTTAATCAGATTAGTTATACAATAATCATAAATTCTAAATTACTTGAAAATATGATCATCATAGTCATAGATAGTTTGAAAATTATTATATTATAGCAATCTCATATATGTACCAGAAAGTCATATATTTTAAATTATATGATTAATTCTCGGAGTGTCGAATCATGACGCAACAGTTGTGCTAGATTGCTAGTATATATGATTAAGTTATCAGTTAACAAACCATGTCTTCCAACCCCATAGTGAATACTTCATCTACGACCACCATCGGTTGGTCAATTATCATAAACTTTTTCCTTTAGTAACACTTAGATGAATCATATTTGTTGGATACACTTTAAATAAAATTCATATCGTTCTTCGCTCCATTATTTTTAAAGATTCAAAAATGATTTTTTTTTCTAGTTGCCAACTAAATTTTATTTTTGTGATCATTTTCCAAAATAAGGGAAAAGAAGATTCCAAAATTTTAATCGTTATCGAGAGAGACGTGTACAAACATTCATACACCCAAAATAGCAAAATCCAATGAATACGAAGAACAGAATGTAAGGTTGACTAGTTGTCTATTTTATATATAGAGTACGTTATTACGGTCCTCTTTTAATTTTGGTAAACAAATAACAGAATCAAGTTTTAATGACCATTCTGTAACAAATACAATCCAAAGTTGTTAACTATTCCAAAATTTGAAATATAAATACTCTTAATAACTAATAAGCCTTATCACCATCACGTAATCAACCTTTAATGACCATAACCAAACAATGTCTCTACTCAAAACCAACATCTTATTTCTCTTTGCAATTGCTATTTCCTATAGCTTGACTGTTCCTTCTCTAGCCGAAGACTGGAAACAAGATTTCTTAGAGGCCCACAACGAAGCCCGGAACGAGGTTGGGCTAAGCCCATTGGTTTGGGACGATGAGGTGGCTGCTTATGCCTCGAGCTACGCGAATCAGAGGATCAGTGATTGTGCAATGGTCCATTCGAATGGACCTTTCGGTGAGAACATAGCGTGGAGTAGTGGAGATATGTCGGCTGAGGATGCTTCGGAAATGTGGATCGACGAGAAAAAGTACTACGACTACAATAGCAACACGTGTAATGATCCAAACGGTGGCACGTGTCTACACTACACACAAGTTGTTTGGCAAAACACTCTTCGGTTAGGATGTGCTAAAGTCGTGTGTAACAGTGGTGGTACTTTTATTACATGCAACTATGATCCTCCGGGTAATTACATTGGAGTAAAACCATACTAAGTTTTTTTTAATGATATAGAAATTATAGTTCATTATGAGGAGTATAGAAGGGATAATGAGATAAGAAGTTGTTTCTGTCATTTCTTAGCTGTACAAAATGATATAAACAGTTATATAATAATGATGACATCCACCTCTCAAAAAATTGGCTGGCTAATTTCCTAACGCTACCTTAAAAAACAAATAGAAAATTCAAAAACATTTTTTGGAAAGGAGAAAGAAAAAATTTGTGAGTGGAAGACAACTCACGAATTAGTAAAACGACAAAGCGAAACACGTCAAACGACACCAAGCTGGCTTTGCTGTCTCAGCTCTTTCCTTAGCTTATGAGAAAACAGCCTGCAAGCGTCCAAACTCAGATCCACCGCCGCAGCCAACGCCACGTGCGCTGCTGCATCCTCCGTGCATGTCACGTGCGTCACTCCCACTTCTACCTCCGGTTTACTCCGTTTTCCCACTCCTTCCACCGTAGCCGACATCACGAATCCTCTGTTCTGCGCCGCCGCCGCCGACGGATGCTGCGGCAAAAGATATCCGAAATCCGACCCGGATCCTGATCCTGGCCTCGATGCGGGTCTCGACCCGGAACTAGACCCGGATCCGAGATCCCAGCTTCCTTGAGGACTCGTTGTCGGCGTAGACGCCGCCGTGGTGGTCCCGCCGGTGACATCGATAGCGAAACTCCCGCCATTTTTCAAACTGATCGACGACGATGCGGAAACCGCCGTGGCGATTCCGTCTTGGAAAAGCTCGAAACGGTAACCGAGTGAGTCGGAGTAACCGGTTTCACGCCATGCCTCTAACCTTCCCCATGGCTTCCACGTGCAACCGTCGGGTCGGAGAATGAGCCAAGCTCCGGGACTCGATCGTGTCACGCGGTTCGAACCTGGAGACGGCACGAAAGGTGTGACCATTGAAGCCATCGCCACGGGTGACCCGGAGAGATCGTGGACTGTTATTGACCAACCTTTTCTCTCTTTCGACGGTTGTTCCTTTTCCGATTTCATCGACGATATGCAACTTCTCGTTGAGATTAACTCAGACATCATCGAAGAACTGTAGAATTGAATCATAAACTAATCAATTAACAAGATCCTAAGTTTTGTTAAACAAGCAAATAATATATAAAAAGAGGCAATGCTTCTTATTTTCTAATCGGAGAGTGAAGAAGAAGAAAGGTTTTAAACTGACCTGTGAATAAGATTCCGATCGACGGAGCTGGAGTTTCTGGAGCCGAATTTGCAAGTGAAGACGGCTTGTTTTGTGTTTCCTTGAACTTGGAAAACCTGAGGGCTACACTCTGGCTCGCCGTCGAACTGAAAAACGAATCTCGGGTCGGGTTCAACCCGTAAACTAACGTGGAGCTCCGGATCGGATCCAGCTTTATTCCTCCTCGATTTCCCTCCTTTCTTAGACCCTAAAGCGACCCAGCCGTTGTGAGCCAAACAAGTCTTCGTCTCCGCCGATTTCAAATCAAGCGAAACCTCGAATCGACCGAGCAATTTCTCGCTCGCCAAAGCGAGACCGCACGACGCGCCGCTGACGCCGTCGCCGCCGTCGCTGTTCCCGCGAGAGTAAGCCTCGACGGAGAGGACACTCCACTTAGGTTTCTTCAGGGAAGCCTCGATCTGAGTTTTGCTTAGACTGAAGCAAGCAGCGACGGTGGAGATGTTACCGGAGCAACGAGTCTCGGACTGATCAGATTCCGATCGGTACATAACCGGGACGGAAACGACTTGGCGAGGAAAGCTCTTGAATCTGATTTTGCAGTAGCAGTTAGGAGTCGATACGGAGGAAGGATGGACTCCGGAAACAGAAGGCTCCGATGAAGAAGAAGACGCCGGGAACCTAACCGCCAAATTTCCGACTATGATCCGTACGAAAGAGCACGGATCCATTGACTTGAGATTGGATTCTCAACGCTTAGATCGATTTAGAGAGATAGTAATTAGCAAGCGAAGCAAACACACACTGGTTTTTAAGGTTTTTGAGAGAGAAAGATGTTGAATGAAGAAGATATGGAGTGTGGAAGAAAGGAGAAGAAGGTATTAAAATGGAAAGAATTGAAAGAGAAACACAGGCTGGAAAATAGCTGGGGAATGTATATATAATAATAATTACTATTAAATGAAATTAATACATTTCGTTACACAAAACTACAGATTCTGTGGGGTCAAAGCGAAAACAGTGAGCTTACTCTTCCACGCCTATCATATTCCAGATAGGCAGAGTTATTTTTTTTAATTTATTAATTGCGTCTTTTTTTTTTTTTTACTTTTCAAGCGTTTTAAGAATATGTTTTTCCTATTTGTTTCCTTTTTTGAATTGTTTGTTTTATTTGTTACCTATCCTGAATATTTTTGAACCGAAGAAAGGAAAGATATCTTTCTCTGTTTATTTTTATTTACTGGAAGTGTACAAACATTGTTTAGTTTTTTGTATAAATGTTAGCTGTGTGATTGATGCAGTCAGTGCAAAAATCAATTTGCTTTACCAGATTTTTTTTTTTTTGGTAAAATGCCTTTACCGGAATTTGTACCACCGTTAAGGAAGTAACAGTGGAAATGATCTATACATATCTTAACATTAAAACCAGAAAATATTTCACTAGTAAACAAAACATTTATTCAAATTTTCATCCAAAAAAGAAACGATTAGTAGTAAAGCAAAAAAAAAAAAAACAAATAATATGGGGCAAGGATATAGTGTGTACTGTCTTGTGTTCATCTATAATATTATGGGACAAGGATGAAAAATATTTATTTTGATAATTGAAAATGATTTTGAACCGGTATGGAAAATGGTACTACTAAACATTAAACCAATAATAATTGGACAAAACCGTGGACGCAAGAGGTTAATCGCTGCCATTGGATCGCAGGTGGGGTCGAGATTAGCTACAGTGCATCCTCCCTTACGCAATCTTTTTATTTGTCTCTCTGTTCACCACTTCGAGAGGAGAATGAGCTGGCCCCAAAGTGGAGCACGAAGGTATTTAGTTGGCATCATCTTCACTTGCTAATATAATACTACTTACTATACAAATATATAATCAATCTAAATTAAATTTCTTTTTTTATCTTCTAACTAAATAATTAGTGTGACTGAAGAATATAATCAAACAAAAGATTTAAAAGCTTTTCCTACTGTTGTCGTTTCCTGCATTAACTTCCGTCGTTTTGCTCTGTTCCCCCACGTATGGTACTATGGTTTCATTACTTTATATTTAAATCTACGTTGTTATTTAATTCATGGGGTTTTTTTATCAACCGTTGAGTGATAATTTACAAGTTTGACAGATAGAAAAAAAAAAGTTAAGTAAGGTAAGAAGACCAATCTGTACTACAGAGAGGATCTTGAGGAGACTGTCGAGTCGCAGCTGTATGGCCACATAGAACCAGAGATTATTTTATTTATTTTATTGATTAGTTTAAATTTTAAAATGTACCTTATTATCGATATCATCAAATTTATATCATGGTTGTATAATACTAGTCCAACTTTCCATTTCTTAATGCATCAATGACACATGCGTAGAAGTTAAATCATCAGAGATTTCAGATACCTAACAAATAGTAATATATTCATATTAGTTTCCTTATTTTCATTTTTTTGGGGTTAAATGCTTAATCTAATAATACTTTTACTGTTGACAAAGTAAGTTAGTCTTTTTTTTCTTGTTCTTTTCAAAGACCCATTATAAGCTTATCTGTAGCAAATTTGTAAATACCAACAAATAATTCATATTTATGTTCAACCTTAACACAAAACTTTCGTTTACTTTAAATTATGTAGCTATAAAGTTTTCCTTTATATATAACTCACACATCATGTTTAAAATCAACTTAAATTAGGATAGTAACATAATCATGGTTACAGTTGCATAACTAAATTATAAATTCCTGTTTCTAACTCAGTAGTATTTAATTTTGTTCATAATTTATAACTAAGCATACAAATCAAGTAAAACTTATGGATTTTTTTTCTGTCAAAATAAGTATAAAAGTAGGGGGAGTTGAAGTTTTGTTTTAAGAAGTATTTAACCTTTCAATTCTTTTTAATCATGAGCTTGGGCTTAGACATTCTAATAAAGCGCACTAAAATGTTTACATGTCCCCAGAAAAACCACCTTACCTATCTATGAAAGCCCGATAGGCTTTTTTTTTGTTGTTGTTTAATAACATTCTTTTTCTGATACCACATTTAGGTTGTTTTTAGTTTTCCTCTGAGGCATTATGATTGATAATTCCGAATCATATTATTCATGATTTTATATTGTGTTTTTGTTTATTTATTTGAACACACCCAACCCAAACGGTTAGTTAATGTGTTACAGCAGACATAAAGTTGCAGCGGAGTGTAAAAAGGATCTATAGAACTTATTTAGTTCATAACAGAAGTTGAAGAAAAATGAGAGTTCATTATATAGATTGCTAAAACAGCTGAAATACTAAATAACAACAACAAAACAAAAGAAACAAAAGCAATGTGTTCATCAAGTAACGACATCTCAAATGTATAAAATAACAACAAAACAAAAACACAAAGTAAATAAATAAAAACTTAAAACACTCTGTTTAAATATAAAACCGAATCTGCAACAACAACAGCAACAAATTTAATGGTAACCATGTCCAAAGTGAGGAGGATGATCAGGATGGTGGTCACATTCAGAAATGTTTTCTTGCTTAAAACAATATTGATTCTGGTTTTGATTGTCTTCCGGAGCGAACCCTTGAGGAACATTATTATCACCATTACTTGGAAACGGTGCTGTAGTATGATGATCAGGAACAGGAACAATCATCATGTTGTGATTGCAATTGAATGTGTTCATGCTCACCATTCTTCGATGGTTAAAAAGATCCAAATGAGTGTTGATCATGTTACCATCATCACCAAAAGCAGCATTACTAGAACTTCCAGCATAGAAGTTATGATGAGGAACCGTTGCTTGAAGATACTTGGAGGCTTCAGCTGTCACTGATTTTCTCAAATTTTCCAGACCACATTTGAATGCATTGAGTTGAGTCAAGTTCATTCTTTCTATGGGTTCTTCCCACCAGTTCTCAGGCATTTTACTCTCTTTTCTCCTTTTCTTCAAGTCTTCGTTTCTCTTTTTCTCCACTTCCAGCTGTTCTGTCACCTGTAAATGATTTTTTTGTGTAGTTTTATTAATTATTAAACATACATACAACATTTTAGAAAAGACTTTCTGAAGAAATTAATTAATAGCCATATACTACTAGAAATTTCACTACATAAATATACCTATATACTTTATTTTATATCAGTTTCGTCATTTAAAAATTTCACAACTTTTTTTTTTACGCGTTTGAACATATATAATCTCTTAGACATATTCCAAGCTTTTTTTTTTCTTAACAAAATGAGATTATATAAAGCAATTCTGAAGTCCAAATCGACCGAAGAAATCTTACAAAGGATAAATCTTGAGCATTATTCTAATAAATGGAGACAAAATAAACTATTTCTGTTATAAGTTATATTACTTCAGCAAAAAATTATTATGTACACTATTCAACAACGGAGGCGGATGTAGTAAAGGAGGAATGAAGTCAAGTGCCCTTACTTTTTTTTTATTTTTTTTTAAATTATTTAGGAAAATTCAATTACAATAATTTTAATTTAGTGGTAAAAAAAATTGCCCCTAATTTTTTTTTTACTTATAAACTTATGCTCTTAACTAAATTTTTTTCTAGATCCACCACTGCTATTCAATGTAAACAAAAACATATTTGAGTATAATCCGAGAAATGAGTTCGTTTAAAATTTTAATTATAACAAAGAATGTGAAGATGTAAAATTTACCTCAGTGAGCTGATCGTTGAGATCTCGTATAACCACGTTTCGACGGATTTCATTAAGTTGCATATTGGTTTGTTGATGAAGATGAGGTGGATTATGGTTTAAGAAGCGATCAATTACATGACCAACATTTGGATGACCAAAAGAAAAGACTTTCCGACCAGGTGAAAACACAATAAGAGCGATTTCCGCACCACAAAGTGTACAAAGTTCACTAGCCTTTTTAAAAAGACCAGATCTTCTTTTCGAGAAAGTAACTTGAAGGTTATTTTCGTTTTTCATTTTCACCATCTCTATCTTTTGACGACCTTTGTTTTTTCTCGCCATTTTTATGAATCTTTTTAAAGAGAACTATATTATTTTGTGTTAACAGACGAAAGATTGTCTGGTATTTATAGTTGAAATTCAATACTGACAGTTATTATTTTGAATAGTATCTAAATAAATTTATTTTATTTAATATATTTTTATTTTATATTATAATTTATTTGTTACCACTTTAGAAACGAATTATAATCTTATACTCTATCAAATTAGGTATGTTATTTCATTTGTTACAATGTATCAAAATCTTTGGAATGCATGCATTGTATTGCAAACAGAAATACAGAATCGTGTCTTAGAAATTTGGGGTTAAAACAAAACAACTTTTTTGGTCAACTACATACCAGTTATTAAAAAAGAAAAAGTTATAAAAAAATTTTCATCGGACATTGCATCGTTTCGTTAATTTTTTTTTTTGTCATTGCATCGTTTCGTTAATTAAAAACTAAAAAATTGAAAAAATTTATAATCCTATTAAAATCTACAATCAATTTGTAAATATTTTTAAAATATAAATATTAAAATAGTTAAATAATAAAAGAAAACATTATTTGAAAAAGAAATAGAAAAACTTAAATATTTTTCCAATGACCGTTTAATATTTTTTTCACGGTTAATCAGTTTTTTTCCAGTTTTTTTTTTAATTTCAGTTTTTTTTTTCACCTACGAGTTATAAAATATAAAATGCGTATACACATAGCTTAGGCTAATTTATTATATATATATATATATATATATAAAATAAAAAATGGTTTCATTAGAGTAGTAATTCATTGAGATACATTAAACATTTTCATGTCAAAAATACTATTTATAATATCAAAAGATCTCGATTAGTTTCATCAATATGGTGACGAGTTATTGGTTTGTGCCAGTTGGAATCGGGTGGCTGTGTTGCAACCCGCGGTTAAGACAGACTAGATGGATCAAAATACAGTGGTGATTCGCGTTTCAGTGGCATACGACAATACAATAGCAGATCCGACGACAGTTACTACAAGATCTTTGCCGTTGATCACATGGAATATAACCCCTTATAAGATACCATCACTGAGTTAGGATGCAATGCGAGGAAATCGTAAGAATTTGAAGCCCGTAAATTTGTATTTAGTTTGCACGTGTTATAGAGTATCCTTGAGCAAAACTTTGTATTGGATTGCTTTTAACACAATGTCTCATGATTTTTGATTTTTTGATGGAGAGTTTCAAAACCGGTTGCGCTTTGCCTAGTCATATCCATTCATGGTACGGTGTGGCAAAGTAGAAGGTTAGTAATGTGGATAGAGAGGGTGTGAAATGTTGAAGTTCATGGATGTGTCAGTTCCTAACTCGAATTTAAGACATGTTGTGTTGTATACTCGTATTGTCCGTACCTATTTTCCCAATTTGGTCCCAATTAATTTGCGTCAAGTAGCGCGAACTTAATTTCTTTTAATAGACTAATGTTTTGGTCTTTATAATATTCTTAATTATGACCTGCTTAACCAATAGTATGAAATGAAGTTTTCACCTATTGATTTGTTGACAGAGACGAGTAGAATAGAAGAGCAACGATAGATTGATACCACACAAAGTTCAACACCGATTATGACAAATCAAAAAACAGAAAAACCAGACGGATAGGCAAACTAGGACTCGGTACGAGAGAGTTTCGAGCCTTTCAAACCACAGAGTAAAAAACAACACCACACGACAACAACCCAAAACAACAACGAAGTCCGCCGCTTAGTATTCCTCACCTTCATCGTCTTCATCATCACCTCCCTCAGCACCAACCTCCTCATAGTCTTTCTCCAAAGCAGCAAGATCCTCACGAGCTTCAGAGAACTCTCCTTCCTCCATACCCTCACCAACGTACCAGTGCACAAACGCACGCTTCGCATACATCAGGTCAAACTTGTGGTCAATGCGAGAGAACACCTCAGCGACACTGGTCGAGTTCGAGATCATGCACACAGCTCTCTGCACCTTGGCCAGATCACCACCAGGAACCACAGTTGGTGGCTGGTAGTTGATACCACACTTGAACCCAGTTGGGCACCAGTCAACAAACTGGATTGTGCGTTTGGTCTTGATGGTGCCAACAGCAGCATTCACATCTTTAGGGACGACATCACCTCGGTACATCAGGCAGCAAGCCATGTACTTACCATGGCGAGGGTCACACTTGGCCATCATGGAAGCAGGCTCAAAAGCGCTGTTGGTGATCTCGGCAACAGAGAGTTGCTCGTGGAAAGCTTTCTCAGCAGAGATGACTGGAGCGTATGAGGAAAGCATGAAGTGAATTCTTGGGTATGGAACCAAGTTAGTCTGGAACTCAGTGACATCAACGTTCAGAGCACCATCAAACCTCAGAGAGGCAGTCAAGGAAGAGATCACCTGAACCATTATAGCAACAGAAAACGCATAAGGAATTATACAAGGAACATATAAAGCATGCCAGGGGAAGGTGGGATATAAACATATACCTGAGAGACAAGGCGATTGAGATTGGTGTAGGTAGGCCTCTCAATGCTGAGGGAGCGTCTGCAGATGTCATAGATAGCTTCGTTGTCGAGGAGGATCGAAACATCGGTGTGTTCCAAAAGTGAGTGGGTTGAAAGAACACTGTTGTATGGCTCAACGACAGATGTTGAAACTTGTGGTGAAGGGTAAACAGTGAATCCAAGCTTGGATTTCTTTCCATAGTCCACAGAGAGACGCTCAAGGAGCAGAGATCCAAGACCAGACCCAGTTCCTCCTCCAACAGCGTTGAAAACAAGGAACCCTTGGAGACCTGTGCAGTTGTCAGCGAGCTTCCTGATACGGTCTAGACAGAGATCAACAATCTCCTTCCCAACTGCGACAAAGATTAAGAAGCAATTCACAGTCAATAACACTAAATCGGCTTAAATAATGTGATCAAAAGTTGATGATACCAATGAACAAGAGAAGAGTATTTACTGGTGTAATGCCCACGGGCGAAGTTGTTAGCCGCATCCTCTTTGCCGCTGATGAGTTGCTCAGGGTGGAAAAGCTGACGGTAAGTACCGGTTCTGACCTCGTCGATCACAGTGGGCTCAAGATCAACGAAGACAGCACGAGGAACGTGTTTCCCTGCACCGGTCTCACTGAAGAAGGTGTTGAAAGCATCGTCACCTCCGCCAACGGTTTTGTCACTCGGCATTTGACCATCAGGCTGTAAAATTCCAGATTACAAAACATCCCATCAGTACATTTGCAAATACAGGTTTAACAATGACAGATCTAACACAGAGTTCTAATTCATCAAATGATTACGAGAGAGACGAGGTCCAACTCTACATTTTATAGATATATCCAAATGACAGATTATCGTAGATCCATTTTCTAAAACTGATAAAGCAAACATCGAAAAACTACAGATCAGATCAGAGAACGGGTAGATAATTAGAAGATCTAGCGAGATGCAGTACGAAAACCTCAGATCTGAAGGAATTAGAGAGCGATTCCGGTCACAACAGGAGAATATAACGCAGATCTAAAGCGATACGTGTAGACGAAGAGAGGGAAAGAGAGAGAGAGAGGAAGAGACGAACCTGGATGCCATGTTCAAGGCAGTAAAGCTCCCAACAGGCATTTCCGACCTGGATACCAGCCTGACCAATGTGGATCGAAATGCATTCCCTCATTTTCGCTAAAATCGAAGAGGAAGGTAGAAGCTAACGACAAGGATTTGCAGAGAAAAACGGAGGCGTTGATCAAGACGCACTCCTTAAAGAAAATAGATCTAGATCTGGGCGATATCTAGGTTTCGAAACGGGTGGTGTTTAACGGGTTTTTATACACGAACCCATATTTAGGTGACGGGTCGTGGTTGACACGTGTAAGGAAACAATTGGACCACTGCCAACCACGAGCTTGTAACGCTTATGAGCTGTGTTTTTTTTCTAATTTTAAAATTTGCCGCCTATGCCATTTTTTGGTATGGCGCTTCAATACCGTTAATTTTTGAAAAGCATATCGCAAGAATTCCGGGGAGGATGAGATTTACTACGGTTTGAAATTTCAAAGAGGCAAAACAAGGTTAACCGAGTTATAGAAACTGAAACAAATTAAGTCAATTCAGAATGTGGTTTTACTCGGTTAGATAATTATGACCAATTAAACCAAACTAGTAATACATCTAATTTGGACGATTTCCAAAGATTTATGACTTTGGTTTGATAAAATAATTGGTTTGATTTTGAAGAATACTATTTATAAACAGTATTAAACCGAGCTGTAACACACTAAACCGATACAAAACTAGCTTTTGGGCCAAAACTCGTGGGTCGGCAGGCCCGGCTGAAGACACAAAATTATTATTATTATTATTATTTTTTTTTAATAATAGTTGAAGCGCAGGACCGTCGCTCTGAGCTTGAGTTCAACTTCTTCCCTCGCCGGCGATTGGTAATAATCTGAAATTCGTCCTTCTCTTGCCGGATATTCTACTTTTTTTCTTTATGATTGTGTTTGGATTCTGCGATTCACTATCAGCACTTGAGTAGTGTTTGTAGGTTTCGGATATTTCCTTGTTTCAGTTCATCTGATTAGGGTTTTGTGGTCATTTCTAATAAATGCGTATCTCCTGGGTAGAATTTGATTGAAGAAGCTCTTTTTAGTGTCTTCTCCGTGTAAATTAGTTGTAATTTTCCATGTAATTTACGAGAGTGAAGCCTAGAGTTGAAAACTTCAAGTTCCTGGATCATTTATTCTCATGTTATGGCCGAGTAAATTACAGCGCACGATCAGGCACATGGTCAGATTTCGAATAATAAGATGTACCGATCCAATGGAAACAGTTTCCTTTCCATCTCTAAACTCAGACGATTCATGACCAGACGTCTAGTATTAATTGTGAACATGTTTCAAATCACTTTGAATATATCTAGTCATCTAACTATTATGGCTACTTAAGGCATCAGAAGGTGGTGAAACTGATTTCACCATATTTAGAATCCATTTTCTCGTAGATATGTTTGCAAAGACCTGCTTGAATACCATGTTTATACTTCGCCTAATTAATGTATTGTGGTGTTCTGTATTCAATGTAGACGTTGTTGTAGGCCATGTTGGATATCCTATCAGAAACTTTAGAAAGCGGGCTTACTTCTGTTGCTAGCATTATTGCATACATGCAGTGTTGATGCAATCTTTCCTATATTTTTGTGGTTGTGATACAGGTGTTGAATTATTTTCCATTTTTCAACTGAGCTTACAGAGAGCAAATACAGCCAGTTTCTGTCGTTTTTTGGTGGATCTTCTATTGGTGGCACTGAGGATAATAGGACTGCTGGAAGATGGCCAATAATCCTCAGTATCCTGGCATTCAGGTAGGCAGTAGAATTAAACTACTGGATTTTGATATGTTTGTTTTCGTGATAATTTTTTTTTTTTGAATGGTACATCTAATTAGCACTTTTGGTCCTGAAAAGCCATTCCAGCACCCGAATGCTAGCTCCTTAGATTTACCCCGAGGCTTTGCTCCATCCATGAATTTTCAGGTAATGTTTTATGCCTTCCATGTATACGGAGACTACTTATTAGCTCAACCCGTAACATATGTTTTGCTTTTTTTTTCATGCCAGTTTCGTCCTACAATTCAAGCTCCGCAGTCTGAGCAAGTTGCTCGCTTGTCAACTCAGAATTTTCAGTGTGTTGGCAGAGGTGGACCAGGTGGTACAACGATGAACAATGGATTTCCACCTCAACCTTATGCACCTCAGTTATTGCAATCAATGCACCATTCGCTTGAAAGGCCTAGCCAATCAAATCAGGTGCAACATGCGCCACTAGGACCCCCGACTCGAATTTCACAACCAAATGTGCCAATTGCTTCTGGTACCTCCTTGCCTCAGCCTTACGCACAAACTCCAGATATTAGTATGAGTGGCTTTGGTGGCCCTAGGGCACTCTTTTCTTATCCGGTAAGGAAGGTAGAGACTTGTGTATTTATATCTACAGATACTAAATCCTGAGTTCCTAACTTTGTAAACAAACAGAGTGGCACATCCTATGAAACCTTGAGGGCACCAACTCAAGTCATTGGACCAAACAGTCATGGTCAGGCACAACCAAGAGCATCTATCAGCCAGACTGCTGCGCTATCTTCTATCATGATTCCCACATTTGAACAACCGAAGGTTGCTTCCATGTCTCTAATTTTAACTACCTTTTGGACTGTTTTTGGTTACAACTCTAATCTCTGTTTACTTTTGCATCTGAAGGCAGCTTTATTTCAACCTATACCTTCTCAAGTGACTGTGATAGATTGGGTTGAGCATACCTCGGCGGATGGAAGGAGGTAAGAATTGGAAGTCCTGTGACCTATAATTTCTCAATTCATTTTCTTTGAATTGTCTTGCTTGCGTTTTCATATATGATGCTAAGTTGAAATATTGACATTCAAAGGAGATGAACTGCTGGCAACTGGGAAGTACCCTATAAGCTTGTACAAAAGCTAATTCATGAAAAAATATGCACCAGAACAGATATTTTGTGTAGTCGTATCTATATTCTTACTATTACAGATGTTAATTTCTTTATTAATTGGATTTATGGAATTGTTTCTGCTCTTTGAGGAGGGTTTTTATTATTTCAAATATTTCATAGCCATGTGTATTTGATTCTTTGAACTCGGTATAACTTATTTGATAAAGTTTCAGCCCTATTTTATGTAATGGTATATAATCTGTCACTCAATGAACTAATTCTTGCTTTCTTCCAGACAAATTCTATCTAGTGCCTGTTATTCATATTAATATCTTTTCCTTGCTTATTTGTTCTTCCATCTGGACTTGCATGGAAACATTGAATCTGTGGCTTATTATCAGTCTTGAGTACTGAAGCAACGATAATCATGACATCTTAGATATATATGTGTTTGATGTTCTGAAAAACGCAGAGTTTATCGGCTGGGCCTCTGATTTTTCCTTCTCTTTGCTCCAGAGAAAGTATTTGACGTTCCTTGTTTTATGTTTTGTCTCCGTTTCCTGATGATTCATTGTCCTGCACCTTGTGCAATTATTGTATATTTCCTCAACTAATGACTCATCATAAAACTTGTAGAATGAATTTATTTTAGTTCCATGTTTCTAGGTGTAACGATTTTATGGTGTATGACGTTGAGTTTTTGCTTGTTGTTAGATATTTTTTCAATAAGAGGACAAAGCAGTCCACTTGGGCGAAGCCTGTTGAGTTGATGACTCTTTTTGAGGTGAGATACTCTGGATCTCTTCTGTTTATGTATTCAAGTGTGGTCCAGTAAAATCATTCTGATTTTTTAAAGCTGCCTTGTGCCATGTCATTACATATACTGCTTACTAGTTAGTCATTGCACTTTGGTTGAGGTGGACATGTTCTCTTGCTTAATAGGAATATAAGTATGAGATTATATCTGGAATTCCAATGAAGCAAGTTTGTGTGTAGGTGCTAGGGTTACACAAAAGGAGTGTGTATTTCTTATGACGTTTAGATATTTTCAGCAAGAACAGTTGTGATTATTTTTTTTGGCTAATATCCAATTTTATGGTATGCTCTGGTGATCTGTACCGTTATTCTTTCTCCCTTTGTTCTTTTGAGATCTGAAGCAATGATACCCGGTATATATTTAATGTATAGAATGTCCATACGCTTTTTACAGAGAGCAGATGCAAGAACTGACTGGAAAGAACATTCAAGTCCTGATGGAAGAAAGTGAGTGGGTTTTCTTTTATTAGCATACAACTAATGAAAAATAAATTTCACCTTCTGTAGCTTTGGATGTTAAATCTCTTTCTAATTTGATATGGTGGCAGGTATTACTACAATAAGGTTACTAAGCAATCAACATGGACAATGCCCGAGGAGATGAAGGTTTCTCTTAAGACAAATTATTGTCTCCTCTACTGGGTTTCTGCTTTCTAATTTTTGTGTTTACAATTGTGTGAATTTTAAATCTTCTCGCCAGATTGCTCGTGAACAAGCAGAAAAAGCATCTGTTCAAGGGCTTCATGCAGAAGGCATTATTGGTGCTTCTCAGGTGCCATCTCGTTCTGATACAGCATCGCCTGCAGCTCCGACTGGTTTACCAAGCCAAACTTCATCTACACTTTCAACCTCTGATATCAGTGAGAAACTAGCTCCTACTTCTGATTGGAAGCAGGCAGCTTCAGTTTCTGAAAGTTCTCCTCCGGTCGAAAATGTTGATCGAGTTCAGACAATTGCAGATAAAACGTCACAAGTGTGTGATACTGCAAAAACTGCTGATCATTCTGCTACTCTGACGATAACTTCTGCTGCTACATTGTACTAACAGTTGTAGCAATTTTATCTCCCTTTCTCTTGAATTCTATTATAAGTTTTGTTGTGAGAATCATATGCTAACTAAGTTTCTATCAACTATATTTGCAGGGTGGAAGAGGATACAGTATCAGTTGAAAACAGTGGAGGTTCAGATGACATGTCAGCTAAAAACACAAATGTATCTGAACTTAGCCGTGAACATTTCTTGTTAGCATGCATTTCTTCTGTATTTGTTTATCATAATTGCTCATCTGCTCTCTAGCAAGGTAGTGGGACTGGACCAGAAGAAAGCCAGAAACATGTGGTGGAAAGTGAAAGAGTTGACAGTCAATTGGAAGAAAAACAAATTCATCAAGAGAATTTTTCTTATAACAACAAATCGGTATGATTGGTTTTATGTTCATGAGTATATATCTGATTGTCTGTCTACATAAATTAATTTTACTTTATTGTATAGGAAGCTGTGGATGTCTTCAAATACCTTTTGAAATCCGTCAATGTTGGATCTGACTGGACATGGGAACAGGTACTATAACTTTTGCTATTAGCTGTTCTTTGAGCATGTCTCTCAAGTTTCAGATGGTCTCTGCCACAGGCCATGAGAGAAATAATTAATGACAGAAGATACGGGGTTCTGAGGACTCTTGGAGAGCGTAAGCAAGCCTTCAATGAGGTTACTTTTTTTTATCTCATACTCTAAAATAGCATGATAGTTTGTCCGAAGAGAATTAAATAAAATTTGGATGTTTCAGATATAGTACAGTCACATTCTTCTCCTTTTGAACAGTGATGCTTAAGAGGTACATCTGGTCATCATTGTTAATTGGCATTTATTTGAATCTTTTGGTGTGATTCAGTTCTTAGTTCAAATGAAAAGAGCAGCAGAGGAGGAAAAGGTAGCCAGACAGAAAAAACGGTATGAAGATTTCAGAAGGATGTTAGAGGTAAGTTTCAGTTCTGCTGCTGCATGGTATGTCTGCCTTTCCCTTTTAGAGAATTTCAGGCTACTCCAAACCGCTTATCTTTTTTTCGGACATTGGTCTGCTTACCAGGAATGCCTGGAGCTGACTCCTTCTACGCGGTGGAGGTTTGTTCTCCAGCATAATTCTGTTTCCTATTCTTTTTTTGTTTTCCCCTCTACGAGAATTCTTCTAGTGCCATTTACTTTGCGATATAATGCTTCTTTTAAATCCAGCAAGGCTGTGACTATGTTGGAAGACGATGAACGTTTCAAAGATGTTGAACGAGAAAAAGACCGTCGTAATATTTTTGAAGATCATATTACTGACCTAAAGGAGAAGGTATTATATGGTGTATACATTAATAACTCTTGTGTTTTTCGAAATTGCTTTTTTTTGTTTCTCCCATCTGTTTTCTGTAAATAAGCATGTATTTTTGACATTAGTTTTACCCTAGAAAAATTCTTATGGAGTGGTAATTTAAGACTTCTTAAGTTTAATCCAACTTGATCATTCATTTCAAATTTTCGATCTGTACTTTCTTTCAACTATATACATGTGTGTACCTTTTCTTAAAATTTGAACTTCGTTTACTACGTGCGTCTTTAGCTTTGCGAGGACCAAATATCAAATTGTTTGAATTTGTTGAAAGTTTAAAACATGGACTTTAATTTGGGTCCTCTTGTTCTAAATGTGGTTGATACTATAAGGAGCGGGTGAAAGCTCTCGAGGATCGCAAGCGGAACATAACTGAATACAGGAGATTTTTGGAATCTTGCAATTTCATCAAGGTAGTTCTCCCTCTTTATTTCTTATTTTCTTACACTATCTTGTGCTAGTTCATTCTGACTCAATATTTTCTTTCTTCAGCCTAATAGTCAATGGCGCAAAGTTCAGGACCGCTTAGAAGTGGATGAAAGATGTTCACGTCTTGAGAAAATTGACCAGCTAGAAATCTTTCAGGTTATTTCATTGATCAGGAACTATTTATACTCCAATTCCACACTCGACTAATTTAAAGTGTTGTACAGGAGTATCTGCGCGATCTGGAGAGAGAAGAAGAGGAGAAAAAGAAGATACAAAAGGTACTTAGGCACTACGCCTCTTTCGAATTTGACATCTATGTGTTTGTTTTATTGGACATTACCTCATTATATCTGTCATTCATTCCAACAGGAGGAACAAAAAAAGGCAGAGCGAAAGCATCGTGATGAGTTCCGTGGCCTGATAGATGAACATATTGCAAAAGGAGAGCTTACTGCCAAAACTAGTTGGCGTGATTATCTAACCAAGGTTAAAATTAAATATTATATCACCCAAAATAATTATTCCATTTCAAGTAATGAACTAATACTTTTGATTCAAAATCGATTCTGCATCGCAGGTCAGAGATTTACCCGTATATTCAGCAATTGCATCAAACTCCTCTGGAGCTACTCCAAAAGACTTATTTGAAGACGCTGTTGAGGATTTGAAAAGAAAGGTACTAGATTCTTCTCTTTAGTCTCCTTAATTTCTAAGAATCATGAAACAGATTGTAGTCTTTTACATGATGAGAAAAATTGCTATGCAGTCTCTATACTTTTTCTTTTTAAAAGACAGTAAATTGTTTATTTACATAGTTCTAAGTTTATGAATAGTGGCTTTTTCTGTTTCAATTTCTATTATTTTTGCTATTTTTTGTTCTGTCCCTAAACCCTGAATTAACCATTTGTTACATGTTACGTGGTTTTGTCTTTACAGTACCATGACCTCAAATCTCAGATAAAGGACGTATTGAAGCTGAGAAAGGTATGCGTTCTCTTTCTGTAACTTTTTATGGATTTTAGATGTGTTTTGATCTCCATTTCTTTCCAGGTAACAATACACGCTGGATCAACATTTGATGAGTTCAAGGTCTCAATTCCCGAGGGTATCGGTTTCCCACCTATTCCTGACTGTAAACTGAAGGTGTGTGGACTATTCCTTGACTTAAGTTTTCATAGTAACATACTCTTTTGTTTACCTACCCTTGAATGTCTCATTGGATATGACTACAAACTATATGTTTTGGTGATGCTTCTCAGTTAGTTTTTGATGATTTGCTGGAAAGGGCGAAGGAGAAGGAAGAGAAGGAAGCCAGAAAACAGACACGGCATACTGAAAAATTGGTGGATATGCTTCGCTCCTTCAAGGTGTTGAATCTATATGGTCTGATCCGATATAATATTATGTGATGGGTGAACTTTTGGGTGGTGGTCTTGCTTTCTCCCTGATTATTAGTTCTGGTGCAGGAGATAACTGCCTCTTCATCCTGGGAGGAATCAAAGCATCTTGTTGAAGGTAGTGAAAAATTCCGGTACGTTCTTCATTTAGTCTAACCCTTCATGGTCGAGTTCATGACTAGATGAATCCTGTTTTCTTGCTATATTTAGGTCTTATAAGTTCCAACTTCTGTTCTCAAATGCCTCTCTTAAGTCTTATTGCCGAATTGTCTTGCTTTGCAAATAGAAATTCTAAAGGCTTTCTTGAGTGGTCCTTTTATGATTCAGATGCCTCTGTCACTCTGAGGGCTTGTGCTTTCTGGGAGTATGTTTTGACAAAAAAGGCTTCAAAGAATAGTTTTGATGTGTTTTATCGTTCGCTGTTTCATTTTGCCAAATATTGGTCTTGTGCTTAATGTTACGATTTGAATCCTTGGATTTTTATCAGGCATGTTATTTTTATATATTCCACTTCCTTCTCATTCAGTCACAAGAGAAGTGGGCCCTTTCTAGTATGGTTATTATATTTGATGATTACCACTGAACGGTTATATAAAATCTAATCATCTATTATTTTTCGCCTCTATATATATGTAGTACTATAGGAGATGAGAGCTTCCGGAAGCAGACATTCGAGGATTACGTATCACACCTCAAAGAGCAAGCAAAAAGGATCAAACAGAACAAGAAGGTAATGGTGGATTTGTGGGTATGAAAGTTTGCTCGGGTCAATCATTTACCAGTTTTGGTGGAACATTTCATAATACTTCGTTTAGTATGTCAATCTAGTGGAGTAATATCAAGACTGTAATATGAACTTACTCGGATTGAGACACTGTTTGTCTTAGCTGCTTTTATAACTGCATACTAACATACTTCAACTTTTTGTAATAGATAATTCAACTATTACGTACTGATGACATGTCCGCAATGTTATAATACTACAGGTACACGAAAATGTGAAAGAGGAACATGACAAGGGGAAGGATAAACACCGAAGAGAGAAGGACAGAGTGCGAGAAAGAGACAGTGAAGATCATCATAAGAGAGGTGCAGCCGATAGTTACAACCATGATATGAATGAACCCCATGGGAAAGAACGTAGAAGATCAGGAAGAGATAACCATTATAGACATCGAGAAAGACATACTAGTTTGAAGGAAGATGCGACAGACCATTACAAAGAATCCCATAAACCTGTACCTGGTGGTGGCCACAAGAAATCAAGACAACAGGTACACTTCGTAGAATCCCGTGAACGTAGAGTAATATTTTTGTTTAGGTTTTGACCAGTCTAGAAAAGCGTACTGTGTTACGGTATCTCTCTCCATGGAAATTAACCCAGTGTATGGAATCAGTAATTGAATGCGCTCCATTTGATATTAGATTGTTTAGCAACATATATAGTTAATGTCAAATGTGTCAAGCTTTCTAAAGTCGGAGTGTTATGCAATTGCAGAGAGGTTTGGTGCCGGAAGCAGAGAACGAAGGCAGGGAAAAGCGGCGTAGAAAAGAGGAAGAGATGGAGCAAACAAAGGATGTGGAAAAGGAAGAGGAACTTGAAGATGGAGAATGTGGTAGGTATTGAACATCTTTTACACCAACTCTTCAGTCCCGGCTCTAACCCATGCTGGGCCCGCCCTAGGTCCAAGTGATTCACTGCTTACTGTTTTGAGACACTTATCCAAGAACAATGTATTGAATCTCTTTCTTAAATATTAAAGGTTAAAGAATCTCTTTCTTAAATATATCCATATTCTCTCCTCTCTCGTCTCTTTTCTTCTCATCTATCATCTCTTCTTTAGATCCCTTCGAGGATTGTATCATCAAAGCCTATTTTTTTATATATATTTATATAAAATATATGGAAGGGGATCCGGTTGAATTTAAATATCCTGATCTTTAAATTTAATTATTTTTTAAAAATAGGAATAGCATATTTTCGGATTTCATCAGTGATCACATATATTTTACTTAGCCCCAATCCAGATACTGAATAATTTGTCCTAAGTCAGCTTGCATTTTAATCAGTGATCACATATATTTCGATGTTAAAAGTTATATGGTTAGATGTCAAAAAAAAAAAAAAAGTTATATGGTTTAAATCTATTTATAATTGATTTAGTATCTGGATCAGGTTGACTAGTAGAGCTTTTTTAAGAAAATCTAGATATTTTTCTACATATCTTTCTCTTTTTTTTCTACATATCTTTCTCTTTTTATAAGATTTGAGGTTCAAATGTAAAAGTTTATGTTATTTTGTTGAATTTATATCTTTGAGATATCTAATTTAAAAGTGATATTCTTCTCAAAGAATATTATTCTGTACCATATATGTAAATGCTAGATATGTTAATCCACTTACAAAGCCTTTATAAATAGTTATTTTCAAGCAGCTAAACAATATCAAAATTTTCACTCTTTCTACACTAAACAATAAAGAGAAACCAAAAACAGAAATATGAAAGGTTTCTTTGGACTTTTGGTGCTTCATTTCATATGTTTCACGTTATCTGTAGCTACTCGCGAAAGTTTTTTCTTTGCCTCTGATTTTGATGTAGCTAAAAACGTTTCTAGTAATTTGAACGATCACGAATCTCTAACATTTTCAGCAGAAAATGTTGAAGTGAGGAGAGAAGTTCCAAGTGGTCCGAGTAATGAGACATCTCCACCTACACCACCATTGTCCATAACAGATATTGTAGTAAAGAGAGAAGTTCCAAGCGATCCGAGTAATGAGACATCTCCACCTACACCATTGTTGTCCATTGCGGATTTTGAAACCAAAAGAGAAATTCCAAGCGGTCCGAGTAATGAGACATTTCTACCTACACCACGGTTGTCCATTGCAGATTTTAAAACCAAGAGAGAAGTTCCAAGCGGTCCAAGTAATGAGACATCTCCACCTACACCACAGTTGTTTATTGCGGATTTTGAAGCTAAGAGAGAAGTTTCAAGCGGTCCGAGTAATGAGACATCTCCACCTACACTACCGTTGTTTATTGCGGATTTTGAAGCCAAGAGAGAAGTTCCAAGCGGTCCGAGTAATGAGACATCTCCACCTACACCATCGTTGTCCATTGCGGATTTTGAAACCAAGAGAGAAGTTCCAAGTGGTCCGAGTAATGAGACATCTCCACCTATACCACCGTTGTCCATTGCGGATTTTGAAGTCAAGAGAGAAGTTCCAAGCGGTCCGAGTAATGAGACATCTCCACCTACACCATCATTGTCCATTGCGGATTTTGAAACCAAGAGAGAAGTTCCAAGCGGTCCGAGTAATGAAACATCTCCACCTACACCACCGTTGTCCATTGCGGATATCGTAATGAAGATTTGATTTTAACAGTCCAAACTATTAATAATAATCTCCAACCTCTCCACCATTTTAGTTTAAGTTACAATCCGACAAGAAATAATTAGAAATAGAAAGATCCTATTTTTGTATTAGATGATCTTATATATGGTGCATTTATATGATTAATTTCCACACAAAAAAAAAACTTGAGTTAGAAATAATAGGTATATAATATATTTTTGAAAGACCTTTTCCAAACTAGTAATACTATGTTAGGGGATCATCATTTTACTATTCCATGTGAATGCAATTGAGAAAAAAAAAAAAAAAAGAAAGAAAGATAGGGTATCTTTTTGTGTTTGTGTGTATGAAAACTTAAATGTAATTGTGATTGTTGACAAATGCAAATGTGATTACTGATCACATCAACAGAAGTTGACTAAATTAAATGTTAAAAAGTCAAATAAGGACAACTAGTGGCAAATCTCGAAAATATCTGAAATTCAAAGCCCTATTTCACACATTACGTTCATAAAACCAAACAAGGCGTGTGAGGGTGAAGAACTGTCGTAGCGTAACGTTTCCACAGTAAAAGTTCGAACACAGACTCAGAAATATGTTTAAGGAGCTGCGACTAGAAAATCTTCTTTCTTAGTTAATTTAAGGTTCTACTTCTACATACAGTATATAGAGAGAATCAAAGAAGATGGGATTACAGTTTGAGAGCTTGGTGGAGACGATAAAGTCCAAGGTGGGTTTGCTGAGGAAGAAGAAGAAACCTTACATCAAAATGGATAAAAGCTCAAGCGTTAGGGTCGAGATCCGTCGTAAGAAAACCAGAGATCTCATCGATAAGACCTTGAAAGTCGCTGATCGTCCTGGCAGAAGAACTCTTTTCTGAACTCTGTTCTTTCTTTTTCCTCAGATTTTGCATATCGTTTCTGGAGATCGAGTTTGTGATATATGTATATATACTATATGATCATTCGTTCATGATTGATCGATGGAAAAGGAAAAAAATAAAAAAATTATTTGTTTTGTGACTTTTAACTTTTAGTCAGTCTTACTTTGTCGGCTAAATTAAAACTGATGAGACTTTGTTGGACAAATAGAACAGAGGTTCATTATATAAACTCAGAAATCATCTTCTACATTTGCAAACTGAGACATTAAAAGGTTAATAGGCAAATCCACACCAAGGAACGAAGCATAACATGTGCTTTAAGAAGCTAACAAAGCTTCAACTTTTGCAATCTGTTCTTCCTCGTTGGCTTTAGCCGGACTCTTGTTGGCCTCTTCGAACAAGTCATGGTCCCATCTCTTCTCGTACCTTGTCCCGCTTCCATGAAACCCACTTTGTCCATTTCTACTGAATCTGTCTCTATCAAGTCGATAACTTTGCCTGCTTCCCGCACCTCTTTGATCATCATCTCTGTTCCACACTCTGTCTCTTCCTGCTGCTGGTCTCTCATGTCTTTCTGAATCCATATTGCTCCTCCAGTTTCTCTCGTTCTCTCTGCGACTGTTTAGATTTGTGTCTTTTGCCTCTTCAGCTCTTTTTCTGTCTGTGTCATTCCCAGTGTTCTCGGGAATCTTCTTCTCCCTGAAGGCCGGTCTTTTCCTAGAGAGTGCTCCTTGGGTGTCTTCACTCTCATGGAGCCTATCATGTCGCCTCGTGCTTTTGTCTTCATCTTTACGATACTGTGACTTGTCATCATCTCCAGCTCTTCGATAACTCTGATCTCTTGAACTTCTCCACGATCCTCTCTCTTCACATATGTAAAAATAAGTAATATGTTCATATAAGACTTGCCACTCTTCTGTAGGTATATATATATATATATATATAGCTAAACTACATATGTCTTTATGCGGGATGGACTGAAGAACATGAAAGAGGAGTTGTTCCAGGGCTAATTACCAGATGTTCCTCTTCTGTCATCTTTCCCAGCACTACGACGGTCATCATGCTGTTATTAAGACACGCACAGGCAAGCCAAAGATTACATATATCTGAGCATTGGAAGGCATATTCATATTAAAGTTATAGCTTTTTCATGGGTAATGCGACTCAGAAAACTTCCACAATGTCCCATGACCAAACATCTGATCTACTTCATTAATAGTAACACAGAACAAAGAATATCAGGATAGTAACAAAACGAATGTCATCAAATGGAAAAATGATGGGAAAATGAGCTTCTCGAACCTGATGATATGGTCTAGAACGAGGCCCTTGTGACACATGTGGAGCTGGTTTGGTTGTCTCATGATCTCCAGAGTGCTTCTTGTCACTGTCTTTTCTCAGATTATGAACATCAGGTTCAAGTGGCGTAGCATCTCTCAGAGACTGACGTGGTTTCTTATCTGTCTCAGTAACATCCAAATCCTTCTTACTCAGAACACGTTCTGCTTCAGGTTTCCCATCTCTTCTAGACCTCTTAGGGCTACACACAAAAACATATGATTATTTGCGGAACTGTAGAAAGGGGATTCTAAGCTCTAGTAAGAGTGATTGCTGAAGAGCTGGTTAGAGAACTACTGAGAGTGTTGGACTAAGTTTCTCCACAAGAGCTACAAAATCAACTATTTTCGTTTCTATGGTCATGCTGCACATCTTAATAGAGCAGATAAATCACTGGAAGATTTATGGCGGGTGCAAAGCCAACTTCTTCCTAATTTCAGCACAATACAACAATCACTTTTAACACTTAAAACCACAACTAGACAAGCATATTTCCACCAAAATCCGCCTGCATTTCGATTTACAGAACAAAATACACGAGATTTCTCGCCGTTACGGACGGAGTTTTACTTTAAAGATAAAATCTAGATGCGCCACAAAACGAGGAAGACGAGTATAGAGTAGGAATCACCAGAAGAAGAAAATCACACAAGCTGAGTGTAAAGAGTAGAGAAGCAGACCTGGATTCGCGATCGAATCTAGAACGTTCTCGTTTAGGGTCAGAATCTCTGCTCTCTCGCCTGGCCATGTTTCTTCTCTTTCTCCCTGAAAAGAAATTCAGGAGAATTTTTTTTTATTTTAGGGCTTACTCTTCTCTTTCCACGCCTGCAACATTTTATCTAATTCCCTGTCCGAACTGGCAATTTCCTCAAAATTACAGTTCACCTCTCATATTCCTTAAAACACCAGAACAACCCCCATGAGTTAAAAATTGTACGAAAAATGAACCATTCTCATACTTAACCGAAAATTTCGGTTCTCCGATTCAGTCTTTTGTCTAATCGGTTGATCTAATTTGATGAGAGCGATGGTCAACGATGAAAAGTCAACCAATTCGACAGACGTGTCCAACCATAATTCATTTGTTTTATGTGTAGATGAAAGTTCTTTTGATTTGGGAAACCTGTACAACGCAATCAAACAAGACTTATAACTTATAAGCAGTATCTAAATTTTATAAAGATATCAATATAGTAAAGGAGAGAATGATTTTGATGGCAATTTGCTCTGCTTTAATATAGAAGTTTGCAATGAGTGCAGGATACGGATAAAAGGTTCCAACTGTAAGATCCTCAAGAAAGAAAAAAAAAACTTCTAGTTGATGTACAAAGGCAAGAGACATTATTCACCCAATATGTTGGTTTTGATTCATTCAAGCAAGCGCTTGTGCTTCCACCAGCCGATCGCACCAACATAGAGGAATATACTCCCGACAGTACCTCCAATCACAGTCCAAAGGAATCTTCCGGGACCTGCTTTTTCATCATTGAACAGCTCTATGGTAATGTTCATTCCAAATACTCCAGCAACAGCGATAAATGCGCTCATCACCAGAGTAGCTGTAGTTAGCATCACACCCATTTGCAGAAGCTGATTCTGTTTGTCATCTAGCATTATGTTGATGTAATCCTCTGTGTCATCCACGTATTCCCTTAGCTTTTCCATCAAAAAAGAAAAAAACAACACAGCACAATGGATAAGATGAACATATAATCATCTGAGAGGAGTGATAATTACTAACGTGTCTGATAACTTCTAAAGCGACTGTGTGTTACTTACTGTTGATAGTTTGTTCAGTGTACCATCGATCTGCACGAAATAAGCTTCCAAAAGCATCTCAAGCTCTTCAACATCGAATTTATTGGTTATGGCACTCCGGGTTGAGCTTGTATGAGTTCCACGGCTATTTCTGCTAAGTGCGCTATGAGCACTCATAAGAAGATCGTGAGCATCATTTGCTCGAAGATAGCTTTCATCTCTGTTAGCCTCTGATGCAAATTCGGGAGGAAGCCTGGTAGGTTATTTTAAAAAGTAAGATGTTAAACTTATATCAGATCGATCAAAGGTAGTGTATGTTCAGTAAGTCTGGTACATGCCTGTCGTCCTCGTCTTCTTCAGGAAGATCAATCTCGACGGATTCACTCTCATTCATAGAGGAAGCTGACGAATTCTCAAGTTTCTGAGCTAATTTCTCTGTAAGATACATCTCAGCCATATCTTCATCATCGTCTAGCAGATGTTCTAGTTCGTCCCTAACCTAGAACAAGTGAAGAGAAAGAAGTATAGGCAAACAGGTTAGCGTATGGTGACCTCTTAGGATCACAACTTAGAGAAAACAAGATTTGTCTTAATCATAAGATCAAAGGAGCTAATGCAAAGTCTGAATCATGAAACCTTCTGAACACGTCCAGTTATTGCAACCAGCCTGCTTTTAATCTGTCGAACCCGCTCCAAGTTGAGGGTACTGATCTTGGAAGTAAGCTTGTCCAAGGCTGGATGAGCCTCTAACTCCAATCTTACGGCCTTCAATAGAGAAGAATCAATGAAATACCACAAAAGAGAAGCAAAATACTGTGTGTATTAGAGTCTAAACGTAAGTAAGTTACCTCGCTTTCCAAACTGCTGGATGCAGCTTCAAGGCATGCTTCCAGAGCAACAAACTCAAAAGGAAGCACCTTGGATCCATCTTGATTCTCAAGACTTTGCTTCGCATCTTTCTTGGCTTCACTCCCTTGGTCCTCAAATTTTGGCGTTCCAGATTCTCCTTGGCCGGGATCCACACTCGTATGAGTCTCTCCCTCAGAGTTCTCTTCCTCCTTTACACAACGCATACAAAGAAAGCAGAGAGTTATTAGTAGCTAAACCTGATCATCATCATTTTCATACAGCGTCACCATTGCTGGAAATCAAACAGTCAACCATGTCACAACACGAAATTAGCTATCATATATCCATTATCAAGCCAATATATCATACGAACTCCCTCTTCAGCTACAACCCTCCATTTCTATTTCCCAAACAATGCAATTAGGCATACGTTCCCAAACCAGCGGCATATTGCTAGTGAAAATCGATAGTCCACAAGGAGAAAATACGAAAGCAAACTCCTTGTTTCAGCTAAAGTAAGATTCTAAAAACCCTCGAAACTAACAGTGAAAAGAAAACCCTAGTTTTGACAAATTACCTGGGGTTTAGTGGCGTGATGGTGGCACTTAATCCGCCTCTGCAACTCTTCGATGAAGGGTGACACGGAAGGATCCTTGGAATTCAGCAGCAAAACCTCTTGCGCGGTGATGATTGCCTTAATATGCTCCAAATTGATGACGATCGCTCTCTCTCGACCCAGAACAGTGGATGGATACGACAACAGTGGATCGAGAATCCGAAGATCTCGAGCCGGTAACCCCGTTTTGCGCATGATGGTGTGTTTTCCGTCTTCCTTCATCTCCGCCTCCCCTGTCGAGAGAAGCTCTAACCACGGCCTCACGCCCACACCTTTCTTCCGACCACCGACGGGATAAGTCGGCGTCGGCAGCCCAACGTTAGGCGTTTCTGGATTCGTACTGAAATCTTCGCGTCTAGGGCCTCTCATGGCGGCGTTACGATGTGATCAGATTATCAGAGTTCGAGCAGCTGGATTTGTAACTCCGATCGTCGTCGAATTGGGAATTTATTTATACCGCAAGCCAATGAATCGGTTAAGAAAACCGGTTTTTTTAGCTTTCCCACTAAAACTCAACCGGTTTTAGCTTCCTTCTTCTTTAGATTCTGTTTTTTTTTTTTTTTTTGATGGTATTGCATTCTGCAGCGACGGAGGCTGAGATTTTGAGGGCTTTGAGATCGGTGAGACGAGTTTAGCCGGCGAGGCTTAGTGTTAGTGACGGCGGGATTAGGATTTCGAAAAGATCGATGAAGTTGAGATCGGTGTTTGACGCTTCGGTAATCAAATCGGAATTTGAGTCAGCGGGAATAAACCCTAATTTCGTGATTCCCATCTGGAAATATGTAATTCAGAACCCTGATTGCGTTTGGGACGAGATTCCTTCATTGCCTTCAGCTGCTTACTCTCTTCTTCATTCCAAGTTCAAGACTCTCACTTCGTCTCTTCACTCGCTCTTCCACTCCTCCGATGGCACCACCTCCAAACTCCTCATCAAGCTCCAGGTACTCTACTCTCTCTCTCTCTCTCTGTCTCTTGGTCTTCCTTGTGAACATTTTGGGCATGATCTGAATGTCTATAGAAAATACGATATGGGTTTGTCTTTGTCTAAGACACTAGGCTTTGTCGATAAAAATGTACAAGAAGCAGCCATTTGTAAATCCATAGGAGATTTAGCTGCTGAAAGGGTTTGACTTTGTTAATACAAAGACATTGTTCTATGAATTCTGAGAACTCGTAAGCTCAAGGCTTTCTAATCTCTGCCTAAAATGTCTCTGTTATCTAATTTGATTCATGCTTCTGGTTTTGCAATTTAAGAATGGAGCTTTTGTGGAAGCTGTGATAATGCGATACGATACCCGTTTGGGGTTGTGTGGAGGGAAACCACGTCCAGGAGGTGTAAGATCTACATTATGCATTTCATCCCAGGTATTGATTTCTCTCACGCCTGTGTCATCTTGGTTCATTGAATCACTACGCAGTGAAAAGAGCACCTGGTATAATGTATTTATCGATAGGTTGGTTGCAAAATGGGTTGCACATTCTGTGCAACTGGTAGCATGGGATTCAAAAGCAATTTGACATCTGGAGAAATTGTGGAGCAGCTCGTTCACGCCTCTCGCCTTGCTGATATACGCAACATCGTTTTCATGGTACTTTGCCTGTTATTGCATATCATCAAATGTTCTTTTTTTTGTTGTTGTTGTTCATATACTTAATCGTGTATCTGTGTATATACTCCATGTGCACCTTGCCTTGTGGTAATGTTAAGGTGTCTTACTATACTCTCTGTATCGATGAAGTTTATTCACCAGTTGTTACCTTGGTTTGCTGATTGTGATCAGGGAATGGGAGAACCTTTAAATAACTACAATGCTGTTGTTGAAGCTGTCCGCGTCATGTTAAAACAGCCTTTTCAGCTTTCACCCAAAAGAATTACCATATCAACTGTAAGTACACAGAAAGCTACCTTGAAACATTCATAAATCAGAGATATATTTATTGAAATTGGTACTGATTATCCTTAAGTTTAATGGTTTAGTTGGTTACTCTTAAAGTTTGAGGTTTCTTTGGGACAAATAGGATTTTTTTTTGTGATTTTTTTTCCCTAGACTAACCCTTTTTCTAATTTAATTTTCATATAGGTTGGAGTTATTCATGCGATTAACAAGCTTCACAATGATCTACCAGGTGTAAGTTTGGCGGTATCACTTCATGCACCAGTTCAAGAAATTCGCTGTCAGATCATGCCAGCAGCTAGAGCCTTTCCTCTTCAAAAGCTTATGGATGCACTTCAAGCTTTCCAGAAAAACAGGTAGCTCCTAACTGGTTTTATTTTTTGTGCTACTAAGTATTAAAACCATATTTCCTGAAGTGATTAAAGATCATAACATAGTGCTACATTTTCCTTGGATTTAATAGTCATCAAAAGATCTTCATTGAGTACATCATGCTTGATGGAGTAAATGATGAAGAGGAGAACGCTCATCAACTCGGCGAATTGCTAAAGACATTTCAAGTGGTAAAGTCTTCGATTTCTCTATACTCTAAAAAAGCTGCTGCAGTTATCTGATGGAAACTCTGTGCCGTTTTCTTAAAACAGGTGATAAATTTGATACCATTTAACCCGATTGGGTCCACAAGCCAGTTCGAAACCAGCACCAAACAAAGCGTCTCAAGTTTTCAGAAAATCCTGAGGGAAACATACAAAATCAGAACCACAATTCGCAAAGAAATGGGTCAGGATATTAGCGGTGCTTGCGGTCAGCTAGTCGTGAACCAACCGGACAACAAAAGAACTCCCGGAACCGTGGAACCACTTAGAGACATTGAAGACCTGCATCTCTAACTCTAGGACCAGACACATGAAACAGACATCTGAAATCTCTTTAAAAGACAAAGATATATGGTTTGTATTATCTTCGAAGTCACTCTTCAAAACCCTTTTCTTAAACTTCACATTTTGTCCGCATTACTCGGTGGAAAACACTTGGCTCACTCTTATATGCAAGTAAGAAGAAAAAAGAGATGGTCCTTATAAACTTCAGCACATGGAGATGTAACTTCTCTTTAAAAGTAAATTAATGTCATCATTCAGTTTACAAGTAAATAATTAATGGTAAATAAATGAACTTCTCTTCCCGCCTATAAAAACAACCCCATACTCTGTCTTCTCTTCCATAAGAGAGAAAACAGAGAAAAAGATGAGTGTAAGAAGATTTGTGAATGTCTCTCTGCTAATAGCAGCTCTGGTTTCATCACTGTGCGAGTGTCAGAAGAACTTTGCGTGTGACAAAAATGCCCCTGCGACGGCTAAGTACGGTTTCTGCAACGTCTCCTTGTCATACGAGGCACGTGCCAAAGATTTGGTCTCACGTCTCTCCCTCAAGGAAAAGGTCCAGCAGCTCGTAAACCGAGCCACCGGAGTTCCAAGGCTCGGTGTTCCTCCGTACGAGTGGTGGTCGGAAGCTCTCCACGGCGTCTCCGACGTTGGACCAGGGGTAAAAATTAAAAAACGTCATAACTATATATATATACATATATGTTCATGAGTTGCTTTGTACATAAATTCAAAAGCTGACGTTGTTTTTGAGTTATTTCTTGTCTAAGGTGCGTTTCAACGGGACGGTGCCTGGAGCCACGAGTTTTCCGGCGGTGATATTAACGGCGGCGAGCTTTAACACATCGTTGTGGCTAAAAATGGGAGAAGTGGTTTCAACGGAGGCTCGAGCGATGCACAATGTAGGACTCGCTGGCCTCACGTATTGGAGTCCCAACGTTAACGTGTTCAGAGATCCAAGGTGGGGTCGTGGCCAAGAGACGCCAGGAGAGGATCCTCTCGTTGTTTCCAAATACGCCGTCAATTACGTTAAGGGCCTACAAGACGTTCACGACGGCGGTAGAAAGTCACGGCGGTTAAAGGTGTCGAGCTGCTGCAAGCATTACACTGCTTACGATCTTGATAACTGGAAAGGCATCGATAGATTCCACTTTGACGCAAAGGTAATACAGAAATGTTATAAAAAAAAAAGAAATATGAAACCTTAAATGGATTCTTGATTAGTTTTCTTTTTGGTTGGGGAAGGTGACGAAGCAAGACTTGGAAGACACGTATCAGCCTCCATTCAAGAGCTGCGTAGAAGAAGGAGATGTGAGCAGTGTAATGTGTTCTTACAACAGAGTTAATGGCATCCCAACTTGTGCTGACCCTAACCTTCTTCGTGGAGTTATCCGAGGCCAATGGCGTCTCGACGGGTCAGTATTTGGTTTTTACCCTTTTAGAAGAACCAGTTTGAGTTATATATATATGGAGAATTGATTTCTTCAAATCTTTCTTTGTGGTAGGTATATCGTTTCGGATTGCGATTCCATCGAGGTCTATTTCGACTCCATTCATTACACAAAGACACGTGAAGACGCAGTTGCTCTCGCTCTTAAAGCAGGTAAAAATCTTTAGATGATGATCTCAAAAGTCATTACATTATATTCATGTGATTTTATCTTTTTAAAACTAAAATGTGTGGTTCTTGTACTTAAACAGGTTTAAACATGAACTGTGGAGATTTTCTAGGTAAGTACACAGAAGATGCAGTGAAGCAGAAGAAACTGAACGGATCAGAGGTTGATGAAGCTTTAATATACAACTACATTGTTCTAATGAGGCTCGGATTCTTTGATGGCGATCCTAAATCGCTTCCCTTTGGAGATCTTGGACCGTCTGATGTTTGCAGCAACGATCATCAAATGCTTGCGCTAGAAGCCGCAAAGCAGGGGATTGTCCTGCTCGAGAACAGAGGAGATCTTCCGTTATCCAAAACCGCAGTTAAGAAACTAGCGGTTATAGGACCAAACGCAAACGCTACAAAGGTAATGATTAGTAACTACGCGGGTGTGCCTTGTAAGTACACAAGCCCTTTACAAGGGATGCAGAAGTATGTACCGAAAGGGGTTGTTTACCAGCCGGGGTGTAAAGATGTCAAGTGCGGTGACCAAACTCTGATCGCAGCAGCGATCAAAGCGGCTTCAGAGGCTGATGTGACGGTTTTGGTGGTTGGCTTGGATCAGACGGTCGAGGCAGAGGGTCTTGACCGGGTGAACCTAACCTTACCAGGTTATCAAGAAAAGCTGGTGAAAGATGTGACCAATGCTGCAAAGAAAACCGTTGTTTTGGTCATAATGTCGGCTGGACCAATCGATATCTCGTTCGCCAAGAATCTGAGCAAGATTCGTGCTGTTTTATGGGTTGGATATCCTGGTGAAGCTGGAGGAGACGCTATAGCTCAAGTCATCTTTGGTGACTACAATCCTTGTAAGGCTCTTTATCCAAACCCTAATTAAAAACCCTAGACACAATTACTTACTTATTTGTCTTTGTTGTTTGCATCAGCTGGGAGATTACCAGAGACATGGTACCCACAAGAGTTTGCAGATAAAGTTGCAATGACGGACATGAACATGAGACCTAACTCAACTTCTGGTTTTCCTGGAAGATCTTATAGATTCTACACAGGGAAACCGATTTACAAATTCGGATATGGACTCATTATTCTTCTTTCTCTACATTCGTTCTCTCAGCTCCATCGATCATACACATCAAAACCAATCCAATCTTGAACCTAAACAAGACAAACTCTGTCGATATCTCCACCGTTAATTGCCAAGATCTCAAGATCCGGATCGTTATTGGAGTCAAGAACCACGGGTTAAGGTCCGGGAGCCACGTGGTGCTCGTGTTCTGGATTCCGCCAGAGTCTTCAAAGTCTTTGGTGGGTGGTGGCGTGCCACAGACGCAACTGGTAGGGTTTGAGAGAGTGGAAGTTGGGAGAAGCATGACAGAGAAAGTTACCGTTGAGTTTGATATCTGCAAAGGATTTAGCCTTGTGGATTCTGACGGTAAAAGGAAACTAGTCACTGGACACCACAAGCTTGTTATTGGATCTAACAGTGATCAACAAATCCTTCATCATCTCAACGTTAGATTGGCTGGAGATTCAACGGTTTCCTTCTGAAAAAAAAAAAAAACAGAGCCCATAGATTCTACTAAAGTTCTTATTGTCAAAAGTCAATGATGTAATGCTATCATCAGTTACGACGAAAACCTAAATAAAAATTTGGTATAATACCACAAAGAGGGTCAATACTTATCCAAATATTTGAACCAATGGTAGTCAATTCTAAACAAAGACAAAATTGATTTCTCTTCTTATGCCACATGATATAAATATTGGGTTTTTGTTGAGACATTTTTATATAGAAACAGAGAATTAAAATGGAGGGGTTGATTCCATATCTGATTCATGCAATCAAGAAAGATCATAAGCCTCAACATCATAAGTATCGATCGATGTCCATAGGATCAAGCCGAAGCTACCGACCACTAATGATGGGACACGAAGGTTCTTCTTCATTACAGGGATCTTCACACCGTCGAACTAGATCAGAGTACAAGCCACCTGTAATAATGGATATGTTTGATCAGACATCATCAGGTTTTGGTCAAGATTCTGAGTATAAAGATTCTTCTTCTCAGAGTGTAGCAACAAAGCCTCGTTTTACAGATAGACGATGATCTTCTGTAAGAAGGAAGATTAATTATAAGTCTGATCATTCTATTTGTATGCATGCCCTTAATCAAACTGTAATAACTTTCAGATACTAGTCAATGGTTTAAATTGTTTTATTTTTTATTAAATTAATCAAGTGCAATATATAAATTGTTTTTTCTGTTTTAACTGAATTATTGTATTTAACAAAAAGAATGACCAAGAATAGTAAAAAGAAGTGCCAAAACAAAGCAATGACTAATAACAGAGGAAACAGAGGAATGATCTGTTGATTGCTTGGCAGTCAATGAAGAAATATCTGCATTAGGGCTTCTTTATTCATAAAAGTAAAGAAGAATTTTCAAAACAAAACTTTCTTCATTTTGAACAGAATCACACATTAGATTCCAGCAAATCTTGTTCATGTCTGTATGCAACAGATTGAGAAACATAGCCTTCTTTCTTCTTGCCTATCTCTGTTTCTCCTGATACACATCTCACAAGAATCATCGTCGGTGGAAATGGCAGAACTAAGATCAGGTGTTCTTTTCAAGCTTCTAGAAGAAATGGGAGTCGGGAAAGTGCGAAGAGACGTTGATCACAGACCGGTTTTGCTGCAGATAAGAAGCATAATCCCTGTGTTAGCAGCTGGAGGGTTATGGCCAAACAAAGGTTTCTTCTTGAGAATCTCAGATTCATCACATTCAATGTACGTCTCATTGCCACGAGAAGAGAACGATCTTGTTCTCTACGACAAGTTACAAATCGGGCAATTGATATTTGTCGAGAAGCTTGAATTCGCTTATCCAGTTCCTGTGATCAAAGGCATTAGACCAACTCCAGGTCGAAGGCCTTGCACCGGTGAACCTATCGATTTAATCCCTAAAGAACGTATCGAGAAGTTCTGTGTCGATCTATCGGATACAGAGCAAAGCTACAATCACCAAGTGAAGAAACCAAGAAGAACAAGATGGAACAACTCAAGCGTCTCTGAGATAAATGTAACGGATTTTGGGTCGTTGAAAAACCTTTCGAGTGTAATGGAGGAAAAGGATGATACAGAGTCAATGGTTTCGAGTTGCTCTTCTTCTTTATCTTCAGCAGCTAGGAGAAGAAGTTGGATCGGTTTGAGTGATAATAGAAAGAGAAGAGAGTCATTAGATCCATCCATGATTAAGAATTATGATCATGACATCAAATTACATGTTCCAAGAGCTCGAAGTTCTTCTGCTGTAAGTCTTATAGAAAATGGCTTTTCGCAAGAACATCTCTGCGACATTTTCTGACATGTGGTTTCTTCTGATTTTATTTTTTCAGGCTTCGCCTTCTCCTTCTGTGCGAAGCTGTGGAGTGATAGAGGAGAAGTCAAGTAGTAGAACAAGAAGAAGAGAAGGTGTGGTTTCACCATCTCCAAGATGGGCTAAAAGCTTAAGCTATGGAAGTGGAAGTCATAAGAGTAAGAACCTTCTTCCACCTAAAAGCAATACCCTTGAACCCACAGATTCGATTTCGAGGAAAAGAAGCTGGACAGAGACAGAGATTCTCTGGAATTCACTTCCTCCCAAAGTTGTAAACCTAGGAAAGGTAATACTGATAGCTTATGATCAATCAAGAATTTGATTTTTAATCAGTTTAAAAGAAAATTGACGAAGAAAATTTGGCAGGAAATTCTGAGACAGAGAGATAAGGCTATTTCCGCTGCATCTCAAGCTTTGTTAGAGGCTTCAGCTGCTGAAAGATTGCTCAAATGTCTAAGGTACAGAACATTAATTGAGACACAAGTAAATGTACCTTCTTTCTCAAGCAATATTCTCACTGAAATGATATATATTTAGGTCATACTCGGAGCTTTCGGACAGGAGAAATCAACAACATCATAATCAACAGCTACCAATCGGAGAATTCTTGAGTTTCCAAGATGAGTTAAGAAAGAGCAGGCTCATCATTCAATCATTATCCACTGAGAAAACAGAGCACTGCAACTCAAACACAGCCAAAACCGGGGATGACAGACGTGAAAAGGCGACTCAGTGGATCAAATCAGCTTTAGCTACAGATCTCAAACCCGTTTCTTTATCCGCAAGTAAGCCTACGCAGAGTCCCGCCAAAAAGAGTCTTACCCTAATCGCTCAAGAGATCGATAACCGTGAGGATAACACAACCGAAAGAAACTTGGGATCGGGAGAGAGAAAGGAGAGGTTAAGCAGAGCAGCGAGGGAACTCAGAAACTGGGTTAAGGAAGAAGGAAGAAGCTGGTACTTGAGCCGTGTTGAGACGTATTTAGATGAGATCAGTAATGGAACAAAGTGGAGAGAGATGAGCAGTCAACAAGTAGGGGAGACGATGTATCAGATAAAACGAGTGAGTGATTGGTTAGACGCCATTGTTAAAGGAGGTGAAGAAGAAGAAGAGGAGGAAGTGGTAATGATGATGATGACAGAGTCTGAAACAGAGGCTTGTGGTAGAGTGAGGAACAAGATATACAGGATTCTTTTGAAACATGTTGAGACAACTTCTTTGTTAAGTCATCAACGTAGTACCAATCTCATGTCTCATCAACAACACTTGTACTGAAAGACAATCTCACTTTTAGGTTTACTTTTTTTTGTCGTGAAATTAGGATTTTGTGTACTATGTATTCTCTAATGATTGTTTCAGGTGTAAGGCCAAAGAGGTATGGGTCCGGTTCAGTTAATAATCACATGAACTCTAACAATGTATCGAACGGAACCAAACCAAAATTAAAGGAAACTAGAAAATTATGTCACACTTGTAATATTATTAGAGGGTTTAGTTAATTGTTAGAGCAAAATTTAGCAGAAAATCAGGTACATTTAGGATTTTTCATATTTCGATATTTTACCACAAATATACGATAGTAAAATGGAGAGACTACCAGAGAGACTACCAGAGAGACTACCAGAGAGACTACCAGAGAGACTACCAGAGAGACTACCAGAGAGACTACCAGAGAGACTATCAAAACCATGCAGGTAAATAGTATTTGGAAGTGGAGAGACTATCAGAGAGACTATCAGAGCTATGCATGTAAATAGGATTCGGAGGCAGTAACAATAAAATAGTTTTTTTTAACTTTAAAGTTTAAATGTTAATGTTCACCGTCTATTCTACAACTCCTTTGTTAAGTCATCAACGTAGTACCAATCTCATGTCTCATCAACAACACTTGTACTGAAAGACAATCTCACTTTTAGGTTTAGTCGTGAAATTAGGATGTTGTGGACTATGTTTTCTCTAATGATTGTTTTCAGGTGTAAGGCCAAAGAGGTAGTAATGTTCAGAGATTTTTAATATGGATCTGGTTCAGTTGATAATCACATGAATTCTAACAATGTATCGAATGGAACCAAACTGAAATTAAAGGAAACTAGAAAATTACGTCACACTTGTAATATTATTAGAAGGGTTTAGTTAATTGTTAGAGCGAAATTTAGCAGAAAATCAGGTACATTTAGTATTTTTCATATTTTCATATTCTACCACGAATATACGATAGTAAAATGGTGAGACTACTAGAGACTATCAAAGAGACTATTAAAACCATGCAGGTAAATAGTATTTGAAAGTGGAGAGTCTAGAGCTATGCATGTAAATAGTATTCGGAGACAATGACAATAAAATAGTATTCTTTAACTTTAAATGTTAATGTTTTCAATCTATTAATGTGTTATATAAGAACAAGAAATTGACTATGCCCCTGTTTCTTATATAAGTCGTGTTCAACCATTAACAAACCCTAAAATACCCTCTCTCGCTTGTCCAGGTTTCTGATCAGAATATTTTTGCTTGCTCGATTTCTAAGTTTTTGTTTTGTGGATTTTCGACTTGAAGTTGGTGAATTCGCTCTCAAATCGAAGAAATCATGTTTGCAGTTGAAAATCTTTCTCTAAAACCAGAAGGAGCCAAGAGGCAGAAGATCGAACCGGAGATCGACGGGTCCTCGTCATCATCGTCATCTAGTAGCTGTGGCCATTGGTACGTTCTTCACGGAGTCTGCACCGGCTGCGAATCAACGGTGGAAAAACGCCAAGGTCGAGCATTCGATTATCTATGCGACGGTTTGCAGCTAAGCCACGAAGCTGTGGCGTTAACAAAGCACCATATAACGAGATTCTCTTGTCTCAACGAGAAGAAGCTTCACCTTGTCCTTGACTTGGACCACACGCTTATCCACACCGTTAGGGTTTCAAAACTCTCCGAATCAGACAAGTATTTACTCGAAGAAACAACTAGAAGGCAAGATCTGTGGAAGATCAAACTCCAAGGAGATGATCTCATTGAATACTTGCTGAAACTACGGCCTTTTGTTCGCGGTTTCTTGGAAGAAGCCAACGAGATGTTCACAATGCATGCTTACACAATGGGTACTCGAGTTTACGCTAAAGCCATCTTGGAGGTGCTTGATCCGAAGCAAATCTATTTCGGGGAAAGATTGATAACGAGAGACGAGAGTCCTTATATGAAGACTCTTGATTTGGTTTTGGCTGATGAGCGTGGAGTGGTGATTGTGGATGATAACCCTGATGTTTGGATCGATCACAAGATTAACTTAGTGGAGATTAGCGGATATTATTATTTCAGAATGAATAATAAGCAACATTCTAAGCCTTGTAAGAAGATAGACGAGAGTGAAAGCGACGGTGGATTGGCCAATGTTTTGAAATTGCTCAAGGAAGTTCACTTTGGATTCTTCAGAGTCGACGACGAGCTGGAGTCAAAAGACGTGAGGTTGCTGCTACAAGAGATAGAATTCAATCGTCTCAATCATTACCTACAGTAGAATGATTTATTGATCACTTTCTATATTTTATTTTATATAGAGATCATTCTGTAAAAAACAAAAATATTTCTTTATTTAGCATTGTTAGTTTTGTAATCTCCTTCATCTGCAAGAAATAATTTTTTCTTTGTGGCAAGATAATTTGAGTATAGAACATATTTCCGTATGCGGTGAATATGGGTAATTCACTATCTTATTAGTTAATATATCCTTAAGCTAAATGAACTACAAAGCATTATATTTTTACTTCACTCAATACAATACAAAAAGGGATTAGAAGCTCAAACAAACTTTGAAATAAAATTGATTCAATCTTTAGGACATTCATTCATAGCAAAGACATAAAAGAAACTAACTTGTGTTGACGATGATTCTATTTCTTCCTTACTAAGCTGCAGGATTTGATCTTCTTGTTGTTACCATCCCAAAAATGTTGACAAAAATATCACAACCTCCAGTTGGAAAAGGTGCCATATAACTGCAGTTAAAATATTAGATAAGTATGCGGAATAATGTGGCTATACAGGGGAAGATTTTCTCATTAGTTCTCATGACCAAGAATAAGTTAATGTATAGTGTCTAGTTAAATCTATAGATTATTAAACTCAAAAAGCAAAATAGTTTCAGAAAATCTTTGCGAATATAGCATATTGTGCAACACCTTCGAACAAATCTTCAAAGTCCATTTGTTCTTTTTGTGATTAGAATTTCATCTTCACTACCATTCAATCAGTGGACAATGTTCTTACGTACAGTATTACGCCCTGTTCAAAAAGTAGGCCGCCTAGCCGTCTAGTCGGCCGTCTAGGCGTTAGGTGATGGCTGACCGCCCCGACTAGGTGCTAGGTAGTGTTTCTAGGCGGTTTTCCGATTTTTTACAGTCTAGAACCGCCTAAAACCGTCTAAAATCGCTTAAAACTGATTAAAAAAATAAAATAGTTGCTTAAATTTTGAAAATCAACCCAAAAATCTTAAAAATTTTGAAATTAGCTCAACTTTATTAATAAAATTTCCATTTTTTTTTTGAAATTGGCCTAAAATCAGCCTAGGCGAGTTCAAACTCCAAAATCATCTAAAAAGGACTAATATAATTAATTAAAAATTAAATATAATATAAAATAATTAAAAAATTAATCACTGACTAATCAATGAATAATCACTGATTTTCGACCTAGGTGCTAGTCGGAGCTCGACCGCCCGCTACCGCCTAGCGATTTTTTTAGCACTTGCATCCACCCTTGAAAATCACTTGCACTATTATTTTTAACATTCTTTTGCTCCGTGAAAATCTCCCCTTAGTTAACTCTTCTTCTTTTGTTTACAAAATCGTACATAGAAATATCCTGAATCTTTTATACATCATATATATTATAAGTGAAATAAAATTTTAATTTAAAGCTCTCTCATTTAACCTTAGAGTGGCTAATTAACCTTTACCCCTTCTTAGAATTATTTAAATTAATTTTTATAAAAAAACATATAAAAATCGATTAAATAAATAAAAACCAGCGAAGTATTGATTATTTAATTCAGAAAATGTATTTAGGACTATAACCCTCTATTGTCATACCAATTTTTAAAAGATAAACACAAACTCGCAAAACATATATTTTGTTTGAGAATGTATCGGTAAAAATATAATTGTGAAACCCTAGCTTGACCTGTGAGTTATATATCTTTTAGCCGCACTTAGTCAACCAGCACTTGAGTTTTGTAGGTTTTATGCCTTCAGGGTTTTCATTGTAAAGAATTTTTGTTGTTTATGTGTTGTTTGTTGGTCTGTGTGGCAAAGAATTATTATTCTTTTCTTCGTGCATGTGATTTGCTTGCTAATTGATCAGTTTTTTTTTGCTCTTGTATTACTCCGTCTCTTTGGGATATTTGTCTGGTTTGTACATCGGTCATGCTCTCTCGAGTTATCAGTTTTTGTTGTATCAACTTTGCGCATTTTGAGTATTTTGTTTTGGCATCGTTTTGCTTTTGTCTTCTTGCGTTTGTTTTTGTTGTTCTTATTTTTGTCTTTGGCCGTCGACTCTTATCTTTAATTCTTGTAATTTGTTAAATTGGTCGTGGTCTGATTCGTGTTAATTATTCCTAATATGAAGCTATAACTAATGCAGAAATTCTGGTGACAAGTCTGGTGAAGAAAGTGCTACCAAGATCACAACGAGCATGTGATGAAGAAGATGAATCCATATGAGACTCATCCCCTGCATCACTCTCAGTACTGATATCGTCCCTAAAAGAGGTATGCATCGATTTTACTTTGAGAGATAACAGTTTCTTGTTTATCACGTTTGCATGTTTTGCATTTGCGTTGTTCTGTTTTTGACTCTGCTTTTTTTTTGTCCCATTGTCTCTGTCTTTTATCTTTTTCTTCTTTCTCTGTGGTGAATTCTTCTCTATAAAGATTGATATTTACCTCTTTTTTCCTTTTATTTGTATCTTACAGTTGTTTGATGTTTGTAAACTGTTTAGATGTCGTTTCTCACTGTGTCCTGCATTGGTCTCGAAAAGTTAAGATTTTATTTCTATATTTACTTCTATATTGTGCATGTGGTTTCTTTTTGTTTGTCTCGATCGTATTGGTTATCTTGATTGAAGTTGATTTGTGTATAACCTGTAGATATATAAAACAGGTAGGGGACACCTTGTTGGGTTCGGTTATGTTTGTTTTGGATTATAATTAGAAGATGGAGCAGTAGTGCGAGGTCAGTATGAAGTGCACATCTGGTACTTGCTCGAGAAAGGGGTCTGTCAAGGATGGTTGACGGAGACAAGTCTTGAGGTTGAGCTCAAGAAGTTTGCTCTGTTCGAGGTTAGCGTGATTTATGATTACTTGATCTCTGCGGGGTTCATTTCTTGCTGTGGTATGATCAAAGAATTACATGTTTGTGCCTAACTCAAATCAAAGGAAATACAAATTCCTCTTGAATTTCTCATTTTTGAGATGGATATTCGATCTTGAGAGATATCGTCCAGATCTGGTATTGAAAACAATGAGATTAACATTTTGGATATTCGTAAAGCATGATTAAGTTCAAGGTAGTGTTGTTAAATTCTTTTGGACAAAGTGCTGTTAAATTCTAAGTTCAAGGTAGTGCTGTTAAATTCTCAAGTTCAAGATTAACATGCTGCTTTGCAATGACTGAGTTGGGCCTTGGGCCATGGAAGTAGACTAGGAATATTTCAGTGTCCTTTTGCACATATACAGACTAAATGCATTGGTGATTTCCACTAACTATATTTATTTTTTCTTTATATAACGCTTTCAGGTACGGGGAATTGAAACAGTAACTACGTATAACCCAAGAACTTTTATTGTTAAAAAAAAAGCTCACTTAATGTACTGGAAGACAATCACTAAATTTCATAATTAAAATACATTCCTTAATAATTCTAAATAATTAAACTAAAATAACTTTTTTAAGTAAAGTTTTTTTTATATTATTATATAATTCATAGTAAGTTTTTTTTTTCGTATAAATTTTTGTTCTATTCTTAATATGGGAGTTTGTGATAAATACTCCGAATCTGCTCAAATTCTGTGTAATCTCCCCCTAATCTCCCATATACTGACTTTGTAATATACTTTGTAATAGGTGCGTAGGGGTTCTTTGCCTTTTCCCACCGTAGATTTAGCTCTTAGAGATGTTGTATCCATGATTACCGTTTTTTTTCCCTCCGTGTATTTTGTCCGTTCACTGGAGTTGTAACCGGACGATGCCCTTGTGGGTTGATTTAATTAATATTAAGTAAAAAAAAAAAATATATATATATATATATATATATATGCTTTCGGTTTGTTCAGCATGCAACCCACGCCATTGTGATTCGCAAAATATAAACCGAACCAATCAGGGGGTTCATATCTTATTCGCCCAAATCAAGGATCAAGATGAACATATATCCAAACATCCGCCTTGCAGTGAACACAAGATTGGTCTAAGTGGTGTTGACAATGGCCAGATATGGTATTTACACACTCAATGTTATGTGATTGTTCCTTATACCAAGGGTTTGTCAATCTTCAAACTCCAAGAGAGAATTTTTTGAACTCAGTTGGTCTTTATCTGACTATCAAATTTTGAGCTTACTGTCTTTTTTATTTGCTTTATTGTATTTTGATAATAAATTCATTTGCGCAGAGAAAATTTCCTATGTCAATTTATAGAAACTGTTGTTCTTAGTTCTCTTTTTATTTACATCTGTTTTCACAAGTCATATATTAGGTGAGCGAATAAAAATTATTTAGCTTTGCATAGATATATTATTATTTTTTATAAACTTACAAAAAATAGTTATATTTACTAATATTTTATTTACTAATTAATAAGCGGTATAGAAATACAAACTAAATCGACTCTGGAGTTTAAAGGAACCTGGCAGGTTACCTTGGTCAAACAATTATGCTGCTTGGAGAGTTAGATAAATAGGGTAATCTTTCGTTTTTAATTAACTCATCAGTAATGATGATTCATTTTCTACATTTCTTCTGACATTTTTCATGCCTTTGGTTGATATCTGACATTGTACTGCATAATCACCAAAGTGGACATGTATTGAGACATATTCATTTGTTGCGGAGAGTAGACAACCAGTAAAGTCTATACAGAGAAGATGGGACATACTAAGGATTGAGACCAAAACCAATTTAAAAACTACAACATAAATAAAGTACACATAAATTAAAAAAATCACATAAACCACATTAATTTCTTAAGATCAAATTTAAAGACTAAAACAATACTTAAACTGACACTTAGAAACTAAAAAAAGAAAATTGAAGTTTAAAAGACCAAGAAGTTAGTACAAAATAAGTAGGAATTAAAGATGAGCGACGAGAAGAACGAAAAGACAATTAAGATGAACTAAAAGATAAAGAAGAGGGAAAAGAAAAAAGACGAAGTCAATAAAGAAGAATTTGGAAAATATGAAATAGAAAACAAAGAAAAGAAAAATGGTCGGTTAAGATAAAGATGGTGAACAAAGAAGAAAGTAATGACAAATTTAGCGAAGAAAACAAAATAATCAGAAGAACAAAACTGAGAATAAAACCAGTACATAGTAGATGAAGTGGAAGATGGAAAATACGAAAAAAAAGAAGAAGAATAAACCACAAAATGAAGAAGAAAAAGTAGAAGGAAATGAAGATAATGAAAGAGGTGAAAAAAAAAAACAGTTGCTTCTGCCCTCTGTTTTCATCGGAGAAGACGTCATCGATATCCTATCTTTAACAAGATAGAGGACGAAATCTCTGCAGCCCGAACTCACTACAAGCCAGATGAGGAGGACGTTTTTCTCTGGAGATGGAAGCTTGATGCGTACAAGCCTCGATTCAGTACGAAACAAACTCGAGACCTATTACGACAATCACGCCCTCTAGCACTATGGAGAAGAGTGGTGTGGTTTACTCATAATGCTCAATGATGCCTAAATGC